GCAAGCTCACCAACAGCAGCGTCGGTACCCGAGAACTGCTTTACGAGAATGTCGCGTTGCTTCGTGAAGCCAGCGAGGAGCTTCTTATCCTTGGCATAACGTTCAGGGAGGAAGTTGGAGGCCACTTGGGATTGCATCTTAGCAACGATTTTCTTGAAGGTTGTGTCGAAGTGTTGCAGGGCGATGAAGACGAGGCCGTTGGCTTCACCGACAGAGTAAGGACCGGTGCGCGATTTCAGGTACTGGTCGTAGGCCGTTTGGTTGAAGGCTGCGTCCGTGTTGAGGGCGTTCATGTCTCTGGACTTAGTTTTTGAAGATCGAAGTTCATGTAGTTGGCGATGTGGTACTGGAAGTTGGAACTCACAGCGGGGGGATCCTTCTTGACGGTGACACCGGCAGCTGTCAGAACGTCCTTGGGACCGATACCAGAGTACATCAGTAGGTGGGGCGTAAACACACCACTAGCAGCGAGGATGACCTTCTTTGCGGCAATAGCTTGGACTTGCTTGTTCGTGTCCTTGGGTGTATATTTGACACCAGTGGCGGTCAGAGCGCCTACTCTGTTCTTCGAGAAAGTGATCTCATCGACATGAGTGCTTGTCAGGAGCTTCAGATTCTTCCTCGATACTATGGGATCGTAGTACGCAGTGCGCGAAGTGCTGCGCATAGCTTCCGCCTTGTTGATCGAGTTCGGTGACCAATAGTGACGGACAGGCTCTGCGAAGCCCTCTTGTGGATGCGGAATATTGACATTATCCCACGAATGATAGATAGTCTTCATATCTGGGAACTGGTAGTCTGGTATCGAAACCTTTTGCGGACCATTGCCGTAGGCTTTGGCATTATAGGTAACACCGAAGGTCTTGGTTGTATTCTTAGACGGCGCATCAAAGTTGTTGCTCCTCATGAAGTATGGTTTCAAACTCTTTCAGTCTCATCCTTTGTTCCCGAGCTGACCCCACGCGTCGTAATCAGCGTCGGCACCTCTATCAAACTGCATCCCATTCACGTATAACCCACCGCCAACAACGTTGCCAACTGTTACCAGGAGAGTTTAGTTACCAAGGTTTAGAACAGGCGCGCTGTAGATATCATACATGGCAGCAAGGTTAAGACCGCCCAAGTTGCCGGGAATGCTGGATTGTGTGCCATTATTAAGGGCGCCGTTTTCAATAACTAGGACGGTCTCTTTAATAGATATTCATTAGTTTCAGTGCTCGTGGGGCGACTTTGTCACAGTCAGTACATACTCTTCGGATCTTTGCTTAATCTGTTCGCAACGACCAGGCCTGTGGTGCCTCCTCCAACAACCACGTAGTCGTATGTGGTTTGGGCTGAGGCGGCTGCCAATACGGCAGCACCAAAGAATGAAGGGATACCGAACGAATGCATTTTGGGCTGAGACCGCTTGCTAACCGGACCGATCAATACTGATCGCGAGATTAAACGATTGACGATGTGCAGAAGAGAACACGAGGTCCTCCCAGCAATACTTTAAAGGGTTTCAACGACCCGGTACTAGGAAGATCCTCGCACGTGGTAAAGTCTGGGCCATTGGCTTCCATCGATGTTCGTATGCATGTTCATCTACCGGCCTTGCAGCAGGAGGGGCAAAGAACCTGCGCCTTCGAGCGATGGATCGAGGCGGAAGGCCGGGTCAGTAAATGGTACGTGTCAAGCATCAGAGGGAATGCACCGGAGAGAATGTTGATATGCAATTGACGGGATAGCACATTACTAGTCATGACTATCGATGCTATGGTGTACCAACGGCATGGAAACAAGGGTCAGCGGGATGCCTGTCAGGCCCGTTTCCATGCGCAATGGGCGACGGAAGCTACGAAGCGGACCGGCACGTGAAGTTCCAACGCTATCGCTGTGTGCTGCATCCATGAGGGCAATGATGTTGGTCGCTTCGTCGTCCCCAAGAGGTTTCGTTGGTAGCTACGAGATCGGTATCTTTCACGGTCTTGGGTCGTTGCCCAGATAGTGAGTTTGCCTGGACAGCTGATTCGGTATAGCGCCACACAGATGCGGACAAATCCCATCCGGCAGCATCAGCCGAGCCGCCTCGCCAGGTGCGGGAAGCAAACCCACCTATAGACGTTACAATCCCGATGACCACCTACACAGTAGAGTATCTCTCAACCTGAAAGCATCGCAAAAGTTGTATGATCGATTCTGCAGTAAATGTGAGGATTGAGCCATTCGGTAATGGCGTCATCCTTTCACTTCGTCAAGAACACTCTTACGCATACAATTTTGGCTACACTGCCTGCGTATGCTACCTAACCTCTCAGCTGCAGGACTCAGCTACCTCCTTAGAATGGTAATTGAGCGACATGATATCTTCACTGCCCAGACAGTAGCCTCATGAGCACGGACTTTTGGGAGGATTAGAAATTGCCATACTCCCAAAATACCCTCTCTCTTTTTAGCATTCTCGACCCATACAAGTCGTATTAGTTCCCAGGGACAGTTCCGCGAATAGGAGTAGGCTCTAAGAAATCTGCACATAAGAGTTCGCCTGCTCGGTAATATGAAGGAAGTAGCTTACCTAGGTACCTGGTCAGGTCCAGCACCTCCGGTTTCCAAGATGACGGGCCGGAATGAAGTTGCTTCGAATTGAGTGGTCGCCTCGTACCGGCATACTAAGGAGCCATTCCCATGTGCAGGTATCCATAAAAGGTTTTCTTCCTGCAGGATTCAGAACCACCGAGTCGGTTGCTGTGCCGCAACCTGCTCTCCGGATGATATGTACGTGTTACGGGCTACTCGCTCTTTTTTTTTTATAAAGATTCCTCCTTCTACTACTTTTATCATATGGGTATCAGTAGTCGTTGTGATGCTTTGCAACTTTGTTATGATGTTGATACTGCACTTCGCGATGACTGAGGCGACAGCGTACGTACAGATCGCATCGAACATCTTTACGGATCTGTTATGTAACCTGCATACTCTTTCAGTAGGCAGAGACTGATACACAAAAGATCTTTGCTACCGCTCCGATCGTATATCTAAGGCGCGTACAACTCAGCAAGCGGACGCAGTGGGGCGTTAGCATCGTATTCCTACTGGCACTTGTGTAAGTAACTTCCGCACCGCTACCAGATACAAGCACTTATACAAGAAAGTGGGACCAACCTTTCCGTCGCGAAAACCTTCGTCACGTACAAGTTCTTGCGGTCTCAGGAGATGATGTGGGACGCCATAGATCTGAGCATCTGCAGTATCAACGAAGTCTGCGTCGGCATAATCATTGCGAACCTACCACCGTTACGAAAAACCATCCTCAGGCTCTTCTCAAGAGTTCTTCCACCCAGCTACGCAAGCAACGGCGGTGTTTCACGAAAACATACTAGCCAATTCCTCCCAATCTCCTCGCATTTCAGTTCCAAAGGGCTCACGAAGCTGGACAACAAGGATGATGATGAGAGTGAGCGGCATATCTTGGAGCTTGAAGACACAAAACAGGACGCGGGAATCATGAAGACAATGCAGGTGAGTGTCCGCGATGGCGATGCGCAGTCACAAAAGACCCCGTCATTAAAGCAGCATTTTTGAGAATCACTCTTGATGCTGTGTGCGACGCGTCCATAAGCAACTATATATGTGATTGCGAGGAAGGCAGCAGACACTATCGAAAGACAAGCGAAGATAATGGAAGTCATTCATTCCATCGTTAGCTATACTAGGGCCTCGTGGATCTGTTTGTGGCTGGTAAGCGTGTTGATGCATACGCCATCGGGCCGGTCGACACGGGTACTCCGACGTCCTTAGAGATGAGCTTTGCTTTGCTTGTCTCAGGATTAGCGATGTGCGCAATGCGCGTCTACTGACCGTTTTTCTCCTATGAGCTCGAATACTTTGCTGACGGGTGAGAACTTTGTCCATGAATCGCGGTCCCGGTAACGTAGGAAACGAAGAGCGAGGAGCTCAGCGGAAGGGTCTAGCATTCCGTGGCTGTATCGCAAATGCGGCAGAAGCACTGCCCCGAAGCCTGCTGCCAACAACATGAAACAAAGCCAACGACAGCCCTAGTTCAATATTGAGTGCAACTGTATTTTCGAGATTGCGAGCCACAGTGCGTTAGAACGACGCTCTTGAGAGAGGATTCGGAGATGAGGCAAGAATGCGGGGTTGTTGTTTGCCTCACAATGGAACCTTCGACCGGCGAGTTCTGAACACACGCGTTAGTACCGACCCCCGCTCATCAAGTAGTGAGTTCCTGATATTCCCAATTTTTGAGCCTTTGGAGCGTCAAATAAGACAGGTGAGACTGAAGGCTTTTCCACACTCATCGTCGCTCTCCTCATCTTACCCTTGCCTTCTCTCCTATCTCCAATTGAGCGAGGAAACATTACGTTCTGCATGAATGTACCGCATTTTCATAAACTTTACATAGAGCGCACGTGCAACCAGCTAAACTCTCACAAGCCTCTGCAACTAGATCTACCTCTATTATTCCTTGCGGTTCTACCTTGCTGCGCATTTCTCATCTCCACACCACACGAAACCTAGCCTCTTCAATACTAGGTGACTAATCGCGCACTAGGTATTTTCCCCAGCATTCAACAGCCCCTTCATATACAAACAAAACGTGCGCGCGCAGCCGGGTGAACGGGAATCGTGCATTTACTAGGACACACCTCCGTTCTTCACGGCGTCGGATTTTCTCCGCGAGACACTTTCCATGACGTACCCGTAGACTTTCACGGAACTGATTGGTGGAAATCCCTCTACACGAACGTTGCAAGCTACCCCATACCTCCGCTGCCACTACGAGCCACCGAAAGGAAATTATGGGGTAAAATGCCGGTAGACCGTCACCTGAATGGTAAGTAGTCTAGAGATGGAGAAGATCGGTGGAAATAGTTCAAGAGTATAAAGGTAGTAGGCATCCATGATCCTTCTTTGAAACAGACAGGCAAACCTATCAAATCAATTCTAGCCACGACATTCACCTTCACCTTACAGCATTACTACCAAACATTATCAAAATGCATCTCCCCACAACACTCTCCTACATCTCCCTCCTCGCCACCTCGGCAATCGCCCTTCCATCCCCTCAAACCAAACCAAGCACCACAAAACCCCCTTACTTCATCCTCGCCGGCGACTCAACAACAGCTGTGCAGTCCGAGGGCGGCGGCGGCTGGGGCACCGGCTTCCTAACCACGACTCTCACAAAGGGCGCCTCAGGCCACAACTACGGCCACAACGGCGCAACAACTGTATCCTTCCGCCAAGGCGGTGACTGGGCAACTGTCCTGTCCGCGGCCAAGGACGCATCAAAGGAATTCGCTCCCTACGTAACCATCCAATTCGGTCACAACGACCAAAAGCCTGACAAGAACATCAGCGCCAAGCAACTCACTGCCAACCTTGTCGCTTTCGTGAACGAAGTCAAGGATGTGGGCGCTACGCCTATCCTCGTCACGTCCCTGAGCCGACGCAAATACGGGTCCGACGGTAAAATCAAACCGGACTTGGCGGATGTAGTTGCTGCGGCGAAAGACGCGGCCAACGAGACGGGAGCCGATATCATTGATTTGAATGCGGCGAGTACCAAATATCTGAATCAGATTGGCGCGGAGAAGGCGCCTACGTATGATCTCAAGGCTGGCGATAGTACGCATTTGAATGCGGAGGGAAGCGTTGTGTTTGGAAATCTTGTGGCTATGTTGATCAAGAAGGAGGTGCCAGCTGTGAGCAAGTATCTTAAGCCGGTGGCGAGTGTGAAGAGTGCGTTGGAGAAGGGGGTTTACATCTTCCCTAAGGTGTAAGGAGAGGAAAGGATGAAACATGCCATATTCTTCTTCTTTTGTACATATTTGATGATGCAATATTAGCCATGCGTTTCTAACGAAAGTAACCTTACTGTCCACCTTTCATCAGAATCTCCTTGACTTATTCGATCATCTATTTACTCATGACGGTGATAACATACAGCTCTCGTAAGCTGCTTAAGTTAGTGCCCTGAGCGTAGACTCTTTCATGAACATAATGAATCTGCAGTCTCCAAGCACCGTCTTTGCCGTTGCCAGGAACCTTACCTATCGCTTTCCTGAACCCAGACCTCTAACTTATCTCCTCTCTCGCACTACCTTCGCTTTCCACTCCCTGTTTTCCTTGTCCAAAGTCACCGTCAATTGAGTCGCCATAACTATGCCTGAAACCTGAACAACGATATCCTCGCCTTCTCTTCTCTCTACTGTCTTCTCCCCCCTTTAACTACCTTGAGTTCAAGCTTCTCATTGTTCCTCTCCAGTTTCTCCATCCGTTGGTCATAAATACTCACAAAATTCCTAGTCACATGATAACAACGGCATTTTTTGCGCCTAAATCTTTCCCAGGGAAAAGGACACAACACCTCCTGCACAAGACCGGCCGTGTGTGGTGACAGACTCTTCCATGCAGCGTCAAAAACATCTCCAAGCGTTACTCCTTTTTGACCCTTCAAACTCTTTTGTGTATACCAAGGTAGATAATAGTAGCCTGGAGTGCCACATTTCCATTCTGGTATGTTAAGAGACAAGCGCTCAAGCGGAGGCTGGGTGATGAGTGTCTGGCGCCACTTTGCGGAGGCTTCGCTGAAGCTATTCATGTGCTTGATCAACTGGTAGCTAACGTATAATTCGCTTTCCAGTCGTTCTCCGTTGCTCCTGTCGTAACGTGGAAAGTAGTAATCGAGTGACCCTTCGAGAAGCGGATGAATCCTCAAACGAGGCCACGGAGGCGCCATCACATCTGTTACATGTTTTTCAGCAGCTTCCAACTCAACAAATTTTACTCGAAGCCGATGCGGAAGTGACCAACTGGTGTGTATTAACGCTTGGTTTGACCCAAGTGAAGACGAACGTATTATTGGATTCCTGGTTTTCGAGAGGCGTGGAAGGAATATCAGCTCAGGGGTCTCACCCGAACCGTCGATAAAGGAACGCCATTCTTTATTTGCGCCGGTGAGGCGGAACAAGTCGAAGTATTTGAGACATGGATCGGTGAGGATTTGCAGCTTCAACTCATCTGGCAGGGGGGCCCGCGGTCGTTGGAGCCGAACATGGTTCGAGTGTCATTGCTAATCTTTGTTGGCGCAAGCATTGATATATGATCACGAATCGCTTTGCTGATTGTGAGCAAACCTGAATCAACTCACGAGCTCGCTCTCTTTCTAGGGCATTCTATGTACTTCATTTTAATTATTGCTGGAAACCTTGAACAGATATGTACACCATAGCGCGTGAACCTAGTAAAGTCTCGAGTCCTAAGAGCTTGACGTTGTCGATTTCTACTTCCGTTGCTTGGCCTCTCCACTGGTCTCCTTCGCAGTGCTCTTGCCCTCAGACTTCTCCTTCTGCTTCTTCTTCTCAGCCGCCCTTCTCTTTGCGCTCTCCTTCTCAAGGATCTCGATCGTCTTCTCACTGCTCTCCCACAGCTTCTTCTGTAGCAGCTCATCATCAATTTCCTTCCTTGTCCAGATGGTTCTCCTACATTCCTTGAGGAAGTATGCTCCTTCTCCTCGACCCCACTGAGCCTCCATGGCGGCGTATAGGAAGGTTTGTGCACCCTGGTCGGGGCTCTTGAGTATAAGCCACCACAGCGGCCATGTAACGAGGTACATTGCCAGCCCAAACAGCGAACCGAAGGTAAGGTATCGTCGCATACCAGGTGTTCGTGTCCAGCCTGGGTCGACCATGATTACGCGCGCATTCATAGGCTTCTTATCGGGGCGGACGTAGTTTGTGAGATGTTTCTGGAAGGCGACAGCGAATGTCATGAGGGCCAGCTTGGAGGTTGCGTAAACGGTGGAGGGAGTGAAGTCGAGCTGTCCAGGATCGGTCTTTCCGTCTTTCTTCGAGTTTGCATCGGCACCTGGGAGCTTTCCTCCCACGTAGGCCGGGCATGTACCGAAGATGATTCGAACGTCTCGATCAGGAGGTTGAGCACGTAGTGCGGGGCTGAGTATACTCAACAAGTGGAAGTTGGCCATGTAATTAAGCCCCCAAGTCGACTCTAGCCCGTCTTCTGTCTGAGTTGGTTTCCCCCCTGATGGGGTCATCGTGTTCGCGCAGAGGATGATTGTGTCCAAACGTCGCGGTGGTGCGTTGTCCACCCATTTTGTTGCAAACTGACGTATGCTGTGTAGATCCTCAAGGTCGACATGCTCGGCGGTGATGAGCTCATTGCCCGTTTGGGTTCGGAGGTCTTCGATGTAGTCGACGAGGAAGGGGTCGACGAGTGGTTGTCGAACCAGGAGAACAATCTGTGCACCTCGAGATGCCAGGCCTCTTACCACTTCAGCGCCTATACCAGCCGTTCCTCCCTTTGTGTGCGTCAGTATAAAGATCTCATGTCTTCATGTAGCCTAGGCTTACCGTCACCATAACCACCTTGGAATGCATATTCCGCTCCGACCCATTGGTCGCGCCATTGAAGTACCATTTCAAGACGTACAGGACTGCACAAACAGAGGCAAACTTCAATACAGCCCAGCCGTATGGAATAGATTCAAGACCCGAGTCAAAGGCCGTGGCAAGGATATTGACCGGCATCTTGGTTGTTGGTGGGACGGGAGGCGGAAGATGTTCAGGAACGCGGATCAATGGTGGCTCGCTAAGCAGATCCACGTGGCGTCATAGCATGTGATTGCGCGTCGTAGAACGCCGCCTGGCTTCACCACGCAAACTTCACTCTTCACCTCGACTATTCTGCACGGCGGTGTCGCTCCTTTCGCCGCCGGAAAACTTTAAATTCACGACATCTTTTCACCATCAGAGGCGCCACTAGCAAGCCGCAACAATGACCGTTCCCACCCCGGTGCCGGCAGCTGGAGATGAGCATTACGAGGACGAGCTTGTTGAAGAGGATCCCGACGTCTCCACAAAGCCTTTCGTTGAACAGCGCGCTTTTGGACGCGGGCTCTGGAAGAACCCGATCAAATTCGTCTCATCCGCCCCCGAAGTCCAACCAACGACGACATCGACAAATGGCAAAACCATGGCTGAGAAGTACCTTGCCATAATGTTTCCGAATGGCCAGCCACAACCAGAACCTGACGCATATCCTCGGTGCGGTATATGCGGCGAGCCTGTCAAAGAGACGGACCAGCGAATACATTATCTAAGCCCTGCACACCAAGCTGCACTACCACGAGCCCCCATACCCTCCGCAATCGACCGGACGAGAATGGGACTAAAGTATATGGAGAAGCACGGCTACGACGTCGATGCGCGACAAGGCTTGGGTACCAGTGGTCAAGGCATGCTTTTCCCACTGGTACCCAAGGAGAAGCGAGATAAGCTAGGCTTAGGAATAGACAAGAAAGAGCACTCCCAGAGGAAGGCGTTAGGTGGCGCAAGCCGCGCAGACGTCAGAGAGGGCAGGCTCGATGCTGGCAAAGTGAGAAAACTTGCACAAGTCCAAAAGAAGAGACACGATAAGCTGCAGAAGATGTTCTACGGCAACGACGAGGTTGAGAAGTATTTGGGACAACTTGGTGGCTGATAGCGAAGACTGACGGCTAACGATTTACGACCCATGTCTGCATCTGAGTTGCTTAGGCTGTCCAAGGGCGAGTTTGTGTCACGGTGCATCATGGCCTCCATCGATGCTCTTTCTTCACATTACCCATCAACAACCGTCAGGCACAATATCCGCCACGACATCCGCCACGAACGACCGCTTAATATCCGCGAGCAGACTATTGTTGCACGCCATACTCAAGATTCACATGTGCATAGCGCTGGCGTTGGTTTGATTCGCATTTTGAGATACCCCTGGCTCGACAATGAAGCCTTTAACAACAACACATCTTCTTCAACTTGGTCAAAGTACGAATCCATCGCCCCCATTTCGGAAACAACCAGTCAACGTGAGCACCTCGATTATGTCAGATCGACCAGGTATACCTCTTGATTGTTGCAAGCTCTGCCGTTGCCCCACCTTGACATTCATCCGCAAACTCCGAACCAGATTTTTTACCCCACCATACTTCGTCCATCCAGTGCTGACAACATCAACGAAGACTCCATATACTACTTCAAGCACCTAGAGTAGTGCTGCCAATATCTTCTCCTGATAAACCGTTATCGTTGGTTTTCTTTCATCGAAAACAACTCAACAACGGTCGCTTAGCTCAGTTGGTTAGAGCGTGGTGCTAATAACGCCAAGGTCGCGAGTTCGACCCTCGTAGTGACCATTCTTTTTGCGGTCGTAGGCTTCTCTAGCTAGGAGGACTTGTCCGCGAAGTTGTAGCTTTTTGCCGTGTCAAATGGGTCCAAAAGTGGACATGTGAGCGGACTTGAACCTCTCGCCACTTGCAAGTTAACACACATTAGTTTATTGGTTAACCGATTGCTAGTAGTACTATGGACTTGTCTGTTACTTGCATATTTGGTTGGTTCATTGGTAGGAAGTTCAGACTTTGGTCCCACAATCGGAGCAGAATCATCGTAGCGAGTACCCACACGCAAACAGCAATGTGTCACTGAGCCAGTACTTTTCTAACTCATCCTACCTTCCAGCCCGCTAACATCAAGTACGATCTTCCCAAGAAATTAGTCATCAATCAGCTCTACCAACTCCGTTGGTGCAGTAAACGTCTCCTTGGTGTAGTTGGTTATCACGTGGGTCTCATATCATCATGTATGACTACTAGACTCTAGTAGATATCCCAAGGCCGCCAGTTCGAGTCTGGCAGGGGACATTGTTTTTGTCCTCAGCAACCCGTTCAATAGATGATGCGCTGCTGGTGTTGATGACACTTTGTTTTTGGACTATTCCGCCCAAGCAGAAAGTTGACATGGTCAGGATACCACGGTAGTGGACGTCTTCAATTTTGTCATCCTACAATTTTTGTAAACTCTTCTTAGTAGTGAGCGAGTTTAAATTTTACACGAGGTTGGAAATCATAGAAATAGTAACAATGGGAGCATCCTACATCTTCGCAAATTCCCAACCACCCCGGTTTGCAGACGCCGAGCACACACGATGAACTTGCACTCTTCGGAACAGACTGCTATCTGAGAGACCACTCGGACGACATCACCAGTACCTATGATCTGGTTCTTAGCTACACTAGGCGAAGTGCTGCTCCTACACGCAACAAGTTCACAGTCACTGCAATTGCGTGGCGTGGAAATGCACGCGCACTGTACCATTGATGAGAACGAACTTTCTCTCGCTACCTGAACTCCACACTGAGATGGACGACCCGGACAGAATTCTTGACATGGATACCCATCAACCGATATCGTTCCCCCATACCTTGTGATACCAGTAATACTCGCTATACAACTAACCACATCCATGTTTGGTTCCCTGACAACTGACTTTGAGAACATACCACAACCCATGGCAATATATCGCTAACCCTTATACGCATGCCTAAAAGGCTCCTTTACCATTAAGTACTTGTTGTATCGTTTGCTCCACAACATCAACGGCGTTGTACTTTTCATACTCCTTCTTTACCGCCTCAAGTCTTTTGCTACTCCTCGTTAGCCCTCGATCTCCTTACACAATCTTGCAAAAGAAGAAAGGAAAAGAGGATATACCTATACGTCTGATTTCCCAAAATCTTATCGAAATCGTCGGTCAGCAGTTCGGCCGTTACCTGGGGTAAGGCATGGTAGATACCAAAGCCTTTGTAATTAATGAGAGCTCCTGTGTGCAGTTTATCCTGTCCAACTCCAGACATGATCATAGGTACACCGGCGCGAAGAGATTGTTGGACGGTGCCGTATCCGCCATTTGTGACTAGGACCGTCACCTATTTTCGTGTTAGCAATGGGGAAGCCAAGTCCCCACGTATACCACGGGTATACATACATAGGGCAGCGCAAGATCCAAAGGAATAAACTTTGCCACTCTCGCATTCTCCAGGATCTTAAAGTCAAGCATCTCGACATCAGAAGTGACCAACGTAGCAATGACGAACACATCCTCCCTTCCTCCGAATGCTTCCAGAGCCGGTTTGATCAGCGCACCTGTATCGTAAACCACGCTGCTGGAAGACACAGCTATGATCTTCTTTCCGGCTGCCTTCGCCTCAAGAACATCGTTCCACCACTCTGGGAGCATGTGATCGGCGATTCCCACCGACACAGGTGCACCCATGAACTTGAGGTTCGGTCGCCAGTCGCTACGCTCCCATTCAAAAGCAGGAACACCGTATTGAAGGAAAACATCCGAAGCATAGCTCGCCAGGTGGTTGAAGCTTGGTGTATCCCTCGTCGCACCCATCTGTCGAAGCATGGCGTTGACAGCTTCGTTAACAGGCTTATCAATAGGATGGTCTTTGTCCTGAGCTTGTTGCGCCTCGAAATGAATCTTCTTGCTCTCTGAACTAGTGTCCGGGTACCTTCCCGAACGGAAAGGGAAAGTGTCGTTACTAGCCGCTACATATGGAGCCAGACCTATACCAATTGCTGCATCAGGACGAATGCCAGGCGCGCCTTGCATGACGGGTGACAGGCCACCGAATGTAAAGTCGAAGATGTAAATCATCTTCTGTTCCTCGCCATGTTGGTCGCGAAATTCTCGAAAGGTTCGTTGCAGGGTACGGTACTGCGCAGGTATGGTCTTGATGAAGATAGCCGTGGTAGCGAAGACTTCGAGCTCGTAGCCTTGTAGACCGATGAACGTTGCTAAGTCTTCGTCGGAAAAGATCTGCGGACCTTGCCCTTCGATGGGGATGTACGTTGCGCCGATTGATTCAATGGAGTCTTTGAACTCTGGGCCGGTGATGAAGTTTACTGGATAGCCGAGTGAGATGAGGCCTTGGGCGATTGTTGTGATCTTTTCCATGTGGCTGAAGGCGGGGGTCGCTGCCATGATGATGGGTGGTTTCCCGATGGTTGGAGCTTGACCCAGGATATCTGTGGACGGCGTCTGCAACGCTTGGAGAGCATAGTTGTAGAAGGCTGAGAGGTTGCCTAGTTGGAAGTAGAGCACCGCGAATAGAAGTGGCACGAGGCTTGCAACATATAAAGACCTCTGCGCCATGGTGATTTTCTTGAGAGTTCAATTTCAACATGTAGTATGAAAGGAAGAAGGGATGAGATATGGAGTGCGTATCAATGATCGTGTACACTTGTCTCACCTCTTTCTGTCAGATTACGCCCGAAGGTAGCACATTGCGCTGGCATTTAGGCCTCCACGACATAGGTTGTATAATCTCACTCCATAGAGAACCTGTCCAAACAATCAATAGAAAACTACTGCATGCTAAAGTTCAGCCTCGCTGCTGGTGTGAGCGTAGACTTGTCGTCGCATCGCTCTGAGCCAATAAGCAAACCCCGCAACAGATCGTCATCGGTGGGCGTACCGATGCTCCTTAGCTCTTACATTCCTTATCCTAAGGATTGTACGGCCTTTTTCCTACCTAGGTGATAGGTATTCTGGGACGAGTCGCGCCAGGCGTTGCTAGAATCGATGTTGATGTGCATGGCCGCATATAATCTAGGCTATCGGTATTTCCGAGGGCCCAGCCAGAGATGAATGTTCACGAGAGTTTCTCACTTAGGTTGCAACAACGTGCCTTCCTTCCCGACATGTCCGTGCGGTAATGAGGTCACCTATCGCGCGCCTGCCGAGATGCACAGCAAAGTCATCGTCACAAACAGTCACAAACAGTCTCAAAATCTCTCCAATCATACGAATTTGAGTATTTAATTCATGAAATCTAAGCAACGCTATGCATATCTCGTATCGACAGTATTCCCGTTATGGCAAATCAAAATTTACAAACTCGCCCGCTCACCCCCAAGCCTCTTCCCCGTGACCCCCGAAAACCACGCATCCAACGCCTCACACGTTCCCTTCCCTTCCTCTAGCTTAACAACAACACCGACATACCCATCCGGCCTGACAACGACCACACCTCCCCTCTCTTCATCAAGTCCCATCTTAGCGTGCGCCGCAGCCTTCGCATCCGGCACCCTCTGGTCCCAGACATCATCCGCGTAAACGTGATCAGCATAGCGGTTAAACGGCTGAGGCAATTGCTCATCAATATGGATACTTGAGCGCGGCGCCGAGAAGACAAGGGCCAGGGTGAGGAAATCAGTATGTGGGTTGTGGCGTTCGTGGTAACGGTCCTTCTCCTTGAGGTCGCGGTGGAGGAATGTGCTGAAGAAGGACGTTGGGGACGACATCTGCGTCGCTAGATCCTTGAGTGCTGTTGCACTCTTGTCCAAGGTACCGCCGAAGATGAACATACGGTAGGAGCCGTTCATGGGGATTTCCTGTTCCAAGTGTACGACGTTGGCATCTGCGACTCGGGTGACGGTTGCTGGTGTCATGATTCTTCCTGTTCGTTGGGTTGTACCCTTCTCGTAGGATAAGATGAGAGGGTGCTGTGCGGGGTGTTCTGGGCCCCAGTTTACCATGTTGGGTTTATACGCGACGCCGTATCCGCTGGTGAATTCGCAGCTTGCTTTGAACGTCTTGATGAACTCGTTGTCTTCTGCTGCTTCTTTTGTTGATGCACCGGCGACTTCACCAGCTGAGGGTATCCGTGCAGAGAAGAGTTTTGCGTACCGGGCGTCAAAGTCGAGGAGAGTTTCGGCAATGAGTTTACGTTCAGACTCATATGTTGACAGGAGGGAGCGCGGTGCCCAGCCACTCTCTACATGATGAATCTTCCATGCAAAGTTCACTGCATCCAAGAAGGCTGTGTTCATACCCTGGCCGGCCTTGGGGCTGTGTGTGTGGCATGCATCACCACCCATGAAGACGCGCTCGTCGAGTGTGTAGCGTTCAGCAATACCTTGGCCGATCGGATAGACTGAGTACCATTCCACGCGATCCCATGAGATGGTGTATGGTTCGAAGATCTTTTTGGCACGTGCTTGAACTTCTTCTGCGGAGGCAGATTTCCGCGGGTCCCAGTCTTTATCAGTCGAGGATGCGACTTGGATGTACAAGCGGACCATGTTGTTTTCACGTGGGATAATCATAATGGAGCCGTTGTCGGAGTGGATTGTGCATTTCATCTAGGCCGCTGTTAGTACTCAAGCGAGGAAAGAACGTTGAGCAATACATACCTTGATGTCTGGGAAGTTCGTCCTGACTACTCCGTCCATGACACCCCAAACATGCGCAATAGGATCCTTGTAGATCATCTTGACACCCAGTTGATCACGCACAAAACTCCTCGCTCCCTCTCCACTGAACAAGTACTTCGCGCGTACAGTCTCCTCCATTGTACCATCAACATGCGCCAAGCTGACCTCAACAGGATATGTCTGGTCCTTGCCATCGTTCTTGAATCCCTTGATTGTCCAGGGTCTTTGGATGCCATTGCCGTGCTTCTCAATATCTGAAATAAACGTCCGCTCGATCATGCCTTGGTGAAGAAGCGTAGTAAATGGGTACCGCGCATCGATAAACTTAGGACAACTAGCCCAAGTACCTGTCCTGTGGATACCCTTTTGCGCTGGATCCCAAAAAGCCACCTCATAAACCTTCGCAGGTTCATATTCCATAATCTTGCGCTTAAGGCCCATGTTCCGGAGAAGATCCAGAGAACGTGGCTGAATTCCGTCCGCCCGTCCAGTGGCGGTCGGTTCCGGACGATTGTCGATGTGCTTGATCTTGTAACCCCATCTCGCCAGGCACGTTGAGAGACAAAGACCAACGGGTCCCGCGCCAACGATAACGATGTCGTAGTTTTCCACCGCCATTACTATTCCTTCAACCCAGTGAAGTTCTCAAGGAGGATCCAGATGGGATGGGAATGAATCCGGGGATACGGAAAGGCCCCACACTCGATGATCGATTTCAAGGAATACTTTCGCTCGCAGCTACACCGAGATGCTCGTATAGCTCTAGTGGGTAAGGGAAATGGTGAAAAGATGTATAAAAGGTATGAAGTATATTAATCAAACCACCAAAAAGAACGACCCCAGCCGCTCTTTAAGAGACGATCAATAGACGACGCCATCAGTCACGGACCAAGGCTAGTGTCGGCCACCATAGGGCCGTGTGTAGTCATGGCAAGACAACTCGGGAGTGTAATGCGCGCCGGCAACGAAATCGGATGCGAGAGAAGTCCAGGGCCTGGGGACTGGTACATGGTCGTAGCGTGGCCGACAAGCATGCCGTCATGTTGCGGGGAGCGTGACCAGGCGTAGGCGGAACTGCAGCGCGGCATTTTGGTGCCAAGATGGCAGACGCTTCTTCCCCTTTTGAGCACAAATGTGGCTACATGGGGTTTAGTGGACGCGCAGCAGACTCGGAGGAGCGATCCTTGGAGTGATCGTAGGATGACAGACCGCATCGTGAAAAAACTCCACTTTCCGAGTACATTTACCGTGTCTTCTTCCCTTGGGGCTTTTGGTCGTCCGCAGGATTCACGTTTCTTTTTGGTTTTCGTACGAGGTGTTGTGAGCTGCCAATGAGCATGACCGTAGTACGACCGAATGGAGTTCTTGAATAAAGATAAGACAGCACGTGTAAGAAGACTACGCTTGTGATTACCGAAGATGCTTCCCGTGTAGTCTTTGTCGTTGGTATCGTCGCAAGGCATCTTAGCTCCACCTGAGGCCGTGTTACCATTGATGGAACATGATGCACGACTGAATAATGGAATGCGCCGTGAAGAAACTGAAAATGTTCCGTCCAGACATTGAAAACCTGCCGTAGAGATATCGAAATGCTCCGTGAAGATGTTGACTGTAATCTACATAAACGTGTTAAGAAGAATTTTATATTTTCTATGTGTTCAGCGAGTTTTTGGAACAGGACATCATACGAAATGCGAGCTTATTAATAGATCAATACACACATTAAACCTCACCTTTACTCTCATCCAAGATGAACCGAATACATTCATTGTAGTCACTACCATGACGCAAAGCCTAGAGCGACTTGCTCAGGCGAACATAGCCGTGTATCCGTACAGCCGTATATAGAATGCTTATGTATATAACAACCCAGACGCCAGCGCCAGACACACAAGGCCGACTTAGCCTTGTATACGTGTTTGAGGACATACCGCATGAACGCTGAAGCCCAGACACGGCCAAATATGCTGATGATGCAAAGACCGCCAACCCAAAGACTGCATCAAGTCAATCTGTTGACTCCACTCGCTTCAATCGAAGCCAGGTCCTGGTGTTGCCCCGCAAGCTTTTGCAGCATTGTGTGGCAGCCGGCGAGCTCTTGCCGCCTCATCTCTCCCCCAGTAGTATTCGATCCAAGATGAATGGGTATCCTCAAGATACCGTCATGTTACCGAGTTGGGCAGCCATCCTCTCTTCTTCCTTTCGCGCTCTTGCTGCCTCAGTCTCCTTCCTCATGGTCTCTAGGTTCCACTCATCCTCATCACCCTCTTCATCGCTGTCCGCATCGCTGTCTTGTGCCCAGTCGCCCTTCTCAAACATAGCCCTACCAGTAGCCTCCTTCATTTTCTTGGCCTCTTCTTCAGCTTGTTTCTTGTCGACACGTTCCTTCTTCCATTTGGCAAATGTTTCGGGCGTGACGGGTGTGAGCTTGCCGGTGAGCTTGTGGCGTTCGGATTCGAGGAAGTCTTCGAGAGTGAGGGTGTTGAGCGGGGAGTTGGCCATCAAGGCCTTTTCGGCGGCGCGCTGTTCCTTGGTCTTGATGACGAATCTAGAAAATATGTTAGTTTCGATTGCCAGGCGTGAAAATGCCGCGTGGCGGAAAGGGAAAATAAAATAACGTACCCAGGTGGTAGAGAGTGCTTGTACATGCACTTGTCGCCTAAGTCCAAGTCAGCGTATATCTCAAATGCATTTGGTTGTCCAGACTTACCTCCGTTGGGACACACCCAAAACCAACCATACTTCTGGTCCTCAATGGCCTGGATGAAGTACTTGCATACTTTGTCTGTCGTTGTCTTCGGGTTGCCATGCTTGCTCAGAACAACCTGTCGCAACTTGTCTTCATCCCAATCATCCATATTATCCTTCTTTCGTCGTTCCTCCTCCGCCTCCTTATCTTCATCTCTAGTGTCGGTGTACAGACTCCTCTTCTCGGTCTTGCGCTCGATATTCAGGTCATGGCTAAACTTGCACTTCTTGCCCTTTTCGCAGTTTCCTTTCTTGAAAAATTGGCATAGTACGGTCTTGGGATCGGTTCCGAAGGGAACTTTCTGGACTTGTACGGGCTTGAAGAGTTCGGCGGTTTCTTTGCGGGCTTGTTCTGCCGCCGCCTTGTCCTTCTCGCGCTGTGCCTTCTCTGCGGCCTTGCGCTTCTCTTCGGGCGAACCACCTGATGCGGTGGTGGCTTTGATTTGTGCGATCTGTTTCTGGGCGGCTCCTCCCTTCTTGTTTTTCATACCAAAGGTCTTGTCTACGGCGACCTTCTTCACCTTGGGCTGCTCGCCCTTGCCTTTGGGTGGCATCTTGGCTTAGTATGTACGGACGTTGGAGTGACAGTGGGGTGGGATGATTTGGAGTATTCCAAGAATCCGGGCGCCTTGGATGGTCGAATTTGGGTGCCTGGCGGGGGATATGGTACCTGGACTGTGTGTGTCAAAGTGAGAATGACGCTGTGTGGGGTGGAATTTCGAGTGGCGGAGCATGTTGCGCGCTAGAGCCAGCCCTACCTTCGCCGACATTCCCGAAGCTTCAAGGTGGCCTTCACATGAACCCCAATAGTCAATCACTGCGCATCCAATCCAGCCGCGACATTCCCGTCTTTCGACTTGTTCTGTCGCATCTAGCTTCCGTAAGCTCTTGGCAATTGCGTCTTGTCAATTGGCTTTGCTAACAACTCCGCAGCGCACTTGAAGCATTACACCCCATTATCCAGCTACAACCGACGCGCGGTCGCACTCAAGATGATAACCGACAGCCAACTTTACTCGCTCGCCATCTTCCTTGGAAGCGCTGCCATGCTACTTATCGTTCTATACCATTTCCTCGAGGTCAACTCGGACGATCACAAGGTTGAGGAGAAGCCCAAGGCTGCGGCAGGCAAGGTCAAGGCATAAGAGTTGCGCTGTGCATACGCCTTACTGAAGGACACACGGGCAAGGGAATTGTGACATGGGAACGGGCTATGTGAGGGGCCAAGGATACCAGTTGCACATCAGGGAGACATCCGTCAAATGGGAGCATGGAGTTCTGGCGTACGCAACAAGGCGATTTAACCGCTGACGGGTTTCAAGATATTTGAATTGACTATGGCATACCTGGGCGTGGAGACGTGCTTCCAATTACCCCCAGTGCGCCTTGTTCTCGCTATGGGTATACGCGTACTTGTACAAAACTATCAAATGTGAAGTCCTCAGTCCTCGACATCTACCAGCTCCTCTTCTGCCTCATCGCCTTCGAGGAAGCCTCTTCGACGCTTATCGTTCGCCAGCGTTACGCCTCCACGATCCATGCCGGGCCCACCAATACGCTTCTTGAGTGACACAAGTCTGTCATGTGCATCACGGGCTTCTTGCTCCGCTGTACGCTTGGGTGGACGTCCGCGGCCACGACCGCTAAGTGCTTGTGGTGAGATGCTCAATGCTTCTATACGTTCGCGGTCAACAGTGATGCGTGGTGTGACTTGTCGTCCTTGTGCATCGCTGAGACATGCCTCAGAATTATACGAGTCTGCAATTGAGAGTGTTAGATCTTTTCTTCAGTCGCAATCAATTCATCCGACTAATCATCTTCCTTACCAGAGAGACCAGCGACCGGTCCATCACCAAGCTGCCACGATAGCGGACTAATGTGGGCATGCTGTACATGATCGCGCCAGTTGCTCTCTATGTCAAAGGAGTGTGGTTGATGACGTTCGATACTCATGTTGGTCATTGGATCGTAGTTTGTAACCTCCTTTCCGCAATCATCCCATAGGCATTCCAGAGTGTTGCTAGCCGTCGCCTTGCGGTGCACCTTGTAAATATGCTTTTGGAGCGTCTCTAGGTTGTGTAGATCCGCCTTACAGTTATGCCACTTGCATTTATACGATTGGTACTTTGGAAGGCGGTTGGCAACACTTGGCGATCGGAAATTAATACGAACGGGTTCATTGCGCAAAGAGCTTGGTTGAGGTGGCTGATGCTTTTGAGGACCGGTATGACCGTTCAAAGCTGGACGAGATTGCGCAGCAGGCGATCCATGGATTGCTTTCCTCCACCCTACTGGGCGCCCCTTCTTCTTAGGAAGTGGTTTACCGTCAGGTCCGTACTCTATGGCAGATCGGAACGCTTGATAGCCAACTCCAGCGGCACCAGAAGTAGGACGAGGAACACTTGAACTCATGGAAGCGGGATTGCTCGGACGCTTGGGTGTCGCTGGTACACCGTTGGGGAAGGAGTGTCGAGGAGGACGACCGCGGCGCTTCTGCTTGAATGGATTGATAGCTTCAGGTAGAGCTTGGACCTTGTGAGCCCCACCTTCACCGCCAATCGCGTTCGGCGGAGCGCGGGGACGCGTTTCGCTCTCATCGTCTGAATCATCCTCCTCCTCCTCGTCTGCATTCTCAGTCAGGGCTTGAACGCCATCTTTGAAATAGCCGGGCGGCGGTCTTCCAGGATCGATCAAGTCCCACCTAATAGTGCTGAGATCTGAGTCCCACCCTATCTGTGGTAGTGTTGTCCTTAGTCCATCTAGATGTTGGTTCAAGCTGCGCTCTGATGGATGCCGTCCACAAGCGAGGAGCACATCTCGTGCTATTGTCGCAGGGTTGTAAGTATTGCGACGAAGGGCTTTCTTCTTGTCCAGTGGTTCAACATAAGATTGATATCGAAGTTCGCTAGGCGGCTGTATCGGCTGAGGTGCAGACATTTGTGACTGATACGAAAGAGTATTTGCAATGGGAAAGTTTGGAGTCAAAGGTTCTTCATCGACGACCATTGCATCTTGTACATGCGGGTATGGAGATGTGTACAGGTCTGCATTCATCCTCTTTCGCGGTGGCCCCGTGTCCTCTTCTTTTGGAAGTTGAGTCAAGTCGATCAGATCATCTAGATTGCGCTTACGGGCTGCCTCTTCCTTGTTTGCTGGCTTCCTCAGCTCAGATTTGATGGGAACCATCTCGGCGACGGATGCAGGTACAGGTGCAGGTGCGGGCGACGCGCTGCCTGGGAATGATGGGTAAGAGTTTCTGTTTGCTGGCGAGGCAGCTGCGGGTTCGTATTGCGGGCTTGGCACAACAGAAGTCGCGACTTCCTTCTTCATGACGGCAGGTGGGACCGGTGGTCTCTGGATAGGAACTAGTCCAGGCTGTACAGATTTACGAGGTGTTGAATTCACGTCTGGTACTGCTGTAAGTAAGCTCTTCGCGAACACAGCTCGGTCCAGCTTTAGACCCATCTTTTCCAGTAGTTCGCATAGCTCAACGTAAGAAGGATTGCTGTTCAGCAGGCTCAATATCTGGCCAGGCTCAACTTTCTGAACATCGTTTTGACCGTTGAGATATGCTGCTGCTGCGCTTGCCAGATGCGCCTGCTTCTCGGGCGGCCAAACAGTGTTGCCCGTGAATCGAGTGGCATTCTCGTTTGGCTGTGCTTGTCTTACAGGGAAAGATTGAGGTACGACGGGAGTTGTTGGCTTTGGAACATTCGTGTCCGTTGCTTGCTTGGGTGTGGCCTTCTTTTTCGAGTTCGTAGCTTGCGGCGTGGTGGTTTGGACAGACTGTGCCGGTTGCGGAGCGGCAAATTGAGAGGCCGGGTTGTTTTGCGTGGTGGGAAGTTCAGGCACTTTCGCCCTACGTTCTTCTTCCCAGATTCGTGCTAGAAGTGCCGGGTCTTTGCTATTCAGCTCTCTCATCTTAGCCATCATGGCTCGAATCTCACTCTCCAACGCTTCAGCAGGACCATCGGAACTGCTGGAGGCTGCAGGGACCGCTTCCGGCGTGCTCGCTTGCTGTTTTTGACCCTTCTTTTCGTTCGACTTTGGCTGTGACTGGCGAAGTCTACTCTCCTCTTCTTCCTGTCGCTTACATTCCTCCTCTCTCTTCTGCTCCTCTACTTTGCGCGCCTCCTCTGCGACCCTCTCTTCTTCTGCGTGCGCTGCATCTTCAGTCGCCTTTTGTGCGGCCTGCTTTCGCTGGTATTCCGGCCATGGGTCGTAGACTGCCATTGGATCTACTGTAGTAGTACTCTGAGCACTGTATGTACCTGCCATGTTGGTAGACGGCGCCGGTGTCGGAGGGGCAACCGCAGGAAGTATTTGCCCGTTCCCGTAGTTATAGACTGTCGATGATGTGGCGTTCAGAGAGTTACGCAAGGCTTCTACGCTAGGAAGCTGTCGAGGATTGTAATCGCCATACTGCTGGTTCGTCGTAGTAGTCATATCCGCGCTTTGCACATTACTGACAGGTGCGTTATTGTGCTGAGGTTGAGCTGGACTGGTAAAGCGCTGTTGTTGCTGGTTGTATAGTGTCTGGGTTCTCTGCGAAGGGTAATCTGCCACTATAGCTGGCGATGGCAGGTCCTGACTTGCCGGCTGTGTGCGGTTGTTGTTGACACTGCGTGGACGCGCTTGCAATTGTCCACGGACAGCATGGGGCTGTTGCGCCTGCACTTGAGGTGAATGCGAACTGCCGGCAGCATAGCGACTGGAGTGCGAAGAGGTGATGTTGGGCACAGAGAAGCCGGACTGAGTGTTCGTGGGTGCGGTATTGTTCGTATACGACGTTGAGTTGCTCATATTACGTAGGACTTCGGCAGCGCCTCTAGTTGTCTCTGGTGTCTCTCCATAGTTGCTACTACTCCACGAGTTATCTTGTGCTGTTCCATAGCCACTGTCCTGGTTCGCGTACGATTGTAGTTGGTAGGACGTGTAGTCCTGGGCCTGAGCTGTCGGTGGCTGTTGGTATTGGCGGGACGATTGCGCAGCATTATTCGCGGCGGATGCTGTCCGATATGCTGAGTACTGTTGCGCCGAGGTTTGTTGATACGGGTAGCTGTACGCGTTGTAGTTATTCGAGGACATAGCAGCGTCTGCCTAGAAGCCAGGAAGCCCTTCCGGAGCCTTTATACGGGTGGGGTCGGACAACTGCATGGAGACCATGGTTCGCGTGAAGGAGGGGGAGACGTCGTGAGTGGGGTGTCAAGTCAGTGTAAATGTAATTTCAACGCAGCACTCTGGTATCTGCCGCCTCGATTGCACGACTATGCGCAATGTATGCATCGGTCGAAAGTGCAGGTTTACTGCGACGCGTGCTGGAAGTGCATGCGACGTCTTGGCGAATGCGCTCAATGATGCGGACGCGACTTGCAGGGCCGGACTTTTCGGAAACGGCGAAACGGTTCCTCCGATGGCGCTAGCGAAGCGAACCTGCCCCAGCAAAGGCACATCTCACGACTCCAATTTTGCGATCGCGACACGAACTTTGTCTACTAACCCGACAACCCGCCAATTCCACAGCAAAAATGACCAAGGTCCAGTCAATGGTCGCGAGCTCTCGCCGCAAATCGCGAAAGGCACACTTCAGTGCGCCGAGTAGTGTGCGTCGGGTCATCATGAGCGTATGAAGAGACTTGGAACATTGCAGGAGACATGTTCTAACAACCTTCAGGCGCCTTTGAGTAAGGAGCTCCGCGAGAAGCACGGAGTGCGCAGCATTCCCATCCGCAAGGATGTAAGTATTCTGGATTTTCTCTCCAGTACTGTCGCATGCTGACTTTTTCTAGGACGAGATCACTGTTGTCCGCGGATCCAACAAGGGACGTGAGGGCAAGGTCACCTCCGTCTACCGCCTCAAGTACTGCATCCACGTCAACGGCAGTGCGTAGCCCTTCACCTTGACACATAGACAGGTATACTAAGCCACAACACAGTCGTCCGCGAGAAGAGCAACGGCCAGTCCGTCCCCATCCCCATCGCTCCCTCCAAGGTCGTCGTCACCAAGCTCAAGCTCGACAAGGACCGTGAGCAAATCCTGGAGCGCAAGAGCGCCGGTCGCGAGGAGAAGAAGAAGCAGAGGGAGGCATAAGCGCATTGTCCTTTTCTTCGGTTGACGACACACCACGGCGATGAGGGACATCGACACGAGCATCCCCATCTGTAGTGGATGAAATGCATATCATGGGTTCACGGTCTGGGCATGCGATGCACGCATGGAAAAGCAGGGCGTTATACCGGCTTCTAGCTCGAACAATGGACTTGCCGTCATGCGGCCCCGTCGAGATTTTCTGTTCGAAATGATACCACGATGGATTGGAGTTTGGCAACGAATGAGATTTGTTACTCCAGCCGTCGCCGTGATACCACACGTGAAGTTTCCTCTGCCCACGCTAGAATATCTACTCACCAACCGACTTAATGGTTGAAGTGAGCTATACGACTAGCGGAGAATAATGCCAGACGACAATAGTCGTTGCTCGCCTGCAGACCGTCTTCGAGATTTTTCGATGAAGGAGATGGTTTGACGCTGAGACACATTCCCATGATCACACAACCAGTTTTTGTATATGATGCAGTATGACTACAGTATCGACTGGAAGGCTTTGATCAAATTGGAGCGATGCTTGATTAGCAACAGCATTCCGCTCGACTGCGATGCATCTGTGATGATATCTCGTATGACCATACCTACGGGTCCGCGACCTTTGAGATCCCGATTCCCCGGTTATCGGAACACTCTGGATATTCAATCACGATTGTTGGATTGTTTTCACAAGAGCTAATGTAAGCTCTCGTCCCACGTCCTGGAGAAACTCCACTATACGAACCACTATGTAACAATACAATCCATCTGCTTCATTCCAGTCCTTATTGGCCCAATCTTTTCGTACTTCTTCTCTCTCAAGTTGCAACGTAGCTTGACCCAGTTCTGGCTCCTCCACTAACTCCTTCGTACCATCCATCGACATGCTTAGTGTTTCCGAACGACCCGTGATGGTGGTGGTGGGGGCGTTGCTCATATTTTGCTAGTACATGTAGGCTACTGTTTCGGCTACTGCATATTGCCACATGCTGTGGTGTATTTACTGGGCGTTGATGCGAAGGATTCCCAAGGAGAGGGGGTCAACATCCACAGAAACTAATCGATAAGACGGTGTTGAATTCGTGTTTGAGGTTACAGACTACTGCGAGAGGCGGGGGCGAATCGGAGGTCGTGGAACGGGACGACAGATATCGTACTAACTAACGGTGGCTGAGGGCCAGATGGAAATGGTGGACGGACTAGAAGAGGTGGGGAAGCTGTAGACGAGAGTTGCATACTACGGAGTAGGTCCGCTTTGAGAGCCGCGTTCATCGTGGTTGGATACTTGTTCGAGCATTTTCCGTATTACACAACGTTAAGCTACTAATTCAAGATTTGGGCACATGCTTGAATTGAGACTATTCGTAATGATTCGTAAATGTACGATGAACGCATTGACAGCATTCTATGTTTGGATACGAAGACTAGCTACACGATATGGATGATGTTCGTATTGGACAGCGATACTGCCTGAACTGAATATAGTCACATCTCACGATATGGTCTATGTCGTGTTGCGAATTAGAATAGGAATAGCATGGATAGTGATTTTCTTTTCTGTCTAGAGCTCGAGGCGATAAGTGTACCAGCAGTATTCTCTGGTTGCGTATTAGACACAAAGCAAAAAGATATCATTACTGTTTGGTCTCCAAATTCCGTCCCCAGGCATTAGAGGCATAGGGGGGGTTGATAAATATAATCAGAGGTAAAGAGTATGCATGTCAGGTCAGCATCGACTGCGGCGCGGTACGCAAATCTCACATCTCTTACGAATCTGACATATCGTAGATCTTATCGCTGGCGAATATGGATGGCGCTGATGTCTCATGCGCAAATGCATGTACAATGTGAGCGCGGCATCCCCGAACAGCTAATCATGAAGCAGCCCTGGTTGCGTGTAAATGCCGGGGGGCATAGTGTGCAACACGGCACTTTGATCGCGTGCATGGTTGACCAGTAACGCATAGAGAGTAATGGTTATTACGGTTTATATGATGAGACCACTTCACAATCGAGATATGTTGATTAACTGGCATACATGTGACGGTGTGCAATGAGGACTGTGATTCATGATGAATGAATGGAGTAGATGCCCTCGCAGATTCCACAATGCAATGAGTGTAACGCAGTAATGAGGTCTGCGATGAGAATACGAGATTAGCGGCGATGACGGTTTCTCGCTGGACCAATTCGTTTGAATAAGTAACCTTCGCTAAGAAACGAAACGTATCCGAGTCTGGAGTGAACGCTGCGGTCCGCGACTTTGCTTGTTCCCACACGGGTCTTAACGTCTCGATGCTTTTTGGTATGGTCCGACATGACGGGTGTGACAGCTGCAAGTGCCGTTTACTCCAATCTCCAATGCATGAGCATCTGCGCACGCATGACATTCGATAGAAGACTTGATGCTCGGACACGTATGTTTCCCCAGACCTAAGTACGCATGACGAAACATGCCGTCTTAGTTGAGTGAAAGAGAACGAATTAGCAGGCATACCACTGCGAAACAGAATGTCGCGTGTTGGCAGCGGAGACATTGTTTCGCATAGCGAACATGTGGGTAGGGACAAGCCGTCTTGCTCAAACACTCCGGATCCCGTTGACCCTGTAGACTTTCTCTCGAAGCCCAAAGCCTAAGGATAGACTCACAAAAAAAGTCTAGACAGTGTCTCGAGGCCGAGTAACGTGGCAAAAGTAAGATCTAGGATCTGATTCAAATCTTGTCACTCACTGTATGGGACCGGGAGTGCCTAGTGTGTCGGTAGCTGCCAGAGAGTTGTTTTGTCGTCAGTTTATGAGCCTGAAGGAATGTCGTTTGCAGCTTGCATGAAATTGATGACGGCCAACTGCATCCGAGTACGCAGCCGGATATTCGTGTCCCAATTCAGTGTTGTTGGCGGGGTAGGCAGCCGAATGGTTAAATAAGGATGTGCACTGTGCCACCACCGTGGTCACGGTTAAGGTTGGCTGCATGCAGGGCGATTTTAGCAACACTCAAAGATTCCGTGATCGCTAGTGATCTCATAGACAGCAATAGATCGTGATGTAGAAGCCTTCGTGATACGCTTGCGTCGTAAAGCGCGTGGTTAGCAGCTGGCGTGTTTTTAGCTGAGTCAGGTCATGCACAGCCATGAGAAGGGCCGTGGATTCTGTTTCAGGTGTCCGCTAGAGGGTCTTTCGTATCCCTCCACCCGTCACGAAGCCGCCCACTTGAGCGCGCGCCTCTCATACTTTTTATTGCCATCATGCCATCACACTCAATAATCTCGAATCGCTGATACGGAGATGTGATGAAGGTGTGACGATGGTGGGCGATAGTAGCAAACAGCGACTCGTCGTGCGTGAACCCCACAAGCAGCTAGGAGCGAGCACAAAGTGCATAGCATGCCCAGCGCCGCCAAACTGTTCGCCATAGCTTCTGGGGACATTGTCCGAACGCGCACTATCTACAGGTACTACTATGTGTGCATGCATATACGGCTGCACACGTTTTTAGGCATACGAGTGCCAACCATGAGGTCGAGTCTTCGGAATCTTTTTCAAGTCTCTCTACTCCGGAGCATATCATCCCATCACGGATTGGCGTGCGACAGGCGAGCAGAAACGGGCAAGGAGAGAGGCGGCATGTCTTGATTCGTGAGGTGGTCGTAGGAGCGGAAATGATCAGAATCCTTGTTAAGGAAGTTTCATGCGCGAAGAGCGTGGGATTGGGATGCACAGCGAACGACAAGATCGGCACAGCAGCAGTAAATGTCGAAGCCGAGTTGATGCCATCATTTCGTCGCCAGCCATAGACCGGCGCTCAATGGCGTCGGGCACTGCTGGCCGTTGACCCCGCAACTCTCAACATCCTCACGGTGCAGATTCTGCTGGTGCTGCAGTGGCACAGAAACTCAGGGCCATGTTCCGACACTGGGGCTGTTTCTTCGCTGCAAGCATGTCTCTTGGCTAAAATGGACGCTAAATACTCTTGGTTAAGGCCAGGGGGACTGGCGAATAACGACGACAGCTGCGGGACGTCATTGGTTTGTCTCACCATTTACCCCTGACAGTCTTCGTGTGCATGGCCACACCCTCGCTCGTGCCGTCGCCGCTTAGGCCATTTGGGAGATGCCCAAGCCCACCAGAGTGCTGCCCTTGCGCGACCGTGAGCGCGAACGGACCCTCTCAGCGGCCGGTTGGACGTCTCCCTCTCGCTCAGGCTCACCTGTCTCTCCCCAGCTTCAGCCTCCGTGTGCCTGAACAGCCTCACCTAGACGGCTTTCCATCTCGACTCCCGCACACCGCTGAGCTGTGCTGCCTCTCATTTCGCCATACCCTTCGTACACCTCTACGCCTCTTTGAGAGAGGGTTGCCCTGTCGCTCCCTGTGCACTCGTCGAACCGTTCTATCATCGTCTACCGCCAAATCAAACATACTGTCGCGCTCGGTCTCGACATCTGTCTTGGATTCGAGTACGTTCGATACGATCATTACTTGCTGGACCATACTGACGCTGTATTGCGCTACAGCCGATCTTACCATTGTCACTACGAGCGAATTGTATCCTTCAATCGTCGCATTCGCCTTGCCATACGCGGTCGACCCCAACCTCCATATTCGGACTACTAATAATCCTTGGACCTTACACCTAGTCATGCGAAGTCGAGTGGAATCATAATCAGTCTATTGCTTTACCTCTTAAGTCGAGAATTAACTCACATCACGTTCGCTATACTACCGGATCTATCATACGATCAACACCATCATGTCGCTTCCGAAGCCTGTATACCCGCTGAGTGGGCACTGCTCAATCATCCACGAGAAAACGCTTTACGTATATTCGCCATCTGGATTCCAATCGTTGAAGCTTGAAGAGGGGGCAGAATGGAAGGCGTTACCTATGGACATCTCGCTTACCGGGGCGCAATGCGTGAAGGCAGCACCCAAGGGAGATGCCCAGGACGCTAAGCTGTTCATTGTTGGAGGTCGGGTCAACGAGACAGCCTCGACGTGGAATTACCCAGGACTGATGCATTACACATTCTCCAAGAAGAAGTGGGATTGGCAACGGTCCGAGAGCTGGAACACACAAAATCGCGTAAACCATGCAGCTGTCTACCTCGAAGACTCAAAAGAGATTCTCGTCTACTCCGGCTCGCAAACGGACGGGGACAACGGTCCATCATCGGAATCGTTCGTCTTCGCCACTGTCGAACCCTACTACGTATCAAGCATGCCGTCGGCCGGCGCGCCGCCTTCCGTGAATCCCATGCTGATGAACTCGGATGCGAACACTGCACTGTTAGTTGGTGGTGGCGCTACCAACACGGCGGTATGGAAGTACAACAAGGCATCAGGATGGCAAGATCTTGGAGTAACCCTCGAACAACCCATCGTGAATGAGGATGCTGTCAAATGCTCGGTAGTCACCAGCAAAGACGATAAGAGGGTTGCTCTGCAGAAGTTCGACATGAGTGTAACACCAAACGCTGTCGAACGAATCCTACTGTTGAACAAGGATGGATCACCTGCAGCCCCGGGAACTGTCGTTGGAAAGAAGGGGGACAAGGTGAAGCGAGTAACCTTGGACGACTGGTCGTCGTATAACGAGACATACGCACCAGAATCAACACGAACTGGCTACTCATTAGCACAAGGAGAGGATGGCACTACCGTCGCAAGCGGAGGTAATGCCAACGAACCCATCGCTCTCTTCAACGCGCAGGAGAACTCATGGATGAATGCGACAGCGTTGTTTGCTGGACAAGACGTCCTGGTAAACTCGGTATCCTCTTCCAGTGCGTCATCGACACCAACCTCGACAGCGTCTGTATCAGCTACACCAAGTGCTAGTACCACGGGGGAAGCTGCCGCACCCACGGGTCCTCCTAGCAACAAGGGCAAGATGCTGACTGTGCTCGGAGCCACACTGGGTACCATCTTTGGCATTGCTTTCATCCTAATCCTGATCTTGTTCTGTCTCAAGTACAGGAAGAACAAGAGCAAGCAGGCTCCAGGTTACGTTGAGAAGAACGACCGCATGAGCTTTGCCGACCGTGGCGCTGCTTTCATGAAGGAGGCCGGTGGATCCGTTGTGACTTACCAGCCGAAACACAACAACGACTCACTCACATCGCTTGCCATCATCCAAGGACGAGGTGGTGGCCACAAGAAGAACGTCGCGAGTGACGCCAGCACAGCCGGACTCGTCAAGAAGAGCAGCCCACTAGGGTACTCTGAAGGCTACAATGAGCCCTACGAGCTTGCCAAGTTCGACCTGAAGCCGGAGCCTGTTGAGCCCATGGTTCGCCAGAACTCTAGTCGCAATGCTAAGCCCGCACAAAGAGCTCGCAGCTCAGGCTGGAGTAGGTACTTCGCGAACAACGAAGCCACAAACCTTGCTAGTGCACCACCTGCTGACCGATCGACTTTCGCGTCTGATCGAACAAGCACTGCCAGTCAGTCACAGTACACCAATTCACGCATGTACAGCTCACGACCATCACAACACATTGCTCCACTGGAGATTCCCAAGTTCAACGACGGGCAACGTCTGAGTCGAGTGGCTAGTGGAAGTCCAACGCTTGGAACACCCACCAGCGGCCTACCACATCAAGTTCAGCCCATGCAAGCGGAGCTCGCCCGCGCGAACTCAAACGCCAGCTCGATATCCGCTCTCAGCCACGACGATCGTCACTATCTACGCCAACCCGTGGAAAGCTGGACCCCAGTAGGCGATGACCGACGAACTAGCAGTCAGTACACTGGTAGCATGGTCATCGATTCCAACAAGTTCGATGGCACTAGCTCATACTACCCCGACGGTACTGAGTCATTCTATCCCAAGAGCAACTTCAGCTCCTTCTATCCTGGACAAGGTGACAACTCACCAACCGTTCCTGACATGCGAGACAGCACGTTCACCATGTTCCCAACTGGTAACGCACCTTCTGCACCTTTCGCACCAAAAGATGAACTACCCAAGAGCAAGTTCAGCTCAATGTATCCCTCACCGCCACGTCTCGGTCTGCCGCAAGATCGTGAGAGCACTGCAACAGTGTTCCCAGGCGGACCAGGTGGAGCGCATGGAGGACAGGTTGAGGCGGCGATGCCGAGCCCCAAGTTCAACTCCTTCTACCCACCACCACGAGTTGGACACGAGAGCTCAGCAACCTTATTTCCGGGCCCTGGCCCCAATCAACCCAACGGGAAAGAGCAATCCGACATGTCATGGCTGAACCTCGGTCAAAGTCGATAAAGCTCTTCAGCTGAACTTAGCCCGTCATCACGCCTATAATGAGCCCATGCTCCAAACAATCCTTAGCCACCCTCATCTCCACATACACATCCTCATCCTCTCGAAAAGTAGCATCTTTCCAGCGAACGCATCACTCTGTACAGCAGATCTTTCTTTCTCGAGCATAGCATTCATCAGCGCCGGGCGTCTTTTCCCCCCCAATCCCTTATTACCAATCAACGAAGCGTTGTCGAGCTTCGCATTCAGTCGCTACAGATACCCGACGCCAACCTCACCACAGCGCGTCAACACCCTCACCCACCAACCTCGCCGATCACCACCTTCTCTCCTCTCGAAACGGAAGAGTCTCAGCTGTAAATAGAATACTCTTACCCCACAAACACCTTTCTTTTCTCTTACACTCTTTTCTTTTCCCTCGTTTCCTGATATCTCGTTTTACTTTTCAACTTGGTCTGTGTCCAAAGTTACCTTTGGAATGCAGCATCGTGTTGATGTTGTTGTTATTGTTGTTGGCTGTTGTGTTGTCGTCGATCTACGGATCCGGATATCTTTGTTTTTCTACAATGGCGTCGTCGTGCAAGATGGAAAGATCTCATCCTGTCTTGTTCTCTGTTGTGAGTCGATCGAGTGTGAGTGAGTTGGGAAGGAAGTAGGTTAGCTTGACCCGGATGTTCGGGACGCAGTGGGAGGGTTACGTCTATTGTTGACGTAGTGGAGGACTGGAGAATTGGATCGGACGTTAATACTTTAATGAAAGAAGCGAGTGTCGTACCAGACTATCATTTCTGGATTTGTGACGTTCTGTTTCGATGTAGTGATACACTTTTGCTAAACATAGCTCATGTGCAATAGTTCGTTTCAAGCGTATTGTCAACTAAAAGCATGCACGGCATAGTGACCATTCTCGAATGTTCCATTCGGCAAAACAAAGTTGTCTAATGAACATGTCCACGTGGAATAACACAGACCACGAGCTCTTTACCACTACGCCTAAAAAAAGGTACAGGATTGAACCATTCATATTGAACCCTACCATCGTCTTTCAGAACTGCGTGTCTAAAAGTCTATCGTCGAACGAAACTAACGTCCGCATTAAACGTAATACTCTCCCCAACGCCTTGAGGATGCCACATCTTCTCATCCCATCCCATCCCATCTTCACATCTCACCCAACCTAATTAACAACCCTCCTCATCTGCGCTGCTTGCCTCGGCTCGATAAACAATGCCTCTGCTTCCGTTAAAACAATCGGTTCCTTCCCCTCACTTCCAATCGTCTCCAACCGCCCCTTAACCCACGCCTTCCTTCCATCAACCTTTGTCGTCTCAGCCCTCAGTACCACAATCTGGCCCGCCATACACGGAGCCTTGTACGTAATGTTTAAACTGGCTGTAACACCCACTTTGTTCGGTAGAGCGGGGAAACAGCATCGAGCTAGTCCTTCGTCGAGGAGTGTGGCCAGGAGACCCCCGTGAACGATTCCAGGGTGTCCACATAGTGCTTCACCAAGGTATTGAAGAGAAACGAAGGTAGTTCCATCCGCGGTGCTGAATTGCAGTGGTGGGACAGCAATCTTATCGGGGCCGAGTAGGGTACCGCCTGTTAAGTTTTGCGCTCGCAGACCCTCTGGAATCTTGAGGTGGGGGCGCGAAGGGGTGTATTTGGGGTTTTCCAGCAGAGACTTTGTAATCGGGTGCTCGAATATGCTTCGTTCTATCTCGGCGACTTGTTCGGTTGAAGGGACGAACATCTCTAGTGTTTCGGCATCGGTGGGTGGGTTCGCGAGGTCCTGGAGGGACTCGATTGCGGGGGCGCCGGCCATGATGAAGCCGCCTGTGAAGGTGAGGAGTGTGAGGGCGAGGGCGATAGGGAGGCGGATGTATATGGGGCGTTTAGCCTTCTGCGTATCTGAAGCGGGTGGTGGTGATGGTGGTAGTGGCGGCGGTGCTGTATGTGCTGCAGTCTGCGATTCTGCTACAAAAATGTTAGTTTCGATATTTCTTCCTCGAATCTTCTACAATGGCAGCAGGGATGATCGATCCAAAGCCAATTGAAGAATAGGAAGACTTACAAACAGTACTCTGCCACCTAACAATCCTTCTATCTGTACCACGGCCTGCCCAGGGCCTCCCACCTTTTATACAACACCGGCCGACTTCGCACGCCGGGGCCAAAGCCCTTCGACCCCCGGGTCCCATTCCCAGACTCCGACCCACATGCCCAGATAAGGCAGACCTTGCGGATATCATAGTTACGTGAATCGCGGCGCCTAGAAGCAGAGACTTTTCCTTAGCTAGAAGTCCGTGAGCGTTGGTGACATCGGAGGTTCCGCGCTTGAGCTCGGGCTCTTCAGAACTGAAATGCCTCGGTTCAAGGGACGCGAGTTGTTGGTTAGGGGAAATTTGGCTTGACGGCAGCCAAGATAGGTACTATTGATAATTTTTGTAGTCGGATATGATTCTTGATGCGTAGTTCGGCCGATGATGAAATGATTTGAGGCTTGGGTTTGTGGCGTAGGTGCGTCTCCCCTTTTAATTGAACGGATTATCGTCGATGCCCACCTACGTATGCTGCCAAGTCAAGAAAACCTCGCCCTAGAATTAGAAGATTATCGAATAGAAGAACGAAATAGTCTAGGAGCATGCGCAGTGTGTGAATGAGGTTTAAATCCTCTCGATTCTGTCTTCAGGAAACTTATTCCTCATGCTTTACACGTGGTATTTCCACTCCACCAATCCATCAAGTCATCATACTATACATACAGAGTAGAGAAGTGTGTCATGTAAAACGCCATGCTCATCTACAGCGTCCGTCTCTCCACTTCCATGACCCAGGTGACGAAACAAAATTACCCCATATAGAGGTCAGGGACTATAGTAAAACACAACAATAGCCGTATCTTTTTAGACGCCAAAGATGCCGGAAGAACATGACCACCAACATTAATATGCGGGCGAAGAGATGGTGTAATCGTACAGGGTAGGACGCAGGTTGAAGGAAAAGGGGATAAGTTGGCGACTCGCTCAGTAATAGTCTCTGGCACTCTTCTGCAGCTCGATCAATCTCCATCCTCTTGTCTCGGGGTTGTTAACATCTTCTGGTATCCTTGTGACACCAATAGCGTATGTAACTTGCTGGACCTTGTCGTCCATGCCCGATGCTAGTTCTCCAGACTTGGCGTTGCGGTATACGTGCACTTCTTGGGTTCTGCAGGTAAGGATAAAGACAGGAATCTCTCCTGGCTCTAGCAATTTCGCGTTCAGAACATCGACACCGCGAATGTCGACAATCTTTCCATCAGACTTCAGACCAGCAGCTTGATATTGTTGCATCAGCGCTGCGTATACTGAGTACTGTGCTGCGGACAACCACTCTTTCAAAACGGCAACATCGCCCTTGACGTATGCGTCCAGGACTTCTGGGAGGATGTACTCGCGCATCTCGGTCAGGAAGGGTTCCATTTGAAAGTTGGGGTCCATTTCCCTGAACCTCTTGATGACCATGGCCGTCTCGTTCTCGGCGAAGAAGCCAGTAATGCGGTCGGTGATACTGCGGGCGGTTTCGATGATGGCGTTGTCGGACTCCCTGTAGACGGTCTTCATGTTGAAGACGCCTTGAGCGAGCTTGGAGTTGTCCTTCCATTCTCTCCAGACTTCCTTGTACTTGGCGTCCTTATGGAGAGTGACGTTTGTACCAGCACTGCTAATTGTTAGTCAAGATTCTTAAACTGCTGGGGAAAGTCTTACTTTGGGTCTTCCTCCATGGGACCCAGGCTCCTGCCGCCAGTTCGCTGGAGTTCGTTGAGTTCACGCAACTCACGCCTCTTCCTGCGCTCTTCCTTTTCAACCCAGCCACCGTATCTTGACGAGCTACCGTCATCGATGGTCTCCTTCACAGCCTGGAAAGCCTTGGTCTGTCGCACTGGTCGAGTTGCATATTCGAGCCCACTTCCAGTAACCCTCGCAGCAGCACGAACACCCTTGACCGGCATAGTATCCCATGTCCACGCCGCACCATGACCAACAGCTGACGCTGTCGCCTTCAATGCCTCGGTAGTCTTTGTCTTGGCAGCTTCAGAGATCTGTCCAGCTTTCTGAACATTTGGATTTTGCTGGAAGTCATGTAGTGCACCACCCAACTGCTTTGTGCCCTCATTCCAGTCTTTCGACGCCTGGAACTCCTGCTTCAAAGTCTCAGTGAAGACTTGCCATGGTGTCTTGTCACCGTGGGGTGGAGGTGGGGGCGCGTCCTTTTTTTCTTTCTTCTGACCCTCTTCACCCTCTTTCTGTTCACCAGATTCCTCCTCTCCTTCCTTCTTCTCTTTGGCTTCCTCGCCCTCTTTCTTTGCTTGGTCGCCTGCAGCCTGCTCTGCCGTGCTACCATCGGGGTTTGTAGACTTGGTGGTCTGAGGCTCTTCGTCCTTTACATCTTTTGTCTTTTGCGCTTGCTCGTATAGTGCGGGGCGAGAAGAGAAGTGGCGGGCGTATGCGGAGGATGTGCGGAAGAGGACATCTTGAGGCAAGAATTCGCTGCGGAGAAAGCGTTGGGAGCAAGGTGTAGGTGTAGAGGGCAGCAACGTGCGTGCGGAGGAAACTTGCGAAGCTCTTGGCAGTGTCGATATCCGCCTATACGCTGCAGCTCTTCCATAGGCACTTGCGGGTGTAGCAGCGGCGGGTTGTATGCTCCATCGCGCAGTGGCGGCAAATGTGTTTGCTGTTTGGGGCCTCATGCTCTGGAATTGAACACAATGGAACCTAATATTAAGTTGAAGTATAACCGGCCCAGAGAGAATATGTTCAGAAGATGGGCGCGGCAAATGGTGGGTGACGGACGTCAGTTTCGGCATCGCCATCTTTTTCCGCGGTAGTGCCAAGCTCGCAACTTTCTTCGACCTTCTAGCAAGTCACTGCATCCGCGAACCTCAATCGGGGCATCTACCGCCTTCAACATGGCCAGCAACACACCCTTACGGACGTTCCGGTCGCTCACATCCGCAATTCGCGCATCATGTCGGCACACGCAACCTCTGCGACCCTTCTCCCACAGCACACGAGATCTCAATGCAGCGCCTACCGACCGCAATAAGCCTCCTTCGTCAATGGACAGCCTCCTCAGTAACGTAGATAGCAACTTCCGTAATGCGGGTCCCGATCACTTCAAAAACATGATACCCAATGCCGACGGAACCTCTTTCCAGAACCTTGCGCCGCGCGAGTGGGACGAGGATGACAAGCACAAATTGCACGTTTACGCCACCAAGCACAACACACATCTGTGTCTTACGCAGCCAAATCGCAACCCTTTGATCTCGGTATCATGCGGAAACATTGGTTTCCGGAAAGCGGGGCGCGGAACATACGATGCGGCCTATCAACTGGCAGCTTTCCTCATGAACCGGATCCAGGACAAGGGCTTACTGCCGCAGATTCAGAAGTTGGAGTTGATCTACAGAGGGTTTGGGCCAGGCAGGGAGGCAGTCACAAAGGCTATACTGGGCTCTGAAGGAAAGAGGATACGGCCGTTGATTGTCAAACTGGCCGACTCTACAAGGTTGAAGTTTGGTGGTGTAAGAAGCAAGAAGCCAAGGAGACTGGGTTAGAGACTGGTTCTCGTGGATGTGATTGGGGAGAAAGCAGACAATGTGTACGATGACAGCGGGCCGTCACTGGGCGTCTAGGGGTATAGGCCTTCAGTACTCAAAAGCATGCATCACGAAGAGCAGTGTATAGTAACCAAGGCAAATCAGACCAATCTGAGAGTCATGTCAGATTTTTTGGCAATGGTGCCCTTTCAGCGGGTGGAATAGGCCGACCACTAGAATCCGTTTCTGCGATGTTGACAAGCCTGGGTGCAAGATTTCCAACCTCATACCTAATAGGCCCTCTTGCGCCTCCTTGATCACTACGACTACTTCCAGCAGAATAGCTCGCGTTCTCCCAACCCCTTGCCTCTTCAGCTGTCCGATGGCGTTCTCGTTCTCGATCGTGTCGCAGCATAGACGCTCCTTCGTCTTCGAACTCCTCGTCAAGCAACTCTCCATCAGCAGTATCATAATCCGGTGGCGCTATCCATTCCCGTGGTACAACGCATGGTAGAGCGACGCCAATGCTAGCGGCACGATTCAGATAGCCTGGAGCTGGGCGACCGGTGAGCTTCTCGCAAAGGTAGGACGTAAAGTGGTTGCAGTTCTTCGTGAGGAGGTTATACGACGTTCCTTGGAACTCGTGTGATGCCTGTAACAAGTTAGCCATGTCTCTAGATACACATGTTGCCGCATACCTCTTGTATGATAGCCTCTAGCTCTTCGTCAGGGCGGAATGAGAAGCCATGTAGGATCGCCTGCTTGAATGTACCACCCGGTGGTTCTTGCCCAGGCTTCGTCCAGTACACTCCCGTCAGATCTCGCCGATCGTGTCCGCCATATGCATATTCTCTGTCGCCAATAACAACCCCGGTATGTAGGAGAGAGCTGCCAATTGCCCAGAGTACAGTCGCGACCTTGCCGGGGGGTAATAGATCATAGACGTGTATGGTGACCTCAGTTCTTTGCAGTGACAGCGTACTCCTATGATTGCCGGAACTTTTGCGCGAGGGTTTTGGACGGGTAGAAGATGACATTGTGTGTTTGTGAGTGTGGTGAGGTATGTATAAATCGAGTGTGGTATTTGTTGGGGTAGGTTATCTCTCTACGTACGGTACCGAAGATGAAGGGTGGGGTATCATAGACGCTGGTAAAGGACGCTGAATGGTGGCAGGTACTGGTACAAGGATGAGAGGGTCGAGGTCAGTGAGCGGGACCAGCCCTTGAAGTAATATGTGGAGAGAGAGGTGTGGGGGAGGGAGATGAGGCTGGCGGCATCGTAGTAGACACGACCGATGGTTTAGCGATCTGGAGTCGCATCCAGGCGCTTACCGCGTTGGAGCAAGCGCTGCACGGACGCCACCCTAGCCACATAAACTCAAGAAAATTCGATTGGACTTGCTGCGCCGTCACTTATCCCAGAAAATGCAGGAGAGCGGCTGCTAAGTCACTCTCCCACCCCTCTATTTCATCACGCCCCCACCAGGCCTCTGACCTTTTCTTTCTCTTCTTTGATACCCACTTTTTACTCCCCGGCAGCAAGAACTGCTTGCCATTTTTCAGCCACTTTACACTCTTCATCTTCTCCCACCAAATTTTTCATCTCCTTCACTGCAGCTCGTACCTACGCGTCCGCGCCCAAGAAGAAAAAGATGCCTCCCAAGAAGCAGGTCAAGGAGGAGAAGCTCCCGCTCGGCAGGCCAGGAAACAACCTCAAGACCGGTATCGTGAGTGAGAGCCCTACATAGCTTGTCTCGTCACGTTCTCACATTAACAGTGATTGCCAGGTTGGCCTAGCAAACGTCGGCAAGTCGACTCTGTTCCAAGCCATCACCAAGTGCTCCCTTGGTAACCCCGCCAACTTCCCATATGCCACCATCGACCCAGAAGAGTCGCGCGTCATTGTTCCAGATGAGCGCTTCGACTGGTTGGTAGAGCACTACAAGCCCAAGTCGGTCGTACCTGCTCACCTGACCATCTACGATATTGCTGGTCTCACGCGCGGTGCTTCCACTGGTGCTGGTCTCGGTAACGCCTTCTTGTCGCATATCCGCGCCGTCGATGCCATCTTCCAAGTCGTCCGATGCTTCGACGATGCCGAGATTATCCACGTCGAGGGTGACGTTGACCCCATCCGTGACTTGGACATCATCGCCGAGGAGCTGCGCCTGAAAGACATTGAGTTCGTCGAGAAGGCACACGCAGCGCTTGTCAAGGAGACAAGGAGAGGTGGTCAGAGTTTGGAGATGAAGAAGCTCAAGGAGGAGCAAGCCACAGTCGAGAAGGTCCTCGAGATGCTCAAGGACGGCAAGGACGTCCGGAAGGGCAACTGGTCGCCAAAGGAGGTACGTACATCTCACTTCCATTTTCTGCACCCACCCCCTGTTACAAGATGACAAAGAGCGATTGCTCTATAATCCCAGCTCTCTGATGGCCCATTAACGCTGGGCCGTCCTGAAGTGAAGTCCTTCTCTGATTAACAACATCCCAACTGCATTATATACTTGAGATACTTGTTGCAAACATTTGCTTACAGTTTGCTAGGTCGAGCACATCAACCCTCTTTTCCTCCTCTCTGCTAAGCCCGTCGTAACCCTCGTCAACCTGAGCGAGAAGGACTACATCCGCCAGAAGAACAAGCATCTTCCCAAGATCGCCGAATGGGTCAAGACTAACGCCCCCGGTGACCCTATTATCCCCATCTCCGTTCAACTCGAGGAGCGCATTGCGGTCATGTCTGATGAAGAGGCCGCTGAAGAGCTCAAGAACCTTGGCACCAAGTCGGCGCTGCCCAAGGCCATTCAGACCATGCGCAAGGCCCTCCAACTTGGCAGCTTCTTCACAACCGGTACCGACGAAGTCCGACAATGGACAATCAGGACTGGCACTAAGGCGCCACAAGCTGCTGGTGTCATCCACGGTGACTTCGAGAAGACTTTCATCCAAGCTGTCGTATACAACTACAGCACATTGAGGGAAGAAGGAGACGAAGCCACTTGCAAGGCAAAGGGCAAGATTATGACCAAGGGCAAGGACTACGTTGTCGAGGATGGCGATATCCTCCTCATTAAGGCTGGTGCCGCGAAGGCATAGACGGCTTTTTTTGAGTTTTGTCCACGTGTGTATGTGTTTATGATCTACATGCGCATCTCATGATGAGCTACATGAAAAGCAGCTAGACTGCACTGAATGAATGAAAATAAACATGACCACGAAAACAATCTTTGCACATTATGTTACGGTGTTTAACTATTGATGTATCCATCATGAAGGGCTAAGAGATGTTCCTAGCAGATGTCTCAGTTCAACTAATATACCTCTTCGCATGTCTAATTACTTCGCCTTTCCCTTGGTCTCAACAAGCATCCAGCTATTCCCACAAATACAATGCTTGCTCACACCAAGCAAGTACTGATAATGCGCCGCAGTATAGCCCGGCAATCCAGGTACAACATCCTCCATACACGCGCCACACCTCGTACACTGCTTGAGCAAATTCCTCCTCTTCCTGTCTTCACCGACAGCATCTCCATTCGCCCCACCGGCACTCTGTATACTATCGCTCCTCCCGCGATTCTGCCCACCCGTCGCCGAACCCACAGGATGAACCCAAGTCCCCGTCCCCCTAATAATCATCTTCTGACACACATCCACTACATGCTGCTCATGCCAAAGTCTGGCGCGCTTCGAATCCTGGAACCCCAGCCACGTGGTATCAAAGAACATGAGTTTACCCATATCGAGTTTATCGGCCAGACAACCGTTTTGCTGATTGCTATTCCACAGTGTATCCGTGACGAGGCGTTTCGCTGCGGGGAAAAGAATATCAGGGATTTTCCCTAGCAGCAGTTCGCGCTCGATGCTGTTGCGTTGCATGTCGGTTAGGTTACGTTGTTTGTAGATGCCGCGGACGTGGTTTTGCGTTTCGCTGATTAGGACTTCGAACCAGCGGTATTCAAAGGGGAGTTCGGTTACGGCTTGGTGGAGGGGAGCGTAAAGCTTCTTGGCCTCTGGGGTCTGGGGTGGCGCAGCGGGGTTGTTGGCGTTGGGGGGCACGACGTAGGCTTCTGCGCTGCGCTTTACCCATTGGATTGGTTGGGTCCAGAGTTTCATCATGGCGCGGGGGAAGGCGGAGAGGAGGAGGAGAAGGGCTGGTTTGTTGAGCTCGTGGATCTTGGCTTCGAGGACGGGGCGTGTGAGGTCTGCCGTGGGGATGTCGGATAGGGCGCGCCCGAGGGTGAAGAGCTCGTCAAAGATGTAGGCCATGAAGTGCATGGTCCATCTGCATGTTCCAATCATTTGTGGTACACCTTCGGGCTTTAGGCTGTTCTTCGACACATCGCCGTGTAGGCGGAAAATGGTTGTCAGGGTTTGCGTAACGAATCTGATGTTGATAATCTGCCAGGCCATTTTGCTGCTCAGAGAACGGTCGACGGTACCTTGAAGACCGAGAAGGTGCATGGCCGAAAGCGTCTTTACAAAGAAGGGTCCGCGACCGAGGAGGAGGAAGTGGTTGCTGGACGTGTCGTCGACACCACAGTCTATGTTAACTTGGAGTCCTTCGAAGAGTAGATTGACAAAGTCGTGTTTGCGTTTCTCGCTAAGGGAGCTGATGATAGCGAAAATATCGTCGCTAGAGTAGTATTGATTTGCTGCTGATGAGGACTGTAGAATGAGTGCTGCGAGTGCAGCGGAGTGGCGTGGGTCGTCATCGTCTGATGAGAGTGTGCCGTGAGAATATTCCATGGAGCACAACTTTGGATTTCCGTCCAACTGCATGGATACTGCCATGCAGTGATTGGGTGACAAGGCAACATGTAACGAAGGCTCCGCGTGTTGGAAGACGAAACCAGCCTGTAATAGCGAGGTTACAGTATCGGTGTTATCATCTGGCATGACTATCTCCATAGTAGATCGCTTCCTGAACTCGATAGCCCCATCACTGTAAGCGAAAGCCAGGAGCATGTTGTACCATATTGGGTAGAACCCTAAGACGACTGCATGCAGTGAGAAGTCAGGCTGTCTCTTCAGAAGGAACGTGTTTTGTGCAGCTACCGAGCTTACACTCTTCTTCTTTGACGTTACCTGATCAAGGCTGGAATGCAGTTGACTATGTTGCTCTTGATGCACCTCCCATTTGACGATGATACTGTAGCGCGTCTCTTGCGGGTTTAGATCGTATGAGATGGGGTTCGGTGGCTTGCAGTATATGGCCTGAATGGTAGGTATTGAGCCATCGTCTTGTTCGGGCGTGACTGGAAGAAAGTTGATATGTGTAAGTTGGGCAGCAGCGGCACCCCTTGATGCTGTCCCGTTGCCCAGGTCGTCACTCGCAAGCTCAACAGGATTACAATCGTCTTCCAAAGCGATCAGCGAGGCCTGAATCGATGGCTTCTCGAAGGGTCCTGCGTTCTGGCTACGCTTGTCTGTCGGCACGTTCCAGACTGTCTCAATGCGATACAAGTGCAACCGCCTTTTGATATCGTAGGCCGCTAGCAGAAGGGTATTGTCTGTACCGCGTTAGTGTAGTAGTATCAGAGCGTCTAGAGGAACTTACCATTATTGGACGCAAAGGCCGCGTGTGTAAAGGACTCCTTAGTTGAGATCATAGGACCAAGCTGAGCGGAAACTTCTTGCCAGTTGTTGTCGATCTGCTGGAAGCGAAGCCTTAGCTCTCCGTGTCTCTTCAGATATATGAAGGATGCTTTTCCGTCTACAGGGTGATGGGCGTTGTTGAACATGTGTTGTTTGATATTCCATTTCCACTTGCCTCCTTCCCGCGCAGCTGACCAAGCAATAAGATTCTGAGCGATGTTAGAACCATGCTATCAGACACCCGAGCAACCTTACCTTTTGTGCATAGGGTAAGATCGCTAGCCAGTGCATGCCCACGACAGCATCTACTTCGGACTCTGGTTGAGCTACTTCGGCTCTCGTGAAGTGCATACGGTCCAAGGCCATGGCGCATGAGAAAACCATCACCCGGCCTGCTTCATCAGTGACAGCGAGATCGTTACCTAGATGGCTCCATGATAAATGAGTCAAAGGGAAGACATCGCGACCTTGTGGTAGCTCGAGAGGGACGTTTTTCCCGAGATCCCATCTGCCAGATTCAGGGTCGCGCGAGAAAATCTTCAGGTTGACAGAGTAACCGTCTGGACTTATGTACGCAACACAGCCATTCTTTGACCATGATATCTTTCTATCACCTGTTAGTGAAGCTGATAGACTCACACCGGGCTCTCACTTACTGGCAACAGCCACTAGACGCTAGCTCATCGATCCGCCCGTCGAGCCCTTTCACTGGCGGCGTCGTGTTGATAGTCTGTATGTTGACATGTTCTGAGTCTCCGAAAAGATCATCTACGTCCATGTTATAGCTTGCGCTGTCCATGTTGGTGAGATGACTACGCCAGGCGACTGGTCGATTGATAGGTGCGATCAGTCGAGAAAACAAGAGATGGGAAAGAGCTTGGCAAACAAGGTCGTACTAGACGGAACACGAAGGCGGTGACGAGCAGATCGTCGGGTATCACAGAGATTACAAGGAAACGAGGAACAAAAATTCAAGACAACGACCGACGTGGAGAGTCTCAGAGGCTGATGAGGCTGCGCTCCGGTCGTCTGGGATCAGCTCGCGGCAGTAAGCGACGAGCTAACGATGGCTAGCGCGGTTCCATCTGGTGTGCTGTTCGTGAGAGCTTCGCGCACAGTCGTCATCTCGAGCATTCATCACTCACAAAATGCTGATGGGGATTATTGCAAGAGCTCAAGATATGATGCGAAACATTCGCAACTGCCATGCGATTCCAGAATCGTCACGGCCTATTGAGCGCATTGCGCCGATTCCCAGGAACTTGGGAGGGTCGCATGCGCTGTGGCTGTCCTGGAGAGCATGGGAACGTGCCGTCCAAATGGAGGCATGACGAATAAAGACTTGATTCAGAGCTCGCTGTTGCGTCCTATGAATACGGCTTGACATATTTCTTCGATGCCTGTCACCACAGTGATCTTGCCGTTTAGTTAATGCGATCCTCGGTCAAGCACAGACGTACCGCCGCAAACGTAAACAGGTCGAGTGTTTAGGTTCTTTTCTTGGCATGACTACCCGGCGCTCATGGTTGTCCAGGTCAACCAGCGTTCGCCCGTCATCGCATCCACCGCCAACCTCTTCACCTTTCCCACCCACCCCCTTCACCTCCACCCACGAACGCGTCTACCCCGGACGCGCCTGCCCTATTATTATTGCGCCTTCTCGAAGCGTCACAATGGTCTAGCGTACCTTCCCGATCTGACGGATTTCCTCGACGGGGATCCAAACGGCAGCAACGGCAGCAACGACCGATAGCCCCCAACCCACGCTTTCCACACCACCACGATCCACACAGGTCCTCAACACGCGGGATACCTGGGCCAAATATACAAAAATTAATGCGCAATTCCACCACGTTGACCAAGTTGCAAGGCGTCCTGTAACACCCGACGCGTCGTGTTCCTAGAGCAAGGCGCTTTGCGTTCACCGTCGAGCCTTCCTCACGACACACGGTTGCCGCTGCCTATTGTTGTACACCCAACAATCTACGTGGCGCTCCTTCTTCACAATGGCTTACAACACGCTAAACAACGAGCCAAGCTCGCCCTTGACCGAGATCTCGGATTCAGATCTCTCTATTCTTTCTCGGTCGCCCACTCCACCGCCTGAGCTTAGCAAATCCTTCGCTCGGCGTCGCGCATACATGTCCCCGTCTTCCTCGCGACGCTCATCCGCCAAGACCTCACCCGCGCCAGAAGACATGCCCTCCCCACCCTCTAGCAACGACGATAACCCGCGCCCAGCAAAGAGGAGGAAGACGGCAGAGCCCAAGGAGCGTACGGCAGAGTACCTCGATCTCTCAAGATCTGATGTGGAAGAAGACGAGCTACCACAGTTGCAGCGCTTGCTGAGCGTTTTGCACAAGAAGCGCAAGATTGTGGTTATCGCAGGTGCAGGCATCTCGGTTTCGGCAGGCATTCCCGATTTTCGATCTGCTACGGGCCTGTTCAACACGCTCAAGAAGGAGCACAAGCTCAAATCCTCTGGCAAGGACCTCTTCGACGCGTCTGTCTACCAGGATGACACGTCCACATCGACATTCCACGACATGGTGCGCACACTGTCACAGCACACTAAATCTGCGCAGCCCACCGCCTTCCACCATCTTCTCGCGACCCTAGCCCAGGAAGGGCGCCTAATGAGACTCTACACTCAGAACGTCGACGGCATTGACACTTCACTACCCCCTCTCAGTACACAAGTCCCTCTGCCTAAGAAAGGACCATGGCCCAAGACTGTTCAGGTCCATGGTGGTTTAGATTATATGGTCTGCTCCAAATGCCACGCGGTGACGGATTTCGATGCCGAGCAGTTCAATGGGCCTAGCCCGCCTCCCTGCCCAAGCTGTGTAGAGAACGATGAGATCCGTCAGTTTGCAGACAAGCGAAGCCACGGCATTGGTCGGTTGCGTCCCCGCATGGTCCTCTACAACGAACATAACCCTGATGATGAGTCGATCGGTTCTTGCGCAGCCTATGACATGCGCATGAGACCAGACGCTGTTATCGTGGCTGGTACCACGTTGAAGGTACCCGGTGTGCGACGCATAGCTCGCGAGATGTGCAACATCGTTCGCGACCGAAAGGACGGAGTCACAGTATGGCTGAATAACGATCCCGAGCCGATGGGTAAAGATCTCGAGGACAAGTGGGATTTGGTAGTCAAGGGACCCTGTGATGAGGTCGCGCGTCATGCCAACATGCGGCGATGGGACGACCCGATGGACTACAAGACGGTTACGGAGGGGGATCTAAACAAGGTCAGAGGGAAGCAAAGAGCAGAAGTTATCATTGGCACTCCTCGGAAACCTGGAGTGCTTCGCAATGCAGGCCATCTTACACCCGGGCAAAGCCCACGCATACTGCCACTATCGTTCGACAAGGAGGAGCCAGACACACCCTCGAAGAGAGGCACAAAGAGGAAGGCAGATGCACAGATGGATTTGTTTGGCAAGGTTGCTACCAAAGCACCTGCGAGGAAGCCCAAGGCACAGCCAAAGAAGGCGACCACAGCGAGCAAGAGCAAGGCGAAGAAGGAACCTAAGAAGGAGGCCCCGGCCATCAACAATGTCTTCAAGGCTACCAAGGGCGGCGCCAAACCTGCAGGCAAACCTGCGGGAAAACCTGCTGGCAAGCCTCTCGCCAAAGCATCCGATCCGGCTCTTACCATCATCGAGTCGAAGTTCGACTCTCAGACTAAATTGGATCCGAAGGAAAACATCAGCGACGTGATTCATATCCAGAAACGACGGGCCCCGTCTACCCCAAGGAAGCCAGCGAGGCTGACCAAAATAAAGTCGGATTTTGTGTTCCAGCCTGTATCCAACACGGACGGCCGTAACAACCACTCACCAAAGCGACCACCGATGGAGGGCTTCACTCCTACAAAAGCCCGTACACCTAGTGCTCAGATCCAAGAGGAGATGGCATACGCGCATGCGACAGCAACCACGTGCGATTCTCGTCCTTCATCTTCCGGCAGCGCACAGCGGAACGTTATTGAGAGTCCCACTGGTGCTGTGCCCAAAAACATGAATCACCTTCTTTGCTAGCGACACTTGCATTTCTCGGCGTTAGCGGATTACCTTTCCTAGGCAGACGTCGCACTCGTATGCGCAGTGCATTGCATAAGAGGCGTTTGCTCGAGTGCGCAGATGAGATATCAGTTGTACCCGTACTTTTCTCATGGTTGGACATGCATATCTTACCTTTTTGGCTGCATGATACCCAGGTGGACCCCTGGTAGAGGCAGATTCGGGTGCTTTGGGGTCCTTTTTCAACGCAAGATAGTGATTCGAATGATAGTTCATGGCTTCGGCCTCGATTGATATTCTAGCAAATGCGAGATGTTTGTTGCTACAACGTGTTGATGACGAACCTGTTTGTATGTAATAATATCAGCAGCCTAAAAAAACTGTAACGTGTCATTGGATTCTTGGCCTCGAAATATACATGCAATTGATGTGTAGCAAAGACTGTGCCTCAAAGATTGCGTCTTCCCAATATTGGGGTCTTGGCGTTTGGTTAGGCCTGTGCACATTAGCTGACGACAACTTCTCAACCTTTCATCACTCACGCAGTTACGTCTTAGCGAGACGGAAGCATATCCTCCACTCTGAACTGCGTGAATTTCCAGTTGCCGGTGTTGATGTAAACTCACTGATCTGGAAGTGCCCACAATTGGTATCTCAAGCTGGTCTACATCTACATACGCCGACGTGTCTTGTGAGCCTCCAGATCCTGAACGTGCAGTGCCAAAGCCCATCGAGACAACGCAGTCAGAAACAGCTAGGTACTACCGCTCATGGCTCCGCCACTTACAGTACGAAATTTGACGCCCAACGCCCTCTCAATCCAGCGCGTTGAGCGGTTTGAAGACCCGAACACGCTACAGTCCAAATCAAGCGGGTACTTCTTCAGCGCTCAAAGCGGTGCATCCGCTGCACCGACTTCACCCGAGCTCGGCGGACATGCACAAAGCTTCAAGGATCAAGGTGTTGATATTGTGTTGCAGCCTTTTGAGTCGTATACTCTAAAATTCTCAAGCTCGAAGCAGTCCAGCAACACGCCTACACTATCCAACCCAACCGTCCGCCTCACAATCCGGACATCTAATGGTGAACGCCATCGTATCGATACGCATCCCTCCTATACACAGAAATCAACACAGTCCTTTACTCCACTATCCGCAGACTCAGCAACAACCTACAAAGCACTCTTTCATCCTTCGAAACCGGTTCCTCATCTTTCGATTCATGTCAACCACCTTCCGAGCTATAATTCGTGGATGGCAACCTTGCCAGACGATCTACCTTTGTCGGCTATAAGCATTCCGGGAACACACAATTCGCACACGCACTACCGGGCTCTCCCGTCTGTTCGTTGCCAGGTTCACGATGTGAAGACACAGCTAGAGAACGGGGTCCGATTCTTAGACATACGTGTGCAGCCAACGCACGCTACCGACGCATCAAAGAAAGATCTCTACCTTGTACATGGCGCATTTCCCGTCAGTCTGACAGGGCCAAAGTACCTCGAACCGATCCTTAATATATGCTACAACTTTCTTCTAGAAAATCCTAGCGAGACGGTACTGGTGAGTTTGAAGCGAGAAGGTGTAGGAAGCGCAACGGACGAACATCTTGCCCGCATCTTAGAAGAACATTACATCGCCCCCAACGCACTGCACTGGTATACGGAGAACACGATACCGTACTTGGGAGCCGTGAGGAGTAAGCTGGTCTTAGTGAGGCGGTACAATGTAGCTCAAACTGTGGCTTCACATTCGAGTCCAGATTGTAGGAATGGTGGACTGGATGCAACGGCCTGGCCGCACAATGCAACCCACGCAGTCTTCCCGTCGCAATCTTCTGCACCAACGTTCTGTCTCCAAGACTTCTGCGAGGTCATGGTACCCGATATCATTCCTACAAAGGTACAGCATTGCAACGATCATCTCGTACGCTCCGCTGCTGCCGTTCACCCCATTCCCGGCATAACGACAGATGTCACAAATCCAGTACCGCCAGGTCCCTTATATCTCAATTTCCTCTCTGGGAGCAATTTCTGGAAGAAATCTTGTTGGCCGGGGGCTATCTCTAAGATTGTCAACAAGGGTATGGAGGAGTGGCTGTGTGAGGGGCATCATTTAGAGGCACCAACCACGACGCCCCGCCACCCAGAGATGACAGATGAGAGGGAAGAGGATTTGGTAAGAAGGGCAAAGAATGGAGATGGGAGTACAGGTATTGTTGTTATGGACCACGTGGGTGAACATGGTGACTGGGAGTTGGTGAAGCTGATCGTGGGCATGAACATGGGAGTGTTGACAAAGATGAAAGCACTAGGGGAGAGTTGATGAGAAGACAGCTTGAATACAAGCTCAGAAATATGTAAAAGCATACACCCAGGATCCAAGTCATAATTATACTTTCTAACATTAGTTTATGATATTGAGCTTGTAGGTCTGCTGTAAACGACTGATTGACGGAGCGTCTGTGCATCTCCGAGATGCCGACGGAACATTTTGGCGATGAGCATCATGCATGTGGCGCGCCAAACCCCACGACTTGCGTATTATGCATTGCTCGGCCCCAGCAAACACAGCTGGCAAGAAAACAATCGAAGAATAGCCCGTACTCAGCATCAACCTCAAGGGCAATCATTGTGGTGAGCCGGCGCATCTCACCCAATCCAATGTCTCTCCTGCGACCAACGTGCGCATCATTCGCGCGGCGACTGTGTAACGCGCAATCGCATTCAGAACAAACTTTGAAGTCACCTCTATTAGCCCTCGTACAGCGACATCGATCCACACGACCGCAATGCCGTTCCTTCATCTCTACACCCCACTATCGAGCAAGAGTTATAGACACCCCGCAGAACCCCAGCATCCCGCAATCACGCAAGCGCACAGTCAGGATAGGTCCTCTACCCGAAGGTCCAGTGAATGAAGCAACAATACAGCGCGTGTTTGGGCGAAGATTATCGGCTCATGATGGCAACAACGTCCTGCGGATATTGCACCACCGGCGGACAGCAGGCTCGCTAGCCGACTATGGCGTAGACAATCTTGGGAAGCAATATACACACGTGAGCAGGGAAACTGCATTGAAGGGGTTGGAGTGGTTGCGAGAGAGATACCCAATAGATGAGGCGCGTGCAGCAGAAGAATGGGCAGAAAAAGAGGCAAATCGTATAGCCTACGAGCTGTGGCTGGCCGACCCGGAAACAGAGTCCAAATACAAGGATCCCGCTCGTGCATTTAAAGAGCAGATGGAAAAGGAAGAGGCAGAGAGGCAACGCCAGGAAGCTGACGACCGGAAGATTGGTATACTCCACGCGGGCAAGAGTCAGTTCGAGCTTAATATCGAGGAGAAGAGGAGACAACGATTGGAGGAGATCACCCGGATAGCAGAAGAGAAGGAGCAGAAAGAGAGGGAAATGGAGGAGAAACTCGCGACTGGGGAGTACGTACGTACACCCACTGGCACGCAGCTCATGAAGCCTGGCCAGACAACATATGTCGATGTCTTTGGTCGCGAACAAGTCAGTCGGAGAAAAGAGGAAATGGAAAAGTACAACAAGGCTGCTCAGGTAACGGATGCGAAGACGCCAGAAGAATTACTGGCAAAGACCACTCTTGTAAGTTTCGCTCTGTCCCTTCGTTGTCAACTTTACACTTTGCTAATGACATTGCAGGCGCAACGCCTCTATCCCATGTCTGCTTTCGTCCTCCTCACAGTTCTACTCTGCTACGGCTTCGCACACTACTACCTCCCACCCTCCCCCTCGTACCGCCTCTTTCCAGACCTCAGCGCAACAACCGCAACAATTGGCACGCTGCTTGCCATTAATGTCGTTGTAGCAATAGCATGGCGAATTATGCCCCTCTGGCCACTTCTATCACGCTATTTCATGCACGTCCCCGGTTACCCCCGCGCCGTACAAAGCGTGCTGAACATCTTCAGCCACATCCAGTATGAGCATCTTCTCGCCAATATGATGATGTTGTGTCTAGTCGGGCCCGCATGCTGCGAGCTAGTAGGTCGCGGAACCTTTGTGGGAACGTATATTTCCGCCGGCGCTGTTGGTACTTTGTTTTCGCTGTACTGGGCTAATCTCGGTCGTGGAAATATTACCGCGCATTCTGTTGGTGCTTCGGCTGCTATTTGGGGAATTGCGGCACTATACTGTCTGCTCACTGACCAGGAGAGGGTCAAGATTCCTTTCTTGAAGGAGGGTGAGGTGGCATTTTGGCCCAAGATGCTGTTTGCTGCTTTTGTTGTGTTTGAGATCTTTTCGGCGTTGAAGAAGGGTAATTCTACTATGGATCATGCTAGTCATTTTGGTGGCATGTTTGTTGGTATGGTTACAGCTGGGTACATGCGGGCCAATGGTTGGCAAGACAGGAAACCGTTTTTGGACAGAGAGGGTGGTGTTGTTGGGCAGGGTGTTCAGGAGAAGGCTGGTGTTGATGGGAAGACGGTAGATGTTGGTGCTATGGCTAAGGAGGGGATCAAGGAAGTCAAAGAGAGCTTGACGAAAGCTGGGAAGTGAGATTGTGAGTAGAACGAAACGCGGTATGTATCATACATCTGTATAAAAGAACGGAATATGGCTATTGGCTCCTACGGAGTATACGGCAACCTATTACTTCAATCTTTCTCTATAAGTAAACACTGCGCCCTTATTCACCCGATTACGCATGGTTAATCGTCCCAGTCTCCTTCTACAAGGTCTAATAGCTTTCACTAATCATTCACTAATGTCAGCCCAGCCGAGCAGATGTTCACAATGAACAGCTTTCATATAACGTCACACAACACTGGTACATCCTCACTCTTCTTTGCCCCTTTCTCTTCCCTCAAATACGCTTGACTCCCCTCGATACCATTCTGAATACCAACCCAACCTCATGCTGGTCAGTCTCACTGTATCAAGGCCGCTTATTGTGAAGATCAAAAGCATGAAGTTTTCAACAAGTTTTCTACGGCGCCCACTAAGCATCAAGCCCTGCGCTGGTAGCGTGCGATCCTCCCACACATTCTACACACTGTCCAACACTTCCGCTAAGCCCTCAAGTATCCCATCGCAGGCCCCATTAACAAAGCCTATTATCTCCCGTATTCCAAATCGCATGCTCAGTAAGGTCGCGGTATCCGGCGTGCGGCCGGTCTTGTTCACTGGATTATTGGCTATTGTAGCTGGTATGTCTGTGGTTGCGGAGTCGGATGTGCTATCTCTATCCAAAACCCGTGACGGGGTAGCGTGGTTCGAGAAAAATAAGGATCAGCTAGCAGTTATGGCAGCTAAAAAGAAGATCACCTTGAAAAGGGAAGACAGGAAGTGGAGAGCGAGGCTTGAGCGGCAAGAGTGGAAGTAAGGTTCGGGGTTGATTCGAAAAGGGGAATTATGTAGCTCAGTGACGATGGGTAATCAGATAGGCATGTTGGGATATGATTAAATCATATTGCCTTCTTAGTGTGCGTCCAAGACACAATATCTATATTTTGGTCTCATCCTTCTCCAAGGCACCAGGTGTTTCTCCAGTGGCCTTAGAATCCACCTTCATCCTAATAAACTCCTTCTTCATGCTCTCAAACTCCTTGAAGCCTTGGAAGTACTTCCTGCGGAAGTCATTTAGCTCACTAGCCCTAGTACCCTTCTCATACTCCCTCTTAACCGCTTCAAGCGCGCCCTCAGGCACCTCCGATTCTCGGCGCCGTCGATACGTCAATAGTCTGCGTGACCACTTATTGAAGGCCTGGACGCAGACTGATGTCAGTTCGAGACAGGGATGTGATGGTATTATCAGCTCGATGTCCTCGTCATTCGCGGTTGGCATCCACATGCTGATTCGACCGTCTTCCACTAGCGTAGCGACTGCGAAGGCTAGTATGTCATCGAGAAGCGCGGTGAAGGAGTAAGGCCGTTTCGGGGGTATGTAGCCGGGCTCTTTGAATTGGTCTTGGTGGGATTGTCTTTCTACTTCAAGAAGCGCTTGCCGGGATCCCAAGACTTTGAGGCCTTCTCGGATACCGTAGGGGGGGTCGCACACGATGCCGTCAAGATAGCCTGTCGTGTGGTCTTTGTTGGGTGGCGGTATCCTCAGTGGGGTGTTGGTAAGGTCGGAGACGAATGCACCTAGGTAACTTGGCTCCATACCGTACTGCTTGAAGTTACCGACGACATCGTACTTCCCAGTCTGTCCTCTTCTCGCGCTTCCTCCAAGGCCGCGGATAGTGCGGCCGTCGATGTCACTCCCAAACACCACTGCTCCGAAGTGAGCGCATGCTATTGGGAAACCGCCCGTGCCCATGAAAGGGTCGTAAAACAACTTCCCGGGTGCCACGTGTGCGATGTTAGCCGTTAGCAAGGTGAGCTCGGCGTCCATAGATGTAGTGCTGATGTAATGTCTCTTCTTGAGATCGAATGTCTTCTTGGCTTCATTACGACATGAGTCGGCAATAAAGCGGCCGAAGTAGAGGTACTTTGGCTTTTTGACATCAAGATCGTAGTCTTCGAAGACACGGAATGCGACATCTGGGTTTCGCATCCGTGGTGGCCCCTTGAAAGCCATGTATGAGAAGCTGTCGATGATGTCGCGCTGCTCATCATTTGATCTACTACCGCGATAGCCTTCTATGGTAAAGCGGAAGGATGCGGTAATGTACTGGGGCCACCAGGACGTGGTCAGACTGCGGACGGAATCGTGAAGGGCGTCGTATGTTGATCCCTGACCCCATAGCTCGTATATGCCCTGTGCTAGGATGCTCCGTGCAATGACTTTTCGTGCCGCAGCGTCTGACGGCAGATCGACAATGCAGTAGGGTGACTTTGATCGTCAGAAATGTATGCTTTTGGACAGCGTGACGCGACACTGGATTTCCTTTTTCCGAGACGTGACCAAAATAAACAGTGGAGCAAACGCGACGGACGAAGTTGAGGCAGAAGAACTGCTCAATGAGAGAAATGTACTTACATCTTCTTCATATTTGACGAACTGTAAAGGCACTCCAGCCACATCCGCTAACGCTTGCAATTCGACTTTCCGAAAGCTCTCATGTGCTTGCGCAAGCCTAACGAGATATTGAGGCATGTTGTTGTATGATCAGAGGAGCATGGGACTAGTGAAACCCTTCTGTGTAATACGCGTCTCAGTCAGGTATCGGCATGGCAGGCGTCGATCACCCAGTCGTCGCTTTTATCGCTGGTAGTCCAAAGCGGAGGAGTCACGGACCAGCAAAATGGGGCAGAAAATGGTGGGTCAGGGTCTCAATTCTTCATTGGTTCCCGACGTCGCTAAAGTTTAGACTACAATCTTTCTCCCAACCTCCACTCGCATCCCGATCCGATCTTCAAGACAACTACACCTGCAGGGCTGACTAGTCTACCACACTGTCTCTACGCTCTCTCCGTATGAATTCCACGTCCGCTTGCGCCTCAGTCATGTTACAAACAAGATTCTCCACCAACTCTTCCTTTGTCGTGAATCCCTCGGTCCACCAATCCTTGAACTTCATCAACTCACCAACCCATGCATCCCAGAGGTACCATCGGCCTTCGTCGTCTCGTAATATGAATTCGTCGCCTTTTGTTTCTTTGACAACTGGACAAAGACCATCAATGTTGTAATCTTTTGCAACATTTACCTCGCGCTTGGGATCGAAACAAGCGGAAAGATATAACTTCTTTGGGTCGTTTGTCCATGATAGTCTGAGGGTTGTGTCGTACTCGTCGTTGAGTTGAACGTAAGGTATGCCTTCTTCGTCTTGTGTGTTTCCCTCATTTGTTGTATTGGGGATGAGCCCTAGCTTCTCTAGAATGATTGCGAACATGTCAATGTCGGTATCGCAGTGAGGCTATGGAGGCACAGTGAGACCAGAGTCACTGTTAAGGAAGTGCTTTGGTTGCGAAATGGTGGATAGTAGAAGTTGTGGTAAGTGTAAAGAGATCATAACCGTGCACAACCCGTCGATTTAATAGATAAGCAGCTGCTCTACTGACGTATACCTAGGCTTACATTATGTAGACACTCTTTTTTACTTTTTCCAGGTACCAGACTTCGCGATACTTACGTGTCGACGCTTCGACAGGGTATCACGACGCTATCGCGTAACGACTGCACGATAATCACAGCCTGAGCGTCTTGTCCAATCGTATCGCTCCTAACAAACCATTTCGAAGGAATTTCCAAAAGTAATAGCCACTTGTAGGACTAGCACGACTTCGGGATATGCGCAGTATACCTAAACCGTATTTCCAGGTGCCGCGGGGCCGGTCGGGCGAAGATCAGGATCATCGACAGGGTGACAGACTATGTAGACGGAGTCAGCCTCCAGGGTTGCTGCTCCGCACATGACAAACTCTACTTCATCTTCATTGGATGTCATGGTACCCATATTCTTCGGCCTGATCCACAATGGTTGCCCATCGGACTCATCATAGAGGCGTCATCGCTAGTTACATTGTGTAAGAACGGACTGATCGCGGTCATCACACAACCTGATCACCGGTCGAAGACCTTTGACGTTGAAGTCTGAGCCCCAATCTGGCACTTTTCGGCTAAAGTACGCATCCATGATGAGATCACTGGGATAGTGTGACCAGTAGAGGGGAGTGGTGTACACCAGATCCAGTCGAAAAGGTGGTTCTTGATCTACAGGGGGCCTGTCACTCTCTTCCCTTTGCGCTGCTTCGGGGCTAGATCGTCAGGTCTACAGCACGTGGTAGACAATAGCGGGGTTTGCTGGTGCCTTTTCTGGGACCGATATCAAAGTGGTGTAAGCCCTGAGACGTGTCAGTCTACGAGTGGGAGAATGTCTTAGTTGCTCCGCAGTATCCCCCTGTGCTGATGACCGCGACTGACGCAGGTACGTACTGGCACGTTCGAGAGGTCAGGAGGTAAAGCGAACCCTGGAGTTGTACGATACCTGATGTATTACCAGGTCATTGTGATAGAGAATAGCGAATACTTTTAAGATCGGGTTTGATATCAACTCCAGGTTGGGAGAACTTAGCTTTCTTTGCGATGTGGCGTTTCTTATCTGTCAGTGACGACATGTCTCCTCTTTTACCTGGAATGACGGTGGATCGGATCATCTTCTCTCGCGCCATACTTTGAAGGGCATTCGGCTTCTTGTGGCTAGATCATAACGAGCTACCATTGAAAGGCATGGAACCGCAGTCTTTGCATGAATGTGACAGGAACGCGACTGGACCTTCGCTTCCAATGGATAGCTTGCTATACGGCACGATAACAAAAGCGCGAGGCACTTACGTGCCAATGACCAGGAAGTTGTAATCCTGGGCTTCAGCTCGTGTGCGTAGATAGATACAGTCGCTGAGATCGTGTACGTGATGTTTGTGGACAATCATATTTGAAACTATAGTGTGTTTAGCACAATGGATATGCAGAAGGCAAAATGCTCACCACTCATGCAGAGTAATACGTCTGTGACAAGAAAGCAAGTCTCATAATTCTGCTGACCAAGATCCACTTTTCTCTCGTACACCAACCCAAATACTTTCATGACCCACACAACCTGTAGTAGCTTGTGCTCAATTCCACAGGTATCCTCGACAATTCGCCGCACCACAACGGCATTCTATCGCACCCTCACCCGGCTCATCTATTTCCTCACCTTCTTCCTTATCAAGATAATCGAACGTCAGTTCCTCTCCCTTGGGTATGTGTCTCCGTGCGAAGAACGCAATATCATAGATCCTAGGATCATGCTTATTGTAAGAGACAGTATACTGCCGACAATTGGGGTCGCATGAGTGGTTAATGAATTTTGTTGGCCCACCCATAAACTCGCCATCCACAACGTATATATCCTCTTCCTTGAGGCCTTCGGATTCTGCGAACTTGTCGAGAGAGTAGAGGTACGATGCTTTTGCTTTTGAAGAAGAGCTTTCTCGACGGGTGGCTTCGGCGTCGGTTATCACTTCGCCGCGGTAGGTGTCAATGGATTGGCCTTCGTGAAGATCTTCCTGCAGCGGGAGGGGTGATGTCAGCGTATGCCTCTCAGATAATTGGTACACATCAGAACCCACCTTGCAGCGCAAACCCCAACCTCGTACGTCACCGGTTCGGAAGATTTCCAACTCGACTTGTCGTCCAAACTGTACATTTTTATTTCGACAATAGGGACCGCACCTACACCTATCGTTACACTCGTAGATTGGGCGACGGGAGTTTAAGTAGAAGGGCACAAGACAGCCGGTCTTCTCTCGTTTGGTGCCTTCAGCGAAGTAAGGGAACTTCTTAGGAAAGCCCATAGTGGATGTTCCCGTTTCGAGAGCGTCCTGGTATGCTCGCCTACCTTCTTCATCGAGACGACTTTCATCGACTGCTGCGTATTCAAGACAGTCACACTTTTTGGTGTATTCGCATCCGATGTCACGGCCCATATGTGGTGAACATTGCGTACAGCCTTGTTGAGTTTCGACTGATGCGCGGTAGACGCCTTGCTGCTCATTCAATACGTATTCGGAGATGTATCGAAATCGCAAAGATGGAGTGGCTTTGTCTACTAGATTGATTAAGTGGATGGGTTTGCCTGCTACTTTCGCTAGTCTCCGTACATACTCGTTGCGAATATAGGTGAGTGCTTTGTCAACACTGAAACGATGTGCATCCCGGTTCATCTCTGACGTAAGAATAGTATGAATGTCAAGTTTTGGTATGTCTTTACTTGAGGCCTGTATCGTACGTTAGTGATGAGAGAAGGAAGTCTATTGGAAGGCTCACTTGGCGAACGAAAACGTGACCATGTTCATCGGCATCCAAAACACCGTTGTAGATGTCGATGACTGCAGATGGGGATGTTGCGACAGATGACACAGAAGGAGACCGTGAAGCTAACGGCGTACGGCTGTCTTGAAGTCGTCGGTCGAAAGGTGATGAGCGACGGTCATACCCTGGACCCTCATCAGGGCTCTTTCTTTTTCTGGAAGTTTTCGTCCGCTGAGATGGCGGTACGTTCCTTGCAGTGGTCAGCAATATGCCATAGGCCTCTGTGGAAATGTCGCCTACTTCTCTCTCACTTCGAGGTAATCTTGAACGTGCTCTAGACATCGTACTAGTTCTTTTATCGGATGCCAACTAAGAGGCGGTTCCGTCGTCGATGTTTCTGTCGTCCAACGTACTAAGTACTGCTCCTCCTGGACGTTGATATCAGTACCGTGCACGGGCCATGTGTAGTGAAGGAGTACTAACGCCATTCTGAACGCGATTTAGCACGATAGAGTGCACCTAATGATGATGTTAGTATTATTACGCGTATATTTGATGCTGAGAACGCACTTACAAGGTCTACTAGCACACGGCGCCTCGTGTGTCCGTTGGTCGGTATTACGACCATGGATGGCATCCCTGTACCCGCAACTGCATCGCGTTAGCCTCACTCCCAGGCTTAGGATTTTTCTAGTAAATCAGAGTAATCTGTAGAGCGTTTGCCGCGTTCTGACGTAGATTTAGATAGAAAAAGTAACAAACCTAGGAGTTTATTAGATCGCTAAAGATCTTAGTTTAGTAGTAAAGCTTTACTAAAGAGGATTACTAGTAAGATAGAGCTGTGGTAGACGTCTTTTTCTGTTGTTACAAGGAATGTAGAGTTAGATGCCCAGATTCTAGGGTTAGTTTGCTATTGTAGCGCGGTACAGCAAATATTGCTTAGTAAGCGAATGCACAAACAGCTTAGCTAGCAAGCCTTTCTACATCCGTGCTAGTATATCTACTGTCACGAGATGCTACGCGCACGTGTTTTAAGAGCTTGCTAGAAGCGTTAATTGTGGCTACGTACGATATCTGGTGTAATACAAGACGTTGCGTAAGGAAACAGAATCAGCATGTACAGGCGGTGAGAAGTTATCGATGGGGGCCGTGCGCATGGCGCTAGGCCCGGCCGGCCAATCAGCCGAATTCGGGTGCTTGGCGGAGCACTCGGATTCTGTAGCGCGTTCAGTGTCAAGGGAACCACGGTGGTTACCGTGACATCTACAAACCTATTATACCTAGGTAACAAAACTCTAAAAGGCTATCGCCCTCTTCTAGATAGTTTTCTAACTCTTTTCGTACCTAACATAGCCTAACAAGTCGCGAAACAGTACGAATGTCACGATGCTCTATCACCACAGGATTCCAGCCACAGACTGGTGAGCCACCGGGAACCCTTCGGGGCACCGTCGGCTCACACCAGCCACAATCACGTGACGTAGGTATATATCATCCCTCTGAGAGGCTTGATAGCTCCTCAAGGATTCGTCTCAATACAAGCCTATACCGATATCTCAGTGCCTGCCCAACTACTCCTCACAACGAACGTGTACATTTAGCTCTTCTACACCTTAAATCTAGCCTCTATGCGCTTAAAATCTAGATAGATAGTGGTAGCATATACAGTGTGTTCTAGCGAAATCTTGCAGCAAAGATGCGCAGTGCAATCCCCTCGCATGCTCATGTATGGGTAAGATGCGCGCTAACTTGCACGTGGAGTAGCCCTAATGTCTTATCGCTATCTTAGCGCCATCAACCCTCCAAAAAAAGTTCGGCCCGCATCCCAAGCCTCAGAGTGAAGACATCGTCGCAACACGTTACAGCACATCATGGCATCAGACGCGCAAAACAACCCCTTCATAAGGAACCTTGCATCTAGCGGTATGCATACATTGTACTTGGGAGATATCGGATTATCGAGCTAACGTTTGCGACAGACAAGAAGGTTCGCGATGAAGCGCTTAATTCACTAAAAACTTACCTCGGCGCGCAAACTGAGATATCAGAATTGGACTTGTTGAAGCTATGGAAGGGACTGTTCTACTGTACGCGCTCTTCTTGCTGTGTCTCGTAGCGACACGAAAAGGCACTTTGCAACCGATCTCGCAACGACTAACAAGATGCTTCCAGGCCTATGGATGCAAGACAAACCCGCCCTCCAGCAAGGCCTGTCGCGCGATCTCGCCTCCATAGTCTCGAGCCTCCGAACTCCCGTCGTACTACCCTTCATCCGCGCATTCTTCCTTACGATGTCCAGCGAATGGAGCCGCATTGAAGCGCTCCGGTTAGACAAGTACCTCTACCTCATCCGCCAGTACCTGAACGCATCCTTCACTTTCCTGAGCAGAAACAAGTGGAAAAAGAACTTGTTGGAGCAATGGAACACCGTCGTGGAAGAGATACCCCTGGAGCGCCAGAACATGAGGATCCCGAACGGACTGAGATATCATGTCATGGATATTTGGGTTGATGAGATGGAAAAGGTTGAGGGAGAGGCATGGGAGAAGGAAGACAAGAGGGAGACGTTGGAGACGCTAGTTTTGCCGGTTGAGAAGATGGCGAAAGACGGCAAGTTGAAGCCGCTGAGGAACGCGGCGAAAGAGTGTTTGGCTGATGATAGGTTAAGAGCTTGGAGAGGGCAGGAAGTGGAGGTCGTGGAAGAGGCCGAAGAAGAAGACGATTCAGAGGCAGAGTGGGGAGGCTTTGCAGACTAAGAAGCATCACTCCAAGATAGAAGTCTGGAGAGACATATTGCATATGATTTCAGCGAGGCGTTAATAGAAGATCTGTCTTGTGCACAGGACATGGAAAAGTATTCTAATGTGGAAGCAATCTACAATCCGCATAGGCTCATAAGGATACATTTAGGGACGAGAAATCATACTCCATAACGTGTTCGATTGATGCTGCTTTCGTTGCCTCAGTCTTCCCGCGTATCGATAGTACCATCTGGTAGAGATTAGCCGGCATTCCTTCAACTCATTATAGCAAATACTCACATCCGTCCCTCCTGTTCGCAACTCCATCACCCTTTGTCTTCTCGGTATACTGTCCAAGCAAATCCGGCCTAACAAAAAGCACATACAACCTCCAGAAAAGCGGCGGCACCAAACACGCTACACTCGCCGCAGCAACCTTCTTGCTTAGGGCTGCATTCGGCCCTCCTCCTTCTACCAAATCCAATACTATCATTGGAATCAATAGCGCCTCTCCAAGCCCCAAGAGCATGTATGTGGGTCGTCGGCTCTCGATTCCATTTCGCGTGTTGGTCGCGCCTGCAAGTAAGGCGGACGTCAGACCGCCTACTACCAGGCCGCCGAATAGACGCGCAAAGAGGACTGAAGTGGGGTTGATGTCACGGGATGGGTTATTCAGGAGGAGAGATAGCGTCCAGCGTGTGTTTGTTATCAGGGGGATGGTGAAGAGGTTTGCGAATGCTTCTAAGAGAAAGGCTTTACGGATTGTGGAACCATTCTGAGTAGGGTCGGGTGTGATGTTTGGATTTGTAGCTGGGGATTTTGTGGTCGGCATTGTGGTGGTTGGAGGAATTCGTCGAACAGGGTGGATGAGCAGTTGTAAGTATGGGTAGGAATAGGAATTCGTGTTGTAAAATGTTGTTACTGTAGCTGATGTTCTAGTCTACACAATTTAGCATGACGAGTACAGACGTCATCATTTTAGACACAACCATCATCACCTCAATCAAGTGATGATGATATGACACTGGACCCTAGTAGATCCTGGCTTAGATGTTTTGTTCTTTTCTGGCTCGATCCATATGTGTATGCATGCAGGGTAGATGGCACACCGGTTAGTCGCGTCTCTAGTCAGGAACATGCCCACGATCTTACAACGCCAGGCCCATAGCTTGCAGTGTCACTTCGGATCTTTGAGTATCTACCTATGTATCTGTAAGCTTTTTCTGTTGCTCTTCAGCCAGCGTACGACTTGATTCGAGCTATGCCGTATGTGATTGCTCTCCGAAAGAACAGCCTCACCGCTCCAATTGCGGATGCGCCATTTAGCTAGTTTAGCAGTATCTCTGGTCAGCATCGCCGAATGTGTAGATGCGTAGCTGGTTTGTGCGGCAGCGACACAAGTGAAAGATGGAGATGATGTCAGATCTGGGGTAGGGCTGACGGTAGCGCTAAGTTGTTGCATCCACCAACCAACCATGGCACACTACAGCTTTCTTGGACCGCCGGCTACTGACCGCCAAATACTTCCGGCAGTAATATTCCGTCACCCACCACAGATTCGAAGTGTGCAACTTTTGGGCCCATCATGGGTCGCCGACCCAACCAATTGATTCTCGAGTACTTCGAGCGCGGTCCGAAGCTGGAAGATGCAAGCAATCGCTACCAACACACCTGCAAGTCATGCGGTGAGAAGGTGAGAGACCCCGCGCTGCGAAAAGTTGACGGTGATAGCTGACAGAAATCAGTTTCCCAAAGGTCGCATAGATAGCCTCACGAATCACCTCGTCAAAAAATGTCCCGCGCTACCCCTCCAAGACCGCCAGCGCGCGCTGCTGCAAATGCACGAGCTGCCACTCCCCGACAATATGACGCAGACGGCCTCTACGAACGCACCCGGGCCGAGCCAAATGCAGCATGGCCAAAAGATGAACCTCCCTTTTGCGCCGTCGAAGCAGCTCTCAGCGCTAGAGACGCTGGCCGAGGTGTCGCGACAACATCTGGACCTTTCTGGGAAGCGCATGGCAGAGAAGCAGCCGTCGCAGGCTCACCACAACAACAATAACAATAACGCAAGCCATGCAGGGTTGTTGGATGAGTTCCTGATACAGGACGATCGGCCTGATGGCTCTGATATGGGTGGTCTGTCACATGGTATGGACATGTCGCATGCGCCGGCGATGCCATCCATGTACCAGTTCAATGGGCCATTGCATCACTCTCCAACAGCTTCACCTCATATGGGCCACATGCCTTTGTCAAGCTCTGGTTCCATGTCGCACATGGTTCCATCGCTCGTCATGGCTGCATCGGCAGCAAATGATCTCATGCCACTGTCAAACGGCATGCCTATGGAGTCGGACATGAATCTCTCAGCACATGGGATGCAAGGCATGTCGGATGGAAAGTTCTTCCATCCACAGGCACGTGGACATTGGCCGAACATACAGCCCAACTCCCTGGACCCCATGTTACAAGACCATGGCAAGGAGCAGATGCATGCGAACGACCAGCTACACAAGGGCATGAGCCAGCAACGACCGCTTGTAATGAGTCCAGCCAACCAGAGTCACTTCACAACCGACTTCAGCATGAATCAGAAGCCAGCCAAGCCCAAGGTCAGGGGTCGTTTCTCGGATTCTAGACGAAAAGAAGTGCAGGAGGTGCGAAAACGAGGCGCGTGCATTCGGTGTCGCATGCTAAAGAAGCCATGCTCAGGCGACAACCCATGCAATACCTGCCAGAACGTCGAGAGCGCGCGATTGTGGAAGCAGCCGTGTATTAGAACAAGGATTGCAGAGGAGTTCGGTCTCTACTCTGCAGGTCTCCATAGCGTGCTAGCGTTCCATGCCACGAATCAAGCGAAGGGCCAGATACGGCTCGACCAAACACCAGGGCGCATAGAAGCAACCCACTTTCCTCATTCTGGCATCTTTGCTACCTTCACACCGCTGAAGTGCCAGCAGACGCAAACAGCCCAGAATACGGATATCGATCCTACGATTTTCGCTGGATTAGCTTCACCAGATCTCGAACTGATTGACAGTGATGACGATGTCAGTGGGAAGCTAGACCATTACATCAAGAAGATGGGTGGTCACTTTTCCGATACCGAAGACTCGAATTTCATGAGAATGACGGTACAGATTGCAAAGAGTGTCGCATCGTCAAGCCCAGACGGTCTCATTTCAAAAGCACTGGAGCTATGGAACCTTACACGGGTACTCACATCCCGGAATTTCGAATGGTATCTGTTTTCAAACCCTTCACTGGCACCTACTGTTACACCTTCTATACTGGCGCCAACGGATCTGGAAGACGCTATCCGCACGCCCATCACGCCTCTCGACAACGAATCATCCTACAACCTCATCACCATGCAGCTCATGGGTGCAACCGAAAAGCGGGCCGCATGTCTAGCACGCGTCGTGATGAATGATCTAGAACGACGACTCCTCCAGCGTCAACAAGCTAACCCCTTCGAAACGTTCCTAGTCGCCGTCATTCTCCTCGCCTGTGTAGAGCGCATGTGTTGGCTCTTCCGCTCCTGGGAAATGCCCTCTACCAGCCCAACCGCCCCAGAAGCTGAGGACGCTTTCAAACAACCACCAACTGTAGACAACGACTTGGCTACAGCTCTACAATCCACCTCTTCGCCATCCGGCCATACACTGGACCTTGCTGCTCACCAATCACTCCGTAACCCTAGGTGGCCGCTCGATAGATCTCCATCGACCTTTTCTCAGCAAGGCGAGAAGTTCAGCGATATACTTAACATGCTACTTAAGATGAGGGGTGTTCCTCCTAAACCCACACCGCGCAGCCCAGATGGCGTACTAACGGTATGGAGCGAAGACACCAATGATCGAGTACGGGAATGGTACGATGGCATTGCCGTTACAGTGCAACTGCTCGATCAGAAGACGAATGCGAGATTTGTAGGCGAGGATCCAAAGGAATGGGAGTTGAAGTTTGTTGGCAAGATCATCAGAGGGGATTAAGAAGGATGTTTCATATGCTGGGGGGTATTAGCCCCCCCCCTCTTTGTAGTAAGAGAGGAGGCGGAAGTGTTGTCACGATGGATCGGTACTTTGTCCTGGGTCTAGCCGGGTGGATGACTGAATTACGACTTGATACCAAAAAGTTATGAGGCATGTAGTTTGACAGGGCCGTGTTCGCGCTTCGGCGCGCTTTAGATGAAGACATGTTGATGTTATCATATGGGTCCTTTAGGGTATGCGGTGTTTCAACTTATTCTGGCTGGTGAACGATGATGGACGTGACTGCTGTTTCGATTTGGGGATATGTAAGAAGCTCCTCTAATACGCCTTAACTCCGTGTCAACGCACGACGTATGCTGTGCATAGTACGGCGGTTCAAAAGGTAAGATGATGGACGAGCTCAGCTCTTGAGCGCCTCAAGTCGTCCCCGCATCTGCGCGAGCATCTCGGCCTGATCATCTTCCTCCTCCTCTTCAGCTTGTGGCGCACTAGGCAGTTCTTCCTCCTTGGCCTTACTTGGCGGTAATCTATCCTTGAGCACCTCGCTCAACACCTTGTCAACCTCCTCCTCGGCTTCATCCGCCTCGCCCTCCAACATCTCGTTCTCGCCCAGTGTATCATCCAGCATCTCCTCAATGATACCCGCCTTCATCAATTCAGAGCTTAACTCGCGCATTGTGCCAGTCAGTTCTGGTAGTCGGACCAGACTGTTTACGTCCTTCATGATGCCTGTGCTTGCTTTGATGCTGCCTTCAATCTTCCGGACGGAGAAGGCTTCGTTGACTTGCATTTGCACGCTATTGAGCTGCGCCTTGGATGTCATGAGCCGATTGTTTTGTTTCCGTACGCGGATGAGTTCGCGGGCGAAGATGCGGACGTCTTGGTTGGCTTGCTTGGCCATGGAGGGGTTGCGTTGGGCGCGTTTGGAGGATTGTTGGATGAGCGTCTTGGTTTTTTGTTCCGTGGCTTTGAGTTGTTGGATGTCGCGGTCGAGTTTGCGGACATTTTGGCGGACGAGGGCGTTGCATTTGCGCTTCTGGGGGGTTGTTAGAGGGCTGCGTGGGTGTGCATCTGGACGGGTTGGTGTACCTGCTCCTCTGGCGTGGGCTTCCACAGGAGACCTCTGATGGTCTCCATGGTGGGCGCTCAATGTAACGTACTCTGCGCGTCTGAGCCGCTTGATGCTCCGGCGTGAATGATGTATGCGCGATTAGGTGCGGATACAGCGGGAGTCGGTGAAGGTATGTGCAGAGCGCGTGTGGTTTGGGCCGTATCAGGTTACTCGATAGTTATTGAGGCGATTAAGAGTAATTTGCAAAAGGTCGGGCCAGTATATTCGGGTGGGATGGCATCATGTGCATGTTCAAGGGTCCCGAGGTGTTGTAGTAGCGGTGCCTTGCAACCGCTCCAGGACCGAGCTCGGGCCCATTGTGACGTTGAGCTCTTTCGCGGGGCAGTTGCAACCCACTAGCCTCAAGCATCGAGCATCGAGCATCGAGCATCGTCGGTCAACACAACGTTGGCAGAGACAATCAAGCGCATCTAAGACACCTGTAGAATCCACAGCTTGCATATTCCTACGAGTTGCTTTCCGTAATTGATCGACCAAAACCGGGGCGTTCAACTTCAAGTTTCCATAGGGCTTCTATTGCTTTCCACGCTAGTCCCTCCACATCACTGCATTTCTTCCACCTTCAATCTGCTTCGTCCAGACAAACACTACACTACAACTACACAACAGACGCCCGAGACCACCACTCGTACATTGCGAACGAAACCTCAAGTCCGATTGAAAGCAACAACTAAGAGTTATCACCTTCAACATGACCACTGTCACTCCCGAAGGTAAGCTGCAGCCTTGCCCGCTATGCGAGCTCTAAAGATGTTATCGGAGCACTCCCTATGGTTATTTCCCCGCGTACAATCTTGGGGTTCACGTGCATCTCGAATTCCTTATTAGCGACCGATACAAGAGCATCCGCAGAGCCTGCATGGACCATACTCGACAAATGCTAACGCGCGACAGTCACCTGGGCGCAACGCTCATCCAGCGACGACCCCGAGAAGAACTACGTATACCTCACCATCGTCGCCGCCGATGTACCCGAGTCAGATCTGAAGCTGGACCTCAAGGAGCAGTCACTTAGCTTCAAGGGTACCTCAACGTCCAAGAAAGTCACATACGCCATCGACCTCGAGTTCTTCGCCGAGATCGACCCCAAGGAGTCCAAGATAAGCCACAGCGGTCGCGATGTCACAATGGTATTGCGCAAGAAGGAGCTCAAGGAGGAGTTCTGGCCCCGCCTGCTCAAGGAGAACAAGAAGATGCACTTCCTGAAGACCAACTTCGACAAGGTAAGCTGGGCGATACCCAATGGATCGAGAACGGTGCACTAACTCATCACAGTGGGTTGACGAGGACGAGCAAGACGAGGCACCCGAGGACGACTCCATGAACCAGATGAACCCAATGGCCGGCGCTGGCGGTATGGGCGGTGGTGACGGTGGCTTCGGCGGCATCGACTTTAGCAAGCTCGGCGCTGGCGGCGGCGGCATGCCAGGAATGGAAGGCATGGACATGGCCAGCATGATGCAAGGCATGGGTGGTGCTGGTGGTATGCCAGGCATGGGTGGTATGGGCGGAGACGACAGCGACGATGATGACGATGACATGCCCGAGCTTGAGAACGACGAGGACAGCAAGGACAAGGCCGCACCCGAGGCGGCTGCATCAGGCGACAAGCCCAAGATCGAGGAGGTTGCGTAGTTGCTCCATCTTCTCGCGACAAGCTTATGACTGCACGAGATTGATTGGGTGGCGCGCATGACTGGCCGGCGTTACTACTCGATCTTTTTGGGATAGGGTTGGAGTCTGATACCTGACCGAGGACGGGAAAGGTTACATCTATATGTCGCTGCGTATTTCAGAGTCCATCCTAAGCGTGCTGGTGCAGGTAATGATCACACCATGGGGTATATGACAAAAGAACACGAATCATGTTTTCATGACTGGAATTAAGCTTCTAAAGTATAGAATGAAGATTGCATTGTTCTTTGGGTATCTTCTTGATGTGTAGTCTTCTTCATCTTACCACCTCATAGACTGAAGGCGGTAGTCTTTCATGAGAAACTCACGACTTGGTTCCCATACCATAGCTATCATATGGGAAATCCTCCAAGCTTTTGTGTAGCCTTCCCCAACCGTCATCAATCTCTCCCGGCATACCGAATTTCCTCTTCCCCTGAGCAACCTCCACCTCAGTCTTCTGCAATTGGATTTCCTCATCCTCTTTGTGTTCTCCCGTCAGTCCTGCCAGCACCTCCTTCTCCCTCCCCTTATACTCAACAAGCAGTTCCGGATGCGGACACCAAACCACCTGCATACCTGCTCTCCTTCCTGACTCCACTCCCGGCACGCTATCTTCAAAGACGAGACACTCCTCTGGTTGTATGGGCGGCTGGCCCTCCGCTTCAAGCGTCTTGTTGAGTGTGGACAGAGCGAGTAAGTAAATATCCGGTGCGGGTTTCCCACGTCCAGAAGGTATCCTAGGGTCATCACCCAGCACCTGATGTTCCTGTTTAAAATTCTCAAACACGTGCCCCAGATGTGCAGTCTTGACTTCGAACATGGCCTTGTGACTGCTCGTCGCGAGCGCCATGTGTACGCCTCTACTCTTTAGCCCTGCTAACAGATCCAGAACACCGGGTAATGGTTTGCAGTTTTGGAATAGATTCTTCTGGAGTTCTTTTTGTTCGGCGAGAAACTGCTCGTGTGTTATGGGGAGTTGGGCCCAGGCGTGGAAGATCTTGCCAGCTTGGGGGCCGGGGCGGCCTTGGAGTTGCGCTTTTATGGACCATGGGAGGGGAGGGCGGCCGTAGCGTTCTAGGATAGTGTTTGTTACTATGCTGTAGAGGTCTTCGGAGTCGATGAGGAGACCTGTAAATGGGGTTAGTTGGGATCAGGTTTCAAGGTGAGTACTTTCGTACCGTCCATGTCGAAGAGCGCTGCCCGGATGCGGGGTGGTGGGGTAGTACTGGTGACGATTAGCACAGTTTCGTACAATTTTCGAGGTTGGTACACACGTAGAGCTCATCTTGAAGGTACCCAGGCGGATTACAATCAGGATTGGGGTATTGGAGGTTCTTGTATAGGTACAATGGAGGGTTGTAGAAAGTTGGGGTTTACCCCACGTGGCCGAGGCACGCTAGTCGGACCTCCCGTCCACAGACGTCACTTCGAAAACAGATCTACCTTTTCTACACGCGCACCTGCATAACAACGCTGACACCACACACGACCATGGCGTCGCAGGACGAAACAACGAAAAAAGCCGAGGCATCTGCAATCGAAACGTCAACACCGGAAATATTTCCGCCAGACGAAGAGAAAAAGCTACTTGACGAGTCGAACACCGAAAAAGCCTCAGCAAATAAGACATTCACATCCGGCGAGTACAATGGCGCGATACAAGGCTACGAAAAAGCTCTAGCGGTATGTCCATCGTACCTTGAATACGACATTGCCGTCCTCCGTTCGAATATTGCAGCATGCCACTTGAAGTTGGAAGAGTGGAAGCAAGCCGTAGAATCCGCAACACAAGCATTAGAGGCCTTAGACCGAATAGACCCCCCAGCACCAAAAGACGCAGGAAAGGATGAAGGCGGGAAAGAAGCAACAGGCGGCGGCGCAATCGCCGAAATCGACGACACAACCGAACTCTACCTCGATGCTCTAACCCGCACCAACCACACAATAAACGACGTCCACAAACTCCGTACAAAAGCTCTCCTCCGCCGCGCAAAAGCACGTCACGAAGTTGGTGGCTGGGCCTCTCTACAAGGCTCACTGGAAGACTACCAAGCACTTTCCAAGCCACCACACCAGCTCTCCAGCCTCGACCAGAAAGCCGTACAAACGGCGTTACGGAAACTACCAAGCCAGCTAGACGAAGCGAAGAATACGGAGATGGCAGATATGATGGGCAAGTTGAAACAGTTGGGAAATGGAATTCTGAAGCCGTTTGGGTTGAGTACGGAGAATTTTCAGTTTACCAAGGATGAGAAGAGTGGGGGATATAGTATGAACTTTAATCAGGGTGGCAAGTAAATGACACGAGAGAAATCAACAATAGACTTGCGTGTATTGGATCTCTGCACTAGACATATTTAGTTTGTAATGCTCTGCTTTAGAGCCTGCAGATTAATGTTGATTTCGAAACTAATGAGGCGTCATTGTGTTCATCTATATATGCTCAGTACTAGAGACTCTTACATAACCAGTGTTTGGTTTATAACGAGTATCTCCCTCAGCTATGAGCAATTGATTCATCACCTCGCTTGGTTGCACCATGCGAACATGCTTCATGTTGCTGGTATCCAATGTAGCAAGTCTGGCGCCTGGATCTGTCACCGGAACATCATTTTGTGTATTTTTCCAACTGCCCAAGCCTAGATTTTCGTACGCCAATCGTTGCAACTGCAATGTCGAGCCTGTTGACCATTCCGCGTAGGCGTACGCGAGCTTTGGGTAGCGCTGCAAGACGGCCTGCATGCGTTTGGAAGCCAGTATGTACTCCATGGACATCGATGTGAGCATGACAAGTCCACCGAGGAGTAATATGAGAGCAAGAGTCCAGACCCTGAAGGAATAGTGCGTCAAGGATCTAACTCTCTGTAGTCATGGTCAGTCGTATCCTCCGAATTTGATCAAGTACAAACCTGGCTGTAACATGTTCTTTTACATTCAGTCTCTTCCCCGCAGATGGTATCTGCACCGATCCAGAAGCCTCGTGCATAGTTGACCATCGTCGATTGCACAGCAAATAGGTTTGCCTTGAACATGTATTCATGCTCATATTGCCATTGGTCTTCGGAAAGGTAAGACATTTGCATGTTCCCAAGGATAGTGTTCCGAGAAAGGAGGGTTGATACTCCGCGTAGCAAGTACCAAGCGCTGAGGTAGCCAGGAGTGAGCACTGATGCTGATATGAAAGGACGAATGAATGACTGATCCTGCGCATTTGTCCAAACGCTTGCAACGACATCAGAACTATCGTCTGTAGAGATAGAGACGCATGCTGTGCTTGCTGGGAGATCTGGGTTGCAAAGAGTGTGCTCTATGACGCAACCTAGCACACCAGCACCTTCGCTTTGCGAGTGATTACCTGTGACGTTTCCGTAGTAGGGAATAGTCCTTGAAAACCAGGGATCGCTGCTTTTGTTGAACGCAACTATTTCAGAAGCATCCAAAAAGTAGAGTGTGATAGAGCCGCTACTTGTGTGAAGCTCGGGTATCCACTCGTATTCTCGAGCAATGCTAAAATTTCATTAGCTTGAAGTGGTCGAAGTACTGCAAGGATAACGCGATCGATCCTCGACATCTGCGCGGTGGAGGCGGAACCTACAAAATCTTATAATCAGCGACGGATGCCCCATCGCCCTGTGGTCGTCCCCTGTCAAGATCGAACTTGTAGACGAAATGCTCGGTAACGTTGGCACTTTTCGTGAGCGACCCGTACTTGTATGTGAGAAAACGCCTTCCGGAATCCTAGTCTGTGATTGTCTCGGTGTATTCTTGTGTACGCAGTGGCGCGCAATGATTTCTGTGGCGAAGAGTAAAGCGAGGACCAATGTTCAATCCCAAATGCCTGTCGGAATCTAGATGTCCTGTATCAATAACGAGGTTGCTTGCATTAGAAATACACACTTCCTCCGCAAATGGACACGATGCATTTTTGACAATGGTCAACGGCAAGGCCGTTTGAGTGAAAGCATTGCAGCTTCCGACACGCCGTGCCTTAGTTCCGTTATAGCATTGAGCGGCGTACGAAAAGGATTTGGTGCCTACTTGCGTGTAATACTGCATGAGTGGGTCGACCGCATTCGTGTCCCCAACGTCATCCCATGGAAGTACACCACAGTCACGACCGGAGATCAAAGCCTCATTCGTCGTAATGAGCAAAGCCCTTGATGACATAATACCTATGTAAGATCAGCACGGTCTCGTATGGCTGTTTCGCAGTGCAGAGAATACTCAGCCCGACTGATGCCGCCGAAACCATGATTGCGAGCCAAGCGGTAGGAATTATTCTTCTGTGCACGTCTCCAGCTCTTTTGTACCATGCGAAGTCTATTTGAAGTAATCCAAGAGCTGCATCGTGTGCTAGAGGCGTGTTACGCAGAGTAGCTTGTCGTTGATGGTAGACGCCATCCTGGGCAGTTTCCTTCGAAGAGAATATGTGTAGTGCAAACCGAATAATCTTCCAAAGGCTGCGTCCCGTTGCACCGATATACAACGCGATGAATGCAATCAATACAGCACCGGACTGCTGACCGAGGGTGAGAGTCACACCGTGAAAACCGCCTAGTGAACGATTGATCCAGAATCCTGTGTATATATCGTCTTCAATAGACCCAGTAGGCAGTCTGTTCACAACCTCCATGCTTGGGTTGGTAGATGATTTGAGGCAATGTCAAATGACCTAAGTATGTGGTACTGTGTCTTCGTAAGATTGGTATTTCCAGATGTCCATGGACGCGTCTACTTAAGGCCAAGCTGCTCCCGACCCTGCACGAGAGCGTGTCCACTGCCTCTGCATACGCTTAGTCGCTCATTTCCAGCCTACAGACAAGCTAGGATCTCCGGGCTTCCTTCGCAGCATCTTCATGCACACTTTCTTCTGAGTTCGTGCCGCCCAAAATCTGACCACTCATTAAGGCAGTGTAGCCGCAAGAGCCCACTGATAGCATAAGCCGTGCAGGCGCTACGGGTGCGGCTGCTAGTCACTGGCAACGTGGGGTACCCACCTCGCCGAGCTGCCGGTGAACCAGTCGCCGACGTTAGTAATAAGACACTTCGCCGCACAGCCTACCCACGTTTTGGGGATGAAATGCCACCTAGTCGCTGAGAACACGACATGGTTGAGGTTATACTTAGCATATGTTAGGGCCACAGCGCACCTCGTATATGCGATTATTAGATCGTTTAGGCAACAAACGAGCCCGCATGCGTCCACACTGTTCGAGGAACTACAACGAGACGCACAACCAGCAAATTCACACGTACGACTCAAAATGTAGTTCATACAGCGAGGATTACCGAAGAACGACTAGATGAAACATGCTCAGCTAGATGCCAAACTCATCATCACATTTCTCTTCAACATTAAAAGACACCACCTACTTGAAAACAGTATATTAACAATCTGATGCGCTAATCTAGATCCTTTCCCCTCCCAGGTCTCCCACAATCGTCCCGAACATACATAAGAAACCATATAACTAAGAGATATGTTGTATACAATTTGAGGTAACCAAAAGTGGCTGCGAAAATATGGTCTTGCGGGGGTATATATTCCAATCCAAGATCAACCAATAAGTCGCTAAAGACAGAACGCGAGCAAAGCAGCAAGCATTAGGTGCAATCTTTGAGAACCAATGAAAACCATGAAAGCGGCAAAGACAGGAACGCTCGTACGAGCTGAAACAAGAAGGAAACGTTAACAAAGGAAAAAGGGTTGCAGTTTTGATAGAGTAGAGAATCTACCGTTGTAGTTCCCTCCCAAAGTTCAGTGCTAATGGCGTCAGCTCGCCATCAACAGTACTCTCGTCATCATAGAAGCCGCTCTCGCTAAAAGGTTCAATTTCAGCGTCTTGGTCGTAAGCCTGCTTCCTCATGAGAGGAGGCGTACGAGGCTGTTTGCCCAGTGCAGGGAATCCAGCTTCAGTTGAGGCACGCGAGCTATTGGAGTTCAAGCGCATGGCCTGAGGGCGCTGCGATGATGATGAGACTTCAGATGTGCGGCGCGCGTTGGATGTCGGCGGTGTCATGAGACCCGAGAGAAAAGACTGTGCGGAGTGAGGTTGGGCGCGGGATGGTGTCTGGGTACGCGTGTTGATCGAAGTGCCTGCGAGAGCTGATGTAGCTTCACCACGGCCCTTGCGCCAGTTACCAATGGCGGCGGCGAGCTGGACTGCCTTGGGTGACGCAAAGTTGGAGAGGGAGCTTAAGGTGGGGAAGGATTGTTGTCCGCCTGAAATGAGACGCTCCTTCTCAGATTGCTCCATCTGCAAGTTTGTGCGAATACGGATTGCGGCGTCACGAACGGACTCGCGGTCGAAGGTTGGCTGCGCAAGAGAGGTGATGAGGTCGTTCAGGTCGTCAACACGTACACCGAGTAGCTCACGGAGCCAGTTGATCTCAGTATCGCGTTCCTTTAGCTTAGCAGGAGCCTCGGTGTCAACTTCTTCAAGCTGACGCTCAAGAGACTCGATACGTCCCTCACGCTCTTGTAGCTGCTCCTGGAGTACACCAATAGACTCGCGCAACGCTTGAGGCGAGATCTTCTCTGCGCCGCTAGGAGCGAATGAAGAGACGGACGTAGGAGATTTGGATGCTGCTGCGACTGCGGCGCTGGCGGCTTCCTTCGCGACCTGGAGCTTCTCTTCCAATAGCGCGATCTTGTCCTTGAAGTGATCGAGCTTGGAGTCGGCCAGTGCAAGCTTGTCGTTGTGGAAAGCCTCGGCACGATCTTTGTCTTCGCGGGCAAATTCGAGGGCGCGTGCATGCTCATGCTTGATGTGCTCAAGTTGACGCTCGAAGGTACGCTGCTGTTCGTGTAGGCTATGTCTGTTGTTTTCCATCGCTTCTTGCACAGCTTGCTTCTTGACATCGGAAGCGGCCTCAAGATCCAGCTCGTGCTTCTCCTTGGCCGTATCAGCATCCAAGCGAACCTGGTCGAGCTCGGCACGAACACGGGCGATCTCGCTCTCAAGCTCGTGTCGAACGATGTTGACCTGGTTGTTAGCTGCATCGACATCGGCCTCCATGAGCACGCGGGTGCGGCGGATCTCAACGTGCGCAGCATCCCTAGCCTCTCGCATATCACGCTCATAGCGTTGGGCGTTCCTCTGGTGCTCCATGGACTCTTTCCTTAGCTCTTCAATGGTCTCCTCCAGTTTGGCGTTGTGCTTTTGCGTTTGCTCGAGATGGATCCTGAGTCTCATACCCTCACGTTCCTGAGTCTCCAAACGCTCCAGCTCCCTCTCCAGACGCTCCCGTGTGCGACCCTCAGCTTCAATGCGTGCACTGAGGACCTCATATTTCGTCGCAGACGCCTCCTCATGTTTCTGGAATTGAGCACGCTCAGACGCAACCTGCTGTGAAGCGGCAACCATATCTTGTTGGAGCTTCTCAAGCTTGGTACGCATCGACTCTCGTACGCGAGTAGCCTCCTCGGCCTGGAACCGTGCCTCTCCGATAGCCTTGCGTAGCTTCTCTCCTTCTTCGTGAGCGTCCTGAAGGTCGCCACGCCACTTGCTGGCGGAGAGTCGGTGTTCCTCGAGCGTAAACGTAAGTGCCTCGTTCTCTGCGGTGACGGAATCGAGCCTCTTCTTGAGGTCCTCCTCCGAGCTCTCCAACGCGATGTTTGTAAGCTTGAGCTGCTCGTTCTCAATGTCAAGAGTAGACAGTCTGTCGCGCATTTCGGATGCATCGGCCTGGTACGATTCGAGGCTACGACGGAGAGCGTCTCGCTCCTCGGTCAAGGTACCAATCTTGTGCTCATCATCACGGGCGGCCTGCTGGAGAAGGGTGAGCTCTTCCTCAGTGACCTTAAGCAAACGCGCAGAGTCCACCTCGCGGGCCTCGATAGCTTGCCGGGCCTCAGCTTCAGAGTTGAAACGGAGAGTGGCTTCTTTGAGCATCTCCTCAAGGTCTGCGATACGGACATCCCTCTCATGGATGGCCTTGGATTCCTCACGCTTGGCAATCTCCATGGTATGGCGGCTCAAAACATCATCAACGAGCTCGCGCACGTCGTCAGCCTGGAGATGGTGACTAGTAGTCTGCGCGATAGAAGCCTTGAGGCTACCAATGACTTGGTAGAGCTCGGACATATCAAGCTGTGGCTGTGGAATATCGACGGGAGCCTCAAGAGTAGCAGGCTTCTGGTTCGCCAGGGCCTCGGCAACAATAGAACGGATCATATCTGGCTGTACATTGTCGGCAGTCGGCGTGGTAGGAGCTTGAGGTTGGTGGGATGCAAGTGCTTCGGCGACGATGGAACGGATGGTGTCCGGTTGTACGGCAGGTGTTTGTTGCTGCGACGCGAGAGCTTCGGTAACGATTGCTTTCAGGTCGTCAGGCCAGATCTGCTCAGGCACTGGAGGTGGCAACGGCTGAGGAGCGTGCATTTCGAACGCCTCCAACACAATGGATCGAATATCATCAGTCTTGACCGGCTCCACGGGCTGAGGAGCATGGGTTGCAAGCATGTCAGCAAGGATAGAGCGGATGTCTTCAGGCTTGAGAGGTTCAGCGACAGTTTCCTGCACAGGCTTGGCAGAAGCAATCGCATCTTGGACAATTGCACGAATCTGATCAGCAGGAACAGGTTCAGCAGGTTGCACAGATGGCTGGTGTTGCGCAAGCGCATCGGTGACGATCTCCCGGATCTTCTCTGGGATCATTGGCTCAGGTACGGGCACCGGAATAGACGTGATCTGTGATTGGTGCATCTCAAGCGCGTCCTTGACGATTGATCGGATCTTCTCCAACCTCCTGTCTTTTCCTCGAGATCGGTTGCGGTAGTCAACGTCGGTGCCGGCATCGTCATCTTCGTCGTCGGCATCGCTGTCCAGGCGTGCGCTAGTGGACATGCTACGGCGGCCGCGTCCCGGACGTTGCGACATCATTGCAAGCGCCTCTTGGATGCCTTGCAGGTTTTGCTCTAGCGGGCCAAGGCGGTCCTGCAGGAGACGACCCATGAGGTCATCAACATGCTTGTCAAAGAAGCCACTGCGCGTCTGGACCTTGGACTCATCTTCGGTAAGGAGGCCTTCGTCCCAATCGCTCATAGGCCCGGCGTCAACAGTGTTCAGGCGACGTACAGGCGAGTCATATGGAAGCGCAGCCCGCTCGTCGTCAAATGGATCTTGCACTGATGTTGCAGAGCCCTGCATGGGCCGTCCAGGAAAGAATCCACGGCGGGGGCTGGGGCTAGGCGCGTCACTGCGCATCTTGAGGTTGGGCTGCAGGTCATTGCGCTCAAACACATTCGGTGTCCTCTGGGGCGAGGATTGATCCCAAGAAGTCTCGTCACGCTCAACGCCAAAGTCCGACCCTTCACCATCCATGTGCTTCATAACAGCATCAATGTCGTTGAAGGAAGCATCACCAAGGTTGTCGAAATCAGCGCTTTCACTCTCAGGGTAACCCTTACGCCTGCCAGATTCCATGGCGGTCTTGAATGAGCCGTCATCGCTAGGCCTGTACGTGGTAGCAGGGCTCCTGCTGGCATATCTTGGTGGAGATACTGGGTTCTTCTCCGGATCTTCGACCTGAGATGGCTTCGTAACATGGAAGCCGAAATCATAGCCGGCACTGTTGAACTGGGGCTTGAACTCGAAGGGTTTGGCATTAGCTGATAGAGTGCTCTTGTGAGTATGCTTCTTGCCCAATGGCTCAGGTTCCTCAGTAGTAGGTGTAGGCACGTCGCTTGCATGAGGCGTATCGTCGTCTGCACCTAGATCGCTCTCTGGAGCAGGCGAAATAGGATCCATGACGACCTCTTGCTTCGGCTGTGACAAAGGCTCTGGGCTCTTCGATTGAGCCTTGGTCTGCTTGCGCGCAGGCGACATGTTTTCCTTATCTTCTGCAGCCTCCTCCTGTTCAACTTGGGGTTCCGGCTTAGTAGCGTTGGGCTGCCTGACTTCGGCCAAAGGCTGCGACGCAAGAACTGGCTGGAGCGCAAACTTGGGTACGTCGTCACCATCAGCACGATCACGTCGAACTCGCTTCTCACGGCCATCAGCTTGCCTAGGTCGGCCAGACTCGTCCTCATGGTCCTCCCGACCTTCCGTCTCAGGGGTCTGCGGGCGCGTGTTGTCCGGGCGGATAATCGGCACCGCCTTGGAGCGTGTAGCTGGCTTGACAATGTCGCTTTCGGACAGATTAACATCACCGAATATCTTCGATGAGAAACTTGTTGGAGCTGGGACCGGCTTGTTGGGATTGAAGGTTGATACTCCGGGGTTGAATGCAGGCGCATCCGGCTTGAAGGACGGCGGGCTTGAAAAGTTGAAGCCACCAGAGGGAAACGGAGAGCTGTCTGCAGCAGGCTTGAACGCAGGCGCTTCAGCCACGGGCTTGAATGCTGGTGCATCTGGTTTAAACACAGGTGCATCCGGTTTGAAGGCAGGAGCCGACACGTTGAAGTTCGCCAATCCATCGATACTGGGTTTGTTGTTGTCTGGGCCAGCAGCTGCTGTAGGTGGCTTGACTGCGGGTGCGAAGCTGAAGCCCGAGGAGAAGGATCCTGGGCTGAAAGACGCTGCAGGGTTGAACTTGAACTCTTTAGCCTCAACATTAAGCTTAGAGATAGACGAGCGCGAAGCATGCTTGCTGTGAATTGCGGACGTAGGCTTGTTGAAGGCAAATTTGTTGTCCTTCCAAGAGTTGCTGACTTGGGATGGGGCCTGGGAGTGCTGTGCAGAGTTCTGTGCCGGGTTGCGGACCTCCCCGTCCTCCAGGCTGGGGTTTGTGTTCTCCGAGATGCCTGTTTGCGCACCGTCGCTGTCGGAGCGGGGATTCTGCTGGGCGGGGAAGGAGAAGGAGACAGGCTTCTGAGACTTGGCGAGCGAATGTGCTCGGCTGTGCGGTTGAGGTTGGTGCAGGATCGTTCGCGAGTCCTCCCACGTAGGGTTAGCCACGGCGTTAGAGGGCTTGTAGGATACGTTAGTCTCTGGCTCCGTATTGAAGTCTCCTCCTTCCGCAAACTGCTTGTCGATAACTTCTTCCAAGTGATACTCTTCGTTCGCAGCCTCGCGTTCAAGGTTCTCGCTAATGTTATGACGATGACCGCGAGGAGTCGGTACAGCGATCTCCGGTGCAGATTTAGCGGCATGCTTCATCGCCGGAACCTCGTCTTCCTCATCTTCATCTTCGGGTACTTCGGCCAATGTGGAGGATGGTCGCATTCCAAGGACTTGTTGCTGTTGCTGCTGTAGAAGTTGGTTCTGTAGCTGCTGCTGTTGTAGTTGCATCTGCAATTGGAAGTCGTCCCTCTGCGTCGGCGTAATGGGAAACTGCTGGTTTGATCTCATGCCGAATGGAGAATGTGGCGAGATCATACCGGAAAGATCAGGTCGGCTCAAAGAAGAAAGAGCAGGGGAACCGCTGCGTCCGTCTTGAGAGTTGAAGTATCCAGCAGGCGACCATGTACCTGAGGGCGAGTAACCATGCTGAGCAAAGTTGGCAGGCGATCCAAAAGTCGAGTGACGATGCATGTGCATGCCTGGACGCGGTCCTGCAAATGCAGCTGGAGACGCGATTGACTGTCGGGACATGTGCCCGGACATGTGCCCGGGCGAAGGCCCTGCAAATGCAGCTGGAGAAGCAATTGACTGTCGGGACATGTGCCCAGGCGAAGGCCCGAACGGAAAAGCGCCAGATACGATGCTGCCTTGCCTGGCCATACGAAGGCTGCCAGCTGAAGAGGTAGGTATTGGCGGAGAGAAAACCTGCCCTGGGTGTTGCTGTGACGATGCTTGTCGTGACAAGGGGAGAGGAATGTCTTCCTCGCCACCAGTGCTGACACCGAGTGCTGCCAACTTGGCTTCAAGCAAAGAATTCTGGTAGTTCTTCCATTCAGATTCTTTGTACATGCGGACAGTGTACCGCGAACCGGCATTCGCACGTTCTGCTTGGACATCGGCCTCTGCCGGCCAGATGGCTCGGTTGTGTGTCTCTAAACCTCCAGTACTGAAGCCACGAGTGTCGTAACCCTGTTGCTCAAGTTGTCGGAGCTTTGCATTCACAGCCTCTGCACTCATCGGCCTCGGAGGGAACCCAGGGTTGCCCCTTGGAATGTCGCGCGGTATTGAAATGATGCAGCCTTTACCTTTAACAATCACCTTCTTACGCATTCGAGATTGCGCAGGCGCCGCGCCTGGAGGTGCCAGAAACGACTTGTTTGGAGTGTCGGGGAGTGGCTTGCTCGATAGATCCTGGTTTGATTTGGATGCATTATTGCTCGCTAGCTTGCTGGGAGTTTCATCTGCCGGCTTAGCTGCTTTTGAAGGTGTCGGTACTGGCGTCTTCTCAGCCGATGCACTGTGCCCGTTCGTCTGTTGTGTGGTACTGGGACCTGATCCCGAGTTTTGCCTGGCCGGTGACGGCTCAGGATCCGCATACTTGGAAGCCATCATCTTGCCGAGTGCTTCTTTCTGGTCCTTGCTAAAGTGTCGCCAAAAGTCCTGTTGGTTCAGAGTCTTGTTGTTGTTCCTTTGCTTGTGTCCCCTTTTTGGCGGAGGAGCAATTGGTAGATCCGGTTCTCCACTTGATCCCTCAGTATCACTATTGTTATCTCGCCAGTCGTTTGTCTCGCGGTTCCAACGCTCTTCTAGAAACCGTTCAACCCACTCTTGAGAAGTAGGGTTTGTGTCGGACGCTCGGGGAGTGGTACCAGAAGCTCGCGATTCTTTGGTCGGTGTTACTAGGTTTGGTAATCGAGATCGGATTAGGTGTTCGAGCGTGAACTGATTTGGCGAGGCGTTCCGTTCTAGACGGGGTATGAGATGCTCGAGATTGAACTGGTTCGGCGACTCTTCCTGAAGATCTAGCCGAGACGGGAGTAAATGCCCAAGGCCAAACTGGAGCCCAGAAGCTTCTTCTTCAAAGTCGTCGCTGCCGAAGTTTGTCGAAACTTGACGCGAAGGATTAAATACTGGAGGCGGGTGTCTGTACGGACTGCCCCAGCTGGCGGTATAGTAGGAAGTATCGGTTCTATCGTGCCTCGCAGCGTTGGAGGGAGTCCGCGGGTTGTTTCCTAGTACGGAGAAGGACGGAAGTAGAGGGAGCTCTGGACTCGAATGCCCAAGGGTGCGAGCCGGAGAGGGGGCCGTCCAAGTGGGAGAGACTGCTTCACGCGCCTCAGGCGGAGTGGTCGCTTCGCCAAAGTGCTCTGGAGCAAATGGGGGCGATGAGGGCGGATGCTGCGAGGACGAGATGGACCGTCGAGCTTGCATTCAAGGGTTTCCCACGCTGGCACAGCTCGGTCAGCTGCAACTCTTCTTTTTTCCGTCTCGGATGCTTCGCGCGTCAATGATGCGACAAAAGTTCCGACGAGGTTGAAGTCAGTGCTCGGGGCAAAGAAACGCGTGTCTGGAGAGTCTCGCGCGGATGCCGTTTGGTGACGCAGTGCTATTATAAGGTAATATTACAAAGAAAGGCTGTTGGCAAGTAGCTAAAAGAGCGACATAAGGTGGGATAGCACGATTCTGGAGACAACAGGACGAGCGAACATCCCGAGGCAGCAGCAACAACGGATGAAGAAGTGGCAGTCAAAGGCGTGCCAGTGTCGTCGACGACAAATTGTGGACACGGACAGGAGAGCAGGCGAGGCTAAAGTCAGCCATGTTAGCGGGATGCTGCCAGTTGGCGTCAGGGGCCTTGACGCAGAGGCCACATGGGAACAAAGCACGCGAATTCTGCACCTCGACGGCGTGCATCAAACACCAACAATACGTCATGACAGGTCCATTCGCTATTATTATTGAGCTTCTACGCGTGTTCGTGTGCGAAAGCAACTTTTGTCCTTCCCATGACACCTCGAGGTCGTGTCGACGCGTCTGAAATCACTTGCTAATATCAACCACGACATTTAAACATGACATGGGGTGTCTCAATGCCCCGGGACTGACCCTCGCAGCCAATCGCGTACCGGCACGTCATGTCTGAATGCACCAGTGGGAGCTGGTAACGACTGGACGACAAATCTTGCTACCCCGCTGCAGAGCTACCCGACCTTCCAACATTCCAACTCAGGAGATATTGCGTCATCCATACGCGTTGTATACTCTCATAGTGTCTTCTTGGACGCGACGAGCGTGATGCAGCGACACCGAGAAAGGGGACCTGACTAGTGATTAGACAACGGGAGCTAATGCTGCGGTGCAAGGATAGCGATGTCTCGTCAAGCCCCCGTCTCACATACTTCTAGAAACTCCTTCAACCATCAGTTTACGGCCAGACAAGCAACGCCACATAAAAAGCATTGAGTTTCGCGTTTCACTTGAAGCAGCTATAGGTCGATGCACTGGATAGCGAGAACTCTAGGAGCTTGGATTTTCTGTCTTGTATTCAAACAACACGTGAGTACCCTACGTTATACGTCTTCTCTCAGTGCAGTAGGTCTGCCACTATATACACAGTGTGTGTGTGTTTGTGTGTGTTGACATACTTTATGATCAATAAACGAGGCGGCTACAAATGGTGCAGCCAACAAGAAAATCATCAACGATGCCATGTATTTACCACGGTCATCTTTCGTAGGCAGTGCTAACTAACTACAAGCCCGGGTAGAATACTTAGTATCTGAAGTTCTCGCCAGCGGTACCCTTAGTTACCAAGACCGGCTCATTGGCACTTATAAGGCTTGCATTAACTGCGACTATGTTCATAGTGTATTCCTTCTCCAAGTTCGCATCGATGCCAAAAAAAGGGAGCAATTTCGGCACCACTTGCAAGGATAACGGCAGATCCCTTTGTCATGCTCGTTTGAGCTCTTTAGATGTACGATACCTGGAACCTATCACAAAGTTGATAGCAAGAATTATTTGGTATTGGAAAGAAAGGCACTCCCTAAGCCTTTACTTACCTTCAACGCCAAGTAGCCAACCATTTGAGGCACATGATCGTCTGGAACGGTACAACCGAGCTTAATATCGAGGAAGGACCGACGCCCTATTAAGAGTTCTTATACAACAAGAGCGGATGTCCGGCTGAGGATTACTGAACATGGACAGCTGAAGTTGAGCAACTGCCGTTGTGGATCCTAATATTAGTATTCAGACATTTGCTATATAAACCCTTGAGTTTCCTGGTTCGATGGTCTTCACAACACCACATTGCTCCCTCCCAAACATCATTAAACTCATTTATAAATAATCCGTATCTTGAGCTTGATCATGAAGCTGCTCGTAATCTGTGCTGCACTTTTAGGTGTTGCTACAGCCTTCCCAAGTGTCCAGTCTCCAGATGGAAACTTGGCTGGCATGGATAAACGTCAAAACGACTGTCGATCCTGTATTGCCAATTGTAGAGCCGTAAGGAGTCTCTCCCCGTGTTTGGATAGCAAAGGCTAGCCAGACAGTAGAAGGCGTGCTGCTGACGTCTCGACCATAGGAAAATCTTGAAGCAAGCGGTATTGGTTGCAATCAAATTTGCGCTTGTTAAATATTCTTTCATGGGTTACGAGGGTTCCACAAACTACATGCTGTTTTATGGACTCCTCTCCACAGAGAGTTTTGGAGAATGTACCGTGTGACTCGGCTTTTGTGAAGGATGACGCGGTGAAAGTGTTCCCCGAATGGGTTTGCAAGCTAACAAAGGGCTAGTCAAGACTAGAGGCACAACGTAGCCCCTTGGAAAATGGTGCTAGTGAACGAACACTTTGTAGATATCTCCTGGGTACTATTATTTGACATTGAATATCGTGCAAAACACTCATATCAGCTCATATGATGCATATCAGTGCACATCGTTGATGCTATGTTCGTCTATCTCTTCCCGCGCTAAAAGTGCATATATTTTGTGTCATGACCACTTAAACTTTTCGGATCATGAACATCCTCTTTACGAATGGGCTCCTCTGGAAGCTCTCAACCTCACCAAGAGTCGGGTCAACTTCACCCTTTGTAGCTGCCGCAGCATTCTCCTCATCCTCACCAATCTTCCAGGTTCTCACCATCCAGAGACAGACCGCAGCACCGATATACATCCACCCCGTGAACAGGATAGCTCCAGTGTAGCTCCCTCCGTTGAATGCTACAATCTCAAGACCGATGGGCTCGGAGACTGTATCCCATATTAGTAAGTCTTCCCCATACAGGTAAAAAGAAAACAAGAAAGGAACATGAACTCACAAGTAGTGGGCAGCACAAGCACCAACCAAGTGATACTCAACGCACTCGGCAGATCCCTCAGCCCCATAACCTCTGTCGTAACCGGTGCAGCCGTCGCCCAAAACGTCCCCGCCACCATACCTCCCACAAGACTAAAGAAAACCAGCACCCCAAAGCTCTTTGCAAAGATCCAAATGAGCAGACAAAACACTCCAACAAGGAATGTCATACTTCCAGCCATATTCAATCTCCCAATAGAGTCGGAAAAGTACCCAATGGGCGGCCTACCCAGCGCTTGCCCCAAGTTGAAAACAGCACCAATCACACTACCCTGCTGCGCACTCAACCCAATCGTCCTGGCGTAACTCGGTAAACTAAAGAGTAGAACGATATACCCCAACATACTCAAGAACCCAAACGCCAGCAGTCCCACAAACTGCGGTTTACGAAAAAGGCTATAGTCGAAACCAAGCTGACTAGCCCCAATCTGCTTATTCCGATCTTTAATAAGCAGCGCACACGCACTATTGACGACGAAAGCGATAACGGCCAGCGTGCGAAAAGCCCACGGAAGCCCAATATCACGAATCATAGCCTGAGCAGCGAGACTGTAGATCAAGCCCCCGAGACCACTCCCCGCGGCACAACACCCGTTTGCCAGAGAACGATGCGTGGTAAACCACTGCGCAGCAATCCCCACGGAACCTAAATGTCGGGGGTGATACAAAGTCAGCCATGTATACATCTCACACAAGCACGCACTTGAATACAGAAAGACAATACGAACCGACGAACAAAAACCCCATCCCCCATCCAAAACACACACCCTGACTCAAGAACAAATGCCAAATCTCACTTGCAAAACTCGCCCCGATAAAACTCACAGTCTCGAACCCCACGCCAATGAACAGTGTCGTGCGGGTCCCGAACCGCCGTGTTGTTAGCGTGGCAACGGGGGATACGATCAAGGCTTGAGAAATGGATAGACCGCCGATAAAGGCGTATTGAAGAGGTGTGGCACCGGGGAAAGTGCGAGTGGAGAGGTAGTGGGCAAGGAAGACGGCGTAGGCGGAGTTTAGACCCCAGGTGTGGCCGTTTATTGTAGCGACAGCGCATACGCATACCCAGCCGTAGCCGCCGTTTGGGGGACGTCGACGGGGGTTTGGACGAGGGGGCAGTAGTGGTAGTTGGAGCTTGTTGGTGTTCTTGCTCTGCGCTCTTGTTCATCATCGTCTCGTGTTTGTTGGTTTCGGACGGTCGCATATTGAGTTGTAGGTTTTGGCTGCTTCTTCTCTTTTCTGGTCCTGAGATGCCATCTCTTGTATCCTCGTTAATTTCCTTCTCTTCTCCACGTTGTCCTGCATTCAGCGTCATTGCGAAGCTTTCCGAATGTCCTCAGATTCTAACCCCGAGTTCCTGTTCCGAATTCTGTTCCTACTATCCCGACTTCTTATGCCGGAAATAGCACGCCAAACAACCCTACAGTTGCCAAACAGTGAAATCTGTTAATCCGCAATCTCACCCAGATACCATGCACGTCAACGTATGAGCAAGGATCAGGTCGCGCACGCGTATAAAGGATTTGAAAGTCATTGTTGCGCCTCCTGAGGTCAAGAGAGAGATGGCAAGAAAAAGTGGAGAGGTTAACATCCTACGCCCTTGCCCGGAAATAACCCATAAGCCGAGCTCTTACGTTAACGCTTTTGACGCCCCTGCCCTTTCCGGCTAATACAGTTGCGAGAGAGGGCAAGCGGCTCGGCTGCGTTCGTCGAAGCATGCAAGCTATGATGTAGGTGCCGGCATCGGCACCGCGGACTCCAGGTCAACTTCTGTGCCGATGCTTTTAAGTTAGGGTACTCACTACCTCAGTTCTCGTTGTAATGTCACTTCGTTTATTGATTTGTTACTACATAGGAGAGTTCAATACATCAAACGCCACCCCATCAATCTAAGCCAAAAGGTATCATCAATCGTCAACGCCTTGCCTACGTCCATCTATCGCGACTCACACTGAGCCATGAACTTATACATACCCTCAACACCCTGGTACTCCAACGGTGTATGCATGTCCATTTCATCAGCCTCACTGGTGTGCAAGCTATCGTATCCTGAAGGCGACGCGTCGGATAACCACGGGTTTGGCTCAGTCACAAAGTCGTCTAGCTGGTCGTAGCTCTGCTCCGAATGCGTCGAGAAGGCTTCTGAAGCCGCGGGTGATGGCGAAAGCATGTGCGTCCAGTCGATGTTGGGTTGTACGTGTTGGCGATCGGCGACGGGTTTATCATAGAAAGAACACTCGGAAGGTGTCTGGCTGGGTGCGAATGGGAAGAGCAGCGCGATGTCGGTGCCGACGAAAGAGTCGAAGTCTTCATCTTGGTATACTGCGCCTCTTGAAACCTCGAAGTCGTTGCATATCGTCTCTACTGTTTGCGCATCGCAGCCAGGGAAGTGGACTTTGAGTACCGAATTCTCGTACGAGATTGGAAGGTCACCTAATGCTGCCAGTCGTTGCAGATCTTTGAGGACTGCAGCGAGCTCCTTGACGGCCCTAGAGAAGTCGACAGATAGAACGTCGAGGAGACCCTCGCTGTTCAGTGTCTCCTTCTCTTGCGCGAACGAAGTGAAGCCCTTGACAGCCTTAAGGGGAGTAAGAGCGGTGACGGTGGGGTTAACGTTGAAGCTGATGTATGATCCAGGAGTAGCCTTGGGGACCTTGTTCAGCGTGCGGTTGACCTGATCCTGAAGCGCCGATACGGTCTTGAAGCGCTTCTCGCCGTTGTGTGGGTTGACGCCATCGAATTGAGCCTTTTGTCCGCCAACGAGGAACGCCCGTACGGCCTGAGAGACGTTATTGATGACTTGGGCTGGGGATGCCGGTCCATGCGAAAAGTATCGTGCACCTCCGGCCCTGCCAGAGCCCCATCCATAGCCTCCTGCAGTTCGTCCAAGTGTGCCACCGGTGAGGTTCGGGCGAAGGGTCGATGCGAAAGGCGCGCGACCGGCCTGAGCGGTGACGATGCCTCCGATGCGTGACTTGGGAAAGGAAGCCCTGTCATACTTCACGCCTGAGTTGCGAGCAGCAGAGGTAGCGAAGCGTCGAACTGCGGCGCTAATCTGGCTATGGGTAGTGTACCAGCGGCCCTTGCTTTGTTTGAGGTAGGCAATGCGATGGAGAGGATGCTTTGGGGCATTCCGAGCGAGGATAGGTTGCAGTACTGCATCTGCAGGTCGTGCTGATTCTGGTAGTTGTTTCTGTACGAGTTTCGCAGCATGTTTCCAGGCAGCCCTTTATCTGTTAATACGCAGCCGAAATCGAATGGTATCACGAACTTACTTAAACGCTCTCGCGTTTTTGGCCACCGAATTATATAGATGCACCACGGCAGGTGCCATGATGGTTGTGTGTTACCAGGAGAGAGAGTGGTGATGCTTAGGTGTGGGGAAGGCAACGTTAATGAGGCGCAGGGTCAATGTCGCCACCCATCGGAGCGATTGGTGTGGAACTCCCGAACGATGACGACGATCACATGCCAACTCACTCACCGACTGGTCCGCGACCCGACTTCGTTCCAGATATGCCAAGACTCCTCTTCTTCACCCATGAGGCATCAATGTTGCAAGGCACAAAACCATAGACTAAATACGGGGTAATTTGGCCATGTTGCGTTTCCGTTGAGTGCTGGGGATTGTCGGATGCGACTCTTGTGATACTCTAAGGAGAGATTGTTCTTCGTGAATGAAGTGAAAAAACAAACCAAGGGTAACGCTTTCTCCATAGCGCAGCGAGCCGACACTGCAAGCACTTGACTATGTATGAATGCATCATCCTGCGACATATGAAAGACCGAGATTACACTTCACCAAGTGGGTTTACAACAAATTTACCAAGAACAGAAGGTATTCATTTTCGTACTTTTACAAAGCAGAAGCCACACTCATGGGCCTTGATCGCCGCTTTTTACATACTTTGCTTCATTGAAACAAGACAACCAAGCATCCCACATCCACCTACAAGTGAGGGAAGAACAGGAATGCCATTTGTACCTGAGAGGAGAGAAAGCTGCCATCGGAGTTTTGTATGCTGGAGTGGATGAACATGCAAAATAGACACACAAAACGCCAGCTTTCAATGCTATGAAGGCCCCTAGATCCAGGAGAAGAGGGAAAAGCCAGATGATTCCTGAGAAGGGTATTTCGTATTGGAGGATTGGTAATTCGTGTGAACATCAAGGGAAAAAATCGAAGACGCGAGATGGTTTCTATCGAAGAGGAAAAAAAAACAGTTGATCGACCGCCGACCAGGTAGAAAACGCCAAAACATGAACTTTTGTCAATGTATACACAGTCCGAAAACTCGCAAGGGGGGAAAATTGGAAGCAACAAGACCGAAGACCATGACGAAGAGACGCGAAGACCTTAACTCATTATGACATGGTTACCACAGCATCTTTGTAAGATCATGGGGGTGTCAACAGAGCCAAGGTATCAGCATCAAGCAAATCATCAATACGCTGTCGACTTCGAAGGTCCATGCTACCGCTGCAATAAGCTGCTTTCAGCTGGTCGAAAGCTGGACGGCGCTCGTCCTCGGTCCTGATAAGTTCAATGAAGTCTGAAGCTACCCGCTGGCGGATCACCCCATGTGACGAAAGCAAAGACTCGCCGTAAAACTCGATAAGATTGGAAATTCCAGTGTCCGTCCTCCGGTGGGCGGCGTCTTCGAAAGCCAAATGGCGGAACTCGTCGTACATTGATTGATTGAAATTCCGTATCAAGAAATGTGACCAGAATTGGTAAAGAACGTTCATGTCGTAAGGGGTTGTGCCCAGAGGTGCATTGGAACGCTGGTAAAGGGCTTTGGATCGAAGATGATAATACGATTCATGCGATGAATCAGAGGGAATTGTGTGAACTGGGTTGTGATGATCTTTGACCCAATAGAGGCGAGCAGGCGCAGCGGGAGAAGTCGATTGTAAGGGGTCGGTGACGGTCTGTGGGCGATCAAGCTGGCTCTCAGCGCCACTATTGACGTGGTCAGCACGTGCGTCAAGCTTCCCCGAGTTACCAACTTACCCATCCGATTTTCCGGCACCATTAACCATCACTTGGCAGGTGATCGAGTTCTCCGGTTCATCTGGCACGCCATGTTTACTATCGATGGAGCCATTAGAAAATGTTCGTGAAACGGAAGGAGGCAACGCTTGGGTCTGGTTTTGCTTGCGCATAACGACTGTCAAGCTGTCGAGTTGCAAGTCAGAAAATGAATCAGGTTCTCCACTCACAGCCTTTGTCGAGCTCTCGATCGGGTGACCGTTCGAGACGGCCGCATTTGCTTCTTCCGGGGCCGTGCCGTTTGTCTCCGCCGGCACCGATCCGGCATCTTGGGGAACAGGATGGAATCCGTTCATCTGAGGGTAGGCGCCCTCGTTCCCGAACGGGCTAAAAGCTGGGGACATGGCTGACCACTGAGGGGGCTTGGATGGGTCGAAGCCTGCAGGATGAGAGATCTGAGGTTGGTTGAGCTCCTTTGGTCCCTCGTTCTGCGCAGATGGATCGCGCTCGGCCATGTCAAGAACCCATTGTGCCCAGTTGTCCTTGCGACGCAGTCGGTCTTGACCGTTCTCGCTAGTGCGGTACTCAATGACGGCAGACTGCTGGCAGACAAGCCTAATCATGTCGATATCGGGGGACAGGTTCTTGATGCGGTTGAAACCAGCAATGAATTCAAGAGAGACAAATCCTTGTGAATCCATGTGGCGACGTAGGTACATATCCTTGAGCAAGTTGTCAACGGAGAAGTAGTACTCCCTAGTGGATTGTTAGCAAGGGCCTTGTGCTTGAGCAATGGGAAGCATACACTTGGGCAGTGATCATGGAGAAAATCTGGTACTGATCAACGCCGTATGGGCTGTACGGTAATCCAGCGCTCATAGGTGGAGGAGCCATGCCGTAAGGGTACATATCATGGCCAGTCTGTATAGGAGCTGGGTACCCGCTCTGGAAGGATTGGTACCTGTAAGGGTCGGCAGTCAAAGACTGTGATCGATGGCCGTTGCGACCGTACTTGCCCTGAGACGCGGGGAAGAAACTGTTGCTCTCGGGAACAAAGGTCGTAGGAGATCGTGGACCCAAGGGGAAGCTCGACGTAGAGTGTCCGTTAGTGAAGTGGTGCCCATTGGTGTAGTTTCCACGGCCGCCGCGACCTCCACGGCCACGTTCACGACCACTAGAGAATGAACTAAAGCGCTTGGAATGACCATGCGAAGAGCCGTCTTGGTAAGTAGGAGCTCTACGCTCACCATCCCCAGCAGCGTCTGTCTGCGTTCCAGCAGAGGTCTGATGCTCACCCCAGGTGTTATCCTTGGTGGGTGAGGAAGCACCATCTCTCCTTCGCTCTCCGGCGCCGTGGAATTCGCCTCGGCGGCCCTTGTGGGGCTTGCCGGGGTACTGGCGAGGGTAGGCGCCGTTCTGAGCGGGCATGTTGGACAATGTCGACCTCCTGGGCTGTGCCTCAGACTCGGAGGTTACAGGGCCAGTGGCTTTGTCAGCGCTGTCTCCGTTGACTGCGGGCGACTGACCGTTCAACGTAGGTGAATCGGTGCGCTTTGTCTTTGGAGACGCATCCTGAGCAGCTGCCTTCTGCTCGCCGTTCAGTGCGAATCCATCCTTCTCAGTGTGTTCAGCACCATTGCTGCCGAAACCAGTAGGCCTGCCACTGCTCAGCGCTCCACCACGTCCTCCAGGTCGGCCACCTCTCCTAGCACCTGCCGCGTTTGGCAGAGGTGTGTTGAACACGACAGTTGGTGTGTATGGGATTTTCACCCACTCATGCTTGCTGGTCGAGGTGCCATCCCTGGGTTTTTGCTCGGTCTTCTCGCCCTTCTCTTGGGCCTTCTTGCGATCCTCATCAATAACGGTCTCGGGGGTTGGCCAGGACTCCTGATCGCGGTTTGGCGGAGGAGGCAGCGCGCTCGCATTCGGGCCTGCCTTGGCATCCTTCTCAGGAAATCTACCCTTGGCACCATTCCTGACATCGACATCGCCCCGGAAATCTTTTCGGCCCTTGCTTCTGCTCTCGCCGTTTGTGACCTTCTCTTGGGACGTTGAGTCGCCCTTCTTAGCCTGGACTCCGTTGGGAGTTGTTTGGGGTGCGACCTTCTGGACCTGGGACTTGATGGTGTCCGCTCGTATTTTCCAAGGGTTTACAGTCGGTACGGGCGCCTCCTGAAGAGGCTTAGCGGGGACATTTTTGGCCTTCTTGACCTTGTCGGATGTCTTTTCGACCGGCTCGACCGACTTATCAACAGAGGTGGAGGCCTGGGACTTATTATCCCAAGTGGTCGACTCAGAGGAGGCATTTGGTATCGAGGAAACGTCGTCGTCCTTGGTGACTGTTGACGAGGTGGAGGATGCGAGATCCGGTGAGGATTCATTAGAGGCATCTACAGGCTGTGAAATCTTAGCCACGTTGGGAGCGGTTTGCTCTGGTTGCGCCTCGTGGGCTTTCGCAGGTTGCTCAGGGCGCGACTCAGACTCGACGTCTTCAGCCCAGTTGCTGGGCGAAGCACTGGTTTCTTGGCCAGATGCGCTGTTGCCGTCCTTGGCTGGAGTAGCAGAGCCGGATGCCGACTTGCTTGTGGTCGCTGGCGTGGAGACGCCTTTTGCGGCTTGCGCATATGAAAATGTAGAGGCCATTTTGGTTTTTGTGTGAATCTCGACTAAAGTCCGGCTGGTTGGACGAGAATATGCGCTTAGAATCCCCGACGGGAGCGCTGCGGCAAGCTGGCCAACAGGTGTTGACGCTGGTATGTCCGGAGAGGTGTTTTTCTAGCCTCCCCGCACGTAAGTTCCTTTGCCGCTACCAGGCCTTGTGCTGGCGACTAAAGTGATGCTGCGGCGATGTAGCTCTGCAGTGGCGGAGAACTGGGTAGTGTGCTGAACGATAGCTCGATACCGAGGCGGTCTCACACGATGTGAGGAAAGTGAATGCTCCCTGGTTCACAGTTTGGAGAGCGTGACGGTCTTTGCGCGTGCTGTAGTGATTGGCGTTAGCGGAGAAAAGCAGTGTTGGAAATACTATGTGAGTAGCATTCAAGATGTGGTGGTGGAAACAAGTGACGTGGGTAGTGGTGGTGGTAGCGGGCCTGGCAGCGCACAAGAAGTCGAAATGACTGCGTGGGCCGGCCAAGTCTAAACGAGAAGGAGCAGGAATAGTACACAGAGGGCTACTGGGAGGAGCCCAAGGGCGGGCAGAAGGGAAAGATATTGCGCAAAGTGCCCAGCGAACTCGAGGCGGGGAGCAAACAGGTAGCAAGCGTGCGGCGGGCGTGGGCGGTAATGTGCGCGAAACTAACCTCTGGGGCGAGTCGTCGTAGACTGCGGGGTTGGCTGTCGCAGAGAAGGGGCAGAGAAGGCTGCGTCGGCGGAATAAAAAGGTTGCTCGGCGGGTGGTGGGCGGATAATGAGGGTTGGAATGTGCAATGAGGTACGGGCTCCAGGCACACCAAGGTCAAGTTATAGGCTTGTCTGACGTGAAAGCAACAACGACGGAGTAGGCTGAGGCGGCGTCTGAGGGTCGTATGCGACGAGATCAAGGCAGACGGAGCGCCAGGAAAGAAAATTGGCTGTCGTGTGTGCGGGAGATGCAAGCGCAGGTGGGAGGAAGAGGGTCACTTTCAAGCGCGAATTTTTCTTTCGTTAAGGTGGTGCTCTAAAAGAACCCGACAGCCCACGCTACTTCGGCGCATTCACCACTCTCTCGCCCAGTTCCCGAGAGCGGCCGTCGAGCTGCTAGCAGATGACGTGCCGCTTGCACATTTCATGCCTGCATTTATGCTGGCTGCCCTCTACGTCGACCGTGGTTCTGCGTTTGCTTTGCAGCATTTCAGTTTGACGCGCTTCAACACGCCAATGACGTCTCGCGAACCCCATCGACCCCTCACTTGCAAAAAGGTAGTTTTATACATGGCTGCCTGCACTCGAACAAATCTCGCATGCTGCCCAGCCCAGCATGCCGGCTTACTCCCAATTGGCCTCCAACCTTGGGACATCGGGCGCCTCGGTGAGGGCCGTGTCGTGCCGGCACTTTCACGTTCCTTTGCCAATGGTCGGCAGCACGAGCGAGCCATGTACGGATCCTTGTGCCCTACGGGAAAACGGAATCGCGGCCATTGACCTTCCGAGTCCTGCCGGGAACTCCAAACCAGCCAGCCCGTATTGTTTGTCTACAATATACAAGCCTTCATTGTTATGCCTGGCCAACTAGTCCTCAACCGTCCAGCTTCTCCGCTCCACCAAGAGCACCACTATGTCTCTACACTCTCTAGCCGCTGCATCCAGTCCATCGGCGCGGATAAGCTGCGGATGCTAATCCGTTGAAACGCGTGTTAACTCTTTGTAGCAAGACCAAGGCGCATGTTGCTGCACGTCAACGTCGACATGACCTTCATGCCGCGAGGCTTGGGTATGCGAATATCGTATCACCGCCACACTTTCACAAGGCGCGCCTCTTGAATGCGCCTCAGCATCCCCACGTTTCACATATCCGCCATTGATCTCAAGCATGTTAGGAGCATCGTCCGCACCATCAGGCGTTCTCCGTTGTACGTCTATATTTAATCCATAATTTTACCTTGTTCCACTTTAAGAGGCCTTGACGTGCCATACCTAACTCGGCTTACATACGTGGGATCTTAGAACGATTCAACGAGTCCGACTCAACGACCGGTGATTACAATTAGCAGCCTCCACAATCCCAGTCCACACTGCCTCGCCTCGGCCTGCGATAACCTCAGACCAAATGTGTCTCCAAAAATAGTCTCCTTATCCGATCGAACCCAAGCAACACGAATGTGACCATCCATGAGCAACAGAATCAGAAACTCTTAATCCGCAGCAACGCGGGTGCGATCAGTAATAAGAATCCATTGAAACTTCACGACAGTTGCGTGATCATCATCCCCTGTCCCTCATCCACACACGATCCAGCATCCAAGCATCCTTCTCTTCAGTCTCCAACTCAGCCTATTTACGCTTCCCCACCCGTCAGCCCCCTATGAGCCCGTCCTCATCCTCTCCATTTTCATCCTAGCCTTCTCCTCACTCCCCACCCACCACCAAACCTTCCACCTAATCCACTCCTCCTTCTTCGGAAAAACAACTCTAATCTCCCTCTTCCCCCCCTGTTCCACTTCCTCCTTCTCAAAAGCCACCATGACGCGATCCGCAAAGTACCGTCTTGCATGATCCGGAACCTTGAACAACGCCTCACCAAGCGCTGAGGGGCTGATACCACCCTGACTCATATCATGACTTGTTTAGTGGAACGAAGAGCGTGTTATGAGCGTAAGGTGTGCCATGGACGTGCGTTGGAAAGACGCCTTGCGGTCTTCGCAGCAGAGGTCGTGGCCGCGGTGGAAAAGGGCAGGGAGGGGACGACGGTACTTTTCGATTGAGCTGGGGGTGGCAAGGAGGGGGTAAGGGGGTTTGCGCGATGTGAGTGAGCGGACGGTTAGGTCGACGAGGTCGGGGGGTTGGAAGTAGGTTTGGCTGGCCATGAGAAATAGTTGGAGTAATCTTTTTGTTACAAGAGTCAGCATTCATAGATCGGGCAGGTGCATGGGTGGAGCATGAAATACCTAGTGCAATGAGCCCCGTCTTTGGAAAAGTCAGAAGCGAATGTGAAGAGAAGTTTCGATGAGTTGGCGTCTGCTAGGAACAAAGCGTGGAGTGGAAGTACATGATGGTACATGAATGAGAACACGGCATGCCGGTCCAGTTCATCCAGCAATGGCGTCCTCGCCTCCCTTTCGATCCTCGACTTGAGGCTCTCCAAGATCTCGATCTGAATTGTGAAATTCGCTGGGTAGGCAAAGTTGGTCAAGACCCATCTTATCTCATTGAGAAGCCAGACACACACCACCGCAGCATAGAACCGCCCTCTTTGGTCGGCGTTGAACTTGTTATAGTGCCATGTATGCTGCGTTTGTGGGTTTCGCGATGGTAGATCTCCGTCTCTGAACTTCTGCTCGCGATTAACGAGTGTCTCGAAACCATGGACAAGGCGCTGTGCATCTGAAGTATCATCAACGGATAAGAAATCCGGCCCTTGGAGTTCTCGTTCCAACCACATATCCTCCAGGACACGCAACCCCTGGTACCGGGCTAGCACATCACAAATGGCTTCGTCTTTCCATTCAGATGGACTACCACATTTAGTGGCGGTTCGCATCAACAGCATTTCCCAGGTATTGAAACTGAAAGATCCGGGCTGACTTGCGGTTAGAGGTGAGGTGTGCCGTTCCAAGTGCCCGACGATTTTACGGTGAAGGTCCAAGGCCTTGCATAGCTGGAAGTCGTAGCGGTGTTGGGGAGATGAGTAGATTACTGAGCGCATGATCTCGAGGTAGATGTTTCGCTGTTGGATGACACGATGGGTTTTGGTGCATGCGCGTCCGAGAAGGTGAACGTCGTCGATGCTTCCCAGGAAGCGATAGATCTGCTCTAGAATCTCTGGCGGCAAGTCTGTAAGCACAGCCATGGCAGATGATATGCTGTCGGGTGGAGAATCCCCTGCACGGTGTAGCCTGGAGTAACTGTGTTGCTGTTCGTTGTGTCAATTCCGCACGGTATCCAGGTACCTGTGTTTTAGAAGGGCATGCATAAGGCGCACTATTAAGGGGTTCTTTGCAACGTATGATTGGAAAAATAAAGGGTGTGTGAGAATGATCAGAATGATGTATTGTAAGCTGAACACGTCTGAAGTTGAGATAGCTTGGTGTCAACCTGGAATGTCAAAAAGAGCGAATTGCACAGCTGTTAACAATGTAGGGCAAAAGAAGCCATCATCTCTATCAGATATGCATGCAGCTTGCACAAGGCTGAACCCTCATGTTCTTAGTTGGCTCTTTGCCTGGGTCAGGTGCTCCGGCATTCGCTCAGGGTTCCTAGACTTATGGCAGTGCAGCCAGCCCAAGTTTTCCCTTTCGGCCTACAACTTGTAAGAGAAACCATGTAGATTAAGTAGTCAAGAACATGATAAGTCTTACACAGTGAGGTGGATAACGCGTCGTAGAGAAATGCGATGCTGGTGGTTGAGCTGCGACCACTCCGATTGGCTCCCTTACGCCTGCCGCATCGGGCGATCGTGCTTGGCTCGCCGTTCACTCACTCCCGCATTATCTCCACAGCCCGCAACCGCGATTAAGCCAGCCCACGTCATACCTCGCATCACCACGTCGCAACACACATCACTCGTATCGCAACCATGTCCGAGACCAACTCCCAGCCCCCAGACACCAACATGGAGGTCAACGATGAACTAGACCAGACGGTGGACGACGAGATCAAGCAAGACGCGACACAACTGGAAGCCGACGCCATGAATCTCGACGGCGCAAACGATGCGGAGCCCGCGACGGTCAACGGCATGGCGGACTCAGCCGCCGCGTTTGAAGCGCGCATACCTGCGAAGAAGGACGCAACGTTGCGCGAGTTCCTAGGCAAGATGGATGACTATGCGCCTATTGTATGCCACGTTCCGCTCTTACACCAAGCATCGCGTACTGACTAGGCGACCAGATACCTGATGCAGTAACCAACTACTACTTGACACGCGCCGGTCTGCCACCGCCACCCCAGACATCACAACATCTTGCACGTCTGCTCGCCCTCGCGACACAGAAGTTCATCGCCGACATTGCAGCCGACGCCTACCAGTTCTCTCGCATCAGGTCATCAAACACGACGAGTAACAACCCCATGGGCGGCGCAGGCGGAGCACCGGCAGCAACAGCGCCTGGTGGTGCGCCTGGAGGAAAGGACAGCGGCTCAAAGGCCAAGGACTACAACCTCGGTATCCAGCGGCCAGGATACGGAGGAGGAGGCCAGGGCGGCAGCCAAGGACGTACCGTGCTCACCATGGAGGATCTGGGCATGGCGGTAGGCGAGTACGGAGTCAACATCAAGCGTGGCGAGTTCTACCGCTAGTTCTACTGGCTTTGCGCAGCACTACACCAAGGCTGGGTCATGACGGGATGTGGTAATTTGGGATATCGATATGCATTTTAGGCGTTTGGACCGGCATCACAGGCGCAGGGACTTGATCATTAAGAAGATTGAGGCATCTGGCCCAAGCAAAGGGCTCATCGTATTTGTACAGTAGCAGTACAGAATGGCTTCTAGATAAACCAAAATGATACCCAAACTCCCATTTGATGCACGTGTTTCCCATTGCTCATTTGTTCTTCGTCTGCTTGTATGTGAACTGCTTCCGTGTCCTAGAATAATATGTCAGCGCTCCGTTGGTTGCCTCCTCCAAACTCTAACAGGATATGGGGCTTCTGGGAGACCTACGGCGCAAATTCTCCAAGCTTACGTCCTACCATGTCCTCCGTTATGGTGATGTCTAGGTAGCCCTTCCCATTGTGTATCTGGAACTTGAGGCCGACAAAATTTGGTAATATCGTCGCCGAGCGCGCTTGTGTCTTGATCGGTGGCGTCCTTTCGCCCGCCTTCTTCTGTACTATAGGGAGGCTTCGAGATGATTAGGGTGGGTTTCGCAGGGCTTGATCGTAGTGGCTTACGGGACGATATTGGGGCCTGATGAGAAGTTAGTCTTTTTATTTTCTAGGGATTGAACACAAGACGTGGTGTCTTACCTTTCCAGACCGATCGAGCGCAGAGCGCCCGTGTGGGAAACATTGCGACGTAGGGCGTGAAAGATGAGGTCGGCGAATGTTTTCGACTGCTTCCGATGGCTTCACGGAATGCACGTGAGAACGCGGGGGACGCTAGGGGCTTGGCTTAGGCGGAAGCGCGTCGCGAATGGTGAGTGATTGCTCGCGATTCTTTAGCTGCAGTAGGGTGTTTGTTAGAAAATACATCTGCAGTGCTCTAGGGCAGCGTCTAGGTAGCAGAATCACCTCTGTCAGCACCAGGAGTCGAGAAGCCCAACTTACTCCATTTCAATCGCCCACTATGCCACCACGACGCGGTCCACAGCGAGGTATGGAGAGAACCCGAGCTGAGACGGAAAGCATGTGCTGATCGACAATACAGGTGCAGACACGATCAGGATACTTGTCGCCACAGACAGCCATGTCGGATACAACGAGCGCGACGCAGAGCGAAAAGACGACAGCTGGAGGACATTCCACGAGGTGATGTGCCTAGCGAAAGAACACGATGTAGACATGGTGCTGCATGCAGGAGATCTCTTCCACGAGAATAAACCGTCAAGAAAGTCAATGTACCATGTCATGAAGTCACTGCGTCAAAACTGTCTTGGAGAGAAGCCATGCGAACTGGAGATGCTGAGCGATGCGAGCGAGAACTTCGGAGGCATGTTCGATCATGTCAATTACGAGGATGAGGATATTAATATCGCTATACCTGTGTTTGCCATCCACGGAAATCACGATGATCCATCAGGTGAAGGCTCGTTCTCTCCTCTCGATCTGCTGCAAGCATCTGGCTTTGTCAACTATTTCGGTCGCACTCCGGAAGTCGATAAGATTGCGGTGAAACCGGTACTTCTCCAGAAAGGTGGTACCAAACTTGCGCTCTATGGTCTCAGCAACGTTCGTGATGAGCGTTTGTTCCATACCTGGCGGGACGGCAACGTCAAGTTCTTCCAACCTGGTACACAGAAGGACGAGTGGTTCAACCTCATGAGCGTACACCAGAATCATCACGCGCATACGCCAACCAGCTATCTTCCTGAGAACTTCCTGCCAGAGTTCATGGATCTTGTTGTATGGGGTCACGAGCACGAGTGTCTGATTGACCCGCGATACAACCCTGAGATGGGCTTCCATGTCATGCAACCCGGTTCCTCAGTGGCTACGTCACTCATGCCCGGAGAGGCTGTTCCTAAGCATGTCTCCATTCTGAGTGTCACTGGCAAGGAGTTCACAACTGAGAACATCCGCCTAAAGACCGTCAGGCCTTTTATCATGAAGGAGATTGTCCTTGCAGAAGAGAGGGAGATCAAGGAAAAGGAAGTCTGGCGCGTCCGCGACGTCAGCGACAACCGTGCAAAGATCACCCAATACCTAAACAAAGTTATTGAGGAGCTGATCGAAGAAGCGAACAGGGACTGGCTCGAACTTCAGGTGGATCGGGAAGAAGGCGACGATATCGAGCCTCCGAAACCGCTTGTTCGGCTGCGTGTTGAATATACAGCTCCGGCTCCAGGCGAGTTCCATTGTGAGAATCCGCAGCGTATCTCGAATCGCTTTATGGGCAAAGTGGCGAACATCAACGATATTGTACAGTTCCATCGGAAGAAGAAGCCGGCGAATCGGGCGTTAAAGAGTAATGCCGAAGAGCCAGACGAAGATATCCTGGCTGAGCTTTCCATCGACTCAGTCAAGGTCGATAAACTGGTAAAAGAATTTCTTAGTGCCCAGACCTTGACGATCTTGCCACAGAATTCGTTCGGAGACGCAGTGTCACAGTTTGTAGACAAAGATGATAAGCACGCCATGGAGGCGTTTGTCGGAGACAGTCTCAAAAATCAGCTCAAGCACCTCATGGCAGCCAACGAAATTGAAGAAGAAGAGATTACCAGGGAGATGGTGGAGTATCGAGAACAACTAGAGGACCTGTTCGCTTCAGGACAGCTGAAGAAGACCCGGAAGTCCAAGATTAAACCTAAGCCAGCTGGATGGGATAGCGATTTCGACGGGTCCTGGGCCGATCAGCCCGCCGCTCTCGTCCGCTCTGATAATGAAGGTGAGAAAGACGATGACGAGAGCTTAGCGTCCATACCGACAAAGAAAGCTGCTCCACGTGGTCGCGGCAAAGCAGCTGGCACAACTCGTCAAACTGCAGCAGCTACCAAGAAGGCCGCACCCAAGAAAGCCGCACCCGCAGCCAAGGGCGGTCGAGGCAAGAAGAAGGTCATAGAAGAAGAAGAGGACTCCGATGACGAAGACGTAATCATGGTCGATGATGACGACGACGAAGAAGTAATGGAGGAAGAAGTAGAAGAAGAAGACAGCGCAGAAGACTTATTCGTAGCCTCGCAAAAGAAAGCCCCTGCAAGAAAGCCCGCTGCAAGGATGACAAAAACCCTAGCGCGAGCCAAGTCACCGGCTAAGAAGACGAGTACGGTGAGGGCGAAGGCGTCAGCTACGCAGACTAAGTTGAACTTCTCACAGACGCTCACGCAGCGCAGTCAGCCTACGCGAGCTGGGTCGTCGCGGGGAAAGAAGGTTGTGCAGGAGCCGGTAAGTGACAATGATGGTACTTGATGATGTGTTTGGGTGAGCTAATGTGAGGATAGAGTGATGATGAGATCGAGTCTGATGATGCTTTTGAGTCGGCGCCGCCTCCTAGTGCAAGGCCCACTCGCAGACGGTAGACCAACAATACGTATTCCATCCGGCATGAGGCATAGCGAAGGCGCATAGGTGTTCATGGGAAACATATACTGGAGTCTCGGGAAGGAATGAGTTCAATTCCATAGATGAATGAGAGCCTGCAAGTGAAAAGCATCCTAGGTATTTGCATCTTACGATAGAGCATTAGGCCCCATCATTTTTAGATATTCGTCTTTCTTGCATCGTGTCACGAATCTGCCATCACACCTGGATGTGCCGGAGTTCAATACCGAGCTCTTGCTACATCGAGGCTGTGCCCACCGCTCTTTCCTCGTCAACCTCACCTGGCAGCTGCACTTTTCCGCGTCTCCACTTCTCCAAATCCCACAATGCTCCTCTTCAACCCTTCCTACACAGTCACTATGTCATCGTTCGCCTCAGTGGTCAGCCCCAATCATCTCTTACACAGGCAGTTGCGGCAGAATGCAGGCTATAACAACCTACCCAACAGCTTCTTCCGTCCTTCTCCTCAACACACACTCATTTTGGTTCCATCTTCTTGTTCCGCCTCTTCTTTCGCATTGCTGCACTTCGGTTTTTGGATAGCTGTCGCTCGCTTGTTGTTCACATTGCCTTCCCATCGATCAGCTTTGAGGTACGTCGCTGTCTTTCATTGTCTTCATCACCTATCCAGTCAACATCGAGTAGCATACGCTGCAAGGAAGCTGTACTAACAATAGCAGAATATCTGCATCACACCATCTCAAACTTCGCTGTGTCTCCAGCCCGATATCTCATTGGCCCCGTAATACCTACGGTTCAATCAGGTCGGCGGCTTATTGCCTACGGTACCCGCCTAGGGTGAAGGACCACCCGTGATGTCGTTCGCATACAAGGTGGACGAACTGCTTGCACTTCGCGACTCGGTGTCGGAATCAGCCGTGTCGATAGAGAAGTTTCCAGATGAAGATGCGATTAGAGGTCAGTTACGGACCTGCCTTCTTCTCCCCTTCACCATTCACCTTCCCCATCCAGGAGCATCGTCACTGGAGGCGGTACACCTTGCATACCTGTCTACCTACACCCGCTAGGATTGACTTATCATACCTCATCCCACTTCCTCGAGGCTCGTGGTGTTAGTTACTACCACTGCTATACAGCGAGCACAACTAATCGCCTTCCCGTATAGAACACGTCCTGCGTCCATCTGCGTCCGCATCGGCTCATCTGTCCAGCAGAGCATCGAATAGAAGCTTGCGTGTACCCACTCCGGCGGCCCTCGTTCCTTTCGGTCCTCAGAAGCGCCCTTCACCTACACCGTCGATCAAGCGGGGCAAAGCAGAAAAGCTTCTCAAGGAACATGGAAGTCCACCCGGTTTACGAGTAACCGCAGGTGGCCGTATAGTTCCCAGCGACCTTCAACCGCTCGGCACGTCCCGATACGGCGACACTACTTACAGACCACAACCACCATTGCGCGTCGCACCGGGCAACATCATGCAAACGCAAACTCAGTCAAACGGCAACAACACCGCTCGCGTTGAGGTAGTCGGCGGTCAGCCAGTCATTTTCGTTGGCGATCGCATGTTTGCACTGCCAGCAGTCAACGCGACTAACTCCACGATGCCTCCTACTGGCCCCGCTGCTATGGATCCCATGGCCAAGCATATGCTGGACGCATCTACAATGTCTGCTCATGGCACTCAATCGGGACCCGCCTTTGGGCCACCACGCTCCAGTACCCATACACCATTTGCTGGTCTGGACCTTCCCACACTTAAGACGCAACAAGCCCTGAAGAAACACGAGCTCCGAACTGTAGAGCAGACCGAGGTACTGCAAGCCGGCCATCAGAGTGAGGCATGGCGTGCAGGGATGATCGAGAAGAAACGGTGCCTCATCGTCGAGCTCGATGCACTCCGAAAGCAGATAACAGCCTTGGAATCGGACGGCAGTACGACTCAGCATGGCGCCTTTCCTAGAGCGAATGGTATAGGCTCAGCATCTATACCGCCTGGCGGACCGCAATTCCAACACCCGTTTGCTCCCGCAATGTACCCATACGCGGCGCCGTATTCATCTATGCCGATGTTTCAGCCACAACCTCAACCTTTTAGTACCTTACCCAGCTTCTCTACGGAGCCAGCACCTTATGTCCCAGCCGCGTCAAACCCACCCCATTCTCCTCCAGGCTCCGCCAGCCGTCGTTCTAAGGCTATTGAGATCAAGCCACCTCCTCCCGAGGAAGTCAAGCGGGGTTCTGCCTTGAACCCAAAGAGCCCCACATATGAGCCCGCTACCAAGTCCAAGATTGCACAAGGCGCTGTACCGCCCACTCCTTCACCGGAGAAGTGTTCTCTCTGGGAAGCGCAACAGATGTCAGAACCAGGCAAGCACGGTCGCCGTGTATCCTCGCAGAAGCATAGTCTGTCTAGCGTCGATACCATGGACTTCTTCCCCACAAACACACACGAACATTCCTCAACACGAGTGGCACCACAGGTCAAGGAGACGGAGCAGTCGTCCAATGAGAATACGGCTGTTCCGTCTACGCCTGAGAAGCACTGGCCTGCTAGTCCTTGGAACGAAGGCGACTCAGGTCGTTCCAGGAATAACGATCTTACGCCAAAGCTCACCTCGTGGCCTGAGGCATTCGGCAAACAACCTTCCCTAACTTCCATACAACAAACCGCTTCCGAACAGCCCTTCTCCACCATGGTAAAGCAAGCTCCTGCAATGGGTGCTAACATGTCGACTTCTGCTTCGAGCAGCGTCATGACGCCGCAGATCCACTATGACCAGCGTACTGGCTCAGATGAAAACTGGCCGTTCCATGGTAAGCCTGTAGCACATGTTCCGTCCACATACCAGGAAGGTTACCAGGCTGGTTACGAACATGTTGGCATTCCCGATAGTCCCGAGGTTCTGCAAGGCTACATCCAGGGTCTTCTGCATTTCCTCACAGACGAGTCAAAGAAGCGCCAGGCTGAGTATCAGCGTGGTGCCAACTCTAGGACACCTTCGCTACGAGCGCTCGTCGCCGGATCTTTGCCTCAAGACTCTGCTGTCAGCATGACCTTCAAACGCAATAGCACCAACGGAGGCCAAGAGAATGTTCGCTCGGCGAAGAACAATCCGCCAGATGATGTCCGTCGCGACTCGGGGTATGATCAACAAGGAAATGTTAAGGACATTCCAGTTCAGTACATAGTTCGCAACGAGGTTGCCCAAGAACGCCATCGTGTCGCCTCTGCCGCACAGTACCTTAAGCCCCCGGTAATGTTTCCCCAGAGGATGGTTTCAGGCTATCGACAAGCTGTGTTCCCAAGCATCGAGGACGATATGAACAGAGGCATACAAGACAAAAGTATTGCATCCCGATCAGAGATGATTTCGAATGGTGGTGTGTCCCACCAGCCTTTCGGCAACCAAATCCAGAATCGCACCTACAGTACATCGTTGAACATGCAACGCTTCTACCCAACGCCCAAGGAACTGGGTCCGAGCGAACTTGGCGGCTACGGCGCGCCTGCTCCTCGGCACTTTGATAACCACCGTATGTCAGGATTGGATGGCGCCATGGACGATTTATCAGAGATGATCAACGATACGCACATTGACGAGCGTCGTTCTTCTGTTGCAGTGGGCAACCGTTCGGCTGAAGCACCTACCTCCATGGATTATGAGGAGGGCAACGCAAGTTGCTTCAAAGTCTCCAGCAGTAGCAAGGGCAAGCAAAAGGCGACATCTTCTCCAGCAAAGGGCATGGATGCTGAGCGTGATACTGCCGCATCTTCACCCGCCAACCCACCCAGCTCACCCAAGAAGTCTGGAGAGCATTCACCCGCAAAGGCGAAGCTCGAACAGGTGACCAACAAGTTCCGACGCAGCAAGAAAGACGATCCTCGAACCATGTCTCCAGACGAAAGGAAGACACGTTCGGACAAGTGGCGACAGCGCTTCCGTGAACTCAAGAGGACCGAGATCGAAGAGATAGAGGCGCATCGTGGTAACTCGCGTGCCTGATTGCTCATCGTGCTTTGCCGTTGCCTACTTTCCTGTGGGTCGACTACTGTTTGGATATGTTATCGAACCTATTCGGCCTCGATATGATTCAAATCCACTCTTGACGCGTTTTTCCGTCGCAGGAAATTGTTCTTGGATTCGGCCGAGGATTATTCCCATGGAGTAAGCACTACCACCGATATCCTCTCTTAACGACAACATCATTCAGCATCGACGAGTTTTCTTTGCAGTTTTCAACTACCACACAGCCGTGTTCATGGTTGCCCATATAGATGTTCCGGGTTTTTTCTCTAACATTTCTTTCGACGACATGTTGACTGGCAGAACACGGCAGCGGACGTGTCATGGGCGGAGACAGGTCATTCTGGCCAGCTATCTACCTTCCCATCTCTTTACCGCCGGTATCTTGCGTATAACTTCAGCCACTGCATGAATAGGTAGTCAGTATACTCTTCCGTTGCGTAGTAGCATAATACAAACATGTCCTGTAATCAGTACTTCCCTTTTGCAGTCATCTCGTCCCTTTCGGAGTTGGAATGAGCTGACGAGATTAATGGTGCACGGCCGATACATCGGAGTGACGGATAGGGTCCGAAACGCGCGCTAGACTGGAATTGAAATGGTTCTAGAACGGATAGGCGTCTGAGGCCGTCGTTAATGGACGAAATAGCGGAAACATGCGCGTCCTTCCATTGTCGGCCTTGGTACAACATGTACGGGCATACGTATTGTGAGCATGCGAAGTGTAAGCTGAATTCACCATGGCAACGACAAAGGATCAATCAATCACGATGATGATGTCTCGGGTTCGCACAGCCGCTTTTGGTGCGATGACGTGCCGTTATGCTTTCGCGTTGCTGATAAATCGGGCAATAGCGTGATTTATCCTCCAGTCGTGGGGAAGTGCTAAGACGGTTCAGTAGTCATTTCAGGCCAGAGGCGCGGCGCAGGGCTCGGAAGGCGGATATGCATCATCACGAGGGCGCAATCGTGTAAGAGTAAGAAAGGGGGGTTTGCCATGCTTGGAAATACAATATGCTGTGACTATATAGCTGTTGTAAAGTGATGGGCGACGGATGAGGTGGCCCTGTCTCGCTGGCTGGTGTGGTGCTAGGTGGCTTCGAACGCGGCTTCCCTTGGTAGACAAGGGTTAGGGAGTCCCCACTTGCCCTCCGCCATCATTCGCCGCAGTCCCAACTTGTCTCCGGCACGGCTCTGGCTTCCTTCCTTCCCAACCTGCTGGCTGGCCCTACTATACTGCCACTACTCCTCTTTCTCCTACTCTCTCCTCCTCTCCTCTTCCCAACACCGCCAATACCGTCTACTCGCATTCCTGTCTCCCAGCGCCTGTGCCTGCGCCTTAGTGACGGGGTCTTTCTTTCACCAAGCCGCCCCAGCCACACGCACAGCGACCCTAGACATTGACCTCCCCCGACGTGCCATGGCCCACTGACCGTGCAACTGCGCAACCATCACCTCCCTGCAACCGGCCAGCTCGCACCGAATACGCTAGAGTCGCCCGCTGCACTCGCCCATCGACTCCGTGCAACCGCTATGACGCAGCTCTTTAACTCGTCCACATCAAGTCATTCCACCATGGCCGAAAAGACGGAGAAACGCACCTTCTCGGGCAAGGCATTGTCCACCAACAAGTCAGTCAATGCAAAGGACGGCCAGGTCTCTCAGCGAATCAAGAACTTTTTCCGCATCAACAGCACCAATGATACCCGCAAGATCTCCGACGAGGGAAACCCCAAGAACGAAAAGTCGGGCTTTCGCCAGTCGAGGTTCATTCCGCACATTTCGCGCAACCGCTCCCAGACCGTCGCCAGCGAAGGCAACCCCTTGGATGACAGCGTGTCGCCTACCGCTCACGCCAACCCATACTTTGCTCACCAAGGACCACCAGCGCTGCGCCATCACAATGCAGGCAGTGTGCCTCCATCGCCCCCAGACACCCCCGCGGTGCCTAAGACGCAACTGAACGGCGCAGCAACCACCGACGATCATGCCACAACCGCTGGGAAAGAGGAATTGGCTAGGAAACTACGAAGGGTAGCTTCCGCACCCAATGCCCAAGGTCTCTTTTCCTCAGGGAAGAACACTGAGAGACCACAGACCGCAGAACTTGGCAAGCAGCCTGTATTACATCACCCGAACTCGTCAACCCTGAGCATGGTAGAGACAAATTCGCAAGACCCGACTCATCTCCTCCCCATAGAAGCTGGCAAGCCCATACCCTCGGCAGGCCAAATCCGACAGTCTGTAGCTTTCAGAAGGACCTACAGCTCGAATTCCATCAAGGTCCGCAACGTCGAAGTCGGACCGGGGAGCTTCGACAAGATCAAGTTGATTGGCAAGGGCGATGTTGGAAAGGTTTATCTGGTGCGCGAGAAGAAGTCTAGCAGACTATATGCTATGAAGGGTACATGATTTCAACTGGCAATTAGAGATTCACTTGCGCTAACAATTACAGTGCTGAGCAAAAAAGAGATGATCAAGCGGAACAAGATCAAGCGCGCGTTGGCCGAGCAAGAAATTCTGGCGACCAGCAACCATCCCTTTATTGTTACTCTATATCACTCTTTCCAGTCCGAGGACCACCTCTACCTCTGCATGGAATACTGCAGTGGTGGTGAGTTCTTCCGAGCGCTACAAACCCGACCGAACAAGTGCGTTGATGAGGATGCCGCGCGCTTCTACGCGGCTGAAGTTACGGCTGCCTTGGAATACCTCCATTTGATGGGCTTCATCTACCGAGATTTGAAGCCAGAGAGTATGTCATATCTCATTCTTCGCGCACATTCTGCTAACAACCTCAGACATCCTCCTCCATCAGTCTGGTCACATTATGTTGTCAGACTTCGATTTGTCGAAACAGTCTGAACCTGGCGGTCGCCCAACCATGATTCTCAGCGGCCGAAGTGGTACTTCTTCGAACAACCTGCCAACCATCGACACAAAATCTTGCATAAACAACTTCCGAACCAACTCCTTCGTCGGAACCGAGGAATACATTGCGCCAGAAGTCATCAAGGGTTGTGGACATACGAGCGCAGTCGATTGGTGGACCCTTGGTATATTGATCTATGAAATGTTGTACGGAACTACACCTTTCAAGGGCAAGAATCGCAACGCGACGTTTGCCAACATTCTTCGGGATGAGGTACCCTTCCCAGAAGGCTCCGGTGCGCCGCAAGTATCAAAGTAAGTTTGGACCTTTAAATGCCGAGTAACATGTGCTAACGACCTTAGTCTCTGCAAAGCCATCATTCGCAAGCTATTGATCAAGGATGAAACACGCCGACTCGGATCCCGTGCCGGTGCTTCCGACATCAAGACTGCACCTTTCTTCAAGACTACACAGTGGGCCCTACTGCGGCACATGAAGCCCCCGATCATCCCCCACCAGGGCCAAGGCGTCGAGACACCCAACTTCCGGAATGTCAAGGAATCCCATAGTGTTGATATCGGAGCCGCGGGGGTTAAGGGAGTCCCGCTAGACTCTGGTCTCGCTACACCCATGGGCGAACTGGCAGATCCGTTTGAGGAGTTCAACAGCGTTACTCTGCATCATGACGGAGACGATCATCACCATGATAACCACGACCAGTCGCATCTTCACATTATGCAAACGAACTCACAACGATTGACCGAGGAATAATTCGTATAACACAAAACACACGTACTGTGTTCATCACTTACCGGAGGATGGTAATATCCAGAAATACTCCTCTTGACTCCACTCATTTGTTGCGAAAGGATCATAGACAAATGCGGTTTTTCTCATCGCACATCGGCGTTTCAGGGGGGTATCCTATTTCTTCATTTCTGGTTGCGCCGGGATCTCTAGCTTCTCTTTTACCAAGTAGCGTCTTTGTCGCTGTAAAATTTCTCCGGCGTTGTCTGTAATTTTTTGTTGCGAGCATGGTTGTTCGAGTGATCATGCAAGTTTGGTCTGAGGGCGGAGGCAGCTTGGGCGGAGGGAGTGACAGACGTTGATGGGTTGAGGGAACTATTCGTAGGGTAGGGTGGAGCAGAGCAAGGCAGAAGCAATGAGAAAGATATCTTTGAGACACTGGTAGTGCAGTTTGGTATATTCTTGAGAGATTAGCGTGATGTCATGTCATGTCATGTTTTGAAACGACTGTGGTCTGAGTACTTAGGTAGTGATATTGATAGGTAGAAGGTGTGCATGGACCAACGCGGAGTTTGCGGGGAAGACGCGACAACCTATTCGCGAGAACCCTTGTTTCTTGCAAACAACGCGACGAAGCGACGAAACTCTACTCATCACCTACCAATTCACGGCACGAGCACTCGCGGAGCCGAGCCCTAAAATCAAGGAAATAGAAACCATTGTGTCAGCGAGACGACGTACCTATTTCCACGAACGCGCATCCGACGAGGTCACTTCACCCCGCCGCTTCCCGTCTCCCAACTCGCATCTCCAATGTATACACGCGCACGCTCATAATCCCACAAGAATACGCATACACACACCCTCTATCCTCGAACGACCACAACCAAAACCTCATCCACAAAGCAAACGGAAAATCGCAAGGAACCATGACTTCAGAACCCTCAGCCCCCGAACAAAACTTCAGCGCCTCCCAAATCTCAGAAGGAGAAGAAAGCCTGACACCGCTTGAACAAGAAGTCTTGGACGAATACGCGAGGTTATTGGGGAACTTGAACACTGTTAGTTATCCCCCCCCTACCCCTTGTCTCTCCTGCTTTCTTGCCTGAATTCCTCGACCTTTTATCTTCTACTCTACTCCTCCTTTCACCTTGAATAGACCCATCCCCGCATCCCATGTCACTTCCTATTCAAACCTCTGCTTTCCCCAGGCTCTGTTTTCAAGACAGTCGTGCTGACGTACGACAACAACAATGACAGTTATCGTCACTCCTCCTCACCCTATCAAATAGCCCCAGCGCCGCTATCCTAGATGGTCTACGCGGGTTAGAAAGGAAGACGAGTTTGGTTTTTACGCTGTTGAAAGCTAGTGTTTACAGTATTGTGCTGAATCAGCAGATTGATACCGAGGGTAGTCAAGTGGGGGAGGGAGATACGGAGAGGGAGTAAGGGGGATGGAGATGGAGATGGAGATAGTGAAATGAGGGGCTAGAAGGTGTGGGTGCGGGTAGGATGGAGGGCAAAGGCAGCGGCAGAGAGAAGGGAAGAGAAGAGCAAGGATGTGGAATGGTGGTTTGAGGTTGGGCAGGTATGGTACAGAGGTGGAAGAAAACGAAAACGTGGAGAGTGTAGGGATGGATGATTACATGAAAAGTTTCACGATTATGATACCCCGCTAGAGAGCAAGACAGCAAGAGAAAAAGAGAGAGCATTCACACAGAAAGTAGACATAGACACATGATATGATACAAGATATCTACACAAGCTCTATATGAGCCTTTCCTTTCCACCCTCATACCTCTCCCTATTCCATGCTATGATGCATCTCATATCCCAAAACCTCACATGCAGTCCTCACTAATGTACACTGCCCCCGTAATAAACCTTTCTAACATCCACCAACTTCTTGCCTCTCGCACGGGCAATCTCATCCGGCAACTTCTGACTCGTAAGCGCCTCCCACGTCGCCTTGATAACGTTCATTTTATTCCTTGAACGCGGTGTTTTGGCGGAAAGATCCTGGAGGCCGGCTGCTCGTGCGAGCTCAAAGATGAGATGTTGGACACGGAGACCGAAACCTATTCAACACATGTTAGCATTATGCTGGAATTATAGGTAGGCAATTAGTTAAGATGGGGCAAGTCTTACCTGGCGGTCTAGAAAAAAGCTGGACCTTAGTCGCACCAACCTTCTGCTCCAAATCTCCAAACGTCGTCCTGTTTTCGTAGCGGGGAACCGGACGCATGTTTCTTATCGCGCTCATGACGCTTTGCTTACGGCCTTCTTCCGGTTCTACGGATTTACCCTCGCCAACACCTAGGAGACCATCTTGGTTCCCTGCAATAGTAAGGTAGTACAGACTTCTTATCTTGCCCATACGTGTCTGGTTCGTGACGCCATGTACAACCAATGTCTTGACACGGATACTGCGCAGTTTCTGCTTATCCCAGCCGAGATATTGCAAGAGACGTTTCTGCCGGGGGTCCTCTTCTTCTTCCGTGGAGAGGCGGCGTGTTTGGCGGGCCATGCGGTTTTCGACGCGGGGGAGGTCGGGCGCGATGACGGAGTGGCGTTCGTCTCCTAGAGCTTGCAAGGCGGCGGGGTTCTTGGACGTGTAGGTTGCGCGTGGGTCCAGTGTGGCTTGCGTGACGGCTGCGTCCATGGCGTCTTGCAGTTTTGGGTCGTCTTCTGGTATGCCGTCTGGGTACATTTTTGCTAGGTTCTCGGTTGCGATGCGGGTTATGTTTTCGTCGCGCTCGACTTCGTTGGCAATACGGAAGGTTTTGGAACCTTGGATGTCGTCGCCGGTTAGGCGCTCAGGTCGATCCGTCACTGGGTCTACTTCTGCGAGGTCGTCTTCGTAGTTGAGACGCCATGGGTCCGTTCTTCGTTGGCCCTGTGTGAGGACATCTCGTGCGTCGATTGTAGATTCTGCGGCTTTGATGGCGGCGATTTGCGAGGGCGTGTATTTTTTCTCGAGGAGTGTCGTCTCTGAAGTGTCGTACTTTGGGTACTCTGCTTCGGCCGCTTGGTTGAGGAGCTTGAGGTCGTCGGCCTTTATTGACGGGTAATGCGGTCTCTTCTTGCGGGCTTGTCTGGGTGCGGAAGCGTGGAAAGAGCGTTGCGGAGGTGGTCTAGGAAGCGTCGTCGATGCTGTTTTGGTGAAGAGACATCTTGCGGGGCGGCAAACGCTCATCTTTGACCTTGAACCTCCAAGTGAGGGCCAATTGAGCGCGGGGAGGCGGTAGTAGCGGGTGGCCTGCACGGCGTCGTGATGGTCAAAGTGAAGTTCGGAAAGTTCGAAGTGACTAAGCGGGATGGCCGTAATTGCTGCAGCCAATCGCTGTCTTTCTATCCCAGTGACTAACTTAACTTTCTCTTTTCTCCATTTCGCATTTACTGTATGTACTCTCGGATCCTTACTCGACCACTTCGGACACTGCTGGCCAGTAGCCGATATTCCCAGATTGCTAGATACAACATGGCTTCGTCCGCAGACAATGTCGCGCCTATTGAGAGCAATGGCGCAAAAAGATATGCCGAGACACCTCTACGGAGCGAGGAAGGACCAAGAGGCAACTACAGGTTCAAGAACAAGCGCATGAAGAATGGACATGCTGAACAGAGCAAAATCTTGAAGACAAATGGCACCAATGAGGAAGTGCTCTTACAGGATGTTACTGCGCTCATCAAAAATCTTAATCTTGAAAGAGACGGAAAGGAAGCCTCAACAAAACTGCCAGAAAAGTTCAAAGAGATTACAGTTGAGATTAGGGAGATATCTTCCACCGGAGATGGCCTTGGTTTCCAGCAAGATTCAAACTCGGACCAGGTCTATGTCGTGCCTTTCAGCGCACCTGGAGACATCGTGACCGCACGACCGCACAAGCACTTCGAGAAGGAAAAGTACTCCATGGCCGACTTCGTCAATGTGGTCACACCCTCACCCAATCGCGATGATTCTTTGGTAAGATGTCCTTACTTTGCTAGCTGCTCTGGCTGCCAATTCCAAATGTTACCCTACGACTTTCAGCTTCAGCACAAAAAGACCATTGTCGAAAAGGCGTACAAGAACTTCTCCAATCTCCCACCTGAGCTCATCCCGGCTATTGGCGACACACTCGGTTCTCCACTGCAATATGGATACCGTACAAAACTAACTCCTCATTTCGACGGTCCACCAGACGCCCGTCGAAGCGACGGTCGCAATGGCATCAAGCGAATCTTCAAAGAAGTCCCCCCCATCGGCTTCATGAAAAAAGGAACCCGCACAACAATCGACATAGAAGACTGTCCCATCGGCACAGACGCCGTCCGCGCAGGCAACAAACGCGAGCGAAAACGCGTCGCAGATACTATATCCACCTACCACAAAGGCGCCACCCTCCTGCTGCGCGAAAACACAACCCGTATCCCCAAAACTGAATATGACGTCACAAAGGAAACCGACGCCGACGCCGTAATTGAGGACAGAGGCGAGCACATCCACCGCAAAACATGTATAACAGACCCCAACGCCAAATCTACAGAATACATCTCCGACTTCCAATTCGTCAATCCAGCTGGCTCTTTCTTCCAGAACAACAACAGCATCCTCCCCGTCTTTACACAGTATATCCGGGAGAACATCTTACCCTCGTCTTCGAACCACAAAATCACCCACCTAATCGACGCATATTCCGGCTCAGGCCTCTTCACCATAACCCTCTCCTCGCTCTTCAAATCGTCCCTGGGAATCGACATATCCCCCGCTAGTATCACCTCCGCGTCTGAAAATGCGCGCTTAAACAACCTGCCTGAATCTTCCACCCGCTTCATCGCCGCTGATGCCGCTCGTCTCTTCGCTTCCATCGAGTCCCCCGCAGATGAAACAGTCGTCATGCTCGACCCGCCGCGGAAAGGCTGCGACGAGAGCTTCTTGCGCCAGTTGGTGCAGTATGGACCCGCGAGGGTGGTGTATGTGAGCTGTAATGTGCATACGCAGGCGCGAGATATTGGGGTGCTGGTTGGTGGGATGATGGGTGTTGATGGCGGATTTGGGAAGGGCGAAGGTTGTTATGAGATTGAGAGTTTGAGGGGATTTGACTTTTTCCCGCAGACGGGGCATGTGGAGGGAGTTGCTGTGTTGAGGAGGAAGAATGGTGGTGGGGAGAAGAAGGATATGCAGAATGGACAGGCATTAGGTTGATGACGAGGGGTTCATAGTATGGTTAGTAAACGATGGTGAGCACATCGATTCCACGAGTGTGTCGATTGTCTTTTCATTGTCAAAGATTTTGCTGTCATCTCATGCTCGCTCAAAGTCATGCCAACATCTACACACATCTCCCACGATGCTATCTCGCCGTTTACGTGCTTCCCGGCCCACCCAGCAGCGCGAACCTTCGGACAATGCTGGGACCAATCTCATCGTACTCTGCCTTGGTGTGGCAATAGCTCTTGAACTCGGGTGTCTGACCGAGCAAGCTACCTCCGAACCACGGGCCGTGTCTTTGCCTCTTGTGCGTAATGACTTGTACGTCCAAACCACCACTCTTTGCGCCTCCGCTTCGTGCCTCTGAAGCCTTGATCCTGGCGTCGACCATGTGCCTGATGTCACGCTGCAGGCGTCGACCAAAGTCCTTGTATAGTGTTGAACCACCTGAAAGCACAATGTTCTTGTAGAGACCTCTGCGTACGTCGATGGGGGAGGATTGGATGACGGTGTCGACGATAGTGGGGAGCGGGGTTAGGAAATCGGAGGAGTAGATCTCGGGGTTGAAGAAGATCTCTGGCGCAAGGAAACGTTCGTAACCGACGTCGACGGATGTGGTCTTGCCATTGGGGTAGTGGACGGTGTGCTTCTTGAATCGGTCGTCTGACTCGCGATCGAAGCGTGCAAACTCCTTGACGATATCGGGGCATACGTAGCAGTATTCCTCCTTGATGCGCTCGGCGGTCTGAAGAGACGAGTCGGGCTCGCCGCGCTCTCGGAGGAGCGATTGTACGAAGTTGGTGATGTCGCGACCGGCGATGGGGACACTCTTAATTGAGGAACCAATGACGTAGCCTTCAGCAACGGGGATAACGTGCGTGACACCAGCTCCTGAGTCAATAACAGTACCGGTGAGGGATCGGTCCTGCACCTTGGAGCTGGTCCATGACGCGGCCAGGGCGAGCACAGCTTGTACGGCGATGTAGAGACCAGCGACGTTGAAGGATTCGAACATGATTTCGGCGGTAGCTTCGCGGTTCTCAGGAGGGTTCAGTGGCTATCGATTTGTTAGTAATATCCCTCCATCAGTTGCGAAAGCGTAGCATACGGGCTCGGTAAGGAGGAAGTGGTGGTCCTCAGGCTCCACTCTCAGGTACTTGAATATCGAGTTGGACCAGAAGCGTTCCATAAGGTCCTGCATGCCATCAGTATACCCTCTCCTCCAGTCGCATGCTTCTCCATACCCAGTTGTCTATCTGACCATGCCTGATCGGGTAGTTGATGCCATAGCCCGCGCCTCCAGCTGCGGCCAGAGCTTCGTCACCGATGAAGAAGTCGAGGTCCTCAGTGCCGCGCTTTCCAGACAAGTGACCACCAGGTCCAGCTCCACCAGTCAGGTATGAGGGCTTGTTCGCAACGGCTGGACGTCCAGAGCCCGATCCGCCGCTACCGCCTGTTGGACCTTTGGTAGCTATGGCGGTGGGAAAGACGAAGGAGGGAGAGTCGTTGCCGGCGAAGCCTGATGCGTTGTTATTAAGAGCCGAAACATTGAATTGAGTTGTTTAGTGTACCGAGCTTCGAGTATCCCGTACCGCTGTAGCCTGTGTCAGTACTCAATCGCAACGTGGGTGCCCATCGGCAGCTGGTAGCTTACTTGTCCATGACAACGGCGGGGGTTTGGGACGCCATATTTGCTGCTACTTGGCGTAAAAATCAATATACAAAGCAGCTCAGGTGATCCCTGATGTGAGGGCAAAGGCGCGTGGGTCGGGTGTAGAGGTGGCTTCGTCAGAGAGGTGCTGGCGGAGGTCGGTGCATGTAGTCGAATCAGGCACCGCCCCGCTCCGCCCTTGGCAACATGGCGGGGGAACACTACAGCTATCTTTCTACACATGTAAACACGGCCGCTCCTGCTTCCTGAGTTTCGCGTGCCTGCTACATCAACAGAGTCGGTGTCATATCACATGATCCTGCAAACACATGGCTTAGGCAGGTGCAAAGGAAAGAGCCATCGCTATCTCGCCTCTCATCTCGCTGCTAACCTCTCCTCCACTGACTGTGACCCTACAGCGCTCATCGAGCATCTCTCCCACTCTCATTGCTCACCCCGCTACCAAAGGACATCATCGCCTCTACATAGGCTTAGCCTCTTCATCAATTTCCTATTCATCTTCTCTCCCTCAGTCACCTCGCCTGATCTAAAATTACCTTTTTTCTCATCGACCCTACACCTACCTGCATCTCAAATGCCCGCTTAAAGACCGTCTTTACTGTCAGATACACGACACCTACCTCTACCGCGAACCTCGGCGAACCGCAGTCAAGACTCACCCGAGCAGCATCATCCCACACTGTATTGCACTGCATACGTTCAGCCCACGCTTCCGTGACTTTCGCCGACGCTTCTCCACACACAAAGGCATGTCGGTACCTAGTCGTCACTATGCACCCATAGACGAAGCCTCCCATGTTGATATGCATACACGCAAAGCCTCGCGTAGTCCGCCAAATAATGATGTGTGCTGCATATATGTCCACGCTGGCGCAGGCTATCACAGTCACCAGAACGAAAGGATACATCTCGAAGCATGCAATGAGTGAGTCCTCTAGCATGTCCCAGGAGATTTCGCGGTAACGCTTATGCTAATATACGTAGTGCCGCACAACTAGCCATGTTGATTCTGAAGAACGGCGGCTCAGCCCTAGATGCCGTCGAGGCTGCCATCAAGACATTGGAAGATCGAGAAATTACCAATGCGGGATATGGAAGCAACTTGGCTATGGATGGTGTCGTCGAATGCGATGCCTCTGTAGTGGATCATTACGGGCGTAGTGGAGCCGTCGGCGCTGTAGCTCGTATGTACCCAGCGACCAATGGTTGCGGCTCAGTACTGACAATCATTGACAGAAATCAAGAACCCTATATCTCTAGCACGAATGGTCCACGATCACACCATGAGTCCACTTACGCTGCGTCGAGTTCCTCCAAACCTCTTGGTATCCCAGGGCGCCACCGATTTCGCTGTGGAGATGGGAATGCCGATCCTGCCTCACGATGCACTCATCTCTCCTGCTGCGAAAGAGCGTTGGATGCGATGGCGCTCTGACTTAAGGGCTGCCGAGCGCAAGTCCAAAAAGAGTGGTGCACATCCCTCATGCTGGAAGATCAGAGATACTGTAGCACCAGCCGATGAGCGGACACAGGAACGCATGCGCGAACAACACACTCAGAACCTGCTGCAACCACAATTACCCCCAATTTCGGACGATTTGATGTACGATCAAGGTGAGAACTCATCTTCTGATCCTTCGGTTCCTCCTTCAGAGCAGTCTTCGAACTTTTGGATCAGCGATGAGCAAACCAGTGCGCCCGACCTGACCGATAAAGTATCATTGGCTGTCGACGTACGTCCTCCCACCGTTGTCGATGCCTCTCGCAATGCCTTCGTCAACAGCACGCAACAAGTACCTAACCTAAAAGAGTATCGTCGCGATGCAGGTTACGAGAGCATCATGGAAGATGCGCAGATGGAGGACGTCACCTACATATCAAAATCGCGCAAAACATGGGCCGACGGATCTGGAGAGGACTTTGACTCTGATTCCAGCGCGCAGACAGCCAAGGGCGGCCCTATCGAGAAGTCTCAGCATGACGCGATCAGTATCCGCCTACCAGAGACTCCAGACGAGAACGTAGCCAACTCGCGATTCACCGCTGCATCAACACCTCTGGGCCACGTCAAAGAGACAACGTCACTGCCGCCGATGCCATTTAGCCAGAGTCCGCGCGATGCTGAGGAAGACCACATTACGGATACTGTTGGAGCTATTGCGATTGATAGCTGGGGCAACATTGCTTGTGGTGCATCTTCTGGGGGCATAGGCATGAAGTATCGGGGACGCGTAGGCCCAGCAGCTCTCGTCGGCGTAGGTGCTGCTGTCATCCCTGTCGACCCTGATGACCCCGAGCAGACGTCCGTTGCGACTGTTACAAGCGGAACCGGTGAGCACATGGCAACCACCATGGCTGCTACTGTATGTGCCGAGCGTCTCTATCAGAGCGTGAAGAAGAGCCGCGGTGGGGACTACGTTGAAGTCACCGAGGACGAAGCGCTCAGGGCGATGATCGAGAACGAGTTCATGGGTAAGTCGGCCTCTTTGGTGTTATCTACAGTATATTAAGTCTATGTCAGGTCATCCAAGCGTCAAGCATAGCAACTCTGCCGGTGCCATTGGTATCCTTGGTGTCAAGAAGATGCGCTCTGGCATGCTGCTCTACTACGGACACAACACCGACTCGTTCGCCATGGCATCCATGTCCTCGGATGACAATCGACCTGCCTGCTCGATGTCTCGCAGCAATGGCAACGGCCAGATCGCGCAGGGTGGTCGGATGATGCCCATGAAACGCAATAAGAAAACCAAGTCGACCCCTCGTCGATGAATGTGGTAGGGGTATGCGGATTATCTGAGATGTTCCGGTGTACAAATCCCTATCACTCATCCCCTAAGGCCCTGATTCCAAGTATCTTCGGAGAGCCTTGACAGCGGTCAGTATCATTGTTTCTCCATTTCGTATAAAATCATATGCATCTATGGTTGTTTTATACCCCCTGCAAGGTGGCTGTCTTTCCTATCCTCCTCTAGCTAGCAAGTAGTGTTTTGGAACTCTTAAAATGGCGTGGTAGGAGCGGCTGAGCCATCCTCATTGCGCTGTGGAGATGATGACTTCCGAGCTACCCTGGTGGCCATCTTCTTTCACCGATAGCACATGACGTTAGCCACATGCTACTAGCCTATTCAAGCGTAGCTACCCCTCAATGGCCACCATCCTTTGTGCATACACCTGCACTAGGCCTATCAACTATACCAATGTCCGTGGCGAACTCATTTGACACCCTTACGTTCGCATCATTCTCCTACGCTCAGACATTTTCCCCCACTACTTACGCCACGCAACAGCGACTTCTCTATGCGTCTTTTGCAGGTCCAAGATGGTAGTAACTTCAGCCTCGTGGATTTCTCAGACAGTAGCGTTCCGCCCTATGCCATTCTTTCACACACCTGGGGCCCCAACGGCGAAGAAGTCACGTACCAAGACCTGTTTAGTGGTGCAGCTAAGGAGAGAACAGGTTACCGCAAGCTTACCTTCTGCAGAGAGCAAGCTGCAAAGGATGGCCTCCATCACTTCTGGATCGACACGTGCTGCATTGATAAGGCTAGCAGTGCAGAATTGTCGGAAGCAATAACCTCTATGTTCCTTTGGTATAGCGACTCAGCCCAGTGCTACGTCTTCTTGTCAGATGTCTCTGTCGAGGGACAGAAAACGGATTACGACGACTTCAACTTCACGTGGGAGTTCGCTTTTCGAACAAGCAGATGGTTCTCACGCGGCTGGACCCTTCAAGAACTCCTCGTCCCATCTGTACTTAGGTTCTTTTCTAGAGAGGGCCGGCAACTAGGCGACAAGCTGAGCCTGGAGAAAGTTATCTCTGAGATCACGCACATTCCTATCCTTGCCCTTCGGAACAAGCCGTTAAATACCTTCAGCGTCCAGGAGCGGATGTCGTGGACGAAGAACCGCCAGACCACGCGGAAAGAAGATGAAGCATATGCGCTGTTAGGTTTGTTTGGTATCAGTATGCTGCCGATGTACGGCGAGGGGAAAGAGCATGCCTTGAAGCGGCTTCGTAAGAAGATTATAAAGTACTCAGGGGATGAGTTGCAGCAGTTTCATTCGAAGGTCGTTCTCGAAGCAACTCAGGCATTGAGCTCCTCAAAGACCCGTATGTTCACTGTTATTTATGCGAAATAACGCTCTAACAGAATGACGCTACGCGCAGAATTAAGTTGCGATAACTTGAATATACAGTGCAACCAAATGCAGAACCAGCGTTGGACAGGGTGTAGTGACACAATCTCTACGACAGCTGACAACAAGTCAGTCTCCAGTCAAGCGAAAAGAAGCGACCACGATATCACGTTTAGTTCACCACTTCAGCTCAGTCTCGAGTCTTACAAGGATACCGACGAACTTGTATGTGTCACATTTCCATCTTTGTGCATCCTGTCAAAGAATGTCCGAAGTTCGAGGAGTTCCTTTGTTATGTCGCCACCAAGCCTCTTCACCCACACCGGTCAATATACAACGACCTTCAAATGAAAGGTCTGGACAAAGGTTACAATAAGACGAGGGATAAACCTCAAAGTAACAACACGCGAGCAGGAACTATCGTTGCTGGTCATAATAATCATTCAATTGGTCCACAACCGATTCTTCAGAGGGTTACTGTAAGCGAATATCAACAAGCAAGTTCGGCCTGCCCCCTCGGCTGCATCTGCAGATGTCACGCCCCTCGCCGTTTCAAAGTTTCCCTTTACGATCACCTATTTGGGTCATTCTCGATCACCGTCTCAGCAGCGTCTAAGGACAAGAGTCTGTGTACCGAGACATCTTGCTCACGGCGGTTGTTGTCTATCGCGAGAGTTACTTATCGGCTTCCCTCCTGGTTTTTTGGTCGAATCTTGTACCTTACTGTGATTATGCAGCCACAAGTTGGGTTGAAGACGTCCTTGAAGACGCTTCGCATTGTTCCCGATGATGCAGACATCATGCGATTCACTAAGATAGGAGGCCTTGAAGGAGCCAGGTCGCTAATAGAGCAGAGATTGGCCTCCCCCCTTGACGTAAATGCCAATTGGAACGTACCTGTCCTTAGTGTAAGTACCTGACAGCCTCAAGTTCTTCGGTGAGACACGCAGGAACTAATTGAAATTCCATAGTATGCTGTTCAAGGATATCATACAGGACTCTGTCGACTTCTTTTATACGAAGGTGCTGATCCATGCGTGGAGAATCGATCAAACGTGTAAGTTACTCTGATATCCTCTGGCTTGCTTGCTAATCAAAACTAGCTCCGCTTTGGATAGAGCATGGGATATTGTACTGGCACAGAACGCAGATACTCAAACTGAGGACGAAATTCGTTCCGTTTTCTCATTGCAGTATAACTCAGCTTGGTTTGAAGAGCAGCAGTTCACCACTCTCCATAAGATCATCTTCAACGCAGTCAGGCGGGATTTGCGAGCAGAATTACAATCGTCCACCTCGATGATCAACCAGCAGGACTCAGAGGGCCGGACACCATTGATTTGGGCTTCAGCAAGAGGCGATGAAGGATCAGTACGAATACTTTTGGAGTTCGGTGCAGATCCGAATATTAGCTGTGCAACGGGAAACTCGCCGCTATTGCGTAGCGTACGGGCAAAGTCACCCAGATGCATCAGACTTCTCCTGGCACATGGTGCCTATGTCCTCTGGAAGAGTACCTTAGGGTTTACTGCTCTACACTATGCAGCATACTACAAAGACGACGAGGACTATCTGACGCCGCTTCTGGATGACGGTTTACCCATTGACGAAAAAGACAACTACGGATGGACAGCCCTAGCAGCAACTGCTGAGTATGACCATGTAAGCAGTGCCAACGTGCTTCTGCAACGCGGCGCCGACATCGAGACTCGTGATAAGAACGGATGGACCCCTCTGCTAAGGGCTGTTAACTCAAACAGTCAGCGTGTACTGAAATTGCTACTCGAACAAAAGGCGAATAATCACGCGGCCTCTTTCCGTGGTGAGACCATTCTTCATTGTGCGGCAGGAAAAGGCGACTATGATACTCTGGAAATACTCTCCGCAGTAACTCTTGAAGACTTGGATGTCGATTTGAAGAACGAGAAAGACCAGAGGGCTGAGGACTTGATGAAGTTTCGAAATTCTCAATTTCCGCAGCTTGTTGCAGCTTTCAACAGCTTGATTGGAGGCTTGAGGTACGAAACATGAGTGTCGAACAACATTTGTCAGATAACAAGCTGACTATCTAGGCCACAAGCGGTCACTAAACGGGACAACTTTGTATCGTGACCTATCTAGTTGGTATACGCTGGAACTCGCTGGAACCCGCTGGAACCAATGATATTTCACCTCTAAGGAAGAATACGGAGACTGGAGAGAAAGTTGGAGTTGCCCGAGACTAACGACGTGTTTGGAGCCTTCTTGTGGTCGCAGTACAGGGCTGAACCTCTAACAAGAGGAACAAACTTGGTGGGAGAGTTCACAATACGCTTTCTATGGATTTTCCAAATCAGCTGACATACACAAGGACATGGTAGTCCATAGGCTACAAGTTACAGCGTCAGTCGTGATGTGTTGTCGAGTATACACGTGTGGAATTACTGTCAACCGTTCCAGGCTCAATGGTCCATGCCAGAGAGGGAGCTATTTCATTGATCGCCAATTTGTCGGATTAATTAACTTAACCTACCAAGCGAAGGGTTACGTAGGTCACTTCGCCAATCAACACCCCCCCACTCTTGCTGTGGGAAACGTCATCCATGGATACATCGCGCCCGGATCTCACATCGCATCATTACCACTGCAGACAAGTCGTACCACTGGCACAGCCCACAAGAACTGCGCAGAGAGATTGTATGTCATATCCAGATTAATGAGGTACTTATCTCTGGCCGCTTTCGGCCCGCGCCCGATAACGCGGATGGGAAGACGCAGCTACTAGCATCACCGCACTGCATATAACGGCATCGGGACCATCTGTAAGGTTGTTCGATCTGACCAAAGACCCTCCAGATGATCATCAAGTCCGTCTCCGTTCTCGCCCTCGGCGCGATACTAGGAGTTGCATGCAACGTGGGCACAAACACGACGTGTGTACTGGATGTTAACCCGCTGCACCAGCCTTATCCCTATTTCTTTCCACCTCAAGATGCAGCGGAAACAACCGCTTTGTTCCCCATGCCGATATGCTTAGGCATTCAACTTGAAGAAGCTACGATCGATCAATTGCAAAGGTACCTGGAAGATCGCACCCTAACGTCCGTTCAGCTCTTGAAGTGCTACTTGGACAGAGTTTACCAAGTGGACGAATACATCAACTCTATCATCGAGCTGAATCCGGATGCGGAGAGTATAGCAGCTGCTCTTGACGCCGAGCGCGCGGCGGGTCGAGTGAGAGGACCATTACATGGTGTACCATTCATCATCAAAGATAACATCGCGACAAAAGACCGGATGGAGACTACAGCGGGAAGTTGGATGTTGATGGGGAGTGTGGTACCTCGCGACGCGCATGTCGTTGCTAAGCTGCGAGAAGCTGGGGCGCTTTTGATGGGCAAAGCGACCCTGTCCGAATGGGCCGACATGCGGTCGAACAATTACTCGGAAGGCTATTCACCAAGAGGCGGCCAGGCGCGAAGTCCGTACAACTTAACTCTGAATCCTGGTGGGAGCAGTTCGGGAAGTGCAGCAGCGGTGGCTGCCAATGTTGTCACTTTCTCGTTAGGCAAGCTAAGACCACAGCGCGTTCTTTCTGGCATTGCTCTAACAGTCAGCAGGTACTGAAACAGACGGCAGTGTCATTAATCCAGCAGAGCGCAACGCTTTAGTCGGCATAAAGCCTACGGTTGGGCTCACATCACGAGCTGGCGTGATCCCTGAGAGCATCCACCAGGACACTGTAGGCACATTTGGGAGGACGCTTCGCGACGCTGCCTATGCATTTGACGCCATCTACGGAGTTGATGCACGCGACAACTACACGCTTGCACAGCAAGGCAAGACTCCAGATGGAGGCTATCTGCAGTTTCTGACAGATCGCTCTTCGCTACGTAATGCAACCTTTGGTTTACCCTGGAGCAGTTTCTGGGTGTATGCTGATGAGGAACAAAAATTTCAACTACTGTCCATCATTACACTGATCGAAGGTGCCGGTGGTACAGTCATCAACAACACCGAACTGCCCAATTACAAAACAATTGTATCGCCGGATGGCTGGGATTGGGATTATGGAAGTACTCGCGGTTATGCGAACGAGTCTGAGTACACCGTCGTGAAGGTCGACTTCTACAACAACATCAAACAATATCTCTCTGAGCTCGAAAACACCAACATCCGCAGCTTGGAAGACATTGTAGCTTACAACTACGCGAATGACGGTACTGAGGGAGGGAACCCCTGGCCGCTGGGCATCCCTGGATTTTATTCTGGCCAAGATGGGTTTCTTGCTTCCCTGGAGTCCAAAGGCTTGATGAACGAAACATACTATCAAGCACTTGCGTTTACGCAACGCAGTACTCGTGAAGAGGGTATCGATGCTGCGCTCGCAAACAACGGCCGCCCGCTTGATGCACTGCTTGTACCTCCGGATGTTGGTCAAACCTACCAAATCGCTGCGCAAGCTGGCTACCCGATGATCACTCTGCCAGCTGGTGTACACTCGAGTACTGGTATGCCGTTTGGGCTGGCGTTGATGGGAACGGCTTGGAGCGAAGCGAGCCTGCTGAAGTGGGCGAGCGCGATCGAGGATGTTCAGCTAAGCACAGGCAACGCTTTAAGAAGAACGTTGCCAAGATGGTATGGGTATCTGGAAAGGAACATACCAATTAGAAATCTGTGATTTATGTGGTGGGGAGTCAAGCGATTGTCTCAAGAGGGAGGTGCATCTGAGCAATTGGCATATTATAGAATTCGTATCGCCTTGAACACGGTATCGCCAGATACCTCGCCGGATATTGGGCAATTGGTGGAGATGACGAGTTGAAGTCACGGCATTGGTTGGTGCGGGATGCCGTTGTTGGAGGAGTTCGAGTCTGGAAGATGTTCCATACCAGCTGGCAGGCATGGTGACAGAAGCTGTGCCGGCGCGGGGTAGACGTTAAGTATGGGTTGGATCATGGTGAGAGAATGAACCTTGGTATCGCGTGTTCACGCATCTAGACGCATGATCGATGGACGATGGCTCACCTGGGAAGTCTCGTGACTCTGCTTTGCGTGACAATAATTAATTTCCATGTGTCACGATACGGTGTAATAGTCTGGTTTGATGGAGAGTATGTTCGACCCGTCTATGTTTTGACATCGATACCCCAAAAACACCCAAACTCACCACCGAGATCGCAACAGCAAGTGTTGAACGCGATGAGGCGCATCACCGATCGCGGCGCATGCACAAAAGCTTCGACAGAGATCCTCGCCTCTAGAAAGCCATCTTCGCACCGTATCATTCCCGAGAGCGCACATGGCTGCACTTGAATGACCACTTGCGAAAGCTTCAGAGATCGATTCCAGCAGACAATGGCGCAATTCCTTCGCCTATGTCTCGAAGTGGGCACCGAAAGCCGTCACACCACGCTTTTGTGATCCTCGAAACAACACTGCAGGCCTCGTCAGATCGTCTCCACACATATTGGTTCTCGCAGTTGAGTAGCATGTGTCCTCATATAGACAACTTAACTAATACCTCCCTAGCTCTATTTCCCATCATACCCCTTCACCCCCTTGACCCCACTCCCCTCAACCCTCCCACTCGCCACCCCCAAACTCCTCTCAAATGCCCCCGTAATCCCCATTTGATCCGTCAGCACACTAACCATATCAAAACCCCTCTCCGCATACCCCCTCGCATCCTCCCCCGAGTTGCAATACATAGCCACCTTCTTCCCCTCCGCATGCGCTGCCTCCTTGATCCTCTCAATCGCCTCTTCCAGCTCCTTATCCATAGTCGAAGTCAAGATAGGATGGCCAATGTTATTACCTAGATCAAACGGCCCAATCAGCAAACAGTCTACGCCTGGTAGAGCCGCAATTTCCCGGCAACTGGCTAGCGCAGAGGCGGTTTCTATCTGCACAATTGTGAGGAGCGTGTTGTTTGCGTGGCGGAGGTAGTAGGTTAGTGGTTCGTTTGAAAAACATTGGGTGGGGAGGGGGGAGCCGAAACCCCGGGTTCCTTCAGGTGGGAATTTGGCGGAGGAGACGAGTTTTTTGGCGTCTTCGACAGTGTAGATTAGCGGGACTATGACGCCGTGGGCACCGCTGTCGAGGGCGCCTGTGGATGTGTTAGCTGTCGCGTGGAGATGCTGAGGGAAGTTGACATGTAGATGCGAGACGTAGAAGTAGGTGCGGGATGTAACTCACGCTTTACCATCCATGGCTCGTTCGCTGCGATGCGGACAAGAGGGCTCACACCTGCGTGTGCTATAGCTGTAACGGCTTCATGCATCTGGCTGTCGTTGATGTTGCCATGTTCTGTATCGACACATATCCAGTCCACGCCTGAACGGGCAATTGCCCGGGCGTGGTTTGTCCCTGGGAGCATCTAACACTTCGTTAGTCACTTTAAACAAGAGCTAATTCCATCTCGAATATGAATTACCTGCCATCCTCCGAATGTCGGTCCTCCTTTCTGGAAGGCCTTGTATATCCGGCTTGCTTCTTGTAGGGTGTTCATGTTGCGCGAGTAAAAGGGTGACAGGCTGTTATAAGAGAAAGGGATCCAAGGACGCTTGAAGAGTGGTTGAGATGTCGGTACAAATGCTTTTGACAAAGTGGTTCTGCGTAGGGCGTGCGATATCGTCATGGCTTTTGTAGTTACGAGAGGGGTATTGCCGTGTTGGAGAGAGTTACCCCACAACGGGACGCGCTAGGCTATGTGGGTTTATGGGGAACGGCAATACACCTTTTCTGCGTTGACACGACGATTGTTTAAAGGTTCTCCTTGTTTTGGAGACGCACGCAATGGAAGTTCATTTTTATATTGGTTGCGAAGCATGATGGTGTGGATCCATCTATGTACGAAGTGAGTCAAGGGCGCTTGGGGTCTTCGCGGCAGGTACGACCCTTGCGCCCTACTGGATTTGTGGAGCTTTTTATCTCGTGTCATCAACACCAACGCGCTACGGCCATCGCAAGGTTCACTTTTATCATATTGAGAAATGTAATCATCACTCAAGGTAGTGGTCCTTCATCATAACGGGTGAGGTTACCATGTTGTCAACCGCTGTTGCCGGTTCGGTTCAACATCCTCGCAGATACAGCCCCAAAGTAAAGACCGGATGCAAGACGTGCAAGTATGATGATGGAGTTTGTGTTATCCGGTGATGAATTGCCAACAGAAACCAGGAAACGCCGCGTCAAGTGCGACGAGAAACGGCCTGATTGCCTCAAGTAAGCAGGCAAGCTTCCTTACACGCAGACTTAAGGACTACCATGCTTACCCTGCTAGATGTACCAAAACTGGCCGCAAATGTGATGGTTACAGTCGACTGAAGCATGACTACCAGACTCAAATCATCAGTTACGCCCTAGGGCCATCGAGAGGACCTCGAGCCACAATATCGCTATCCTCTAGTTACGACAATGTACATTATCTGGAGTTCTACTACTACCACGTCGGACCGATGTTATCCGGCAGATTCGACACCGAGTTCTGGTGTGGAATAGTACTTCAAATGGCTCATGCCGAGCCCACTGTCCGCAACGCCATGATAGCCCTCGCTCATCTAAACCAACACCAATGCGGCAGTCTAGCACAAGCGCGCCAGTTTCCCGCAATGAACAACACAGAAAGCGGCCGCCAGTTCGGTCTATACTACAATAAAGCAATCAGATGTCTTGTAGCCCGCATGACCGAGGCATCCTACGCACCAGAAACAGGGCTGGTGACTTGTCTCCTCTTCGCCTGCATAGAGTTCCTACGAGCTGAGATGCAAAACGCACTGCTTCATATGCGAAATGGCCTTTGTATTGTTTCCGAACTGCGGAGAAAACATGGCATTAGCGCATCTTCTTCGTTACCTGATACTGCGCTGAGACCTAACGGTGTCAACGGACCGCTAAATATGATTGAGAGAACGCTGGTTCCGGTCTTCACCCAGGGTCTGATATCGGCGCTGTTGTATGGTGTGGACGTGGATACGGAATTCGCTTTCCTTCATCCCACACCACTAAAGCACGTACACATGCAAGACTTCACCAGTACTCGCGAAGCTCGTCTTGTGTACTGTGAGATCAGGAATGCGTCAATCCTTCTTGCGCGTGATATGGCTATCAATATATTCCAAGGCCTTGAACCATCGGCATCGGACCGCGAGCGTCAAACCTACATCTTGTCCTGTCACCAAACTTGGCTCAAAGCTCTGCTCGTCTTCCAAGAAAATACAAGAAATATGTCGGAGGACGACGAACTTGCGATCAGTGCGTTAAAAATCGGTTATCACGCGACGTATACAGCAACAGCCTGCGCGCACGACGCATGTCAGATGTCTTTCGACACGCACCTCGACAGCTTCGAAGCCATCATCTACCACGCAACACTTCTCATCAATAACACTATGAACATCGTGACTCGTACGCAAACGCAACGTTCTCATACAGGCGCCGCCGCAAACTTCACTTTCGACACATTGTTAGTCCCAGCCTTGTATTACACAGCCCTCCGCTGCCGCCATCCTGCCACACGCCGTGAAGCCATCGCACTCCTCTCCCGCAAACTCGCCCGCGAAGGCCTTTGGGACCCGGAGCAGTATCGTATCGTAGCTGAGCGCGTCGTTGAGATTGAAGAGAAGGAGGTTGATGAAAGAGGCTGGCCGGTAGAGCGAACGAGACTATGGAGCGGTACTGCGACGGCTGATGCGGATGAGGAGAGTGGATTTCGAGCAGATTTCTTGTTTGCAAAGGATGTTGGGAGGGGGGTAGCGGGGATGTGGAGTGGGTGGTATGGGTTGGATGGGAAAGAGAGGAAAGGGGTTTCTGTGGGGGAGTTGTATGTTGAGGTGCCTGTCCAGCGCTGCTCGGACTCTTCATAGTTAAAGAATTGGTGTACTATTATACTCGCGGAGAAGCTCGTTCTTTCGGGATCGTATCTGAGCATGATGCACCCTGTTGACTAGTCGTCGATTGGTTAGCAAAGGACCCCACTATCAAAGTACAAGCCAATTACTAGCGCATCGCGTGGATCCATATAAGAAGGACATCCCGCTTAAACAATCGTTTTCATAGTATATGTCTCTCTGTCATGACTTTCCTCGCCCCAAAACTCCAGATCATCTCCGACCTCCATCTGGAGACTCCCATCACAAACCCACAATACTCACACATTAACCTCGAGGTCAGCGGCACCGTATTATTCCTGCTCGGCGACATAGGCCTGGTCATACACGATGGCCTTTTCGTGTTTCTGCGGAATCTTCTCGAGAAAAACCGTGATTGCCACATCTTCTATGTCCTAGGCAACCACGAAGCCTACCAGACGACTCTCGAAAAGGGTGTCGAGCATATGCGCAGCTTCGAGGCGACTGCAAGACAAAACTTTGGTGGTCGTTTTCACCTCCTCTCTCGCGATCGATACGACCTCAACGAGAAAGTAACAATACTAGGCTGCACACTATGGAGCAGTATTCAACCACATCAAGCCGCTGAGGTCGGTTCCAGAATGAAAGATTACAGAGAAGAGCAGGGTATACAGGACTGGACACTTGAGAGAAGCTGCACAGAGCATACCCGCGATGTACAATGGCTCAACGCGCAAGTCGAGCTTATTCAAAGGACTGAACCGCATCGAAGCATAATAGTCTTGACACATCACTGTCCTACGATCGATACCCGTGCGACCCATCCACAGCATGAGGCTAGTTCGATAAATTCAGGATTTGTATCTGATTTGTCGAAGGAAATGTGTTGGAGGTCGGCGGCTGTCAAGATGTGGGCTTTTGGACATACGCATTACAGTTGTGCGTTTCGGGATAATGCGACGGGTAAGCTGGTAGTGTCAAATCAGATGGGGTATGGTGGTATTGCAGGTACGAGCGGGGGTAGAAAGAGGATTAAGACTGTGGTAGTGGAGCAGGAAGGGGATGGGTGGCAGGTGGTGGAAGACATGCAGTTGGTCGAGCAGCGAGAAGAAGAAAGGCATGATTAGATAGGGACATGCACAAGGGCGATGAAAGAAACGGAAGAGACAAAGCCTACCAGACGATCATGACCGACGACATGTATCACTGCTCGACCAAGCAACCAGGCGAGTCAAAGCGCTTTCCCAACATGCGCAATCGAAATAGCAGGTCGCAAAACGAAGCGAACTATACGGAATACGCGATAGGTTTTGGCTTCAGGTAGATTTGGTGATGGTTTACGATTTCTCTGCTTCATCCATAGCTCTTGTCACCTCTTCTTCCTTGAAGCGGTGCATGAGCTTCAGCGATGATGCAGTCGTCTCCTTAGCTTCGGCCTTATCGATGTGGATCTAGTTGAACATTCAGGTACTCTGTGCGTTGTCCATATATAGGCAATGTCCAGGTCGGCTTACCACCGGGGTATCGAATTCGTACAAGCTCTTCCACTTCTCTTGACCGGAATCCATGACATTGATTTCTTCGTACTCGAAAGGTCTCTTCGCCCTGACGTTGTGCACAACGGCTTTCGCTGTGTCGCAGAGGCCGCATGGCGTTCGCGTGAAGAAGGTGATGCGGCAAGCGAGCAGACGGGACGTGGCGCGAAACATGTTGGCGACTTATTGACAACCCACACACTCAATAACGATTGCTATGAAGGTGCAGTACAGACGACCAGGATTGGGTGGATGCGCCGTGATTCCAAAGATGCGAAAGCTTCAAGGTCCAGAATTAAGCTTCGCGCTTGGACCCTATGACATGACCGCTGCTGATTTCCAGAATATTCCGAGCAGCGGAACAAAATCTGGGGCATCGCAACACCTAGAGTAACGCGCATTCGACCTTTGCACCATTCTTTAGGCGCGTATCTACACAAATTGTTATCATGGCGAAGAAGTGTGTTCACAAGGGCTGTGGCAAGACGTACGAAGACGAGAACGAGGAGTGTGTTTACCATCCAGGCCCACCCAAATTCCATGAGGGGCAGAAAGGTAGGTCAGCACAAGCCGGTCCACAAGGGTTGCAAAAGAGATGCTGATGCGATTGTACAGGCTGGGAATGCTGTAAACCTCGCGTCTTGACCTTTGACGAGTTCCTCGCAATCGAGCCATGCACCAAAGGCAAGCACTCTGACGTAGACGACACACCCAAGCCAGAGCCTGTCGAGGCGCCCGACGTACCCAATGGCACTCAAGTCAACCTGGGTTCGCTCGAGGAATCCCTCCCTGCGCCTGCGCCTCGACTACCTACCGCACAAGCCACACCCAAGCCCACAGCTTCGCCCGCCCCACCGCCAGAGTCCGAAGACGACGATCCGAGTATAGCGATCAAGGAGGGTTCGACATGCAGGCGGAAAGGATGCGGTGCCGTATACAAAGAAGGCAACAGGGAAGGCGAGAGCTGCATACATCACCCCGGTGCGCCCATCTTCCACGAGGGCAGCAAGGGTTGGAGTTGCTGTAAGAGGAGGGTAATGGAGTTTGATCAGTTCATGAAGATCGAGGGCTGCAAGACAAAGGATAGACATCTGTTCGTAGGTAGTGGCAAGAAGAAAGAAGGCGAGGAGAAGCTAGAGACAGTTCGGTACGTCCCCTCTACCCTGCCCATCGAGGCACATTCAAGACCAGCTACTGACTACAACACCAGACACGATTACTACCAAACCGCAACCTCAGTTGTCGCCTCCCTATACCTCAAGAAGATCGACAAAGCCACAGCTGTCGTCGACTTCCAACCCACACACGTAAAACTCGATCTACCTACAATGGACAGCAAGCGTTACCAGACCGAGTTCCCCCTCTTCTCGACCATCAAACCAGAGGAGAGCAAATTCAGGATACTTGGCACAAAACTCGAGATGACGCTAGTCAAGGCGGACGGAGCCAGCTGGCCGGTTCTAAGGAGCGACGACAAACCTACTGGGGAGATGATCCAGGTGGGTAGGGCGGGCAGGGCGTAGACGGGAGGCCACGACCAAGATATGGTTATTGTTATAGAACTCTAACAATGCATCAACGAATTTACGTCAAATCATTTCTTCTTGTCTGTGAATAAGAGGGTTAGAATGGTGTATAAGTGAAAGAGGGGTGGCTTATTAATCATGACGCACCTCGCGCTCCAGCTATCTCCGCAGTTATGCAATCAGTCTCCAACATGGCACCACTTGGTAGTTTACTAAACATAATTTATAAGGTACCGAGGACTGCAGTAAAGAATTAAAGTATAAGATCGATCGTCACGTTCGTTGTCAATTACAACAACACATTCGTCTCAAACTTGGTAGGGCATACACACACATATCAAGTTCTGACCCCCAAACAACAACAACACCATGACATCCAAACTCATCGCCATAATCGCCGGCGTCGGCCCTGGAACCGGTGCCTCCGTCGCCCGCAAATTCTCCTCCCATTACCCCGTCGTACTCCTCGCCCGCAAACCAGAAAACTACGAGCCTCTTGCCCAGGAAATCAATGGAGCTGGTGGTGAGCGATTTTCTCGTACAATTCACACGTGAGACATATACTGACTTCGTACGCCAAATTTCCAGGCAGGGCAATCGGTATCAGCACCGATGTATCCTCCGCCTCGAGCCTAGCATCCGCCGTATCCGCCATCAAGCAAGAATTTGGCCAGGATGTAGCTGCCGCAGCAGCAATTTTCAACGCCTCAGGCCCATTTATGCGGAAACCGTTTCTCGAGATTCCTGCTGAGACGTTCGAGGGAAGCTTGGGCGTAAGTGCCATGGGTGGAATCCTCTTCTCACAGTCCTTTCTCCCCCTACTGTTGAAGGGCGTGGAACAAAAGTCAGAACACCCACCCAGTCTGATTTTCACAGGCGCAACGGCAAGTGTGAAGAGTAATGCGCAAATGGCGAGTTTTTCGACGGGCAAATGGGCGTTGAGAGCGTTGAGTCAGAGTCTTGCGAGGGAGTTTGGACCGCAGGGCGTGCATGTTGCGCATGCGATTATTGATGGGGTTATTGATATTCCGAGGACGAGGGAGTGGTTGAAGGATATGCCCAAGGAGGCAAAGTTGAGCGCTGATGCCGTGAGTAATTTCCGTTCTGCACTGACTTTGAGGACTTGCAAGGTCATGGGGAATGTGTGTTAATGCGTGTTTGCAGATTGCGAATGATTACTGGTGGTTGCATACGCAGCCCAAGACGAATTTCACCTGGGAGATCGACCTCCGGCCTGCTATTGAGAAGTGGTAGGATGCTATGTTAGCAGGCGGGAATTGCGACGCCGAGGGTGTTCCAAGAATAGCGAAGATGGAGAAGTCGTGTTGAGTAGTCAACCAGGTGCAAAGATGTAGTATTGGATCGAGGCCACATGAAGATGGTCAAATATACATAATTTTGATCGCTTTTTCACCTTGGAATACCCGTGCATGAAAGTATCATAATTACCTATAGCAAACTCTCTGCCTTCCCTGCCGGTATGAAAGGCTACTTGATCACATTGATAGCTTTCTTCTTGCACTCTATTTCTGCGTGACCACGGATACCTTCGCCTAGTTTTGATGTCATTTTCGAGGTGCAGATGAGTAATTTAGGAGACGCTGGGCGCATATATTCCTACCAAATTTGCTACTTTGCTTCCTTCTTGCTACTTACAGCGACATCTCGACAACCAAGACACAACGATCACTATATCGACCGACTACTACACCTCGAATCGAGTCAAGTAGAATTATTGACAAAGGATTATGGTATGTGATATGCAGTACTGATACCTGATAGACAAAAGTCATGCCTGGACTCGGCAACTCCTGCTGGGCTACTGAGCCGTCCTCGAAGTCGTCTTGGACGGACGTGAAGACGCCCGACGAGGCGTAAGTATTTTCAGTTTGTCTCGGTATTGGAACTTCTCTAACGATAATAAAGTGAGAACATCGCTGTTCCATCTTTCGGTTTCAGTTTCCCATCTTTTACCAAGAAGTCAGCTCTGACCGCGCGCTCCTTTGTTGTCTTGTCTTTGTCAGAATCCAGGTCAGTCGAGATGAAGGAGCCCACAATCAAGGTCGATGCCAGCCCTAGCCAAGATCTTGCCAAGGTCAAGACGGCTACTCGAAGAAGGAGTAAAGAGAGGCTGTAGTTGCCTGACATAAGGTTCAATGACTAGACGCACACCAGGTGCATAAGGCTGAAGATAGCCGGCGACTTTCCAAAGTTGGAATGACCAACAAAAATGCACTTGAAATCGCCTGGCTACCGTATGGAATGAACGAGCGTGCTCAAATCTAACTTCAAGACTTCATGTACCACAATTTCGGAGGCGCAATGGGTGCGACATTAATCCCCCGATGGCAGATAAGACGCAAGGTTCTACACCGATCAAGCAATATCCAGATTCGGCCACATGCAGATAATCTCACTCATCAATGTCAGGCTGAACTTGGTCGCATGCGCATGCGCGACATAGTTCGTTAACAGTGGCGAAATAGAATCATGTCCCATTTGGCCTGACGTATGACTGCGGCGCACCATGGGTAGTCATAGATCCCTGGCATTTTTCATATACAATGTCGTTGAGATGCGGCGTCGCTCGAATGCATGTCGATGATTCTGCCCGCAAGAAGGCAAATGCTAAGGCTAAGCAATCGAGATTGATGCCACTTTCGAACCCGCAGAGGTAAGACAACGAGGCTGCGTCTACCGGCCAACAAGGTCAGAACATATCATAGGTAGTATTATGCGTAGTCGACTCGATGGGGCAATAGATGGACGAGAAGCTCGCATCATGTGAAGATGTTGCACCGTTCGGAGCCTTGCATACCCCCATGCGGGACGTGCGCTGGCGATGATGGACCCGGTCCTAGGGGACTAGGGTAAGTTGACGGTGAAGCGCCTGGCTTACAGCCAAACGCAATCGACTGGGCGTATTTGTAGGTGCGCCATAAGGCATTGCAGGATCTTAGTACTGCGTGCATGCCCACCCACGTGTCAGCACCTGTTCTGTGTGCGCCAGCTCACCTGCTGGGACAAGCAGAAGATGGGGGCGTTTGAGAGACTCGGACCAGACGGCATGGGTGAAGAAGTGATGGTTCTAACCGGGCCGCTGATGAACTGTAATGTTGCTGCCACGACCGCGCGCCGGCCAACAACTGGGTCGTGTCGTAGTGCCTGGAAGGGTAAGCATAAGCTCATGACGGCAGACCGGCAGATAGAACACGGTGACTGGTAAGTCTGTCGGATGAAGCGATCGCTTAAATACCTAGGTATGCTATGGCAGCACTGCAAGGACCAACGCCAAGTTGCTATCGTTCCGTCGGAAGGGAAAGTCCAACGTTAATACCCGTGTGCCCGCAGCATCATCCGTCAGAGGCCAGACAGCACCGACTCTGAAACCACACGATCCGAGCGACCGCAGATTGCGCTACCTGTGCCTTTGGAATACGGGACGATTGCATAACAACGCCCGCCTGCATTTGCATCCTGTCGTCGTCTTCTGGTAATCATCGGCCCCAGCCTTGGACTGGCGCTTCCGGCTGGCATAGCCAACTCTCCGGCCCGCACATCGCAGCAACGTCACCCGAAGAGACTCGAACAACAAGACGCGCGCAGCCTCGACGTCGCCGTTTCTTATCAAGCCACTCCCTGAAACCCTCTAGAATTCATCGCCAAAATTCGCGCACCGCCTGAGCTGGGCGCCGTCGCGCATCCTCCCATGACTGGAGAGAATGCACCGCGGCTAACTGCAGTGCCTACCTACTCACAACAACGACCGCCCCAACGGCCACCATCTCCTCCCGGACAGCACCAGCAACTTCAATCTCCCCTAACCCAGCTATCTCCGTCCACAGTCAAGGCGTCTCCGCAGCAGACTCCGGGTCCCCTTGATGCCAGCGGCGGCAGTGCTGAGCTTTCCGGAAAACGAGGCATGCGCTCGCAGATTGCATGCACCAGATGTCGCCGAAGCAAGACCAAATGCGAAAACACGGGTCAAGGTACGACGTGCAAGGCTTGCGCAAACACCAACCGTGACTGTACCTGGGACCACGCAGCTGTCGCGAGCACTACCGGGTCGGTGCGTCGTGACAGCACTGCCGACTTTGATGTAAGTCATCCCCTTCTAGTGCCTCTGAATACTCAAGCAATCGCTGTGCATGCATATCCTTATCGCCGAGTACATGTGCTGGTCCAAGTCACGTGAACTAGTGCTGACACTCCTAGGCCCCGCCTAAGAAGCGGCGCAAGTTGCTAGCACCCACATCGAGTACAGCACAACGCTCAGTAGAAGGCTTAGGCACATATGAGGACGCTCTCCAATCGCCCCTGCTTACGCCGCAGGTCTGGGAGGAGTTATTTGATATTTACGACAAGCACTTCTCTACTGACTTTCCCTTCTTACACAAGAGGACTTTCTTGAGCTCAGTACAACAACCACAATCTACCGACAGCTCATCTGATGCCAAGACTCCGACCCAGGCTCAAACGCCTCAGATATATCCCCCTTTATTGCTAGCCTTCCTTACTCAGACTGCTCGCTTCCACGACAAGCTCGTGCAGCAGACAGGAAATGACCCTATCAAGACTGCTGAGTTCTATGCCCAGGCTACGCGCACTCAGATGGGTACGGAAATCTTCGGCTTTCCAACTCTTGAGAAAATTCAAACACTGCTCATGCTGGGCTACTATGAATGGACTAACTTGCAAGGTACCGAGGGCTGGATAAAGATTGGTCTTGCTATTAGATGCGCCATATGCCTAGGTTACCCGCATCTAGATGTGGATGACAAGGGGCTGCCTGCACCACTGAGAGATTGTGAGAAGGGTCTCTCTGAGAAGGATCAATTTATTCTTCGCGAAACCCAGCGCCGTACCTTTTGGAGTTGTTGCCTCATGGATTGCTATCTGAGCTGGGGAGAGGATCGACCAAGGATGCTCACGCCTGACCAATTCCAAAGAACTCAACTTGTGTGTAGCGATGGTGCTTTCAATTTTGGAAGGAAAGCACGGACAAGGCTGTTGGGCGAAGACGATGCGGCATATGAACAACGGAGGAAAGAATGGAATGAGCATACTGAGCGTCGTCGTAACGACCATAGCGGGTCTATTCAGGCCGATCCACTAGACGGTGGGAAGTGGGAGATAGGTGAGCATGAGGCAGAACTCACATGGTACATCAAAGCTGTTGTGATATTCGGCGAAGTGTCGCAGTGGTCTTGCAAACGGGGCCGAAGGTATGTCGCGTCTTAATTGTATCGCTGCAACGTCTCGCTGACAATGTGTAGACAAGAAGGCAAAACTCCGCCATGGCGCTCAACGACAGGTTTCAAGAAATTAGAAGATAAACTTAAGCAGCTGAAGCGCGACCTTCCTGACCACCTCCAGCTTACCCAAGACAACACCGAGGATCGTATATACAACAAACCGGGAAAGTACGTCTCGATACACGCAATGTACACTTTATGTTTTGTTTGGCTTTACAGAGAGTATATGCCCACGTCACCATGGACATTAACATATCCTCGCGGTCCGTTGGACGAGCCACTGATTGATGAGAAACCTCCGGATCCGGAGTACTGGATAAAGCAAGCCAAGGATTGTTGGAAAGCCTGCGTCGACTTTACACATTTACTCCATACCATTGAAACTTCGAGAGTTCATAGCAATCTAGTTCAAACACCGACGGTAGCTTTCTCTTGTTTTGCTGTAGGAATAGGCAGTAAGTTCATCTCACTCCTCTGGCCGTGTGGTGCTGATCAGTTTAGCTATATACTGCCACTATTTCCCTCACATGGATCCCGACAGCGTTCTTTCATCCCGTTTGAGTCCCAGAGCCCACGATATCGCCAACGGCTTCCTACTTCGTATTTTGAGTCGCTTCAAGATGGCTCGCTCGTGGCTTGTTCAACTGGCCGAGTGGCAACGATATTATCGTCGTGAAAAGAAGAAGTATAGGGAGTTGAGTGGCCAAGTCGACGATTCCCCAAAGAGTAACTCCAGCGACGGTATCGCTAGCAGTGGACTGAAAGACTACGCACAATTCTTCGAAAGATCTCACAAGCAATTCGGTGATATCTCCACCGACAATAATAGCCAATGGTCCACCAAAGACAAAGATCTTGCCGATACCAGACTTACGCATGACGAAGATTCCGCAGAACGTACCCTACCTGCCAGCACCTCTCCAGTCAAGCATGAGATACAAGGGGTGTCTGATGACAGATCTAACCAACATCCCGTAGTACAAAGTTCCTTCACTGCCGTCAATCGGAATGGAGTCCAAACACCTCCGGCAACCCACGCCTCGGCCTATGGACATCAAACAAATACGCCATCTTATGATTCGAATCCCACCTCACGTTTTGGAGCACACACCTCCCCACCAAGCTATCCATCATATCAGTACGGTAACCCACTGCAGCATACTATACCTACAGCAAGAACTAGTTTTGAGACCGGTCCCAATCACAACCATATATCAGGCAATGCATCAGTTCCAATACACACCGTCTATTCAGATTGGCAGACCGCAAGACCACACGATTTGCATGCGGCTAGGATGGCGATGGAAATTGACGGTGCTCAAACATTCACCAATAGCTGGGCTGGACCAGCCATGATAAGCGACAACGACCAGTCTTATGACTGGGGGGGAGCTATGAACTTCACGAATTTCCCGACCAACACTGCGTCCTATTACCCCTCAAGTGCTCCAAACTACTCATATCCGCCACAGTAGTCAGCAAGATTCGGGAATGTCTTGCTTTTCATCGTCGACTTCTTCAACGAACGGCGGGTAGTCTTAGCTCATAAGTAGAATTTTGTGGAGCTTCCCTAACCATGTTTGGTTTCTAGCATATCTGGTCAACTTTTTTTTGCTGTACATCTTCTTCTGTTCTTTAGTTGAGCGTATGCTATGGTGATGCTTTTACTAGCTGCATCGGTATGCCATTGGTTTTCCAAGAGCGACGGGAAGTCATGTAGAGGAGTTCTTCACTTTTTTAAGCGGTTGTTGTCGTGTAGATGTTTCCAAATGGCATGCTACAACATGCGCGACATTGCCTGTATCATGCGCAGAGACAGTCGTGGGCGCATCGATTCTTTTGAGCGATTTGGACGCACATATGTTATAGCGTATTTTGGGCCTGCCGTAATACATTAGTAATCAACCATTGTACGTTGTATCTGCTCTGCTCATTTGCTTTTCGCGATGATCAAGCCCTTATTACGTCAACCCCCAAATCGATGTACCTCGGTAACCTCCTCCACATTCGTATCCTCATTCCATCTCGCGCGCTAGTCATGCCATCCGCAATTATCCTGCTCCAAGAAAAGACATTCGAGTCAATACATATTATGCCGACGCCCGTCGACATTACAGCGCGGATGCCTTGCCTAAAACAGAGGCGGAACAAGTTCTCATCGTGCTGTACCCAAGCTTCCGCAAGCATCCACAACTAGTACACCAAGCATTAACCCCAGCACTAACCCCACTGATCGTCCACACTCTGCACCGCCTGGGCAACGGCCATGGCGCTCATCGGACATACTTCCCCGCCTGCGTCATCCGAGATGCGGGCACCGACGAGCACTAACAAGCTACCACGCAGCGATATTGGTGGAATCGGTACATGCGTGCTTTCGCGTGTTTAGTTGCTTTGACGACCCATGGAGGAACTAGTATAGGTACGGCTACGCGACCGGTTGAACTCGCACGACTTTAGCTTGCCCAACATGGGGGTTGAACTGGGGGAAAGTACTGGGGAAACGCTCGGATCGTAATGACACGAGCAAGCGAGAAAAAAAAGATGCTGTCATCGAGCCGACAGGAACGAGTAAAGATCCCGGTTCGGATACATGCAAACCGTGAGTTAGAGTTCCGGAAATGGGGGGGAGGGGGATTTACTTTATATTGCTTGCCCTCCCCGAGGGTTTTGCTTGAGCTTACAAGCAATTTTGACCTGTGGTTACGTTCATCCTGGTCAACATGAAGAGCTTTATGAGGCTTGGTGGCGCGGTTGCGCTGGGGTGTTTTGCTGTTGAGAGTGCAGCTAGGGCTGTGGGATATTCGCCCAAGGAATGGATCAAGCCGTACAAGAGGGAGGCTTTACAAGATATCGTAAGTTACGATATTGCAATGGAGATTGTGAATCATTCGTGATTAACCATGTTTGCAGGTCACCTGGGATGAAGATTCGCTCTTCGTGCATGGAGAACGCATCTTCCTGTACTCTGGTGAAGTCCACCCGTACAGACTACCGGTTCCGGATCTCTACCCCGATATCTTCCAGAAGATTAAAGCCCTTGGTTACAACGGCGTTTCCTTCTACGTTGATTGGGCCCTGCTTGAGGGCAAACCTGGTGTCTACCGCGAAGAGGGTGTCTTTGATCTAAAGCCTTTCTTCGACGCTGCACAGGAGGCTGGTATCTATCTCATTGCTAGACCAGGTCCATACATCAACGCTGAGGTATCCGGTGGAGGTTTCCCCGGATGGATACAGAGGGTCAACGGCACGCTGAGAACGCGAGCGCCGGATTTCCTGGAAGCGACCGACAACTACATGAAGAATGTCCTGGCTACGATTGAACCCGCCCAAATCACCAACGGCGGCCCTATCATCCTTGTACAGCCAGAAAATGAGTACACACAAGCTACCTCGGCCATCAAACCTTTCCCAGATCCGGTCTACATGCAGTACGTGGAAGATCAGATTCGCGACGCAGGTATCATTGTACCTCTGATTAGCAACGATGCCTCCGCCAAGGGAAACAACGCACCTGGTCAACCTGCAGCTGTTGACATCTACGGACACGATGGATATCCTCTTGGATTCGACTGTGCTAACCCAAACACATGGCCGGATGGCAACCTGCCAACGAACTGGCATCAGCTTCATGAGCAACAGAGCCCCACTACTCCTTACTCTATTGTTGAGTTCCAGTCTGGCAGCTTCGACCCCTGGGGCGGACCTGGTTTTGACAAGTGTGGAATTCTGGTTGGTGCAGAGTTCAACCGCGTATTCTACAAGCAACTGTACAGCTTTGGTGTCACGATCTTGAACTTGTACATGACCTACGGCGGCACCAACTGGGGTAACCTAGGTCACCCTGGTGGTTACACAAGCTACGACTACGCCGCACCAATCAAGGAAGACCGTCAAGTCGATCGCGAGAAGTACTCTGAGCTCAAGCTGCAAGCAAACTTCTTCAAAGTCAGCCCTGCGTACCTGACCGCTACACGTGGCAATGCTTCGAATTCCACCTGGACGACCAGCAGCGATCTGAGCGTCACACCTGCGACCAATGAGAAGACAACGTTCTACTTCGTGAGGCATTCGAAGTACAACTCACTAGAATCCACGACCTACAAGCTCAATGTTGCAACCTCGGCATTAGGAAACATCACCGTACCTCAGATGAACGGTACTTCGCTCACGCTAAGCGGCCGGGACTCAAAGATCCACGTTAGCGACTACGACATCGGTGGTGCCACTCTTGTCTACTCTACTGCTGAGGTCTTCACTTGGCACAAGTATGAAGACAAGACTGTTCTGGTCGTCTACGGTGGACTTGGAGAGACTCACGAACTGGCTCTTGCCGTTACCGGTCTGGAAGTTGTCGAAGGCGATGTCAAGAGCACTACTACGCGTGGTATCACGGTCTTGAACTTCAAGGCTGATGGTACTAGGAAGGTGGCAAAGGTTGGAGTTGACAGCTTCATCTACGTCTACATGCTCGATCGCAACGACGCCTTCAACTACTGGTCCATCGACCAAGCACCTCATGACTCGTCCAACCCTGTCATCGTCAAGGCTGGCTACCTGATGCGTACTGCTAAGGTCACTGGCGACACCATCGCCCTAGTTGGTGATCTCAACGCAACAACAACGGTCGAAGTCATTGGTGGTGCGTCATCTGATGTGTCTAAGATGACCTTCAACGGCAAGGACATCGACTTCACCACTACCGAACAAGGAACCTTGTCGGCTGATATCGAATTTGTCAAGCCGGCCATCAGCATTCCCAAACTCAGCGAACTGGAATGGAAATACGTCGACTCACTACCAGAGGTCCAACCTGGATACGACGACAGCGAGTGGACTGCAGCCGATTTGAAGAAGACGTACAACTCTCTGCGTCCATTGACCACACCCGTATCGTTATACAGCTCCGACTACGGCTACCACACTGGCACTCTGCTCTTCCGTGGTACTTTCACCGCTTCCGGAAACGAATCAACCTTCTACCTTTCCACGCAAGGTGGCTCGGCGTTCGGCTCATCCGCATGGATTGGAGACCAATTCCTCGGCTCATGGCGCGGTTACGATGCAGCCATGAACGGCAACGCAACCTTCACAATGCCCAACCTCACCAAGGGAAAGACATACACAATCACAGTCGTCGTTGACAACCAAGGCCTAGACGAAAACTGGACCATCGGTACCGAGACTATGAAGAACCCACGCGGTATCCTGGACTACAAGCTCTCCGGCCACAACACCTCTGATATCGCCTGGAAGCTCACCGGTAACCTCGGAGGAGAAGACTACCGTGATATCTCTCGTGGTCCCCTCAACGAAGGCGGTCTGTTCGTTGAACGCCAGGGTCTCCATCTCCCCGGTGCTCTCTCCGCAACCGACGCCAAGTGGCAAGCCTCTGCCGGTCCAGTCGCCGACGGTATCGCAGCCCCTGGAATTGGTTTCTTCGCCACGGAATTCGATCTCAACATGCCATCTGGCTACGACATTCCCCTTAGTTTCACCTTCACCAATGGCACCTCTTCCAGCAACAGCAGCAACGATGGTTCCAGCGTGCCAGCATACCGCGTCCAACTTTACGTCAACGGCTGGCAATACGGCAAGTACGTTAGCAACGTTGGGCCACAGGTCAAGTTCCCTGTTACAGAGGGTATCTTGAACTATAACGGCACGAACTATCTGGGAATTTCGCTTTGGGGACTCGATGGCGGGGCGACGAAGGTGGCGGGGTTGGAGTTGGAGGTTGATGCGCAGATTTGGAGTGGGATGAAGACAGTGGGGACTGTGATGGGACAGGAGTATGAGAAGAGGGAGGGTGCCTATTAAGATGAGATGAACGCGTAGTAGAGGAGTAGGATATATCGATACCAAATACGGATCTTATTGACATTATTGACCTTGATCGTAGTGTACGACGATGAAATTCCTTAGCATGACTTTTTGATAATAAGTTCTACGCAACGCGACAATCATGTGCTAGCCAAGAGAAGAGCGCTCATGAAGGTAAAAATTCTACAATACATTCATAGTTCGTTCTATCAATAGCGCTGCACGATCGTGTACTTTGGCTTACTATAAACTCCCTCTCCTGCACATAAGTCGTTCTCCTATCCCTAACTCTCCCAAGATCTGATTGTCTATCTTGTCATACAAGGGACGCCATACAGTATCTCCAATAATGTTTAGCCTGGTCTTGGCGTAGGCTCGGACAAATGTCTCGTCATCCACAACACCTTCGTTTGCTTGGAACCTTCTCCACCCATCTCACACAATCACTTGGTCCATTGCATTTCACCTAGGAATCAAGCCCACATTGCGCGAGATCACGATGACACTCCTCGACTTGTCTGGAGGTACATGCTACATTGGCTACCTTTTCTGATTATCGCCAGCTGATACGGGATATTACAGAACTGCGCAACACCATTTATGAGCACTTCATCAACTCGAGCCATCTATCAGCAAGGCCGCGAAACTACTCTGGACCAATCGGCAGATCCGCCCCGAGTTCGGTTCTATGTACTTAAGTCAGGGCAACGCCACAGTTCCATTCAAACATATTGGTAGTTTCTTACGCGTCTTCTTCCTTCCCCCAGCCAACTTAGTCCTAAAGGAAGTTGCTTGCTGGTTTTATGTGGAGGGCAGCTCGGTCGAGGATGAATGTTCACTTGATCTTCTTGAGGTCGTCTCGATCATGCGTCAATATCCTCTACTCAACATCCAGTGGAAAGGAAGCCCTATTCCCGCACCAGTGTGTACAGCTGTGTAGACGTCGCTCCTACCGTGCCTCTCCCAAGAAGTATGGATGTTCAAGAGTTCGAGAAGTTGGCTTCTGTCTTCTTCCAACTATGGGAAATGCTCCCTATGTACGGCGCGTGGGACAACGGTCAGGTAGAAGGTGGAATTTATATCACTTTGAAGAAGGGTAGTATCGTACCAGATGCTGGAGATTTGGAATTCGAGGACGAGTGCGGTGGTATCGATGTGGAGATTGATGTAGAGAGTGACTCAGAGAGTGAGTATGCGAAAGTTGGTTCGGATAGTAACAAGTATGGGGGAGATGATAGCGGTGAAGAAGTTTCAGGGATCAACAGCTAGAAGATGTGCTACCACGAAGCTGTTTCGAAATGCCTTCGTTTCACCCCGGTCAACTTGACAAATCAGAGCGTATGGCGGTATTGAGACTAACTGTTTGTAAGATACTCAGCAGACTGTGTTAGTAGTGACTTATGAGATGAGGGTAGGGGCGCATCGACATGTACGGCAGCACGGGCAAGGTGTGGATCATAGTGTTTATACTCACTAACATATTCGACTAACACGAAGGATCTTGTTTGCTAATACTGGTTATGACTGGGATTGGGAGAAAGTCCTTGCTAATATGCCTGGCTGCTGTTGTCCAGCTCTCACCGTTCCTTCCTCATCTAGAATTACTAGCGCAGGCTTGGCCGTGGAGAGTCTTTTATAAAGGCGTCCCTGCTCACAAAACCCTTTCTCCTTCTCCAGGCTATTACATCTCCACTACACGACCGAAAGCCGCAATCCAAGATCGGCTACATCTTGAGTCTCGATCGCGCGAACATCTTTTCGACGGGATGTCGTTCCTCAAATTGTCTGGAGGTACGTATCGAGTGATATACCGATTGACGAATACTGACAAGAAGCATTACAGAGCTACGCAATAATATCTACGACCACTGCCTTGCACTCAACCGGTCGCCAATCGAGGTCGCCGATATCGTTAGCATTCATGAGCAGATTCATGCCGAGTTCGGATCCTTGTACCTTGGTCAGGATAGAGTCGAGATCTTCTTAATAGAAATGGAATGCTTTCTGAGTATCCTCTCGGTCGGATCTCCGTACGCAGCTCTGAAACTAATGCCTTGCAACCTCCTTGTGAGGCTCGCACCTGATATCGGTACACAACAGACGAGCGCACCTGATGAACTCGGTACACAGCAGACGATCGATCTCCTCCAACTCGTTTCAGTTATGCGTCACTACCCTCTCCTCGACGTCAGATGGAGTGTTGAAACCACTCAATTTCGTTTCAATTCTCCCCACGGGAACGAAATCACTTCTGTCGTAGATATCCTGAAGTCTATGGGAACCCGGCAAGCCGATAGACTAGATTCTGCCGTGCTCAGGATCCCACACAGTATTGATTTCTTCAAAGGGTTTAGCCTTGATCTTATCCCGAAAGAAGATGTCACGAAAGATTGGCCTCAGATAAAGTCCCCAAGGTTAACCAAACGTGAGCTTGGATTTGTTATCAACTATTCTCGTATCTGTGTGCGAACGGAAAACCAATTACTCAATCGATGAGAAACTGGGTACGGTAGCACGTGGCGGATTCTGAAGGCTTGCGACCACATTGAAATCACCCTTCACTTTCGGATCACATAACTAGATAGTGGTGAATTCTTCGGGTAGAAACCTGAATGGAATGAAAGCAATCATCGAGGAATCATGCTTCTCTTGTCATCATATTCTACCATATCAGTGCCTGGACTGATGCGACAAAAACTGGGTACGATAGAGGGGCGATTTGATGTCTTCTCCATTCCTATATATGTATGTATATAATTAGTTGCAAGTGTACATCTTCTAGAAGAGGCCCGTGTAATGTAGTATGAAAGTCATTAATGGTGCACTCACAGTCATGTTCGAGAACCCAAGTTCCGAGCTCGGCGATAATGCAAAGAGCTCACAGCGCGCCACGCATCACCGCTCCTCCGATCACACTGCATGCTGCAGGGCGCCTTCGAACAACGCCGACACCAGCTATCGTGAACTAGCGGGTATTGATGCTACGAAGCTAGACATGGGGTCTGATGATCATCTAGGAAGGTTCTGGTTCGTCCGTTGGTTATCGAAACATCAAGCTGACGGTCATGGCTTGCCAGCGTATAGCCAACTCGAGCCGCAATACCGACAAAGACGTATTTCGAGAAAAAGGAACACGCACGGAGCCATCTGGAATTGAGTTTCAGCTCCAAGCCCCTATACTGAGAACCAAGCATGCACATCACCACGTGAACAAAGCTGATCTCAGCAAGCCCCTCACGACCGCTCACCTTCCCAAGACCAAAGAAAAAACCTCTTCAGCTCCCCCGCCCTTCTCTCCCTAAATCGGCGATACAGAAAACTTCAGAAAGCCCAGACCTTTGCGCATAAACGAACCCACGACACAGTGACGAAGGCGCAAGTGGAGCAAAGAGAGAGGGAAGCGAATTGATTTAGCTTCAACGTCACAGGCACGCGTGAGGTGGACCAATGAGTACTCTAGCGCGACGGCCGCTAACCCCCGGGGTCCACAAACGAACCCGTGCTAACCGCAAGTAGGGCTAGGCACGTGGACGGTCGGGACCACGGGGTACGAAGGCTTGACGTCGCATTGCTGCTGATTTGCTTGCATGCCTTGGGTCGCTGCGGATGCTGAGCTTTTTATAAGAGGGTTGCGTGTGCCCCGTGTGGTGCATGTCCATGCAAAGCTGGTATTGAGGCTTCGTTTCTTTGAACTACAAAACTAAACTCGAAGTTTTTGTTAGTATCGAGTGGTAGCTTCCTTTGTTATATCAATTCAACGTCATTTTTCTACATTCCGCGGACCCTGAGTTTGCGTGGTACACCGACCTTCCTGCATACTTGTGGGGGGATCTTCCTTCCCCTTCTGGGGCCACGGAGCCATTGTGCTATCCGTTTGTCCTGTCAAAAGGTTTAGGTTTATAAGAGGATTGCAAGAACCTCAATACTGACTTCTGTTTCTACTTCCAACGTCTCAAACTACTTTTTGATCGACCATCTACACCTGGACATCCGGCATGGTCGACACAAGCAACCTCACCACAGCAGACCTCCTCCCACCCCAGCCAAGCATGTTCACAGAAACCTCCATGCACATGCTCATTGTAGCATTAGCGCTCTTCCTCCCCATCATAACAGCCTTTTACATCCACAAAGACTACTGCGCCTTCCTCTCCCTCGGCCCCGGCGGCACTCCAGCAACACCCCTAGGCTACCTAAAAATTAAATTCCTCTCCCTAATCTGCCTACGCGACCCCCTCCGCCCCATCGGCATACCACCGCACTTCCGGCCGCAAAAGGGTTACTTCGCCGATGGCGACGCGTTGCCGTCTCGTAAAGGATCGAAACCGTTGGTCCAGGGTATCGCGCCGCAAAGACAGCAGACGCAAAAGAGTAGCGAGGGCATCTACAGGTGTCTAGTACAGAAGATCAAGGCTCTTGCGAGCGATCCCCGGAATCGGTTGATGGAACGAACGAGTTGTTTTGAAAAGCATAGTTCGGGCTTGTTTACCAGCGTGCCCATTACTAGGACGTGTGGAGGAGAAATTTGTCATGCGCACCCAAGTGATGGGTCGATGCATATGACGTTGCACCCTGCGGATGCCAATCTCATGATTGAGAGGGGGTGGGGGGAGAGACATCCGTTGGCGAGGGGAGGGTGGTGTAGGAAGTTTGTTCCGAGAGAGTTTATGCTGGTTTACGCACCGAGGGATGAGGAGGAGGTGGAAGTTGTTGCTAAGATCATTGCGGCAGGGATTTGGTGGGTTAGCGGTGTCGATGTCAATGGGGATGAAGAGGGTCCGAGGAGGAGGAGCGCGGATGTTGCGGCTATTGGCAAGGAGATGGAAGACAATGAGTGCTGGGCTTGTGGGGTGAATGGCTATGGAGGAAATCAGGTGGAGAAGATGACGAGCGATGCGTGAGGGAAGGGAAACGGTGAGAGGATCCAAGGGAACAGATTGATAGCGGTTGCTTGATTTCACTCGTTCAAGCATGGCGTTTGGGACTTTCATCATTCCGGGCAAGGGCATCTGGGCAGGGCATTGGGACGATGTACGATAGGAACAACGGTAGTCGACACAATCTTTTTTTTTGGTACAGGTTCTTAATCGTTTCGTGATGACATGCACGCTTGAAACGCAACCTGAATGCGCATCGCCTGTGTACCACACCTCCAATCTTCCGTTAGGCCTCTTCAAGCCAAATCAACCCACGCTGCCTGTACGCATCTACTGTTTCCCACCCTGCCTAACCCACTCCTCGTATTCTTTCTTCTTGCCAATGACGTCCCAGAACCCTCTCCTGCCCTCACCTTTCCCACCGATGCCACCATCCAGTCCCAGGAATGCATACGGATCTCCTTCGCTCAAGACCTCTTCACCTTCTTTTGTGTAGTGACCTTCACCAAGTCGTCCTTCCCGCGAAAGTTGGCCCGCCCATTGTGCGTATTGTATTGGCTTTAGCGGCGCGAAAGAAATGACAATACCGAGGGAGAGGAGGAGAATGGAGGTCAGAAGTTCGAGTGAGATGTCGAGTGGGAGGGGTGTTGAGGCAAAGGTTGCGGTGTGTTCGTGGGTGGAGTAGATACTGGTGGAGGTTAGTTGTTGTCATAGGTGATGTAGTAATGCTCATGTCGGTCCTCATTTGAATACAAGGCGATATGAGATACATGTGCACGTACGCATGTGTGAGGAAGAGCGCGCCGATGCCATTGAGCGCCGTCCCTAAGATAGCCATTGCGAAGTTGGGTGGGGTGCGTGAGGCTCGTCGATGCCTGAAGAATGTGGGGTTGAAATTTGACGACTCTGAATTTATGTGTACGAGTTCCGGTGACTTACGTGTTGACGGTGTAGGCAGAAGGCGGGTTGGATGGTGGAGGTCGGCGTTCGTGATGCGAAGCCGTGAGCTTCACTTTTGCTTGGCGCCTACGATCCGCCCGCAGACCCTGGGGTCCGCGACTTCCAGTATGCTCATCACCTCCATCTTGTCAGCCGTCAACTATAGCAAGTTGGACAATCCTCTTGGCAACGGTATGGGACCAGGTGCTTCCATACTTCTTTCTTTGAGTTGCATGCCATTCGAAGGAGATCGTACTTTTCGAGTTGGCCAGACATGCCTACCTTGACTGCTTACATTATTATCGCCTGATCAGATAAGATTTGCTAGGATCTCAAGGCAACAGGGTAACTCACTCAGCGACTGGATCCCTCAGCATCCTCGTCCAGCATGTCCGTGTTGACCGCATACGGAGAGGAACTCGGAGGTGCGGTCTCCGACATATCATGCGGAGATATCCTCTGGACATGATCGGACCATGACGGCTTTGTGTAGCGACGAGATTATAAGAACTTGGTCGTATGTAACAGATTCCACGTCTCTTGTTCTACCAGCAGCTTTCTTTTCACGAGCCCTTTTCCTACTGCTTCACACTTGTAACCTTATATTCCAGTTTTACTATCCCAGAGATGTCGAGTTTAAAACCACCCCTAAACGTCCTCATCGTAGGCGCAGGTGTTTGCGGCCCTGCCCTTGCCCTCATGCTTCAACGCTCTAATCCACAGCACACAATCACAGTCATAGAACGGTCTGTCACGTTACGCACAGGTGGTCAGCAGATTGATCTCAAAGCCCAAGGCATTCCAATCATGAAACAATTGGGTTTACTCGAGACGGTCGGATCGTACTGTGTCAAAGAGAGCGGTATGGAGTTTGTCGACAGGAATGGCAAAAGCTTGATGCAATTCGGCGTAACGAGTGCCGAAGAGAAAGCAAGGACATTCAACCTAACAACCGAATTCGAGTTCATGCGAGGAGACTTTGTAAAGATGATATATGACATCAGTTTGCAAGAGCGAGAAACACTGACCGCCAACGGACAAACCAAAGGCAGTCTAACATACGAATTCAACAAAACCATCACCGCTCTCTCACAACCCCCATCATCCCCCACGACAACAGTGACCTTCTCCACCGGCGAAACTAAAGTCTTCGATCTCGTAGTCGCAGCAGATGGCCAAGGCTCACGGACCCGCCGTCTAGCCTTTGGACAAGAAACCAGTACCTCATCATTCAAGTCCCTCAACATCCACGCCGCGTTCTTCAACGTCCCCCGCCTGCCCACCGAAGACAACTTGGCACGCATTTACTTCGCACCCAATAACCGCGCAGTAATGACACGCACAGGCGATCGACCAATCACACAAGTCTACTTCTTCATCATGAAAGACAGGGACCGCGCGTCGCAAATGCAAGCCATGTACAAACGCCCCTTGTCCGAGCAAAAAGCCGCTTGGGCAGAAATATACACTGATGCCGGGTGGGACTGTCCACGGTTCCTGCGGGAATTGAACGACGTCAATGATTTCTATGCTACGGAAATTGGGCAGGTCAAGATGCCTGAGCATCGTCTTTACAATGGCCGTGTTGTGTTGCTCGGCGATGCTGGGTATTGTCCTTCGTCTTTTACAGGTAAAGGCACGACACTGTCGCTCATCGGGGGTTATGTTCTCGCTGGCGAACTAGCGAGACATGGTAATGATGTCGACGCTGCACTTGCGGCTTATCAAGAGACAATGAAGCAGCCGATTGAAGAATGCCAGAAGCTTGGTGGGCTGAATGATGGGCAGGGGTTCTTTCCCGCGTCGAAGTGGGGGATTTGGATGGCGAATCATGTGCTTTGGACGATGTCGAGTCTTAGAGTTGATAAGGTGCTAGGGTGGCTTGCGGGAATTTTGCTAGGGGGGGAAGAAAAGAGGTGGGAGTTACCCGAGTATTCCGAGTTGGATTTGAGAACTCCGAGGAGGGAGTGAGCTGTTTTGCTAGCAATGCACGTGTTTTCATCGTGGTTGGTATCGCAGAGTTGTGCTGTGCGAGAAGTATACCGCACGTACATACTGCAATCATTTTAATCCCAACTTATAAACCAGAAACCTTACAACATACACACAAGAACTGCTGAAAATCATTCGCACAATTCTCAAAATGTGGACACGTGCGCGAAATGTGATGAATCACGTCTTCCTCTGCCCAGAAAGCCGCTTCTTAGCCCTCTGCCAACCCGATTCACTATCTCGGCGATCAAGCAAAAGATCCACCACACGTTTCGTCTCTCTTTTCCTTTCCTCAAACCCCACGTTCGAGTCCGCCGGGGTGTCCAAACGCTTTGCAAAACCTTCCCATTGCTTTGCGTCCAACAAGCCCAGTAAGCGAGAAGCATGCAGCAAATCCTCTCTTGGTACAGTGACGCCTTTGGTACGAACATAACTCGCAAAATTAAACAGCACCGCGAACTCAAGGAAACTGTTGACACTGGTTCTGAGTTTTCGGGGCACAACGTCATCGAATACGTTCGGATAGGTCGCTGTGGTACGTCCGACTTCGTCTAGAAACTTGACCGGGCAGATTTTGAGCCGATGTTCTACGCGTATCGCGTATTCGATGCAGTGTGTGAAGTGGAAAGCTTTGGTGCGGGTGGTTCCGGCGAGTGTTTTGAATAGACCTAGTTGGCCGTTGGCCCAGTGCCATTGTGGATCGAAAGCATCGTGTCCGGTGTTATCGAGGACAATATTCCATACGCGCTGAGATCGAACGAAGTCTTTTGCTATGCGGTGGGTCCAGGTGACGTGAGAAGCTGCTTTTGTTCAGCTTTGGTCTGATCTGATACATGATATAAAAGTACCTTTTGATGGTACAGCGCTGGATCTATTGTGCGAGCTTTCCACTTCCAACAGACCCCTACATCGAGAGTTGAGTTGACTTTTCATCGTTTTGAGACGCTCCACAATCTCATTCTCAGTCAACGGTCGAGCCACGTTCCTCAGCGCCGGGTCGTCATTCTCACAGTCTGCAAACCAGAGTTCCAGTAAGGACGGCCGTGTTTTCATGCTTACCAAACGGAGAAGTTGGCAGGCGTGCTTCAATTCTACTGTGTTCAAACTGCCAAGGAGTTTTGTGAAAAGTTGCTCTAGTCCAGATGGGAGGGCGTCCAGTCGAGCAGTGACATTATATATGCGCGTTGTAGTTGACAGTCCACTAAGCAATAAGTGCACCGCGATATATGCCCAGAGAAATATGCCAGCTGCCTTCTTGGCTACATCGTTGACGACGTTGGTAGCAGAGCCGGGGTTCAATTTGCTGAGCTTTGCATACAGTTCATCGCCCTCAAACGAAGCCGTGATATAACTGTATATGTCTTGGCGATTGCAGCGTTCGAGGCGTAGACAAGGTCGGCTTCCGAATGCGCGAAGAAACACTGGCAATGGCCTACTAGCAACACAAATTTTGACATGCGGAAGTTTTACTACGTCCATAATGAGATAAAGAAGCTCTCTCGAGTCGCCGTCAATTTCGTCCAAGCCATCTATCGCGAAGAAGAACGACCTCGGTGTGAGAGGTGCAGATACCATCGTTGTGAAGGATTGGCGCAGCTCCAGCCACGTAAATGGTTGTCGACCTCCACCGAAAGCAAGGAACTGTTGCCAGCGTTGATGGAAAATATGGACCACAGTCTTCTTATCACGCTTGAGCGCGGCGTGGAGCAAGGCTCGTAGAAGCCCCATGCGCGAGTTTTGCAGGTCGTTGCCCAAACTTGTGGAGAAAAAGCTTCCCTTTATGAGTGGCCTTTCTTTAGCCCAAGCGTGTAAGTGGGCAGCAGTCCGGCCGTGACTAGACAGAAATTTCATCATCGTACTTTTTCCGGAACCGGGCATACCAGAGACCCAATACAGATTACTGCAATCGGGTGCCGCAAGCCAACAGGGAAAAGGGTCGCAGTCATCAGGGTAGGTCTGCTGGTGAGATTCATCAAAGACCCATTGAAAAGTTACTGGGTGTACGCACGAAATTACCTTGTAACGATCAGAGAGTCCTGTGAAATACAAGCGTGCCAATATGAAGCTGACAAAGCGACTTTCCACATCGCCGTTTACCACGAAGTCCTTCAAACTATCCGAAAACGCAGAGACATCAGCGGTTTTCGTAGGCTTCCAATCATGATGCTTGATGCCGTCAAGTAGTAGTGCGTGGGAGTCTGAGGCCTCGTCCCCGGGGAACCATATTTTTTCCGGATGATCTTGACTGCATTGTGAGATGTTTTGTCTAAATCATGAATCAATGTGTGATCGCACCATTGATATCTCACTTACCGGAGCGAGGTGAGCAGAGAGATATCTACTTGCTTGCGAATTGAACTGAGTCTGTCTAGGAGAGCCGATATCGTCTTCTGACTATAGTACAAGTTCAAGACGCTGCGTAGTCCTTGAATAAGTACAGTCTGTTCGTCCACGTCATTGTTGCGCTTCGCTTGATCCAGTGTGGCCTGTAAGATCTTCGCCACTCCCGCACCATCTTTCGCCGCTGCGATAAGTTGCGCATCTGCCGTGTACTGAACAAGAGGGGAATTGTTATTATGCAATACGTGCTGTGTCTTTCCAAGTTGTTGCAATAAGTCGCTGAGATTAGCTATTGCGTCATCGAGCAGTGTAGCTTCCCCTAGGGTATTGGCAGCAGATATGTGTATACCACCCACCTTACCCTTGCGTAGCACTTTGGCAGAATATTCGACAAGCTGTATGACGGCTGAAGCAAGTGACACAGCATTCAGAGGCTCCATGATTGTGCCAGGTGTAGCAAAGCGACATTGTGTAGGCAATCTAACAAGACAGACACATACGGCTAAGACGGAAGTTTGTGTTCACGCACGCATCGCTAAGGCGTCCTTTAGCCCAGCCGTGTGGATGTAGTCAACTCATTAGCACGTAGAAAAGGCACGATAATAGTAAGGGCTTGCTTTTCGGCTACTAGCCATTGTGTCTCAATTGATCCATGCTCTTCTTAACCGCCTGCACGACGTGTGACGTCTTTGTGAGAAGGGTTTAGCGTCGTAGACGTAGAAACTTGGAAGGTATGACGAACAAGGAAGAAATTCGGGAGACATGTGAAGATGGAATAAAGTTTGAAGGTGGGTAGCGGTGAAAGACCCGCAGTCGTGGTTCGCGCCATGCGAACTCGTCTTTTCTTGTACCGTGTTGCGGACCACCGAGCTGAACCGTGCGCAAAGTAAGCTTTCCCCGACTTTGGTTGGTTAGACATCACTCCTCCGACATTCAACCATGGCCGAGTACTGGAAGTCAACAGTGAGTGAAGCCGAGATGAATCTGCGCGTCATACACTAACCTCACCGCAGCCAAAATACTGGTGCAAGTTTTGCTCCACGTATGTGAAGGACACCAAATTCGAGCGCGCGCAACATGAAGCGACCGGCCGCCACCAAGGCAACATCCAGCGTAGTCTGAAGGGACTGCATCGCGAACAGGAGAACGAGAAGCGCAACCAGGCGCGCGCACAAGCAGAGGTTGCACGTCTGAATGGCATCGTACCCTCCTCATCCACTCCCTCCGTCACGACCGGCGTAGGCGGCAAACCCACATACAAGAAGGAACCCGAGAAGAAAGCCACAGTAGACGACAGGAAACGGCAATGGGAACAGCTGGCGGCTATGGGCGTGGCGCTTCCTGCGGCTGCAAGAGGCGATCTGGCGATAGCAGGGGAATGGAAGACTGTCAAAGAAGAAGTAGTGGGAGAAGTAACCGAGGATGGAGAGTTCAAGGCGACATCTTTGAACAAGGGTATACGAAAGAGGCAACTTGACGAGGATGAAGAAGAGCAGAAGGCCGCTGGAGAGCTTATTACGAAAAGGAAGGGCTGGGGTCATACCTACAAGAGTTTCCCAGGCGGTAAGGGTGGTGATGATGATGATATTGAGAGCTTGCTTGGGAAGAAGAAACCGCAACCCGAGGTCAAGAAGGAAGAACAAGAGGATGGGGTGAAGGCTGAAGTTGACGAAGACAACGACGAGAAGAAGTTGCAAGATATACCTACGGCTGAAGAAGCAGAAGCTAAAGCCGCCGAGCCTGTTGTCAAGAAGGAAGAGGACGCACCAGCTGCACCGGCTGTGGTGTTCAAGAAGAGGAAGAAGGCGAAATGAATGGCTTCACCAGTAACCACCATACCCAATGTAGGTACCCACGTACCGCTCGCGCTGCTATCAGCCCCGGCCCACGCCTCATGCATCTCGGCCTCGAAGTAGATGAATGCTGGGGGTGTTTATTTCCAGTGAGCCGAAGAAAATTATGGATGGCCTTACGTCAGTCAGCAACACACGCGCGTAGCAGGATATCATGACTACTTTTCGCAAGGGCCTGCCGGAAGAGTATTCGTATTATCAAGCTGGACAATATGCGTCAAGGAGAAGGCTGTGTCTAGCTCATGTAGTCCTGATTAGGGTGTCTTTGTGAAGGAGCATCCAATCGAGAAGTGGAAAGACCAGCTTCGAGCAGGACCTAAGCAGCTTCTCTGCCTACGAAACAATCAAGAACATCAAGTTCACAGCGTTAACACCAATAGACGATGCGTGACTCCAAGTGCCTTGATCTATGACTCCCTCACAGCTTTGAGCGGCTCGTTTAACGTCCACTTTTTGATCGGCGCATGCACCTAAACCTTAAACCCCTGCCCAAACGTCTGCCAAGTAGCGTCAACCGCGAGATCGCGTCGCCAACACCAGACAACTGTCGCGGTTCACCAAAACGTGCGCCCCAACTACCAACACTCAACCTCTTCTCCCAGCCCTTTTTCCACTAGTTTCATGGTCGCGTAATAGCATGATTCATCTGCTAGCGATATTTACGCGACCATGCATCTCATTAAACCACAGTGGTTAACACATCCCGGTTGGTGCACCTCCGTGTATACACATGCTCGTCTATTGCCATGTTACTGATGCCAATTCATGATAGGCGAACAGAAAGACTTCGAAGTCTACAGCTGCCACGTTTCCCCTGATGGATCGCGCCTGGCCACGGCCGCCGGAGGTTCGTGAACCCTTGTTGGGATTTCCCACGCAATGCGCTGCCTCCTAAAACGTTGTTAACATATCATCTGCAGACGGCTACGTACGAGTATGGTCTACCGAGGCCATCCTAAATTCGAATGATCCCTCGTATACAAAACCAAAGCAGCTCGCAGCTGTCAGCCATCATTCGGGCACCATTCACGCGGTTCGCTTTTCTTCCAACGGCAAATATCTGGCCTCTGGCGCCGACGATAAGATAGTATGCGTCTATGCGCTCGACAAGAATGCGCCGACCCATGCAGCATTCGGTGGGTATATGTCAAGTACGAACAATGAACACAGGCTGATGGAGTCACAGGATCGAATGAACCTCCCCCCGTCGAGAATTGGCGCGTCATCCGCCGTCTTATCGGACACGACAACGATGTACAGGATCTCGGCTGGTCGTTTGATTCGTCAATACTGGTATCAGTGGGGTTGGACTCGAAAGTGGTTGTGTGGTCAGGGCATTCTTTCGAGAAACTGAAGACGCTGTCAAACCACCAGAGTCACGTCAAGGGCATAACATTCGACCCGGCAAACAAGTACTTTGCAACTGCTAGCGACGACCGTACTATCAAAGTGTACCGTTTCAATTCTCCACCGCCCAACGCCTCGCAGCAGGACCAGGTCAACAACTTCGTCTTGGATCACACCATTACCGCACCCTTCCAAACTTCCCCGCTTACCACATACTTCCGCCGTTGCTCCTGGTCGCCCGATGGCGCACATATCGCTGCTGCGAATGCTACAAATGGGCCTGTCAGCTCTGTTGCTATACTTGCGCGTGGATCGTGGGATGGAGACATCAGTCTGGTCGGCCACGAAGGCCCTGTTGAAGTAACCTCGTTCTCTCCACGATTGTTTTATCGGGACCCACCACGCCCAGAGAAGGACGGAACCATCAACCAGCCGACAGTGACCATCGTCGCATGCGCTGGACAAGACAAGTGCTTGAGTGTGTGGAATACCAGCTTTCCTAGGCCCTTCATGATCTCGCAAGAGCTGGCAGGCAAGTCCATTTCCGACTTGTCATGGGCACCAAACGGAGAAACGTTATTTGCAACCAGCTTGGATGGCAGCATATTGACGCTCGTCTTTGCGCCAGGAGAACTAGGCTATCCCGCGACACTTGCAGAGAACGAAAAGACACTGGCCAAGTTTGGCGCTGGCAGAAGAGTTGGCATTATCGAGGGCACAGACGCACTACTTCTGGAAGAGAGCAGTAAAAGTGGAGAGCTTAAAGGTGTTCAAGGCAGGATGGGTGCACTAATGGGCGACGGAGGTGCGGTTCAGCCGCCAACCATCACCAACGGAACCAATGGTACCACTGCCTCGACAAATCTCACAAACGGATCGAGCGCCACAGCACCACCACAGGCCCCTGCTGAGCCACCTCCAGACGTCCGAGTTGAGAAGCTGAAGCAGAGGGTGACTGTCACTAAGGATGGCAAGAAGCGAATAGCGCCTATGCTCATGTCGTCTTCATCTGGTGTCGGTGAATCGTCTCTACCCCAAACACAACTCCTTTCTGCGACAACAACCTCAGGCGGCAGGAGTGATAACCCCCACAACATTCTAGATCTGTCAAAGCCATACGACGGATTCCCAAAAGGAGGGCTTGCATCTATGCTGATAGGAAACAAGAGAAAATTTGCAGAGATCGAAGGGGACGACGACCGACAAGTGGAGCGAAGATTGGCGGGTTCAGTGAAGCCTGGAGGTGCAGCGATAGTGCTCAACAGTGAGAATGGTCTTATTCCTCCTGCTGCAGCACCATCGAAGAACAATGAGCTGACAGAGCCTCCTAAAGTTCTAAGGCCGGCCATCGTCAACCCTTCTATGGCCCTCGCTCAGGTGCGATTGGCTGTGCCAAAAGTCAGAAGTGTTATCGTGCGAACTATGGACGGCAGCGAGCCACCACAAAGTGGTATTGATGCCAATACGGGGAAAGCAGAAGTACCAGACACGGTCATTTTAGAAGCGCGCAACGCCAGTGGACCATCGCGGACAGGACGCCCACAAGACCACGATCCAACGCGGCTGACGTGCACCAGCAAGGGACAGTCACTCTGGCAAGACTTCCTACCAAAGGCCGTACTCTTAGTTACAGGCAACACAAACTTATTCGCAGCAGCATGCGAAGACGGCTCAGTATACGCCTGGACACCCGCCGGCCGCCGAACCCTTAACGCCATGGTCCTGGAAGCTCAGCCCGTAATCATGGACTGCCGCGGCTGGTGGCTAATGTGCATAACAGCAGTCGGAATGTGCTACATCTGGAATCTCAAAACAATGTCCGCGCCGCACCCGCCCATCTCCCTTGCCCCCATCCTCGACGTCGCAGCCTACGCCCAAGGACCTCACCTCACGCGCTCCCCCGGCATCGTCTTCGCGCGCCTAAACTCCGCAGGCCGCATAACAGTAGCTATGTCGAATGGCGAGGGCTACGCGTACAATCCCGACATGTATATCTGGCAACGCATTTCCGAGCCGTGGTGGGGTGTCACAAGTCAATATTGGAACTCGACCGATTCATCCGTCGGCAACATTCGGCCTTCAAAGGACAAGAACGCCCCCAAAGAGAAGGATGATCAGGTATCAATGGAGAATATCTCAGCGGGCATCATCCCAGCTCTCGAACGTAACACAACGAACCAATCGCTACTACAGGGTCGCGCTTTCCACCTCCAGCGTCTCATCAAGATCTTGGTGTCGGCAGAAGGCTACGAGACATTTGAGAGCTCGGCTAGTGTTGCACATCTCGAGAATCGCGTTGCGGCTGCACGTACATTGGGCGCGAGGGAAGAGTTCAAAATTTATCTTACCATGTATGTCAAGAGACTTGGTGCCGAGGGTCTCAAAGGAAAGATCGAAGAGCTATTACGCAGTCTCATGGGCAGTCTTGTTTCTGAAGAGGAGCAAGGAGAAGGCAACGATGAGGAAGATGAGGCGATGAAGGAGCCGGAAGAGATTTGTGGATGGAAGAGGGAGGAGTTGCTCAAGGAGGCTGTGTTGATTCTTGGTATGTTTGTCGTGTCCCTTTTGATGGTGTGAATCAAGTGTGCTAACGTGTCATGTGTGCAGGTAAACATCGCGACCTCCAGCGTATAACAGTCCCATATGCGCGTCTCCTTGGCATCGTCACTGAGGGTCAGCGTGGGGACGATCAGGCTATGATCACGGATATGTAGCTGACTCTTTTCACGTCTTCTTCTTGTTCTTCGTCTTACTTGTACTAAAAGCATCACTACGCTGATACAAAGGCTTGTGGGTTGGGCAACATGTGTCTGGCGTCACTTGGCGTTTTCTAGGAAGATGGAGTACATGGTTCTCGGAGGAGTGGATGTGGATAATTGTAGACATTTCTTTTGGCAGGAAACATGGATTGTTTGTGAGTAATTGTGGTTTTACTTGCAGGTGCGAGGGGTGAGGAGTGAGGAGTGAAAATGAACTGGCTGCTCAAGAGATATCGCTCCGCTATAATGGAACAGACTAAAGTGCTTAACTCGATGAATCTTAGCACGGGGTATCTATAAAATATCTACACTACCCCAGTACACCTGAGCATCTCCCCAGCTATACTACCTCCTACTTTCTGAACAAATTCGTCGCACTCCCCGCCAGCGGATTAGGCTGAAACTCCATATCGTTCCCGGCCGCAAAAAGCGGCACAGAATCATCATCCACCCTACTCCTCGGCTTAAGCTCCTCCCCCCTCGCAATCTCAATCGTACTAATAACCGGCAATGCCAGCAACAACAACGGTAACAATTGTCCGAAACTCCAGTTCCCCTCACTAGGCCCCACCAACCTCACAGATTCCGGTGGGTGGCCAAAAGCCTGAGATTCCAACACCACGCGCACAGTGGCGCCCACGCCCATGGCAAGACAGGCGAAGAGACCAACGACTTGCACGGTTTTGAGCCATTTGGGGTTTGACCGGTTGTGCAGGTACCATGTTGCGAAACCAAAGGTGATGACTTGTCCGGCGATTACGGCGATGGTGCCGGCGATTGATAGAGCCGCGTTTCCACTTGTGCCTTTACTTTCCACTTCCCAGACACAGGCAATTGGTAACCTGGGCTCCATGTTCTTCATCACAGTCTGCAGGATGAAAATCCCACTTAGTATTCCCAGAAACATGTTTATCAGCATGAGTATCTGCCGTATCCAACGGAGTACCCAATCACGCTTGAAGTCGTTTACGAGGGCGAGTAAAGTAGCAAGGTTTGTAGCGGTGGATAAGAGGGAGAGAAGCCAGATGATGAAGAAGTGGTATGGCACCATTGTTTTCATTTTGGCGAGGCCGACGGACTGGATGCCGATTCCAGTTAGGATTTGTTGATCGGAGAAGGACTGGAGGAGTTTGCGGGAAATGGGGGCTGAGGTGGATTTTCGGAGGCCGAGGAGGATTATCGCGGCGGAGAGAAGGATGGAGAGGATGTTTGTGATTATGAAGGATAGAAGCGTCTGTGGGTTCTGGTGTTAGACTGATGACTACCACGGGTTGCGCGGATGGGGTTCAAGATTGCAACATACGCCTGCGCCTGCTACTCCAGCATCTGTGTTTGTCGTCTCGGGGACGGTGGAGCAATTGAAAGCCATGGTTTCCTGTTTCTCTTCTTTCTTCCCTTGGAACTATTGTATTGAAGGAGCGTGATTGCGTCAGGCCTGCATGCGCGGATTCGTGTTGTGTTATCATACAATGAAATCGCAGAGTTCAAGATGCGCGCAAAAATCGAAACGTTAAAGAAAGTGTTGCGCAAGTCTACGCAAGAAGACTACAGGAAGTAGAAGTAGAGGTGAAAGCAAGAAGTCAGCACAGCCTCAAGCCAATGTCATCATCAACCACCAGGGTCTCACATCCCTCCCATCTAATTTAAGGCACATTGGCGAGCCGGCGACAGCAAGGCAAGCCAGAAGTCAGCAGGGGTAAAGATCGACGCGTGAAACGAGGTTGTACTGCCGGCCAATAGATGATCTTTGCCCGTTGGCATCTGTGGCGCAGCGCTTAATCTGCGACAGATGCTGGGCCAGTTAGAGATGCGGGGTAGAGCTTTTCATGGATGGACGATGGTGTTGTGTTATGCCTAGATAGGATATGAGATGGTGGTGAAAGAGAGTGGAGTACTTGACGTGGGAGGGCGCTTGCGCAGGGGAATGGGTGGGCGTGCATTAAGGGTCCTTGACGGCTTGCTCTTAGCGCTGAATCGGATGTTGTGGCCGGGTTTAAGGGAAGTGTTCATCGGTTATCCGTCCGTCTTTCCGCAACATATAACAATTTTGGAAGGATTACGAAGTCACGAACGCGATTGCACTATTGCTGTGATTGAGCAGGCATGTGGTATTCTAAATATTCTCGCCATGATCATGCACTCGTTCCATATGTTTCTCACCTCATGCTTCCGAGGGCGCAGCAGCCGGCTTACCCGTTGTCGCATACGCGCTCTTCTCCCTGATCTTCGCACCTTGTAAGTAAAACCAAATCGGCACAGGAACCATCACAGCAGCAACACATCCGAGCAACGTAGCAGCCCATTCAATACCCATGCCCTCAAACATCTGCCGTGCGAAGAGAGGGAACGCTGCTCCACAGAGACTACGAAGGAACGTGTTCGCTGCAATCGCCGAGGCGGCAAACTGGAAAGTATGTTAGCATATGCATGAACATGTAGGGGGGCGGCTCCTTCTTACCATAAGGTACGCGTCAATGAGGTAGTTGAATGCCTGCAGGAAAATACTCATGATGCCAAACCCAATTAACAGTCCAGAAAGCGTAGGCACAATCCAATGGATATCCGCTTTGTATCCAGTCCATCCGAACCAAAATATACCCCCTGCAAAGCAAACTCCGCCCGCAATGACCTCTGGTAACCGCCATTCAGGAATAGGCACATCGTTGTTAGCAGCGAGCTTCTTCTGATACCCCGGTTGCCGAACAAAGACAAGGGTACCAGCCAGCAGCTCTCCTACGATCGCGCCGAAAAACGGTAGCCCACCGACACCAGGGTTCATTCCATGCACGCCCTGAAAGACCAATGGATATGCTGTAAGGAAGAGATATAGCAGTCCATAAATGAACGCCATGTATACACTTAGTAGCAGCACGATACGCTCCGTGACCAGCATCCTGAGGGGTCTAGAAAAGTTCTTCTCTAGCAGTTCGCGGAAGTCAATTTCAATCTCTTCTTGCTTGGCGTGAATGCCCCAGTTCTTGGTGCGGCGGCGTAATTCTTCGGCTTTGGCAACGAGGATCAAGGGTGGGTAGGATTCAGAGAGGAAGAGCAGGTTAAGGGTGAAGGCCGCAAAGCCCATGAAGGAGCTATCTCATGTGTCAGTACATGTGTTTTGTATCCTTTGCATGGACGAGGGAGAAATGCTTACACGAGGTACTGAGTCCACCGCCAACCAAGATCAGGGTCCATGACTATGAAGCCGCCGATGAAAGGTGCAAGGAAAGGACCACTAAAGACTGTTACACTAAAAACGGTGATCGCCATTCCTCTTGTCCTATTACCGAACATGTCGGAAAAGACAGCTGCAACACACTAAATCTCAACATCAGCACCCATCACCCAACGCGTAAAAGAAAAAGCGCAGATACTCACAGTAATTGGACAAGCCCCAAAGAACCCCGAAAAGAACCGACAGATCAAGACGGTCTGCAAATCCTTGCCCGTCGCACAAGCAATTTCGAAGACAGAGAAACCAAACGAGGCTATCACGAGCGGCAGCCGTCGTCCTTTCAACTCCGAGAACGGCGCCCAGAGGATCGGTCCCGTCGCAAAGCCCAGCACGTACAACGACGTGCCCAGCGTAGCGACTACAGAACCCACACCAAACCTCTCCTGTATAGCTCTCGTCGCCGTACTAAAAATCGAGCTAGCGAACGCAGCCGTCATCGTCGTGAATCCCTATAATAGTGATAAGACGAACATGTCAGTCCATATGATCTCACAACTCTTATTCTGGTTTGTATATCTCGAGGCTGGACTTACCAACATAGCAGCTGTTAACAGCTTCTTCCGTAGCGGCCAGTTCTGAGCATGCAATGGATCATCCTCCCCATCAAATTCCACGACGTAATCTTCCTGTGAGGGTAGTGGAGGTGGATATGGTTTCCCAGCGCCGAACTCTGGTAGTGGTCTCGAAGCACGGGAGGTTCTGCTCCGCAGTAGCCCACCGAGGCCGCCGACTGTAAGCGAGTGCTGGCTTCGTTGCGTCTGGATGCGACTTAGAGAATGAGAATGGTGGCGGAGGTTTTCTACGTCGGAGGAGGAGGAGTGCTGGGGAGGTGGTCTGGGTTTCGCTTCCGATGTATCTGGTGTTGAGGACGAGGAGGTCGCTATAGTAGAGGAAGTTCCTGTCCGGGCAACATCCTCGCGTTGCTTTTCCTCAATCTCTGGAACAAACGCATATGCCTGCGAGAAGCGGCCGGGGCTAGGATCTCGTTCGAGCGTCTTCTCTACGTAGCGGCCTTGGTCATTCATGTTCTTGGTGGTAACTGCGAGTTGCAACAAGACAGCAGGTGCTTCAGGCGTACGGTATACATATTCGACTCGAATGTTTAGCTCTCACAGTATTACAGCATCAGAGTATTGTAACTTGAACGTCCGTTCCTCCGCTCTATGACTCCACAAAAGCGGATGCTCGCGCTCTCTCGGATCGGAGACTTGATAGTGCACCGAAGAGCCGGTGATGAATTGCGAGAATGTTGACCCGATTTTGGTATAAATAAGGGACCAACCCGATAGGACGTACGTTCATAATATAACTCTACCTTCCTGTACACCATGAACTCTAGGATATTGGTAGTCCGACGTGCGTTACTCAAGCCGTTGTAGGCCTCGGGATGATTGATGTCGGTGAGGGTCAAACTCGCGCGCCGTGTAAGGCCGAAGTAGCGAAGCCGCGTCGACTCTAAGAAGCCGCCAACTGTGTCCGGCAATGTACTGCCAAGTTCGGCCCTATCTTTCGTATAACAGGCCTGGAGAATGATGATGCAGGGACCAGGGATATGCATTCTATGATGTTTATTAGCGAGAGCCGCACTACGTTCCATGTCGAAGATGATGCTGCCGAGACATGTCTCTTAGTCACATACAACCTGCTTACAATCACAAATCAACTTGGGTAGTAACGTCCATTCATTTACGACGGGACAACTACCGTGCCTGAACAACGCCCTCCCAAGGTCTTCTTCAGCACCTAGCGTGTATCAACACCATTGCATAGGAATATAGACACTATACATCGTTTGAACACTTAGTCTTGCATGTATCTTTACATTCATAGTAAACAGTTACAGTAGTCTTGAGCTTACTATTGAAGATTCCATTATTAACTATCATTAGCGTCTGAACTACTTACCCTTACCCAGTCACAGTACTGTTCTCCGAGGCCACCAGATATCGCAATCATTCGTGTCAGTCTTCGCGCAGCAGGCTGCAACAAACTGCATTGATCTTAGTGCCGCCAAGGATGACATGAGTTATTGCGATACCTGGTGAGGCTGATCCGGTTGGATGGCATGTACAATTGCTGACCCCGCAGTCATCATCATTCCTAGTTTAGAGAACTACCACTCTTCATAAGCCCCCCTGAGACACGCTAAATTCTGAGTTCGTAACGATACCTTAACCTTTCTCTGGTTATCAATTTAAGTCTAGTCATAGTTTGTTGCTCCTACTCTGGTGCACACTGTTATCTGCAACGCTAAGTAGCCTCGAAACTTCGAAGTAGCTTATGATGACGGAGGCTGTGTCCGAATGGCTCGCTCTTGCTGTAGAAGAAGTCGACGAGAAGAAGCTACTGCCGGGTGTTATTGGCAAAGATGGCATACGACCGCATCTTCCTACACAGATGGTGAAGATGCCCTTCGACGACCCTGATCAGGTCGCTGTTGTCTCATGGCGCTGGGACGGAGACCTACAAACCCGGGGTTCCCGAAACATCGCAAGTGTCATACACTGTGCAAAACAGCGAGGTAATCGATATCTGTTCATTGATACTTTGCACGAAGATAACAGTCCTTACTGCCTATGATACCAATGGAATTGGCTTGCACGCAATGAGATATAATGTTCTACGTCCGTGGATCTTGAATGAGGTGCGGCTTTCCCGACAAAATCCCGGTAGGATCGTGTACGTAGGACACAGCAACCAGGGTTCGCAGATGGCAGGTTATTTATCCCTAGGTATCCTCGCAATTGGGGACCGACCGTGCCAACGTTCTTACTTTGTGTCCTTGCTCAAAGAGATCTGGTGCACTAGTTTCTTTGACTCGATCGCTGGTTTACTCACCGAGGAAGTTGGAATGTGTTTCGTCTCGGATTTCAAATACATTATACAGGCTTTTTCACACGTTCTGTCTGTTGCTTACGAACAGATGGTAATACTTCAATGTATACACATTGAACAAAGGATCACCTTAGCACTTCATAGTAGTCGAGAACTCTAACTCGGAATGCATGTCGTTTCCAGGACGCGTATTGAGTCCGCCAAGCTATGTCCTGACCATCGTGCTAAGCCTGGCTTCGCGCTTTCAGCTGACAGATGGAAGACATCTTCTTAACGGCTGATATCACCAACACCTTGCTGCAACGCTCTACTTTCCTCCCTGAGAGAGGTCATATGAGTTGTCATCGAGCCCAGTCCCTACTTTTGTGTGTCGATCACGCAACGGCAGATTTTCGACCAGACTGTTATGTAGTGACTGTTTTCATGTATTTCCTTCTCCATGGACAGACATCAGATCTTCGCCGTGCTAGGCGTCCCCGTGCTCATCTGGTTACCCTTTTGCTATCACTGTGAATCGTTCCAACAACCTGAATCGAAACTTCAGGACGATTAGTGTTGCAGCATTGGCTCGAAGCGCGCACTCGGGCACAATGATAGCGCTAATAAGTGATATACAGGTCGTGTGGAGGCCTGACCAGCACACAGGTACGTCACAGAGGCAAGCTTTGGCACTATTCGATACTGGACACAAGACCGAGCTCAGCGATGGTCCGAGTACATGCATGCAGCGTGGTGAAGCGTGACATCGTCAGTAACCATATTACTGCCCCACTTACGCGATTGATCAAGTCACAAGTGCATGTGGCAAAATGTGTTGTTGATCCCACAGTGGGAAGTGGTATCTCTACCATGTCGTGATTTTGGTTATCGTCTAGCGACTGCTCATAAAGACGTGAAACCGTCCGTCATGATCATGCATACTCTTCGTCAAAAGGTCATAACATCGCGCGCGCCAACAGGAAGTTATCTACAACTTCTGCATAGCAACAATGTCGGTGGACTGGACGTGGTCCTCGAACTCTTCGATCTGTTGCTGGAGCTCGTCCAGCGAGACCTTGTCGTCCTCGACGACCAAGTTGATCTGGAGCTTCTTGATACCGAAACCAACAGCGACCAACTTGGAGGCACCCCAGACGAGACCGTCCTTCTCGATGGAGAGAACGTTCGCCTTGAGCTCGTCCATGTTTGTCTCGTCATCTGGGCAACGTTAGCATACGGGTAGAATCGAAGACAGATTAAAGAACGTACCCCATGGCTTGACGTCAAGGGTGACGATAGACTTAGCAGCAGGCTTGACCTTGCCAGCCTTCTTCTTGTTGTACTCGGCCAGACGCTCCTCCTTGATCCTGGCAGCCTCGGCGTCCTCCTCCTCGTCGTCGCTGCCGAACAGGTCGACCTCGTCGTCGTCGTCCTCAGCCTCCTTCTCGGGGGCCTTGGCGGGGTTCAGAGTGAGCTCGGAGGACTCGGGGCCGTAGGCAGTGAAGTCCTTGGTTGGGTCACCAGGAAGGGAGTCGAACTCGCCCTCGAAGGTGAGCATGTGGTTGTACCAGCGCCATGCGTATGGGTACTTCTCTGGCGCGGGGATCTGCTTGATCTGCTGGTAGACCTTTACATCGGCCTGCGATGGGGAGTAGCTGGGGTATGTTAGCTGATGACTCCTCCATGGTGTTTGGACAAGATGCAGCAGAAACAAAGGGTAAATCAGAGGTGCGACAAGCGCGTGGTTTTGTATTCAGATAGCGGGGTCTTAAGCCGCCTCATTAACACGGACCAATTGTTCTCATCATGAAAGGTTGGGAGTGCGACGCGATGCAGTGGGAGGATACAAAGCGGGAGGAAATGTATGGCGGGGTAGGAACTTACCCAACAATGTAGCTACGGGTCCTGACATAGTTGTTCAGGAGAGTCAGGCCTGCTTCGGAGACGAGATCGGTGAAACCCATATTTGCAGTTGTGTGTGGTTGCGAGTATGGAATGGGAGAATCGAAGGTGTTGTGTTGAGAAAGAGAGGGACGACCGCAGTTTTTGATGGAGGAAATTGCGCTGAGAAAAACACGCTAGCCTTGGCGCTAGCACGTGCCCCTCCCTGCCTCCCTGCACCTGTGCCCGCGACAGCTGTTCATGTACCAATCTTTTATGCATCTGGACCTCGCATAGCATATTCGCGCGAACAGGTTCTCGCCTTCTACCCTGGACCTGATCCGTATTGGTGGTGAACGTTGGCGGTCTGGAATGTTATCCATAGACGCGTAGAAAGTTGTCGAACCATCGCGCATCTTCGCCGAAGCCTGTGCTCGCCCCATCCATCACGAATATAATGATACCGTCTCCGACTTCTTCAATCTGACTCTTGCTTGTTTTCTGACTCCGACGTCGTCATGCTGACCAGTAGAACACGCATAGCCACGAGGCGCATTGCCTCACCATCCCTCCCACGATCACTTCCCATTCGCACATCGCCGCTATGTCTCCACGCATCCCCAGTACGACTGCCTCGGCAGCAAAAGATCCTAAGACCGCTTGTATCGTTGCGAACATATGCAAACGGAGGCCGACCGCATCCTCCAGGTGGAACACATCGCATGAATCTGGGTGGTGAGCCGGAAAAGCCTGCCTTGGAACAATATGGTGTGGATCTCACAGAGCGAGCGCGTGATGGCAAATTAGATCCAGTCATTGGACGAGACGGCGAGATCCAGCGTACCATTCAAATCCTATCGAGACGAACAAAGAACAATCCCGTCCTCATAGGCTCTGCAGGAACAGGAAAGACTGCCATCCTTGAGGGCCTAGCACAGCGTATTGTAAAAGGTGACGTGCCCGAATCCATCAAAGACAAGCGCGTCATATCCCTCGATCTCGGGTCCCTCATTGCTGGCGCAAAGTTCCGCGGAGATTTCGAGGAGCGGCTCAAGAGCGTCTTGAAGGAAGTCGAGGAGGCCAAGAAGGGTGTCATACTATTCGTGGATGAGCTACATACATTGTTGGGCTTGGGCAAGGCAGAAGGTAGCATCGATGCGAGCAACCTTTTGAAGCCCGCACTCAGCCGCGGAGAGCTACAACTCTGCGGTGCGACAACACTCAACGAATACCGACAGATTGAGAAAGACGCAGCGCTTGCGAGACGGTTCCAGCCAATCCTAGTGGGCGAGCCGACCGTACAAGACACCATCTCGATACTGCGTGGTATCAAAGAGCGATACGAGGTCCATCACGGCGTACGCATTACCGACAACGCTTTAGTCGCCGCTGCTGCGTACAGCAACCGATATATTACCGACCGTTTCCTTCCAGACAAGGCCATCGACTTAGTAGACGAGGCTGCGAGTGCCCTCCGTCTTCAGCAAGAGAGCAAACCCGATGCGATCCAGGAGCTAGACCGTCAGATCATGACGATCCAGATTGAGCTTGAATCGCTCCGCAAAGAGACAGACATTGCCAGTAAAGAGCGACGCGAGCGCCTTGAAGAATCGTTGAAACAGAAACAGGAGGAAGTGAAGGGCTTGACTGAGAAGTGGGAAAAAGAGCGAGCAGAGCTCGATGAAATCAAGAATGCGCAGGAGAACCTCGAAAAGGCAAAGCTCGAGCTCGAACAAGCCCGCCGAGAAGGTAACTTCGCCAAGGCTGGTGAACTGCAGTACAGCAGAATCCCCGAGCTAGAGCAGAAGCTTCCCAGGGACGAGGAAGTGACTGCAGGGGCCAACCGACAGGGCTCATTGCTGCACGACTCCGTCACTGCAGACGATATTGCATCTGTCGTCTCTCGCACGACTGGCATTCCACTGTCCAAACTCAACTCGGGAGAAAGCGAGAAGCTTATACACATGGAGGACATTCTTCGACAATACGTCAAGGGCCAGGATGAGGCATTGAAGTCTGTCGCGAACGCCATTCGTCTGCAGAGAGCTGGCCTGTCAGGCGAAAACCGGCCCATCGCTTCCTTCATGATGTTGGGACCGACTGGTGTAGGAAAGACGGAAGTTTGCAAAAGATTGGCGGAGTATCTGTTCAGTACTCCACAGGCTGTCATTCGATTTGACATGAGCGAGTTCAGCGAGAAGCACACCGTCTCGCGCCTCATTGGTTCTCCTGCAGGCTATGTTGGGTATGAGGATGCTGGCCAGCTTACCGAAGCCGTCCGACGAAAGCCTTATGCAGTCCTCCTGTTCGATGAATGGGAGAAGGCTCACAAGGATATCTCAACGCTCCTCCTACAGGTGCTTGACGAAGGCTTCCTCACAGACGCCCAAGGCCATAAGGTTGACTTCCGCAACACCATTATAGTCATGACATCGAACCTAGGAGCCGATATAATCGTCGGCGACGACGTTCTACACTCGGTGGACAAGGACTCCAGTGAGATCTCACCAGCAGTACGCAGCGCTGTTATGGATGTCGTCTCCGCCACATACCCACCGGAGTTCCTCAACCGTCTCGACGAGTTCATTGTCTTCCGCCGTCTCTCACGCGAAGCGCTCAGAGACATCGTGGATATCCGTCTGAAAGAATTACAGCAGCGACTGGACGACCGCAGGATCGTCCTAGAATGTCCGGACGAAGCCAAGCAATGGTTATGTGATAGGGGATACGACCCGAAGTTCGGTGCTCGGCCACTGAACAGACTCATCGCAAGAGAAATCGGCAACAGTCTGGCGGACAGGATAATCCGTGGAGAGATCCGCAGCGGCGACACAGCCAAGGTCGCCATCAACGAGGAAGGCACAGGTCTAATCGTTACTGCTTCATGATTTAGTATGACTAACGACGATATGACTGTATAACAGAATGTAAACTGTACTATTGCATGTACATAATATAGCATCAGCGGCGTTTGTAGGTAAAATATTTCCTCTCTGTAGACTGTATCAATGTAAAAGATACCCTGATCAGGTTCAGTATCTCGTTCTTGCGGAAGTCACGCGCCACGTAAGCGCTCCTACGCAACTTCCTCTTCCATCTCAACCCACTTCACTCACTATTCTCTCACCTCACTCTAGTACTTCCACCACCAAAATCACCATTATCGATCAGAGTGATGGCGTGCCATCCTCCGGACAAGCCTCCCTATCGGCATCAAGGTAATCGTAGCAGCGCTGCCTCGCGTAGTGATCGCAGCAGCCATACACGTCGTACACCCGCTTCAACGGCTGACTCGCGTCCCCCGTCCACGCGCTCCGCTTCCAGTGTACCTGCAGGACCAAACCAGCAGCGTAGAGAGGCCGATAGTGGACCTTTCACAGGCATGTCAGTAAACACACCTTCAGAAGCTCATAACGGTGCCGAAGAGAATGATGATACGTTGATCGAGGTCATCATGGCTGTTGACATGACGCCACGTGGTACGGTTGGATGTTGTTACTACGTCGCAAGAGATGAAAAGCTTTACTTCATGGAGGACATACAGTGTGGTGACGTGAATGTCGTCGACTCCTGTATGTTCTTCCTACAGAACTCTAAGTGACTATATTGATAAGCTCATAGTGAGAACGTTTATAGAGCCTACAGTGATCCTGGTATCAACGAAGATTGACGACAAGGTGATTGACCGCTTCGACCCGGAGGCTAGGAGCGCCGATTGCACAAGTAGTGAAAACGACCAATTTCGTCTTCCGTTTCTCTTGGAGGTGAGACCACCCAATGAGTTCTCCTACGACACTGCAAAGAGCAAGCTTGCCAGTCTTCGCTTCGACTTGGAGAGTGGCACTCGCGCCAGCTTCAATATTCCAGGAGAGCTTGCGTCCATGGACCACCTGAATGAACAGGGGGCGGTAGGCCAACAAGGTCAACTGCTTCGTCTTGCAGGACGCATAGACCTTGAAAGCCGTTTGACGGTAACCTTTCGATTCTTACAGTAGCACACACCACTGATACTGAGTAGGTTGGCTGCGCTGGGGCACTCGTATCATATCTTCAACGCCGACGCGCTGCTGCATACCTTCCCGGTGATCGAGCAACATCCCTGATGTTTCGGATCGTGACATTGGAAATGTTCAGTCTTCGAGAGACTATGTTCATCAATGCAGACACACTTCACTCTTTACAGATCATGGGTGCCGAATCGCATCCGCATTTTCACAATAAAGGGCCAACAAAAGCTAGTTCGGGCGAAAAGGAAAGCCTCTCCGTATACGGACTGTTTCACCATCTAGCGCGAACACCGCAAGGAAGGTTCCTGCTTCGGCAGCAGTTCCTTCGTCCTAGCCTCAATATCGATGCCATCAATGAAAGGCTGAGCGCCCTGGGGGTGTTTACTCGCCCGGATAATGATTCCGCGCTACAGACGCTTGTACAAAATTTGAAGGACGTTGGCAACATGCGTGTCATGATGCTCAACTTGAGGAAGGGCGTAGGTGGCTCGAAGAACGGAGCTGGAGGCTTTGCTAAGAGTATATGGACGTCCATCAGAGCGGTACGTCTCGCCGCACTCTATAGCGAGCCTCTTAGCTGATTCTACTAGTTCGCATTCCATGCGCTCAAGATCAAGGACACATTACAGGAGGTCCTCGGTGGGGAGACTTTGGTGATCAGGAACAAGGTAATTACCATTACTGATCTCTGCGCACTTGCTGGTCCATCGATACAGCTTAATGTACTTATAAAAGCGCTGTTCTAATGCCTACAGGTGTTAGAGGAATTCGAAGGCTACCATCTGGCTCAGATCGGAAGGAAAATCAGCGAAACTATCGACTTGAACAGCTCGGCAGAAGAAGGTCGAACCGTCATCATGCCAGGGATCGATGAGGAGCTGGACCAGATGAAGCAGACCCTGGATAGTCTTGACGACTTCCTCAACCGAGTTGCGCGGAAGCTGTCCGAGAAGATGCCTTCCGATATCCGTAAGTCGGTGCGTTCTTATCAATGCTTGACCTTCCCACCCTGGAGTCATACTGAGACAAACGCTGACCAAGTTAGAGGCAACCCTGAATGTCATCTACTTTCCACAGATCGGGTTTCTCTGCACTACTCCTGTCGATGAAGCAACCGGAGATGCTGTTTATGATGGCACTTTTGACAGTCCTTGGGAAAGAATGTTTGCCACTGAAGAGCAAATCTATTTCAAGAATAGCGAAACACGAGAGATGGATGATCACTTCGGTGACGTGTACGGTATCATCTCGGATCGCGAAATCGAGATTAGTCATGAGCTCGCACAGTACTTGCTGCAATATGAAAGGCTGCTGACATCTTGTTCGGATATTTGTGGGGAGCTTGATAGTCTTTTGGCTTTAGCACAAGGCGCGAAGATCCACAAACTTTGTCGCCCTCGCATGACATACGACAATGTTGTACGGATCGAAGGGGGCCGGTGAGTCGGATATTGCTGGGCGCCATGCATATTTACTGACTTCGGTGTAGTCATATCCTGCAAGAGCTTACCGTATCGTCCTTTGTTGCGAACGATACAATTCTAAGAGGTGGCGAGGGGGATGAAACAGTTGAAGAAGACGTCGATCAGAGCTACAGCACCGGAGCTCAACTACTTACCAGCTCTGCGACCCGCCACACATACGCGCTCAAGGACAGCCCAAGCATGCTCGTTCTGACTGGACCCAATTACTCAGGGAAAAGCGTTTACCTCAAACAGGTTGCTCTCATCGTATATATGGCGCATGTCGGAAGCTTTGTTCCCGTGGATAGCGCAATGATCGGGCTAACAGACAAGATTCTTTCCAGAGTTACGACGCGCGAAACAGTATCTCGTATCCAGAGCGCCTTCATGATAGATCTACAGCAAATCTCACTTGCGCTTAGTTTAGCTACGCGCCGAAGCTTGCTCATCATAGATGAGTTCGGCAAAGGGACTGAGTCTAGTGATGGAGCCGGTTTGGCATGCGCAGTCATGGAGCACTTGTTGAGCTTAGGGTGCGAGCGACCTAAGGTCATCGGTGCTACGCATTTCCATGGTGCGCAACTCTCGCTCGTCCGCAAATTGACGCTGACCCTTCATAGAAATCTTCGAAATGGGTTTGCTCAAACCTAGGCCTGCTCTTGCATTCGGGTATATGGAAGTGCGTATTGATGCCGACGCTTTGGAAGTCAGTGATCAGATAACGTACCTTTACAAGTGGGTCTACCGAACCGTTAGGTTCGGGAATCTACTAACTACTGCTCAGCTTGCGCAAAGGTCGAAGTACCTCGAGCTTCGGAACGTGGTAAGTTTATAGCTCTGGCCCTTCCTTAACATAATTGACGACAAGACAGCTGTGCTGCCATGAACGGCGTTCCTCCGGAGATTATCCAACGCGCAGAGAATCTCATACTGCTCTCTGCGCGGGGTGGGGACCTTGTAGCAGCATGCTGTCAGATACCAGAAGACGAAGCTGCGGAACTTGAAGAAGCAGTACGTGAGGTCTTGCAATTGAGGACGTCATCTAACGTGTTTTCAGGAGCAAGTGGCGAGAGAATTCCTCGAAGCAGATGTCTACCGAGACCCAAAGACTACGTTGGCGAATATACTGACCATCTCCACGACCACAAACTCGCCCAGTTAGTAATGGAAGTGTCGGTACGAGTGTATGATTGGCGAAACATGGACAGAATGGAAATACAAACTGTTAGAAAGATGATGAATCGCACCAAGTCCAAGCTTCAAGGTGATCAATCCATGAGACAACGATAGCGAGTGTGTTTTCTCCACTTTTGTGTCCAATCTGCCTCCACCGTGTGTACTACGAAAAGGTCAAGACCGTGGTCAGCAAATCTGTAGCCTCCTCATAATATGATCCATATAAGTTTGTTTACCAAAGCTTGGGCGAAAAGACACAAAGGTCGTCGTATGGGTCCTGTATACACGAACCGCCACTATGCGTATCCCTTAGCCTCTCACTGACGCTATTACCATCACTTGCCCAGTACACAATGACAGGTCTCAACTTCACAGATGAGTCTAATCGAATCTTCAATTAGCTCTACTGAGCCAACAGTTTATTTGAGTTCACTTGATGCCGATTCATTCCTTCAAGCCCACCTTTTCGCTGTCTTGCTGACATAGACAGCTACTGCAATATTATAGCGATCTAGATCTTCTTCCCTGAAAAGCAGTCCCCGAGTGTTCATTTCTGTCACCCCTCAATCCCGGTACCCCGAGTAACGTGCCTCGTTACAATGATGTAGAGCAGGGGAACGAAAAGTTACACCTGCAACACAATGAAGCCACCGGAGTGTCGCTAGATAGGAAAACGTAGGCCGCGGAGATACACGCTACGATAGTTGCTAGCCTTAGGGTGCATTGCAGGAGTTCAGAGTGAAGGATTTGTTGGTGGCTACACAAGAAAGACGGGCTTCTACACTGTTTTGAGAACGCAGACGGATACAACGCGTCGGTTACCGTGGTTGTGGTTTCGGCGATGGGACTGAAGTGGATCTTATTCTACGTTCTCCCGTTCACTGGGTCTCGCGCAGTCTATGGAGCTTGTGGCTTGGTCATGCTCCGTCCTTATTCTAAATATTGGGGTCCGGTGTACTTTGTAGCATTCGTAGGGAGAAGGTTGGTTGGGGGTTGGTCGGTGCAATAGGCTACTGTTGTCGTTGATCTATCGTTCTGTATACTCTTTCTGGAATATTAGCAGGGTATGAATGATGCATGAACGGATGGTAAGGAGGGGTGGCTATCATACCATATGCATACTAAGTAGCCGATCAACGGTTTCGCTAACGTGACTTCCAGTATTGTATGCCCTTGCCTATACTATAGTTGAAACTCGGGTCACACTAGATGCATCTTGATGTTACCCAATGGACCGGTAAAGCGATTGCTACGAAGCTAATTAGTTTGGCTTACCCATGACATTGATTCAAGTAAAATCCTTCACCTCACTTGTCGGGCCGGTCTGATACCGCGCCTCAAACATGCAGGATATCTATCCAATGACACCGCACATGAGTTCCGACATCAATCCATGTCTGTGCTACAAAGCCGTGCAATCCTCCCACGTGTTCGCGATATGTCACTGTGCGTCAGGGTGTTGTCCTGGTTCATCCAGGTATACGGCTTTGTAGAACCCGAGTACATAGTATGTGACCAACCAAATAAGCTGATTGTTGTTCATTCAAGTTGGGATAGAAAATGTCGTATAGATATGTTGGCGTTCTAGAAGCATGATGGAAGATGCGCACCGATCTTGCCACTCCGCTGAACGGTGTTGGATCCAAAACGGCTTGCAGATACAGCAGGGACGTAGACTGAGTGCATGACTTCGATTGGCACTGTTTGTTCCAAATATATCAAATGTCAGTGGATGAGAAGATTGAAACAATGTGCCGAAATCGCTAGGCATGAATTACTGAAGGACGACCGACAATATGGTACCGATCTGATGGAAGCATGAGAAAGCATCCGATGCCCACTTCATCACTTGAAATGTGGTAGATACCGTTAATCTGACGTTAGTGGACGGATTTGCCATAACATAGCGTGTTTGTTGAGGGAATACCACGCTTTGGAGCAGATACGCTCTGACACTTTGCTTTGCTCCTTCTTCTGGGTGATTGTGCATCGCCATGCACAATCTACGCGGCCTATCCTGCAGCCACTACGTCAGCAGAGATGTCAGGGTGTGGTGCACTGGGTGCTCTCACCGACTTCTCCCCAGATCGCTACATTCGGAGTCCTCTCGCTGCGCATATCATGTCGTCAAAGATGATTGGTAGTTCGAGACCTGGGAGCTTTGAGCCCTGTATGATTTTGTGGCCTAAGCTATCTCCTAGCTACTTGTAACTTTGCCCTGCTTTCCACTTACCGATGGCACGTCTGACCATTGGAGCGGGTTTTGACACTACCAGCGCACAAGCAGCCACTTGGCTCAAAGCGCAACGACTCTTGTACTACTACACACGCGTGCGAGACGGTACTGTATCTCGATGAGTGTTTCAAGTGCTTGGAGAGCAGGTATCTGACAGATCATGTTTGTGAAAGTTATGCAAGCCAGATAGAGAAGTGATTCCGAGGAAGAGCTGTATTCAGAGTTGAGTGATCGAAGCGTTTGAGCCACTTCGTGCAGTTAGCATCATTGAAATGCTAGAACTGTTAGTAAACTACGATATTAGCTTCGTCGCGATCCATCTACAGCCATGCAAAACAATCCATTTTGAGCCTGGCGCAGCTAGCTTGTGTGACTTCACGACCCACCTACAACTTTCTATAGGACTCATTGGCTCACCATTCTTCCGCGTCGTACAGACATCCTACAAATGCAGTTAATCTACTCCGGCCAATAAGCACTCGCACATAACGCCTTGCCCAGCCGGTTGTGGCAGGTCATACACTTCTCATGTGCCGCAGTAGGCAGTGCCCGCACCGCTTTGGGGCGTCGTTCGAAGAGCTGGGTGGGGTGCTGGTGTAATGGTCGGCGGGGGCTTAGGTGAGCGAAGAGGCAAGGAAGGTCGAGACGGGAAGCTTGCGTCGCATCAACGTGTTTTACTCACCGTAAAATTAATGGATGGCCTGAGGTATCTGAGAAATGGACGTTAGGCGCTCCTACCTGTCGGTAGATGTACGCGTGGCTATGCGCGGCGTCCGCACCGGCCCGCAACAATCCCGCAACAATCCCGCAACAATCCCGCACCGATCACAACCGGCCCGCAAAAGCTTTCCTCCACCACTTTGACCACTCCGCTATATACATCCAACTCTTCAGAGCGCTACAAAGTCATAGGCACATGTTTCCCAACCTTTCGTATCTTCCAAATAGAAAACACTGCACCCTCGCAACATGATAAGGCGAACCAACAGCTGACCCGCCTCAGCACTAATTTGTCTGCAAGTCTCAACCACCCGTCCAATCTTCACCCCTACCCGGGTACAGGAACGGCCCCGCTGATCCCGGCTTTCCTGCGATCCGCACATTCCCACACTCTCCCGCCCCCGCTATTGGCGCAAGCATGTAAAGATTTAGTAAGGCTATCTTACGCCTATGTTTAGGTGGCGCGTAACTTCCCTGCATCCTGCGGGAATTTCAGTTGGGAGCGGGTGTTCGGCGGGAAGCGCTGGCGGAGTATGTTGGTGGGGCGAGATGATGCAGCGATGATTCTGAACTAATATTTTCTCTTGAAACCTGGGAGACAAAGTCGCTGGAGTGATGTATGATGGTTCGGTACTGGTTTGATTTGACTGGGTTGTTCGTACAGCGAGCCTCCAGCGTAGATTTTCTATCATCGTAACGAACCTTCGGAGCATGAACTACTCATGTCACATCGCCCTTCTAGCGAATCAACAGCTCCTGTCCATGATTTTCTACCGGCCCCTCGATCGTCCTCCACGGAGATCTTGGGGTATGCCAACAGAAACTGGCCCTGTCATCCCAGGCGCCCGGCCCAGCTGTTCCTAAACCTCAGCAATCAGCGTAGTCTGTTTGTGCCCCCATGTGCATGCTTCGCAGGCGAGCCCGGGCTACGGGTAAATAACTTTCAAGTGTGATGCAGTCAACATACCTGATTTTGAGGTTTTGGCACCTTTCGTTCCCAATGAGATGAGAACAATAGCGCCAATGCTGCTTTACGGCACATTCGCTCAAGTCTGCCAGAATAGCGCACATTTGTGCAAAGCATTTTTTGTGTGACACCAACGCGGAGGATATTACACGGCTCTGGCTTCCGCTAGTGGAGGAGAGTTCGCAGAGCTGTAGGTTTTGAGCGTAGTGCTGAGAGTGGGGATTATGTGGGGCATGAGAGAGATGATGTAGGCGTCCTAAAGTGAGACGCGGGTACGGAGCCAGCCAAAAACGGTTATGGATGGCGAGGTCAATGTAGTGCTGCATCATCGCGCGTGCTAGGGAGATATGGTTTGTGGTAAGTGCTATGTTACAACTGCACTAATAAGAGTGCGACGAGAGAAGAACCTATTACTGATACTTGCTTCCTGATGTGCTGCATTGCCTGAAGCTCTTCCCTAAATTTGCAACCGAAAAAAACCTACATGTGAAAGGACGGAGCGGAGACGAAGGAAGCCTGGCTGAGAACAGTACAATGACACTAGTAGAAGCCTTCTAGTAATTATGCTGATAGTATACATGCGCGTGGTGGTCTAGTCTGAGATAAGAGATAGCAAATCGTTGAGAGCGAAGCAGAATAGCTTACACGGTATTGACGCGCAAACGATTCTGCGTTCGAGATGCTATCTGGCGCTTGACGTTCTCCGGGGCAGCTGCCATAATGATCCTAAAAGTTTCGCGTACGCGACTCCGAAGCGAGGCCTCCATAGCCACGTAGACGCCGCAATCAATGCCTGTCTCGGCGATACCGGCCGGGTTGCAGTAGCGCTCGGAGAACTTGTCAATCAGCTTTTCCACCCTACAAAGCTCTGCCAGAACATGATTCGTTCGATAGGGGTACTCGTTCTCAGAGTCTGTTGTTCCGTTCGAGACGTATTGATGCGACAGAATCTCGAAATGAGTCTCGCAGGAATGGCGTTCGTCTTGCAGGCAATCTCCTGCAGTCGCTTGATACCAGGATAATATTTTCATGATGGTCAAGTTGATTGTCGCGGAGAAGTGAGGGTTTAATGAGCAACCGCAGCTCAATAGCGTGTAAAGTTTGTCAACAGCTGCTGTGTTGATTGAGAGTACTGAATCTAAAGTAGGAAGGCCGTCAAGCGAATTGAAGTCGCCAGCAGCGGACTGAGCCTTACGCGGAACATAAAGACTGTATAGTATTTGGAATGCGAATTGGGTACAGTCGTGGCTCGTGAGCATGTTGGAAGCTGACGGGGTCGGCAAAGGAGCGGATACCATAGGTAGCGGGGAAGCCATCATCTTCTCTTGCCGTGCATCATTTGATCCTCGCACGTCCAGAAACTGATGACTAAAAGCTACTGAGGTCTGCGCTGGATCCAGCGATGTGAGCATCTCGGGTTGGCTTTGGACACTAGTTGATCGTACATGCCCACGGAAAGTTGTGTGTGGTGGAGGATACTGCGGCACGGGGGCAAACATATCCGCTTGATGCGCAAACAACATTTGGTTGCCGTTCGACCAGGCATTGACATGCGAGCTGGTACCTTCCGAGCATACAGAAGACTGGGCACCATCGAACGTGTTGCTTACGAATGCATCTTGGTAGTGGTACTCTGGGGTACGGGGACCGAAATAGAAGGGGTCTGTCGGCTCCGGAGAGCTTTCGTATGTATGAGGTGCGGTGCGTGGCAGTAGATCCACTCTAGCCCCAAGAGGTCCATAGGAGCCTGCGGGTGATATGTCGCGCTTGATAAATCCGTCGACATTTCTGTTCTTGCGTGGTTTCCCCAGTCTGAATAGAGATAAGCTCGAGTTTTCGGTCAAAAAGATAGTGGACATACCTCATAGAAGGCGAGTAGTTGCAACAGATGTTCATAGTGCCGCATCGGTGGCATGTCGGTCTCAATTTGTCGCACTTGACCTGTAATAGGTGTCAGGATGCGTTATTGCATCAATTAACAGGTGCTATGCATACCTTCGCACGAGAGCAAGCGTCACATGAAGCTCTCATCTTGCGAGCTTTTGACTCTCCATTCAAACCAGTAGACATGATCGTAATCTCGGACCCGGTGATCGTGTCATCCATTGGCGGTGATCGTGACTGACAAGATACAAATGCTGGAGTGGAGGCTTGGAACATCGTGTATGTCTTATGGTGTGATAGTGCAACAGTGGGATGAAGCGCCGAGATAGGTATGGAAAGGCACATATTATATAGAATGATGGACTAGCAGACAGCTTCGGTCTGGACTAGGTTGGATACAAAAATGATCGTGGTTGGATCCGTGATGCAGCAGGCGTATCTGCACCGCAGGTGGCTATCAAGCTAGACTAGGCATTGAGCTGATACTTGGGAGTGCAGGAACAGGGAATGCTGCAGCCATGGCAGGTGGACGTGCTTTAGATTGCACCTGGGGGCTGAAGGCTTACCGGCGAACTCACATCAAGTTACATTGAGCTTAGCGCATACTGAATAGGCTGCAAGACCACATGAGCGCATTCGTGCTCGCCAGTACGGTCGTAACACTTTTCTGATCAAGAAGACCGAGCTTGATGCTTCGCCGAACAGGTTCTTTGCAGATGTTTTGTAGCTGTTTCGTAGTGGGTGTCTTCCAGGATCGATTGCTTGAGAACCGTCTTGGGTGCTGTGCCACACGGTCGGTACACGATGAGGCTCGGCGACCTGAGGCTACGGTTGCGAGTGAATGGCTTGCCGCTTTGGATAGATGACTCCACGAGGATTATACTAAATGTTCCACTTGTTCGGTGCGCTCTTTCTGTGTCTTGCAGCTGCATTGGTTCAAAATCGCGATACCTAGCTCTCCAGTCATCGAGCCCCTGCAGATTACATGCCGACAGTCCCCCTGTACGTGATTGATCAATGCGTGCGTGGGGTAGCCTAGCGCTGACTTACCTCATACGGGTTTGCTACGCAAAAAGAACGACGCTTATCAGTTTTTGGTACGGCGCGGACTAAGCCTCGCATGCTTGATATAGTGACGTGACAGTGAGGTTTTCGGTGTGTAGGGTACACAATAGCGTGTCAAGCAAACTTCGGTGTTGTATAGGGCTGAATGTATGTGGGACAGGTAGCACACCACCGTTGACCCGTCAGAAGAGTGACGGACATAGCCCATAGCACAGGTCAGATGCTGCAAAAGATCCAGAGCACCTTCTTTGGTTAGCTTGCTCGGTTGCTGCAGATAATCCGGGACGAGACGTTTCGCCGGCGCTGGGCTGGTGCGGGCCGATCATGAATCCTAAGGCTCGCCTGTGCACTCCATAGCCGCCCGCCTCGCGACGCCTTGGTCTCGAGGCTATCAATTCTGTGCGATGATGCTGTAGAGAAATAGCACTCAACGTGGTGTCGCAACACATGTTCTACTTACCTAGTTACGCTCAGCCTCGAGCATAGTTGAAAGAAAGCGAAGCAGTGAGCCACACTGTCTTCTCGAGGCTACGATACGGGCGATGCGGCAGCGGTATCGGCGACGACATCACCCCCATGTAAAGGAATTTGGATCATGAACTACCATGCAGAAGAGGGGCGGGCGACGGCATGTCATGACTGCGCCGTGTTGGGGCGCAGACATAGGTGAAAGTGGGTGAATCACAGGTTCAGGAACGGCAACACCTTGGCAGCAACTAACCGCCCGCGTTGGCTTGATGGCTACAACGGGGTCACATTGGCTGTCGCTCAACCTCCTATTTGGCAATAAACATACACCGAACGACCTGGAAGGCTTCGCAATCTACACTGCGTTTTGCAATACAGAACCCAATCACTTGGCTTCAGGAGCGCCATCCAATGCGCGCAGTGCCAGCTCCGGGTTATCGAGCCTAGGGACAAGGCGCACCCCGACTCCAGATCGCTCAATGTTGAGTTGTTTTCATCTTCGAACTTGAGACAAAGGGTTATTTCCGGTGTAGTAGGCCTGTCCTGCATGATAATGGCAAGACTACGAGGCCCCATGTGTCATCGTTGAGCGATGCGCAAAGTGGCTGGCAGCGCATCATATCATCCAACCTGAACAGCTATTGAAAATTAGGCTTCATTCCGGACAGGGGCAAGGAAACATACGAGAATGAAAAGGATAGCCTCGAAGTTGGGTCCAGTGGCTTCGAGGTCGGATAGCGAAGAGATGGATGGGTGGGCAGCCGATGAGCCCTTTTGTGAACGTCTTGGGCTAAGTAGCAACATCAGCGGGACTGCCGCATACGACCACAACATAGACCTTCTTATTTCACGGCTACCGGGTTTCTTTCTACTCTAGTTCTTGTTGCGCTATTTCTCTACCCGGTACTATTGTCTACTGGTATACCGGCCATCGGGCGCAACGACTACCGCTCTGGCGACTAGACCCGGCGTCGTATTCGATTATCCACTGCACATACTCATCGCCTGCTGTCGCCCATCCTTCCACGCCATCAACAAGCACAAGACTCTTCATCTGGTCATGTCCCTGGCTCGCTATGTAGTCAGCAAACCAACCTGCGGCACGAGTACCATGTCCTTTCGGAGAAGCTGGATTACGACAAGAGTGAGCACTGCTCCAAGCGTAACTTCTATCGCACAGGATTGATCTTACAGCAGTACCAGATTATCTTGCTTCGACCTGTTTGTTTGAACAGGAAGTATGGTGTGGGTATCGTATGGTACAGGCTCTGCGCAGGGAGGTTTATGGTATCGCAAATAGTGCCGCCCTATTTCAGTCAATTAACTTTGAGCATGAGTCGGAACGAATTTAAACGTCACCTGGTAGTCGCTGCGACGCAAGTCCAGAAGAACATGGTCTCGGCTGGAAGATTATGCGCTTCGCTCCATCATATCCAGAAGTTCTTCTCGGCGGATCGAGACAGGCGTGCTTCTGGGCGTTGGGTAAGCAGCGTGCCATGGCAAGGGTGGATTGCTGGTATTGGTGGAGCTTGCCATTGTTCGAGATCTCGTCAAGAATTTGCAAGCAACTGCGATTGTTCGCATCATCTCAAAGTAAATGTGGATCTGGAGACCTTTCCATGTGCTGGTGTTGACATCTTTGGTAAGTCACTGGTTGGCGATGATTGGTCTAACTCCAGGTCTAGGCTAGTCCTTCCTATGTATGCTATGACTTATGTAGTCCTTGGTATGTCACTGCTGGAGGATGATTGGATCAAACTTCATCGATATGCTGTCGCAATTCATCAGAACAAGCATAAAACACCGAGACTACATACTCAGCAGCATTCGTACATGCGTCCTTTAATGACTGCGGCTTCAAATTATTATATCCCACAAGTACGAGCATCATGACCATAATTTCAGGTCAAGGGCTCCGACCCAAGTCTACCACACCTTTCTCGTCCGACAAAAATGCCGACCTGGAAAGCACGCAAATTCAAGAGCAGGCGGTGCCGAACAACGTCTCAGTTATTAAAGGGCTAGGATGGCTTGATCGTTTCCTCGCCCTCTGGATCCTCCTCGCTATGGCGATTGGTATCCTTCTCGGTAACTTCGTTGAAGAGACCGGACCAGCACTCCTAAAGGGCAAGTTTGTAGGAGTATCTATCCCTATCGCCTTGGGCTTGCTCGTCATGATGTATCCCATTCTGTGCAAAGTGCGCTACGAGACTTTACATCGCCTGTTTCGCACTCGCGCCCTCTGGGTACAGATCGCCTTCAGTATCATGATGAACTGGATTGTCGCTCCACTGCTCATGGTACGTATTCATCCAAACTTGCCTCGATGTCCATAGACTGACTTAAGCTAGCTCGGTCTTGCGTGGGCTTTCCTTCCTGATCAGAGCGACCTACGGACGGGACTGGTATTGGTTGGGTTGGCACGATGCATTGCCATGGTACGCTTCTCGATGTTCAAAACCTCTACTTCCGTTATCGTCTACTGATTTCTGCCTCTAGGTCCTTATTTGGAACGGGCTCGCCGGCGGCGACGACGAATATTGCGCCATATTAGTAGCAGTTAACTCTATTCTCCAGATGATACTTTATGCCCCCCTCGCCATCCTCCTTATCAAGATTATTAGCCGCGAAACAGGCACCGTCGCTGTCTCCTATGAAACAGTAGCCACTAGTGTCGCTGTGTTCCTCGGTATACCTCTTGGGGCCGCCATCTTGACACGCCTTTTGCTTCGTAAGCTGGCAGGCGCGGAGTGGTATGAAAAGGTGTTCCTCAAGTGGCTTGCTCCATGGTCACTCATCGGTCTTCTATACACCATCCTCGTTCTCTTCGCGTCTCAAGGTCGCCAAGTCGTTCACCAAATCGTCTCCGTCGTTCGGACCGCCGCACCATTGATCGTATACTTCGTTGTCATCTTCTTCTTTACACTCCTCGTGTGCAACAAGCTTGGGTATGGATACAAATTGGGAGCGACTCAGAGTTTTACAGCTGCGAGTAACAACTTTGAGCTTGCTATTGCTGTTGCCGTGGCTACATACGGTCCCAACAGCGATCAGGCACTCGCTGCAACAGTAGGACCTCTCATTGAAGTTCCTGTGTTGATCGGGTTGGTATACTTGGTGAAATGGATGGGTAAAAGGTGGGCTTGGAAGAGGGTTTAGTCCGTTATTGATGCGATCGTCTCTATGTAAAACAAGATCATAGCATCACATATCTTGACCTAACATTTCGGCGATACACATGCCTTGTTGAGCGGGGTGCGATGATATCGAACATAGGGACTGCCGTGATACATCTCATGTACTTCCCCAGACTTCTTCCCCTTGTTGGCGAGCATGTTCATTTGTACTCTTGAGGGACTGATGTTATTCGAACGAGATCCAAAAGAGTAGCTGGCTTTGGTAAATTGCGGTACGAAAGCGGGATGACCTCGGCAGTACATCGTCCGATAAGCGACACTACGATAGTTTGGCGCTAATTTCTATTCTGGCTCAATGCATAAGCTCGGCCAACATCTAAGATGCATCTCAATTTCTCCACGGAGATTTATCCACACGACACTGCACATTTCTACGGGCGGTAACTTATCCCATGACATCTCTTCACGAGTCCTCAGAGAACTTACGTGAGGATTCATACCCACGCGACGTCACTACCAGGCCGGCAGCGCCTATCGCAAAAAGAGCCTGCGATGCCTGCAAGCGTCGCAAAGTGAGGGTAAGCCATCGCATGCCTATTGGACACGATGAAGGTACGTACTTAGGACTTGGCTAAAACCATCAGTGTGATGCAATATCCACACCATGTTCGAATTGTCGTATCTCGCGCCTGCAATGCGTTTACAATATAGCTCCTCAGAAGAGAGGACCGAAGCGCAAACGAAATAACACCACGCAACCGGCCTTCCGGGTTTCTGGTGGCGATTCCACATCACACGCAAATGCGACGTCTCATCAAAGCGAGACCCGCTCTCTCGACACGGCCTTGAATACGCATAGCTCACATATCTCACTGACAGCCGCTTCTCCGTCGGCAGCGAGACGCTTACAATGCTTGCCTCAGACACACCAGCAATCCGACCCTGCGCTGCATGGCGTCGCAGACCAATGCATCACTCTGTACATGAACTACATCTTTCCTATATCGCCCACTATCCATGAGCCGTCAATTCGTGCCATGGTACCCTTGTTGGATGGTACTGCAGCACGCAGCGGTGAGGAGATGGCGGCGTTGCGTAACCGCACACTACTAACAGCGCTGTGTGCTGTGACTGCTCTTACGCTACCTGCCTCAATTCTCCCGATGCAAGAGCAAACAGGACGCCAGTTTCTTACTGCGTCGCGGGAGACGCTGAAGTTGCATCAAGATTACGGTATGTAGAGCGTTCTATGCGTCAAGAATGGGAGATGCGCTGACTTAGCATTGTTTCGAAAGATATCGAACACCCCGACTATATCTCTCTGATGACTAGATACTACCATTCTAACGCCTTGCATGCCGTTGGCAAAACGAGAGTTTCCTGGCATGTGCTTGGAGAAGCTGTACGCATGATACAAGATATGCGACTTTACGATGAGACTTCCTTTGAGAATCTCGATCCGCTTGAGGAACGTCTCCTGAGAAGCATATTCTGGCAGATCCATACCGCCGATAGATCCGCGTCAATTTTGAACGGCCGTCCAATTTCGCTCCACCGGTCGTGTTTGGGAGCTAAAGTCACCACTACTTACTGGCGCGGGTCCTTATCTGCCGTGCCTCTACTGGATTACTCTACGACACCGGCTGCTCTGGACATAGAGAGTGTGGTTAGTCAGGGATACGACCTCTGCCAAGACCTATGGACGAAAGCATCGAGCATAATTATAAAATTCAATTCCCTAGAAATCTGGAACGAAGGCGTTTCGGATCGCTCTGCTTTAGTTGGTCCTTCTCATGAAGTTGTCATCACTGACTACCTTGACTTTATTGCTATGATCGATCACTGCCGATTTGACATCAAGGTGCCAGAGACGGTGGATCCTGAATCAGCGACATCGACTCGAATCCAACGGGCCTTCGACATTCAAAGAACAAATCTATGTGTAACTTATTATTGTTTGAAGATGGTTTTGCTCCAAAGGTTCTATGAGACCGGTATTTCAGAACATCTTGGTGTCAGTGGAACCTCATACTCGCTTGCATTGAGGAGACTCGACATCGCTAGCGATATGGTTAGGGTATTATCAGAAGTATCCTTCGAGTCTCTCCAAGTAAACGGGGAGCCTTGCGTAAGTCAGGCCCTTCACATCCAAGCATATCCGCTGACAGCTCTACAGGTGGAGAAGATACGACGAATTGGTGTGACTCTCCTCGAGCTCGTCCAACAAAGTCATAATCTAGCCCTAACGGAACGTGCGAAATCATTGTTCTTCACCCTTTTAGATGTTCTCTCACGACTTGACTCCCGGGTCTCCCAGGAGCTTGATTATAACCGTGGCTTCTGAGCCGGTTGCATGGTCATAGCTGTATTTACTCGTCATCAGAAATGAGGAAATGAACGTGGGCGATCGTACGTGGACACACACACATACATGGGATAACATCCTACACACGGTCTGGCAGGGTCTGCCTTGCTACGAAAATGGCCAAGACCCGGACTTTACAACCTGGAAGATAAGCACGTCTCGTTAAGGCGAACAATGGCAAGATTATCATGAGCTTCAGATTTCTGCTGCTCTGCTCGCTATGGAAGACGTTCAGACCCACGTCATGAACGATTGTCACCGGCTTCTCTAGGCCCTCGACCTCGCACTTGTAATCCTTGAATCTCCTTGCTGGTTGGCCTTTCTGGAACATCATCTCCAATTCTAGATACCTGTGACCCTTCATCTCAGGGAAGCAAAAGTACAGGTAGATAGGCAACGGTACTGAACGAGCGAAGAAGACGAAAGCGACCTTTGCGCCGAGGTTCGCGTTACCAGGATTTATCAAGACGGGTACGAGTTGTGTCACGAGACAGGCGGCGGCTGTGTTTGACATGACATTGATAGAGTATGTCTTCTGCCGTAGACGAGGGGTGGGTGTCTCGCCTATGACCGCGTAAGCTACGGCCCTGAGCGTCAGCTGGAACAAGAAACCCCAGAAAGACATGAAGCCTACGGCAGCTTGAAGACCGGTGCGATTGTTTTCCAGGGTTTCCAGGCCGCCGATCAGAAGAAGTAGGCAAGTGATCGCAATCCTGCCGCATACAATCATGGGTCTACGACTGATTCTGTCTACAAGAAATAGAGAATCGAGTTGCCGACCAGCTGGATAGCGTAACTAACTTGCGCAATACCGACTGGGGTTTCGACACCAGCCTGTGTGAAGTAATACCTGGAATCCGTCAGTGTTGGGACTGACTTGCGTTTTGTCGGGGGGCTTACGACAGATATCCTTGGACGCAGTTGGCGCAAACAAACTGCTGGGCAATGTACACAAGACATACAATCAGCGTGCTGCGGCAGATTCACACTTTTGAAGCATTCAAGGTATGGAGCACTCTCAGATTGAAGTGCGCGCTCCTTTTGTACCGCCGCTTCTAGCACCGCAACTGTCTGCGCGGCACCGTAGTCTGGGCCATTGAACTTATAGAGGGCTACCATGGCTTTCTCATGTTTTCCGTGAAAAACAAGCCATGAAGGAGACTTGGGGAGGAATAGTGTGCCTAGGACAACCATAAGTATAGGGGGGAGCAGCTGTGCAAGGATTCGCATGCGCCATCCCCAATCATTGTTGATGAATGACCCACGGTAGCCAACAAGCGCGCAGGACCACTGGCCGACCACGATCATGGTATTCTATCGGATCTCAGCAACGCTATCAGCTTAAAGCACGAGGCAAAGTAAGCAACCGACAAGAACTACCTTGCGACGAACAATCTTGTCTGCGATGAAACCATCGCCGAATGCAGCCACGAAGATACCGACAGTCGTCGAAGCGTTCAACACCTGCAGCTCGTGAGCATCAATCCCAATGGCGCCATCGGCTGTTTCTTGGCCGAATCGATCCAGGAATGCAGGGATAGCGATGATGTTTCCAACAAGAGCAAGCTCAAAACCGAAGTTGACGGGGAGGAGAAAGACAAGGAGACCTGTTTCACGGCAGTCAGATAGATGATGAATGAGAACATGTGCTCAACATACACCAGGACGATATCCACTTCTGCTGCCATAGATCACTGAATCTTGGGCTTTTGTGATTGGTTCAGTCTCCATAGTCTGTAGTGGCGCGTCTTGAGTATAGACAGTCTTTTCGGTCGACCCTTCCATTGTTGTGCAGTACCGGTGTGGCTTATAAAAAATGGAGTTTGATGGCTTGCAACCCGGATTAATGGGCTGAGCTACATGTTCCCACTTTCGGTATCGCAATACTTATAACAATGTGTGGACGGATGCTCGTCCGGGCTTGTGACATAGTCTGGAGTAGACTGTAATTCTCCACGGCGAAATGGCAAAACCTCGAATCATGGGCATGGGCTACCGACAGTTTGGGGATGATCACGAAACTTGAAAAGTGGACAGCGGAGGAGACCCCTGTGGCGTGATTGGCTTGCGATCGCGGCCTCGACGTTGTTATAGGCTTAGCGTCTCAGGTTTCTCCGTGGCGAAACAGAATCGCAATACGTGTGTAGGTAGAATTTCCCCATGGAGTAATAAAGTATGACAACGACTCCGGAGCGATGGAGGCCGATTACATGTCGGCTCAAGCTACAATGCTCGACCCGATCCGGTTCATTTCGCCCATCTCTTTGTGTTCCTCGACTCTCCTCTCACCGTACACAGTAAAATCTGGGCGCCATGTTCCACAACCCTATCATACCTGGATTTGCCCCGGATCCATCGGTCATTCTTGTAGATGGAATTTATTATCTTGCGACTTCTTCCTTCCATCTGTTTCCTGGTATTCCAATATACGCGTCGACGAATCTACAAGACTGGAAGCACATCGGTTCGTTCGCGCGTTCGCACTGTACAGGCATAGGCGATGGCTGAAGCATCCAAGGGAATGCGATCAACAGACCTACACAACTCGATCTGCACAATGCGACTACAACTGCCATGCCGCTCGATGATGGCAACGTCATGGTAGCATCCGGAGGTCTATTCGCGCCCACCATTCGATATCACAACGGCGTTTTCTATATTGTTTGCACCAGCTGCTATCACGGGAAAGACAACTGGCGAACCAACAATTTCTTAGTACACACCAACGATATCTGGTCCGATACATGGAGTGATCCAATCCCTTTCGACTTCCATGGCATCGATCCTTCCCTCTACTTTGACGATGATGGTCGCGCTTACATCCAAGGGTCATGGATGATGGACCGCATGAAACAGCCTAGTTGCACGATCAAGCAGTTCGAAATTGACGTCAAGAGCGGATCCGCACTATCTGAAACACGAGAGATATGGGGTGGCTTCGCAAAACGGGACACAGAAGGCCCGCACATCTACAAAAAAGATGGCTGGTATTACCTACTTGTAGCGGAAGGTGGAACGTTTGAACATCACATGCTGTCCATGGCACGCTCGAGAGATATTTGGGGACCGTACGAGTCCTGTCCACATAATCCCATCATGACTGCAGATGGCAAAAATGAATATGTGCAGAATGTGGGCCACGGCGAGATCTTCCAAGATATGAACGGGGACTGGTGGGCAGCAGTCTTGGGTCTGCAAGGGGACCAGAACAAAGCGCCGATGGGGCGCGAAACTTTTCTTACAACAGTGGATTGGCCGAAAGATGGATGGCCCGTCATTGAGCAACCACAAATGTCGTTCAGCACGCCTCGCACAGTGCAAATGGGCTTCGCTTCCGCCCAATTAATCAAGAAAGCCCGACTAGTGAAGCCCCACCTAGATGATTTGTACTTGCACAAGCCACTACGACATCCCTACAAGAAGGCCGGCTCGATCGCGCTCACACCCACTACTTCAGATCTCTCTGCACCGTCAGCACCTCTCGCTTTACTCGCTCGCCGCCAACGAAGTGTAAATACCATTGCGATAACAACAGTATTGCTCGACAACGAGGCCACTCATTCAAACGCCATAGGCGGACTAACAGTCTACAAAGACCCTCTTCGTCACGCCAGCATCTCCGTCTGCCTATCCACACGTCTCATCCACGTCCACTTCGTCGACGCATCCAAGGATTACGAGTACACAGCCTCATACCCAGAGCCCGTTGCCCGTTCTTCCACAGCTGTAGACCTCCGCATCATAGCTTCCACAGAGCGCTATGCGCTTGAATTTCGCGATCCCGACAATGACCGACAATGGAAACAAGTCGACATGGTGGACACTACAATGCTGAGTGCACGAGATTTCACTGGCACGGTCATAGGTATCTTTGCATTGCGGGATGGAAATGCAAGCGCGAGTAATAGCGCGAATGACGATTGTGATAGTGGGAGCGACGTAGCAGACCAAAAGGTCACATTTCGTAATTTTGAAGTCAGGTCCTTTGAACCAGGCAGCTTCCCCTGTGGATTTTAGCGAGACATGTTATTATTGTTGGAGAATAGGCGCAAAGCGAATTGTATAGGATTTTGTAGCTAATTGATACCCACGACGGAGCAACAAAGCTCAAACATAGCCCAAATCTTCCAAAATGGCAATGACGTACCGTAACGTCCTCCGCAAAACTATGCCTCAAATAGCAAATCACGCCATAACTGAGCCATCGTGTTTTTCTCTTGCCAAAAGTGGCCCCATCAGTACAAGAACTCCTTAAACGGAGTAAATTACCCCGAAGGGCCACGTTCTCTGACGGCACCACCGCGGCCCCACCATAGCCCCACTTAGCCTGAACATCAACCGAGATGACGTGTTCGGCCTCGTACTCGTACCGAAACCGAGGCTCCCCTACCACGATCCCAGGGGTCAGCGAAACGATCTTTGTGCGCTAACAGAGACGTTGTACCGGCTTGGCATGACAGCGTGAACACCACATACCCAGGTGGGCCGGTACAGAATCGTTTTTTGTCCATGTACGCTTCATTACATAGTATCTTATACCTAGTGATACTCAGGTCATCTACGAAGAAAATTCTAAGGTCGCGATAGAAAAGAGCTCTAGGACTGAGGTTTGGCCGTCTGACTAAGTGATTGCGGAGATCTCCGGCGCTTGTACTCGTACGCGCATGGTATATAGCTTCTTGGTAGTCGTTATCTGATCAATGCACTCAATATATACGTTTGATCTGATCCTTCAACTCCAAAATCTAGAGTCGTTTCGTGATCTTAGGAAGATTTCTCAGTTGTACAATCAATATCATCTTCTCTGGTCAAGCTTATTCTACATTAGTCTTTTAACACGCAAGACCAGGTGTTTGAGTCGAGATACTCCGTGCTTTAGACCTTATATCGCGTCCTCTAATTAAATTGGAGTCTGTGGATATCATTTAGCTAGATCGGATGTATTAAGTCCGGTCATGCAGTCCAGACGTTGTAGGCCCTAACCTATTGTGGTACGGAGCTGCACATCTCCGTTTCTCCCCATCGAAGACCCTCGAACCCGCTAGCGCGGTTCTCATTCCCGAATTAACGTGGTTGAGAACTACGTTCGTCATTACGGTTTATTGGGTCATGCTCATCGTGAGACGATAGGTAACAAGGAACCGAATTTGATGGCCGACGTTCTCGGTGACTTTACAGCATGTTCAGAAACGGAATTGAATTGCATGACCATGGTATCACCATCCCCCACTCGTCCACGTACCCCAGCACAAAACCCCTTACAACTTCCGACTCCGTACCAATCCAGACTTGATACCCGTGAGTTCACCCCCATAGTTCGCACTGCCCTTAGCAGCAGCGCCCTTGTCGAAGACTTGCTTCATACTCTTCTGCTTCTTCATCTTCTCCTTGTACTTCTCCTTCTTCTTTACACGCGGGTTCCTCACGCTCTTCTTGCGGTGGGGCGTCAATCTAGTAATAATGTTAGTAAAATGATCGAGTAGAGTAGAGTAGAGAGAAGGAAGAGAAGATGATGACATACCCCTTGTTCTTCTGAATCTGGTAGGAAATCATGCGACGACCATCATCACCAATGACTTCTTCTTCGACAACCTGAGCACCTTCTTTCTTGGCGAGGGCATAAGCTTCTGCGCGTTCGAGCTTAGTCTGCTTTTTGTCGTTGGATCGCGCAGCGATCATGTCATAGTAACCGTCTTCGTCCTCAAAGTCGTCGCGCTTGGTGGCAGGCGCTTCGTCGGCAGAGGAAGCGCCATCGTCTTCGCCTAGAGCGACACCAGGACCGGCATCCTTGTGTTGACCTCTCTTCTCGGCTTCGGCTTGCAGACGCGCTTGTCGGTCCTTGAGACGCTCGCGATGCGGGATATCGGCATCGCCGCCACCACCCTTTCCAGCTGCGTCGCGCTTGTTTGCCTTTTGAGCGATTTGCGATGTGTAAAAGCGGAGGGATTTCTTCTTCTTTGCTTTCTCGGCGGCTTCGTGAGCGGTGAGTTCGGTTTCTTCGCCAAAGTCTGAGTCGTCTGCGTTGAGGAGGTTGAGCTTGGGTTCTGCGGCCTTCTTCTTGCGGGCTGCTTTCTTGAGTGCAGCTTTGTCGGTGAGGGTATCGAGTGATGCGAGGTCTTGTTCGGTCTTTGCGAGTTTTGCGGCGCGCCGGGCTGCTGCTTCTGCTTGAGCTAGCTCTGCTGCTCGTTCCGCCCGGGTCTTCTTCTGCTTGGTAGGCTTCTTCACGGCCAGGTCGTTTCCAAGTTCCTCGGCGCCTGCTTCCTCCATGGCTGAATCGTCTTCATCATCTTCAGCTTCAACCATTGGATCCGCAACGGGTAGATTCTCTATCCTCGTCCACACCATTTGGCACTTCAGCAGGGTCTCCATGACGGGGTGCTCGTGTAGCTCAGCAGGATCCATTGCAATGACTGGTGATCCATCCTCTGTCGCAGTTGATCCGAGCACAGCAAAGTACATGGCCATCGCTGCAAGATAGGCGGCGCAAGCTCTGTATTTCGTAACCGCCTTTGGTGTTGGTGGGGTTTTGCCTGTCTTCCCTGACTTCGCAACTTGCGCCTTCAGTACTCTTTCGGCGGCATTCGCAGCAGCCGCCAATTCTTCGTGTAGCGGATGTAGTCTGAGGTATTCTTTCGAAATGTGCTCGAACTCGGGGTATCGTGTCCGCATGATCTTCATCCTCTCCTCCTCAGGCATGCTGTCAGTGATTTGGAGCTGGGGTAGGACCTCCGTTACCACCGCGCCACCTTCTGCATCCTTTTCGCCATCCTGCGCGAGCCATTCATCCTCGTCGAAGCCGAAGTCTGCCTCCGTCATGCCTTGCAGCTGCTTCTTTTGTATGCGCCGTGCCTCTGCTTCCTCGTCTAACGCGTCTTGCTCCGTCTCTATTGCATCGGCGTCGTAGTAGTCCTTCTTCGAGGCGCCCCATCCACCCACGTCTTCTTCATCTTCTTCCTCGACTGGTTTGCGCTGCCCCGTGATATCATCTTCTGATTCATCACCGGCATCTTCGTCGTCGAAGTCGTCTTCATCCTCGTCATCGTCGCTGCCGGCATCGAGTACTTCTTCGTCGGAGGGCTGTAAGAATTTGTCTAGAAGCGAGTCAGCAGCCGAGCTCTATGTATACAACATGGCTTGACTAACCCTCTTCTTGATACTTCCTGATCCTCTTAGCGGCCGGGCCTTCATCCAGCAGTATCTTGTCGCGATTCATATGGAACTCGTCCTCCGAATCCGCGACATCTTCGAACGTATTAATCCGCATTCTGGAATCCTCCTCTTTCGGCGCTTTCGGCGCGCGCGATGCGCCACCACCAGCCTTCCTCTTCTTTGCCATGATTGCGATATGTGCTGTGTTGTGTTGTGGCGTAGTTGTCGGTCGCAAACGTCGCGGTAACTTTTTTTGCGGAAGGAAATCTTGGCTTCGCCGCGGGAGTCGCAAAGTCTCCACTAGTGGAGCTAAGCCTTGCACCCTTAGCTCCGTCACCGTACCGCATGTGAAGTACCCAATCAACGCCCCTCAAATACTGAGGTACATGTTGACAGCGTAAGCATAGTAAGATTTCAGGCGTTCCTAGTCTCATCTGCCGTGGTATCGAAGTTCCCTTCCCCATGTCTCAACTGCTGTTAGGAGCTACCATTATCCTTCTGGTAGTTGTCGGAATTGTGAGCGCAGACATCATGGGTTTCGCATTTTGGAAAGGCAACCAGTTTCCTGTGGAGGGAAGAGTAAGCGCCATGACGTTTGATCTAGTTTGATTACATACTAATAGTGAACATAGACGGTCCTGCTTACTGGTTCGTCCCAGGGAATGGGCTGCGAAATCGCCCGTCTACTCTCTGCTCGCGGCGCGAACCTCATCCTCGTCGCACGTACTGCGAAGAACCTCGAAACTGCTCTTGCACACGCGAAATCACATGCAAAGAATCCTTCGAGCCAACGTTTCACCTACATCTCCGCCGACGTAACCTCCGAGTCTGAGAACGCACGTATCCTCAAGGAAGCCACAGCCTGGAACAATGGCCGCATGCCGGAAATTGTGTGGTGTGTCGCAGGGTCTTCAGTACCCGGGCTGTTCATCGAGACGAGCACTGATACCCTAAGAAAACAAATGGAGCTCAACTATTTCGCGACGGCATACATGGCACACAAGACACTACAGGCGTGGCTCTACCCCGAAGTACCGTACAAGCCACAAGAAAAGGGCTCTGCACTGGAGCCACCTCGCAAGTTCATCATGACCTCATCAGCACTCGCCTTCATGAATATAGCAGGTTACTCAGCCTACTCCCCTGCCAAAGCCGCCATTCGATCCCTCGCCGACGGTCTCCGCTCAGAAGTCCAACTCTACAACGCAGCGCGTCGCTCCAAGACCGGCACCACCTATGTTGCACCTGCGCCTTTCGATGTTAACATTCACGTCGTCTTCCCGGGCAGTATACTATCCCCTGGCTTCGAGAACGAGAACAAGACCAAACACCCTGTGAGCTTCGAACTAGAGTCTTCAGATCCCAAGCAGACTGAGCTCGAAGCTGCGACAGCAGCGATCAAAGGACTCGAGGGCGGCGATTTCATGACGCCTACAAACTGGCTGGTGCATCTGATGCGTTGGGGTTCTATATCGGGCAGTCAGAGGAACAACGTGGTTCTCGATACAATAGGAGCTTGGGTTGCGACGCTTATTTGGTTGATCATGGTGCCAGACCTGAACGGCAAGGTCTGGAATTGGGGCAAGAAGAACGGAATGCCAACATTTAGGCCGAACGCACAGTAGATGACGTTGTGTATTGTGCGTTACATGTACGTATACTCTAGATGACATTATAAGATGGTAACGAGAAGAACCGACTAAATATGAAACCGTACATGCTGCCAACTTGATGTGCAAATCTGGCTCCTACAACCTCCGTGATACTATACCCGGTAACGACTTCAATGCGCGGTAAGCATCAAATGCGACAATCAGCCGAAAAACCCCAGGATTCTCCTACAGAGCTATCGATCCAATGCGCTCGTGGGATCATGTCCGGCATGTTATACTCAGGCCGATGAGATCGTAGCGCATGTGCTGGTACAGGTACTGCAACAGCGACCTTTTCTTTGGCTCCATCCTTCAGGGTTCTTTTGGTTCGATAACTTTTGATAAAGCAGTGCCACGGATGTAGATGCTCGAATTCCAGTTGATGTTCTTGCTCTGGTATACTCCATGTTGCGCCCCCCATATCCACCGGTCTGCCGATAATCAGAGCATTCAAGTTTAGACATGATCGATGCGCAACAAGATGTTTGAAGAAATTGTTAGCGAAGTGTACAGGTTCCAAAGTCGACTCCTTCCACCAATTGTCATCATTTGAGTCTGGAACGTCACCTCTGAAGATATCGATATCGTATGTAAAGCGAATTGAGCGCAACTGAGAAAGTTGCTTGAAATGGGACTATTCGTCGTCAGCCATGTCGCTTCGAACCCAAAGAAGAATCTACTTTCTATAGAATCCAAGTAATTCGAGTGGCGTTCCATTTCTTCCCAGGTAGCAGCCCTGATCACAGAAAAAGATCTTGGTAAGCGAAGATGTTGAATATTCTTGCAGATTGAAAGTAGGCACGATAAAGCGACATCCCAATCACCGAAAGGGTCTGTCCGTTCCCATTGTTGCATTCTGAGACTGTTCAGTCTGGGGCCCCTACGCTTGATCGTTCGCCAGAACCTGTCCAGAGCACAGTCCTCCGTCAGGATCAGATGAAGACTGGTAAGGTTTGCTAAGCAATCAAGAAGATCAACCATAGAATTGATGCCTTGAAGGGTGGCATAAATATGCTTCAAGGCAGTGGTGCAGCTTCATGGGTTTGTTTTTCGATAAGGCGTTGTCATGTATGTGAAGAAGCTCTGCCGACGACGGGGATGCAAAGCTTGAAGACTGGTAATGATCGTGAGAACGGTGCTGGAGATGCTGTAGTTTTTGTCGACTATCCTTCAGCAGGTTGAGTATGTCGTTACAAAAAGGTCACCAGGCTATGAAGCTTAAATTGCTCTGTGATCGGTTTTCGTTGTGATGACTTAATGACGGAACTGATTTGGAAGCACGAAGACTATGGGGAGCACCTCAAAATCTCTTGCGGCCGCCTCTGCCCCTAGAGCATTGCCGACACGGCTTGGATGATACGAGCGAGGCTTCTTGTGTTCAAAGGATAAGCTCCTGATGTGACGCAGATGGAGGCTAGCCCTTGCGGCGACGCATTTAAAGAATCTCGCGAGGTGTTCATTTTTGGTGTGTAGGTGTACAATATGGTACAATCGCGGCAAGCTGAGGGTGCGCAGGTGTCGCGATGTCAGACAAAGAGATTCGAGGTCACGTTTGGTATCAATATATCTTAGTATGAGCAGCTGGACCTCGCTCGATAGAGGCTCCATGACGCGTTGCAGTGATGGGGGAAGAAAGTCCTGGCAGTCATAGAGCCAGGCTGGACCGGGGTGTATCGAAGCTGACGCCGGGCGAATACCTAGGTACTCGCTAACACGTTGTCACATGACAGAACCCCTCATTTCGACCCCATCTCACCTACAATCGACTACCACAATACTATGACGACGTGTAAGACGCGCTGGCAACCTGAAAAAAAAGGGCTACTAAGATTGCTGCCTCTACTAAACCGTAATACCATCAGTAAGCGGAGAAGAGAGCCTAGGCAGCAGTCTAAGCTAAAGGTGCTTGCTTCTCTTCGATTCCTATATCAACTGCTACCTATGCTTTATCGCGGCCCGCAATCTCCTCTCTTCTACCATTCATAACAACATGACTAGCCATACAATCCACACTTCTCCGAAAGTCGAGCTCATCGATGATGTCAAACGGATGGTACTAGATCATGTGCGAACCCCGCATCTGGCAGTATATGCCTCAGCGCGGCGGTCAATAGATCGCTAACAAAGCGTACCAGCTGCCACTCGATTCCGGTCTGCAAGCGCTTTGCTTGACCTCAAAGGACTGGAATCCTATCGCTACGGAGCACTTATATAGGAGGATTGTGCTTAACATTCGGTTTCGTGATGGTCAGCTCGCGGCATTCCGCCAATGTCTTCATCTCGGCGCACAAAAGTACCTGATACACACTCGGAGCCTGAGCCTACTTGACTCACCACCATGGGAATTAGGAGACGTTGTACCTCGCTTGGAACCAACGGACCAAGCAACTAGAGATACTCTGATCCTGGCGATCCTGCAAGCTCTTCCTCGAAATAAGCTAAGAGAGTTCCGGTAAGCTCATGAATCTTCACAAGATACCACTCCTCCTTCTTCGATATTCTTCCATTGCGTTTCGAAGAATTGTATGCCGAAAGGCGGCAACTATCACTATCGTGATATGCGGTCCGCAAGCCCAGAGGTTTGTAGGCAGATGCAAAAGCGTAACGGTTACTATTATTGTTATTTGTATCGAACGAAATGCTATGGGAAGACTGGTGTGCTCCTACGCTGACAGACATACAGATATATTTCAGAGTTCGAAGCAAAGAGCGATCTCAATGCAACCATAATCAGTCTTCTTGAAGAACGACAGCATTCTATCAATAGTCTACACGTTTCGCGTGGCGATGCGCGCCAGCTCATATATCCTAACACAAGCCGTATCACTGCTGGATTCCATGGAAAACAAGCACAGACACGTGGTTTTATGCAATTTGCTGAGGCATTACCGGAGCTGGAATCACTTTCCCTTCTTTTCCCGGATGGATGGACCGGGGACGTCCACAAATACTGGCAGAGCGGCTCTTACGCCTTTTCTCCCTTCCATCAGCAGATTGTGGCGCGCGAAGTTTCTCTTGAAGGCTGCATGCCTGAATCATTCGGTTCTGCCTTGTCCTATGTATTCGACTTGTCTCGGGTGACTAAGCTCGCTCTCTTGAATTGTAAGTCTGAGCTGTTGCGGATTTTATCTAGCTCTTCCGAGCTACGAAATATGGTGTACTTCGAAATACGAACCATGGATTCCTTCGATGAAGATGTAAGCGAATGCCTGAAAGCACTGTTCGTAAAGAATCCAAGTCTCCAGCATATTTGTCTTCACACCTATGATCTCTCTCTATCTCTGCAGCATCCTCAAGCCAACAACCACGCGGTTTCCTCAGGCCATTCGTACAATTGTATGCCATATCTTTGGTTATTACGTTCAACGCTAAGAACTCTTTCGCTATGGGACCTACGTTTTGCGGAATCTTGGGAATTTTCAAATCTGGACGAACCAGGAATGAAACATATATGCAGTCGGTTCAGTGCTCTAGAGCAACTCGGTGTATATCTACGCAATGAGCGTATTTATGCTAACAGGGTAGAGAGGAGAGATCATGAAACAATGCGTTGGCTGGTGAGTTCAGACTGCTGCGCAATATTGCCATGAAGAAGTCTTATAAGTCATGACAGGAACCAATCAGAGAGCTTAAGAATCTGAGAATCCTTCATCTCTATCAGAAGCGCACCAGGATCATTCCCTGCCCCGATGACTACACCAAGTACAAAGTGTACACACGCAACTTCAAGCTACAGTTCGCCACACGATTCTTTCAATGGGCACATACACATTGTCCTTCTCTCAAGGTCTTTGTATGGGGCACGTATAAAGATGTTGATATTCATGATTGTGAATCAATCGATGCGTTCGTGCGAGGGCGGAATGGACATGTTGGCTCTTCGGAGCGCGGGCAGCAACAATGCTTCGTGAAGGAGATTAGAGAACTCGACGACGGAACTTTGCAAGTCACAGCAGCCAGGTCAACGCGAAGTGAAATTCGAAATGACTTTCCAGAACTGCATATACTGGATTACGATACAGGACACTATCTAGCAGATCGCCTAGCGGATGAGGCCGTACGCTGAGCGAAGATCTTGGTCCGAAGCAGGGAGCAAAGAAACTAGTCGTGACACCAGAACCTCGCCTTTCAAACTCTTGCTTTCATGTGCGGAGTTGAGCACCGACTTCGGCCGATGTGGCTGTAGTAAAGGAGCTATATTGCTCACTGGCACACGGATTCGAGCCAAGTAAGATGTATTAGCGTTGAGTCTAGTCCCGAACCAAGACACGGCTCGGATGCGTGTCATGTCCTGTCTCCCGCACCTGCGGACTCATGGGACCGGCATTACTATGGACGATCACGACGATCAAATAGATGGCCGTCGTCTCATCGCACCCATTAGAACGTCGAGAAGGCCCGAGACAAATGCCGATGGAATTCCTAATCCTCCATCTCTGAGCGACGGAAGACTTTGAGCGACGGGACAAGCACAGCGCATACGCAGGGCCCAATCGCGGCTCTCCGGAAGCGAGCCGCTGGACCCTTGTCCCCAAATCAAAGTGGAGTTGCAACCCGTGGGGATATGTGGAGACTATTCAGAAGAGAGCTGATGTTCCGAGGCTAAAATTATCGCATGATGCCACTGCCTCTTACTGATGTAGCCGAAAGGTTAATTCTCACAGACGAGGCTTCTCAACGGTCTGCGAATCGTTCATCCGTGAATCAAAGAGTACCCCATTGTTTGACCCCACAAGCGCGGATACGGACCCGCTGCAGATCAAGGGGTGCATCTGTTTGACAGAGAGACGTCTGCCGATGTCCTACATCTGCGCGTAAGCGCGCGTTGATTGCAAGTCCTCAAGCAGAGAGCGCTTCAATTAGTCCTGATTGGATTCCAGATTCAATGCTTACCGGGCATACTGCAAGTATCGCCACGCGAGATCTCTTGGCACGCAGCTATATTAGTTAGTTGAACGTGTAGATCGTACCGGCTTGGCTAGTAGAGGCTCTGTTACACACATAAGCACCACAACGGACATGAGGCCGAGTGCAGCGTTTCGCTACGGCAACATCGCCAGCCTCGCCAACACGAACAACGTGGCAATCACGAGATTCAAACGTTTCTGGCATGTCTCAATCGTGGCGAGAAGAAAAAGCGATAGGGGCACCGTTGTCTTGGCTTGCAGTCTATCAGGCCCCCCAACATTACCCGGATGAATAGGAAGACTCCAATCACGCCAACTAATTTGTGTCTTCCAGCGGCCCGGTACCGACAATTCGTTCTAGTGCGACTTAATTGCCTGTCGTGGTTCTTCTCCCGCTGTTGAGTGTGGCTTGCATGTTACCAGGTACCCTTGGTTCGGAAGACGGTATGTAAACTAGTGGAAGTCGTTTTTGACTACTGCTAGTATTAGTTCAATCTCAGGGCATGAGGACGTGCAGCAGGGCGTTCCGTGTCCTTGACGAAGCTCTAGCCCTAGCGTCTATACGATGGAGTACTAGGCTTTGCAAGGGACTGCGAAGCTCCTCTAGCCACCACAGAAATAAATAGACGAAGAGCCCACAGATACCTCGGGGTCAGTTGATCGGCTCTGTTCCAAACTTTGTCAAGATGGGTCGCTTCTCACTATTTGCTCCTCTGTTGTTGGCAGCCAATGGTGTTTTAGGCGCCAAATGGATCGGTGAAGTCAAGAAGGTAGATGGTGTTGACTATCAATGTAAGCAACTGCCGCTATTTGATCATCTCTAGGAAGCGTGCTGATCATTATGATATAGGCAAATGCTACTCTGACAACTCTTGCTGGCCGACCAACAAAGACTGGGAGAAGCTCAACAAGACTGTCTCCGGCGCATTGCAGCTCGCCATACCACCAGGCGCCGTTTGTTACAAGAACTTCGAGAACGGGACCAGCGTCTACGATGCAGCCAAGTGTGCGGATACTCAAGCTAATTGGGGCAACGAGCAGTGGCTGTATGATCAACTGTCCTAGGCGATATCATAGCCGATACTAACGTAGTGCCAGGACCGACCACCCTATCGCTGAACTGTGGCCACTCAAGACGAACAACACCTGCATGCCGACCGAGGATCCGTCAGCAACCTGCACAGGTGGTTTCTACGGAAAGTATGTCATCATGGCAACTACAAAGGATCAAATCCGGGATGGCGTGAAGTTTGCACGAGAGCGCAACCTTCGCCTGATCATCCGAAACACTGGTCACGACTTCATGTGAGAATACTTTATGCTTCTTAGACCGCGACGACACTGACAGATTGATAGGGGTCGTTCGACCGGATACGGCTCACTCATCATCAACACTCACAGCTTCAAGGATGTTAAATTCCTCAAGAAGTACACTGGGCCTGGTGATTGGGCAGGTAGTGCGGCTATTGTTGGGGCTGGTGTCCAGGGCCGTGAGCTATACCGTGAATGCTTTGCTCAGAGCCCCAAGGTGGTCATCGTTGGTGGAGAGTGCCCGGTACGTGTGCTAGCTCAAAATTTTGTAGTCATCACTAACGTGACTTAGACGGTCGGCTGGGCCGGAGGATACATTCAAGGAGGTGGACACGGCCCACTTACCGGAATCTACGGAATGGGCGCTGACAATGTCCTCTCGTTCGATGCCATCACCGCTGAGGGCAAATACGTGACCGCCAATGCCAAGGAGAACTCTGATCTCTTCTGGGCACTCAAGGGTGGCGGCCCTAGCTCCTACGCCGTCGTTGTTTCCATCACTGTCAAGACCTTCCCGGAGGTCCCTGTTGCTGGCACAATCCTGAACATCAACTCCACCCACACCAACGACACTGAGCTCTTCGCCAAGGGTGTTCACATCTTCCACAACCTGGCCAACCACTACAGTGAGCATGGCATGTTCGTATACTTTGAGCTTGGCCCTGGCCCTCAGCGTCTCCACATCGCCCCCTTTGTCGGCCCCAACATGAACAAGGAACAGCTAGAAAAGGTCCTCGCACCTCTATACGAGCAACTAGACGCTGCCAAGGTACCCTACGACACACACACCAGGGCCTTCCCCACATTCTTCGAGTTCTACATCGACATGTTCGAGGACGAGCCCCCGAACCAGCAATCCGTAGTTGGAGGCCGTCTGTTCACACAGTCTGACATCACCGCCCACGGCGACGAGATCGCGGACGCCCTCATCTACGCTGCTATGCCCGAGCCTACACAACTCGGCTTCAACGTTGGCCACATCGTCAACCCAGGTCATGCCTACCCCAAGGTCGACAACGCCATCCACCCGACCTGGCGCAACGCCAGCAGTTTCGTTATCACGAACGTCATACTAACGGGAACCGAGCCTTGGGACGTCAAGAAGGAGCGCGAGAACTTCAACACCAATGTTCTTGGTAAGAGACTGAGGGATGTTTCGCCCAACGGTGCTAGTTATGTCAACGAGGGTGATCTCAACGAGCCCAACTGGCAGGAAGCGTACTGGGGGAGCAACTATGCTAGGCTGTTGAAGATACGGCAGAAGTGGGATCCGGAGGGTGTCTTCTTCACGGAGACGACGCCTGGGACGGAGAACTGGAGTGTTATGGATTATGGGACGAAGCTTTGCAAGAAGTCTAGCAAGTAGATGTGAGCGTCTTTGTGTGTTGTTGTATGTTATTAGCGAGTAGTAGAAAAAAGCTTGTCGCAGGGTTGAAAATGCCATAATAACCAAATCATGACCCTGTATTTGCACTCGTATCGTGATGGTTCGATTGCAATTACTTTGAGATTGACTTTGGGTGGACAGGTTGTTCGGTGACGCCAATCCTGAACCAGAAGAGTGAGTGGTGACATGCGTGAGAGTGTAATGCATGTAATCTGATAGTGCTTATCAATGGTCGCATTGAATCGGTCTTTGCCTTGTCAACACCGCGCGTACTGTGAATGGCAGCATTTCAACCATCACACACAGACCCAACGGCGACAAAAACGCGCCTTGAAACGGTCGAAAGAATGTTCACGTAGCTCGAAGTGATGACCAGCGCGCATCTAGAAGCATTGACACGCCCAGCCATGTGCCTGGGTGTTTCGTGCCAACGTGGCGCGGTGATACAAAGCTGGGGAAGAGCGGTAGCGATGACGAAAGAGTCGCGTTCTGCGCTAGCCGACAGCGGGCTAGCAGTGTTCACCTTCACAAGCCAATGGATCTGGTGTCTCTGGTATCAGCCATCATCCCAATTGTTTGCGAACCCTTTGCTGTCTATCAACTGTTTGTGCATTCGACTCGAAGCTGGCACTACTTCCGCTCCTTGCGCAACCGCCGTACACAAGCCCATCGCTGTTCTTCGCCTCCGACATCCATCGCATTCCGAATCATCGCACCAGGCTCCTATTCACGACAACAGCCACTCCCAAGTCTACACCAGATCGCGCGGCCCATCTCGCCAAGCCACATGCTCCGCGCATGCCGAAATACCTCCAGAGCATTGTTTATGTCGATTGAATGCCTCCCGTGCTGAATCCCTTCTTACGGGCCTTCTTCCGTAGTGCACTCCCCAGCCAGTGCCAGCCAGCCCAGCACCACGTACGAGACATGCTAGTATACAAGGAGATACCAGGCTAACACCACTTGTCATAGGTTCTTCTTGTTCCGACTACCGAAGTCCTCCTCACATCGCGCGACAAAGAATCAAATACTTCGTACATCGACCTCAGCGGTTCCGAAGACTTCCTTGCAAGCCATGTGCTGCGCGTACCGGGTGGAGTGGGGCCGAACAATCATGTCAAGGACTCGGGGAGTTTCAGGGAAACGCGGGGGAAGGCGAAGCAGTTTACGACCGCAAACGGTCGGACGGTGATAGTCAAAGATGCTTTCATCTACAGCAATAAAGGTGCGCAGACACATGGCATATCAAGGAATGGCTTCTAGGTGCTGATCAAGAAACAGGTTTCAAGACACTCAACCAAGCGCAGCTATTGAGCGATACCATCTTCTATCCCGACTCCTTCGATGCGCAGCCCTGGCTCGTATACTTCATATCACGCCCCCTCATAGGGACTTTTGATGCGAATCCAATAATACCGGCTACAATACAACCGAGACAGGATGCAGGACCAGGGCCACGACCGGGACCAGGACCGTCGACTGCAGCGGGTCCATCTGGAGGTGCCAGCTCGTCCATGCCGCGGAAGAAGGAAGTCAAGTCCTTTAGCGACCTGTTGAACCATTTCCCCATGATCGCACGCCAGATGCAACCAGGATTGGAGAGGCTGTTCAAGGAGTTTGGCAAGGAGCTTGAGAAGCCCTTGCCAGCGACGCCATCACAGAGATCGCGGCGGTCATCGATGAGTTCACGGAGACGGGGATCAGTATCCTCAGCGGGAACTACACCTTTATCTCTACATAGCACCATGTCTCACGGTCCAAACGGCTTTGTCTCGAATTTGGAGATCAGCGACGAGGAGGATCAAATGCGGAGATCGCTAGAGACGGCAGTAACAGCGGCCATTGACCTCTTCCAGATGGTAGACAAGCAACAGCTATCGTTATTGGGCGCGACAACCGACTTGACTGGGCCCATTGTGGAGCGCATGATCGAGCGATACATAGCCGAGCAAGTACACCATACGATTCTCTTCCCACGAATACGAGAAGTGCGGCTCCTAGAAGACGCAGATCTCGAGCGCCGCACGCGACAGATGGTGGACATTGATATATCGCAGGTCGGAATCGATATCGGTCATGGTCGCAAAGGCAAGCAAGAGCTAGCGATACGACTTTCCAAAGCTGTCGATATGTTCAAGAAGATGGGTGTTGCGGGCAGTCCACAAGAGATGCTGGAAATCCTCCTTGGAGTACAGAAGCACATCACAATGCCGGATGAATCGCAAGCGCAGGCTATGACAAACGGAGAGCAAATTTCGGAGAAGCAAGACCATCTTCTCACCATCAACGCGGATACACTCGTCTCACTATTGCTTATAGTGGTGATAAGAGCGCCAGTACGGCATCTACAGGCACGACTGTCGTACATGCGCCACTTTATCTTCATTGATGATGTGGAAAGCGGAGAGATGGGCTATGCACTCAGCACATTCGAGGCGGTTCTTTCCTACCTGACTACAGATTCAGGCGGCCTGCGAAGAGCAAGTAGACGGAATCGGGCGTTGTGGCAGGCCACAAAATCTGGTGATCTTGCTACAATGCAAGGTATACTGGAGCCCGATAAATCGTTTCACGCAGATATGGACAGCTTCTCAGATGAGAGCGATACCCCACCAAGAAATCGTCAACTCAGATTTGCCGCAAGTTTGTCTGATTTACATTCTGTAGGAGGAACTACCCTGAACGGCGACGAGGAGTTTTCTTTGCGACGGCGAAGCCCATCTCGTGACAAGAGTGCGCATGAAGATGGTCCGCTGGCACACATCTTCCCCTTCCAGCGCGCTCAAACACCACCACTACCCGGCAGACCAAAGATGAAGAAGAGGGTCTCCATGGACACTAGGAGTATGTCGAGTGGCTCAGCACGATCGTTTCGATCTCGTACAACCCTGGATTCCCGGGTTAGCGCTATTGAAGGCGATGTTTCAATAGAGAAGCTCACCATGACACAAGGACCTGATGGCGAATCGGTGTTGATGATGGCTATCGAGAACACACAGGACAGAGCACTGCAGTATCTGCTCAGTCTCACCGAATACTACACTCCGTCCCACATCTTCGAGGATTACAATAATGAAGGCACCAATCTTCTAAGTGCAGCCATTCAACTCGGCCACGCTAAAACCACGGACACGATTCTCAACTATATCTTGGACAACAGCCCAAGCCCCCAGGCACTGGAGAATTACCTGTCGAAACCAGACGCGAAGGGTAGATGCGTGGCACACTATCTTTTCAACCAGCCGCGACTTATCGACCGCATTGGACATCTTCTGCCTTGGCGGCTGAAAGACAAGAATGGCCAAACACCTGTTTTTGCACTTTGTCGATCGTACGACCATGACGAGTACCACGACATGGTCGATAAGGCACTACTGGCCGCAACGCAGGAACAGGGTGATGGACAACCGCTTCATTTAGATGAGCACGTTGATAACAAGGGCAACAGCCTGCTACACATCATTACCGACCCTCAGCTAGCGGCAAAGCTGCTGTATCGCTGCGATTCGGATGCCAATGCGACAAATGATCGACAATTTACCCCACTCATGGTAGCCAGCAAATACGGTCGAACGGATATGGTACGGGTACTCTTCCAAGATCCCAGAGTGGACCTGTCTTACAGGGACGCTCGTGGTCTCACTGCTGTCGAGCTAGCCAAGGACGACGATGTTCGGAATCGTATCGACGACCTAGTGCTACTGTCAAACGAAGCTGGTCCGGATGGGCGCACGACTACTGTCGTTCGCTCTTTCTTTGTCGAAGATGGGACTGTACGCCTTGTGCTGAAATCTGGTGCGCCTAATGATAACAAGACCATCACCGTCACGACGTGTCGAAGGTCGTCACAAGACTTTGAGAATCTCGCGAAGTGGCTCGCACAAGAACACCCTGCATCCTGGCTCCCTGTCATCCACAACCTAGCGTCACCTTACTTGATCCCCTCCAGACCATCACGATCCATCTTGCGCGACATGCAACTCCGCCTCGACGCATTCCTCAAAATACTACTCCGCCACCCCACCTTCTCCACACACGAAATGGTCTGGGAATTCTTCCTTGTTCCAGACATCGACTCGACCATGCTGGCCGAACGCTCAGCCCGCAAAGCCGAACTCCGCGTAGAGCGCCTCCGCGAAGAATACGCGCCCATCTACGACGTCCGCGAGGTTGAACTCTTTGTCCAGCACATGCGGGAAAACATCCGGGCTCTGCACCACGCCAGCCGCTCCGTGCTGCGACGCGCGAACAAAGTGCGTTCAGCGGCTTCTGATCTCAACGATGCTGCGAAAATAGCAAATACCGCGCTCCATTCGCTTACCTTCTTACCGGAGAAACATTTAAAAGCACTAGATCGGTATACGCAATGCTTGAAGCAGAGTGACGCTAGCCCAATGTCCGGTTTCTACTACTCCATGCACGCCATTTCCAGCACTATAACCGCCATCCTGACCGCTTTATCACGGCCCTCCGTTCTCATCAACTCCATGTCCGCGACACAGAAAGCTATCGATCGGCACAACCTTTCCGTGCGCCGTTCGGATCGCTGGCCCCTCGGTCTTCTAGATGATGCGAGAAGTCGGGTTCAGCGCGATGCGCAGGACAAGATGGATAGGAGTAAAATTGAGCTGGAGGATTTAGGCCGTGAATTGAGGTACACACAGCAGGTTGTTGCGCAGGAGTTGGCGAGTTGGCAGGAGAATAGAGTGGAGACAGGACGTGCGGCCTTGAAAGAATTAGCGCGCAAGATGGTTGTGGTGGAAAGGGGGAGGTTGGAGAGTATGAGGAGGGCGGTTAGGGGGTTAGGTATTGGTGTCGAGAAAGGGGGTGTCGGGCGCGGGGAGCAGGTCAACGGTTTTGTCGTCAATGGTCTTGGAGACGGTCATGGTGCTTTGGGTGTTGTGGAGCCAGTTTCCACGGTTGAACAAGGCAGGTTCCACGACGTCACGGATGAAGATGTTGAAGAAGGTCCGGGTGCTGTGGAAGACCCGGAGGTTGAGGGTATGGTTCTGTCAAATGGTGAGGCTGCGGCTGAGGACGCACCGCCTGGGGATGAGCTGGCGCAGGAGTTGACTGCTGCAACGAATGGTGTGGAGGGGGAATGATGACGCTGTGCAGAGGGTGTAATGTGTCGGATCTCTGCGATATGTACATTCGATTCGAGATTTTTTCTTCTTCTTCTGCTTCTTCTTCTCTTTCGACTAACTTTTTTTCTACTGCGCTTTTCACTTCGGACTACTTCTACTACTACTACGGTTTAGATAGAGTGCTATGAGCGGATCAGGTAGACGGGTGTATGAGTGGGCTCAGCGAAGGCGTTTGCATTAGTGAGAAGCAACGGGATGGGAGTAGAGTTGTTGATAGTAATATCCATGATCATGTGTGTATATGTCATTGGCAGTGTCTTCCTGACTCGTAAGCCCCAATTGAACAACCTCAACAAATTGCAGTAGTGCCACTAAAGATCTACGCCAAACGTATCGCAGTTCCAATCATTAGCCTCGTTCTTTCCAACCCATATTAGTGCTAAACAGGGCATACCTCATCGCTTACCTACAGTAGTGCACATGATTACTCGTATCTGCGATACTTCTCATTCAGGAGCCTCTTTCTGCATATGAAGCTTATAAATTGCGGAAGGTCTGAGTGGTTTGTCGGTTATGGGTCATCGCAGTACCGGTTGTGCACATGACGCAATACTTGGTTCCTGCATCAATCTGGTAGTACTTCCGAACTCAACCATGGACGCTTCCACCATACCCCCGGTTCACACTGGCTCTATATTTCTTGCACCGCCGACCACAAAGGATACAACCTTCACGTTCTCCCTGCCTTCAACTTGCAGCAAAAGGCAGGTAACAGCACTGCTGTGAACAGAGTTGTTATGCTTCGCCATCTACATTTATTGGTAAACTGCTAACCTACAACATCAGCTCATAACTAGTACGGGTCGAAGCCAGTACGAGAACTCCGATCGCCGCCGCCTGAATCTTGTCGAGCTCGATACAGTCCTCGGCCTTTCTGCCGAAAACGCAACCCTGAACGTAACTGTCAAGAGAATAGGACAACAGGGCCAGGTCAACAGTAGATACGTCCAAGCTTCATCGAAACGTTCCGAACATTCTTACGCCCATACAAGGCAGGGTCCAAGTGGAACTTGGCGAGACTCACTGTTCGCACAAGCGACGACAGCACTCATGTCCGAATACGTGCAGGCGACCACACGATCGTCGAAGCGTCCACGGGTTGCGAATAATTTTGCGGAAGGATCTCAATCTGATAATGAAAGGACGGTCAGCCAATCTGTCGACATGAGCAAGCGCACATGGTCCCAAGACTCGATGATGTAAGCATACGAGCTCATAACCGAAGTCTTTCGCGAAGAAAAAGGTCTCTTCCGCTCGACTAAACTACCTGACCGTTTTGACCTCGGACCCTTCGAGGCCTTCCATAGGGTGCAAGATACCGCTCACACCATAGTTGAGAGGTTCCATTTCATAAAATACCTCCTCGAGGCAGTCAAATGGAGAATAAACATCCAGAAAGACTTCCTTATCGCCTTCGTCGACCTAATCAAGCATAACAAACTCATCCCGACTTGCGTAGATAACGCTATCAAGTTTCATACCGCCAACGCTGCGGTTCACAGGTTATCCGATGTCATACAATGCTTCCAAGTAGGAGCGGATTGTGGCCCTAGAGGAAGCATGAACCCTGCGTTCAGAGCAACATTGAAAGGGCGGCTCGACAGTGTCACTATCTAGTTCGCGACCGTGGTCCTCAGGTCGAACATCGACCCTAACGAAGTCCTTCATCACCTCATGACCAAGACCTACCTCGGAAACTTTGAGAAGAAGCACCAGGAGACCATCCCAATTGGAGACAAGGAAGCTTTCGAAGGATGAAGTAGAAAACCACCCCAACACAGTTCCCCAACTCTTCTTTTTGTTGCCCAACGGTGTCAAAGGAGACATGAAAGAGTGAGCCTTGAAGGCCAGAAAGAGATGGAGCAGCTGGAAGTGTGCTTATGAGACTGTATACGGACCAGGAAGCTGTATCCAGGACGATGAGGTCTTGGAAATCTTCGAGGGATACATTGATAACGAAGCGGACGTGTAAGAAGTCCGTGGAGATAATTCACAGGTGTACGAAAGAGTTTGGGTTGAGGCGGCTGATCGATGTCATGGGTGCGTGTTAGGGAAAATGTGGTGTGTTGCTTGACAGGAAGTTCAAAACAGAGGCTACGATGACCAGTCTCAAGGAAGATAATACGACAGTGTTTTCCGCCAGTATAGAACTGAGGGATTAAAGTGTGGGGACAGTGTGATTTCAAATTCTGATTATGTATATTCTACCTTATACAAGGGAGAATATAGAAAACCCTTCTACTACGTTGCCTACTACAACAACGCAAAACACAGATATTACACATAGATATAGATAACTTAGACGTCTACATTAGTATAAGATGTCTTTTGTTTCCTTATAATATATAGTTGTAATAGGCAACGTAGTAGAGGAAGTTTTAGTACCTGTTTAGTTTCTTCCTTGCATAGGGTAATTCAGTTCGATTTCTTTTACTCCTTGTGCTCCGTTCTACTCCGTTCAGACGGGATCCATCTCATGTTACAAAGTACAGGAGTTGAGTTGATGATTTTGCTAGCCATTCTCCTGTACAAGGCTGCAATGAGCGTGTGTTGTCGTTCCGGCTTATTGAAGCTGCTCAAGTCTTCAAAGAATTGCACTGCACGGACGGTCTTGGTTCCACCGGTTTCAACACTGTAACTTAACGCTCGCTCCATCCACTTATATGCGTTATCCACGTTCCTCATCTCTATTAGTACGACGCTCAGTTCAGCCATATATTCGATTGTGCTCCCTCTGAGTTCTGTCCATGTCCTGATTTGGCTCTTAACGTTGTCCAGAAGGATATCGTGGCTTTCCAAAAGCAGTCCTCGTGCTCTTAAGACTCGGCAGAGCCACAACTTGCAATTCAACGTTATTGAATGTTCGATTCCAAGCAGCTTTTCGGACATCTCTGTTGTCTTTCTTAACAAGGCCTCGCTGTCGGCGTACTTTCCTTGCTTGTAAAGTGTTATACCAAGCCTACGACAGATAAGATATTTACGCCGACTGGACGAATGTGTAGCATTGGAGCTAAGTTCAAGTGCAACTCTCAACAGCTCCTCACTTTCTGAGTGTCTCTTTGCTGCGATGATCGAGCCGCAGAGTTGTTCTATAACCACTAGGGTGTCACCATGTTTAGGGCCGAAGGCGTTCAATCTAATTTGAACAAGCTCCCTTAGAAGTTCTTCCTCTCTCATCAGGTTCCCCAAATATCCGAAAGACCGGGCTAAGACACGAGCGGCTTCCTGGTACAAGACACCACCCGGATCCAATCTTCGTGCCCAGGTATGGACATGTTGAGCCATCTGATTAGCGTCTCGATACCTTCCAAGCTGAAAAATTGTTTTAGCGAGATTTATCCTGACCAAGATAACGTGAGGCGAGTGTTTTCCATGTCGTTGTTCTAATGCCGGGAGAATACGTTTGAACTGATGTTCAGCTTTATCGTAGTAGCCAAGTTTGCAGTAGGCAATCGCCAATCTCTTTTGCCGTGCCGTCGTTGCAGGACTCGACCCCAAAGCAGCACTCCCCAGCTTATTGATCATAATCATACATTCGTTCATCTCCTTGCGCCAGACGGTGTCGGAATTTGAGACTGGTAATACCTCAAGGCGCCTTCTTTGGTCCCTTGGGAACGGGTAAACCTCCAGTGAGAATGGATCTGGCTCAACTACTTTGGATGAGGGAAAGATCATGTCAGCAAAAGAGTATTTGAGCGCGCCAGTGGTGGTGCGCTTTTTCGAGCCATATTGATGAGACACAAACATGGTGGTGCCCTGTTCTGGCGTATCCTCCTCGCTGCCCTTTTGAGATACCGTTTCGCAGATCGCAGCCTGTTTGGCGACCCAAGGCACAAGTCGGCCATCAAAGCTGCAAATCTCTAGATCTTGCAAGGAGATGGTATCCATCGTAGGCGTAGATACCTCCACTACAGCTTGAGCCGGTGGGTTACACGAGATGTCTCTAGGGTCCATCTTCAGTGCCGAGAATAGACGAGTCAGTGTTTCGGTGTCGTGATCTGGAGATTCTAGTGCAATAGGCCATGCAGGGTCGAATCTTGACTCTTCGACACTGCCGAGACTCACATGTGCATTCTGTGGAGATTCTACTGGTTCGAATGAGCCCACTGAGAGCGTGCTCGAAGAGACATCAGGGTTTGTAGCTTTGACTGGAGTCACTGCCAATGGTGAATGATGGCGATTTTCTGCGTTACCACGACGTGCGAAGGATTTAGCTTGGTCGTCCGGTAGTGTCACGCACGACACAAACGCCATATCCGATGTGCCCTCACGCCTTACGGTACTCGGCAAGTTTGTCGAAGGAGTGTACGATGGAGCTGGCTGTCCGGTAATGTTCGAGGTCATATTCATCGCACTCAATACGTCCCTGGTATGTGTGCCTTTCTGCTCTTTATCTAGGATTCTTGGTCTCTTTTCCCAGCGTTCGCATTTGGCTGCAGTTATTCGAACACCATATACAGAAGCTTCTGCGTCTCTTAGGAGAGGATCTGCTTTCTTCAGGAATGCTTCTATCTCGTGCTGCTTTACGTTCTTCTTGAAGCCCGGATTCCAATCGGCAAACCGCTTGGTGAGCTGCTTTTGGCTGAGAGATTGTTAACTAAGCCATGCATCCGGGATAGAAAATGAAGAGTACCTAAGTATAAGGCCACGGCGTTCGCGTAGAGCCTTTCTGACGGTAGCCAAGGTCATATTCTCCTTGATGTACATTGTATGTAACAACGGCTTCAATTCCTCCCACTCAGCATCAGATAGTTGCCTTGCGTTACTATCTGGCTGATGCGATGACCCAGAAATAGGAAATGGCTGTGCTGCCGTACCATCTAGGCCCTGAATTGGTTGAGGTGGTGTGTGCCATAGGTCGGGCGAGTGTAGCAAGGCTGAACCGGGAATGCCATGACCGACATCGATGGGCACTACGCCGGAGGTTGTGCGATACATTATTGCAGTGGCTAATAGGTGACGATGATGATATGCTGCCTGGTGCGCGACCTGGAATTGATTGATTGTAGGAATGAGCAATGACGCTGACATCTGGAATACTCCAAAGTTATATCAGTACGGCTTGCGACCATCTTGGCCACAAGGGATCAAGCGATTGGCCGTCAACAAATTTCCTTGCATTAGCTGGGGGCTGAACATGGTTTGGCTGGCCTATCAGTGACTTCAAAATACTGCCTTGCATTAGCGCATATGTAACCCTATGGACATACAACTTGCACTTGATTTCTTTTGCGACACATTTACACTCAAAATATAATTTATTTACCGCATAAGTTTTGGCTAAACCCAACGCAAAGTTTCCTTGCATGAGCACTCGGTAAGTAAAGGTCGAAGTCGTAACGACAGGCCCGTCAAGGGGAATGAAAAGCTACCGTGCATAAGTGTTTGAATTGAATACCAATGACGATAAGAATATGATAGCTCATTGGGATGACAGGCTTCAATACCTAGGATCATGTTGTTTCATAGCCCTCGAAAAGAGAAATATCCCGCATGAGTTGGCTTCGGAGGCGTGAGAATACTGACTGAGTAACGACGTAGTCTATAGCGCACGCGAGATAGCTAAAACTTTGTGGAGATTGTAACCACAACTGACAAGGCTCGGCCAACTCAAACACATATCGCATAAATTGTCAATACTATCTTACGCACTTTTCTCGAAGCACCACTAGCTACCTACTCGCTTCATCGATCATCCAAACATTCTCCACCTCCTGATATGCTCAAGATCCAAGGGGCCATCCGAGAATTCGGCAGCAAATTACCATTATGGACCCGATGAGCATCACCGGGACTATCCTCGCTATCGTTCACCTCACTGACATATGCCTGGAGAAGGGTAACCAACATCTCGGTCCTTCTCGCCACACACCCGCTACACTCCTTAGCCTCGCGCAAGAGCTTTACTGCTTCTACGGTGCTATACAGAGTCTTAAGACCAACATCACGATAAATGAACACGATACAATCCGACTCACCTCGCTGGAGTGTCTGGAAGGACCACTTTCGGACTGCAAATTTGCTTTGTGCCTCGTGGAAAAGCGGCTGAACACCGATACATTCTGTCAGCGAAAGCTCATCGGGAAGCACTGCGACAAGAACCTGGATGATGCCGTCAACGTACTGAGAAAAGGTCGTGGTTTGTTCGAGGCTGTCTTATTAGCAGACCAAAGGTAGGATTCTCACGCGATATTCTCATACCTCAACAACCACACCCATCGCCACGAATGCACGAATAAACACGCATCGCTTAAACTGAAATTCAACAGGACCATCACCACTGCTATCGAGAGATACACCATCAATATAGCTGAAGACCTCAGAGATATTAAAAACAAGCTTGAAGATGATGGAGAGCACTTGCGAAGCCTCACTAAACAGCTCACTCTTCGCCTAGAAGCGGCTAACGAACGGGACAATGAGATGCTATCAACGCTACTGGGGATTGATGACAAGTTAATGAGAGAGCGTGAGGATAGGCGAGGGAAGACCCGGAGACAGAGATGGTTGGGATGGGTTGCCATCGCCGGCCAATCGGCTTTTCAGATCGCGATTCAGCTCGCGTTGACCAGCCTGCTTACAAGGAGGAACAAGATGTAATCCACAACTATGATCTCATTTCTTCTTTTTTTGCTCATAGAATATAGGTCAGAAGAGCTCTAGCTATTATCTTTCTTGTCTTGACGTCTTCGAAGTACCATTGCTCTTCTTCAATACAGACATTGCGATATTCCCATCTCTCTCTTGTGACTCCATGCTCGATCTCGTCTGGGGAGGTTTCTTTGAATGATGCAGCTCAAGCGACAACATGAACGAATCTCAGTGGATGAAGAACGTAGTATCAGGTCCGATGTTGGCAGCATCCCTTTGATGTTGTTCCATGAGATGAGGGATAAATGCGGCGCCACAATACTGTACGTGGTCGGATGCTTGTCCACTGAAATTGTCATTGTGGCTCGTAATGTCTAGCTGCCGAATCATGTACAGTACCTCTCCGCCGTAGAATGCGGCGACTTGGTCTCCTGGTTGGCATCCCGAATGCGCGTATCCAATGCGACCTCCTTTTGTGTTGAAGAAGGAATGCCCGCGCATGAACATCAAAAGCATATGCCAATAAACCTGCTTCTTAGGAGGATCTCCCCACCGCGCAGAGTACCAAGTTGTGAACATAGGCAACGTTTCACGGTATACGTTCTTTGCTTCCTCAGTGATTCGGCAATCCAAGACGAAGGCCATAATGAAGTCATCTGGTATATCAGTAACGCCTTCGCTTTTTCCATAGAAGACACGGCGAGTTAGGTCTAAACTTTCCATGTGGTAATCGACAGCGGTAGCATGAAGGGTCATATTCTCTTTCGAATCTGGGTCATACTGATCGTATTCCATGATATCAAGACAATTCTCATGATTAACGACCTCTTCAACGGTGTCCACCACAAAACCACGGACACGAAGCATGTCATCATGTCCTACAGTATTTATGGATATTTTGTCGTGTTGCTCAATTGCTCTTCCTCTTTCTTGGCTCTTTTCTTCACTACTCTCTTCGAACAAAGCCCAACGAAGGGTGGACAGTTGCTTGGCTACAGACAAATTCCACTGCCCATGCAAATTCCTGCGACAAGATGATTTTCCAGAGAGGTTCGGGCACCATGATGGCAAGTATGGAAGTCTAGATTCCAGAGTAGGCGGGATTTGCAACAGTTCGATCCCACCAGGTTCGTCCATCAGAGCTTTGGCAAACATGATCCACGTCTTCCAATATCTATTCCGACCTTGAGTACTGTAGTCAACTGCTGAGGTTATCTTGTCTCGAAAATCATTTTCCAAAAGTCCTACTATCGCCCAAACACGATCGACAGGCTCCTTCACATGTCGAGGACGTAAGCTATACAATTCGGTCACAACATCCCTGACTTTCATTCCGTCGACGCGCTCGTTCCTGTTATTAAAGTTTCGATAAAATTGGATGGCATAACAGGTACGGGCTGCGCTGATACTGCGTGTATCTCGTTCACCTGATTCGTTTATGATCAAGTCGGTGTTGTACCATCCATCCATGAGAAACTCTACGAAACCATCGAAGTCCATCCAGAAATCACCGCAGAGTAGTGTTGCGGTTTTGGGAAGGATGATCTCCTGGTATGTCCATAGACGCCTGAACCACTCATTATCGAGGAGCCGATCCAATCCTCTCCAAAATGCCTTTGCATGGCAAGGGAGCTCTTCCTTGATTGGGGCACGACAGTCAGGATCCGCAATATAACGCGTTATCCAAGGCCTTGATTTCTCCCTCACTTCCTGGAATTCCGCGAAGAAGACGTCAGTTTCTGGGGTCGCAGGACTCATCCATACGATTACAGCTGCCGCTCGAGAATAGATATTGTGCATCAATGGTACCTGAATGCTCTTCTCTTTCGGATCTTCTTGGTTGATGCATATTGCGTCTATCCAAAATTTTCGAATCGCTGTACTCCTCTGATATCGATGTAGGTAATGTAACATCTCGAGTGCGGTGGGTGTCACGATGAGAGGTTTGCCGTTGCATTTGACCGTAACCGAGGCTGGAGCACCTCCCCAGACATACGAGATTGCATCGTATTCGAGGTCTTCGGTGAGTGCGTACTGATCGATCCCTATCTCAATGGTCCCATCGGTACATTTCGTAGTGAGGAGGCGTATCCGATTTTGCCGAAGTGCCTGGTGGTGGTATGATGACCTCAAAAACTTCGGGTTTGAAGAGCGCTTCGCCATCGTTCATTCGGAAATTGTGATACTTCGCTGACTGGCGCGATCGTTGGAGTGAAAGGCGATGGCTTTTGGGGAAAGTGGGAAGATGTGACCGTCCGTAGGCAGCGACGGGTTTCAGAGATCGCATGCGCACCAACATGATCAGGCTGAGCAGGACAGCCTTGAGGTATAAGATTGTCAGCGTTCTGAATCTGAGCCTGCCGTCTTACAGGGATGCACGTCAAGGAGGAGCAGTGCAAGCCACGATACCCCACCATTGGTGTAGGCACATTGCGAAGGATGGGGAAAGCCAGCACATGAGCTTGGAAACACCGTTGTTGGAGGCCGAATGCAAAGGCTGAGCTCTGGCATTAGATGCGTTGGCTTATACTAGGGCATGTGAGTGGAATTCGTTGAGATGCGAGGCTCAGGATATCAGCCTTACGAAGTGCACATAATTAACGCCTTGGTATGCACAAGAGCAGGAAAGCGCGCATGAGTATCATGTATTACATATATATATATTCTTCATTACTTTTGATGCGCACTCCGACGCTATTACGATATAGCAAGATTGTTGGGTATCATGGAATCTAAATGCAAGCTGCCCATCTTCTCGTTTCCCTTCCCGGCTCTAAACCTTGATAGGATACTTCTCCCTAATCACCTTTCCATACCGGAATAACAGCGCCGGCACAGGAATAAACGCAACTGCCAGGAAGCCCAGCAAGCTGTTTCCCCAGCCCAGGCCTAATGACTTGTACATGGTTGGTCCAGCAAGTGGAAGCAGAGCACCGAAGAGACAACGCAAGGCCGTCATACCAGCGATGGCGGATGCGGCGAATTGAGGGAAGCAGTCGATCATGTATGTCTGGAGGGGTGCGAAGATACCCATGAGACCGAAACCAAAGGGGACGAGGGAGATGATCGGCACGATCCAATGTACACGGTTGTAGGAAGTCCAGCCATATCTGGTTATGTTAGTCTGGGTTATGCGCGTGAGGAGGAAGGACAACTTACATGAAGAAGGAGATCGGGATCAGCAATCCAAAGAAGACGCAGAGCGGTAAACGCATCTCGGGCTCGTAGACGCCCTTGTTCTTCTTCGCCAGTCGGATGATTGTCGCATCGCTTGTCTTGGCTACAAAAGCAATGCCCATGAAGTTACCGATGCCGATACCCAAATATGCCAAACCGGTGATTTCAGGAGACCAGCCGTAGGTTTGGATGAAGACGGGCGTGATGGTGGTAAAGAGGAGGAACAACAGGCCGAAGAGGAAGGACATGTAGAGTGAGCAGAGCAACACGATAGGCGACCTGGTGAGCATCTTGAGCGGGCGTGTGATACCGTTTCCGAGGATGGCGAGAGGACTGAGAACAGCCGCATCTTTCTCGTATGTCATGATGTTCTGAAGTTCTGGGCGGTTCAGCTCCTTTCGTAGACGGAGCGTCTTGCGGTTGAGCAGCACGGCATGGTACGTTTCGCGGTTGAAGACGAAGAGAGCCCCTGTCAAGAGACCGCCGACAATGAGTACGACCCACATGTCCCATCGCCAGCCGGCACGTTGCGCGATGAAGCCACCGCAAATAGGACCAAGAATGGGGCCGAAGAGGATGCCCATACTGTAGATCGAGACAGCTTTTCCACGCTGCGCAGGGACGAACATGTCAGCGATGACACCAGTGCCAATTGTCAGACATGCGCTGCCACCGACACCAGCGAGGAACCGCATGCCGATAAGGCCACCAAGGTTAGGTGCAAGCGCGCATCCGATAGTGAAGGCGCAGAAGAAGACATTGGAGCAGTTGAGCACAATGCATCTTCCATAGATCTCAGAGAGCGGACTTAGGAAGAGCGGGCCGAAGGCGAAGCCCAGGACGTAGACACTGACGGAGAAGGATCCAAGAAGCTGCGATGTGTTTCCGAAATCTGCGTTCACGAAAGGAATGCCGGGTGCGAAGATGGAAGAGGCAAGTGGACTGACGAAGGTGATGGCGGCGACTAATCCGAGGAGTGTGATCTTTCTTTTCGTTGGAAAGTTGCGCGGGTTGGCTGGATCGTCTTGCGAGTCCCAGCCGACGAGGTTGCTGTCGAGGTCGGACAGGGGGTACTTTTCCGGCGCGAGCTGATCTTTTTTCGTGCTCTTCCTCGACAGATGCTTTTCGAGACTTGCGCCGATTTCATCGTTCGTTTCCTGTGGTTGCTGAGCAATGTTAGTTCCTGCTCTGGATGTTCTCAAACTGATGATTGGTGATGATGGCGCAGTAGCCGACCACCCGATGCTCGGATAACTTAGCCTGAACGCCATTGATCACCTGCATTGTGCGCAACAGATGGCACGCTGACGTCAAGGTCTCCAGGCTGCGTAACAAAGTGTTCGAGTAGTGCTCGTGCAGTGTAGGACTGATATGCTTACCTTCCCTTCCGCGACTTCTTCCTCTTCCTTGTCAGGCCTCGCGTCGCCCTTTTCTAAATCTGGGATATGCGTATCTGAACTACTTCTCAAATGCTGGCGATACTCTTCTCGTGTGGATGAAGGCATGCTGTGCGGTAGTAGTAGTAGCTATCGCTACAATGTTTAGATGAGGTCTTCGTAGGCAAAGTTTTACTTTGATGATATCCCGTGCTTCTGGTGTTTGCGGCTATGATGGTCGCAGTCGTGTTAAGAACTGGTTTCAGACGATTGCAGCTGTGGTACCCAGAACATTGATTCAGGACTCAGGTCAGGTATATAGCAAAAGAGACCCCAGGCAGCTGAATTACGAAATGACTCCTCATCGATGCCCGTACCCTGAAGAGAGAGTCTGGCCCTTAACTCCGGGGTTTTCGGTTGCAACTAGGCCAGGAATGGGGGCATGATCTCGGTGAACGGCGTTAGCGAAAACGCGAGACAGCGACGCGGGGAAAAGCGCTCCGCTCCTTGCGTTCTTCACGAGGACCTCCACATTGGTTACTATTAGAATCGGGCACATTCTGCGAGGTCAGCGCATGATGTAGCACGATGACTTTGGTCTCTGCTTGCGAATGCGATGGTTGCGGTGTGTCGGTGTTCAACAAGTCCCGGGATTTCGTAAACAGGGGCGGGAACTAGACAACTAGACCCCTGCCAGCCTTATGAAAGCTTGAGTGGTGCGAAGCAACCCGCAGCCTCCTTTCAATCCTTACAGGTGGCATGACTCTCCAAAGGGCGTAAGGGATGATGATGGTGTGCATTCTCATGCATAAAGTCCGATTGCAGTTCCGACCTGAACGAGCCACCACCGCCTGACAGAGTTCCTTATGTCCATATGTCCGTCTCTTATTATCCTCTTGTATTAACAGCGGCTGCGGGTTCGTAAGGTATTTGCGAAGCTACAGGCAAGATGAATAGGGAAGCAAAGAATTTGACGAAAGATTAAAGATTGAAAGATTGAAAGATTGAAAGACTGAAAGAAACACGCACCATACCAATACTCTACCTTAGCATCTATCGTCAGCGATTGCAAATTGTTGCTGAGACGCACTGACAGTTGCAGGTACCTTCTCGTACCCACAGCCTCTACTCAGGCGCGCAGCAGTGCGCGACCATCGTCGCAATTCACAAATTTTGAAGGTTGAAGAGAGAAAGAGAAGAAGCGATCCTTTGCTGGGAGATGACATGTCGTTACTTTAAATTATCCGAGAACGGTGCTACTGCGGCCGCTGTATTTCGAGTGTTGTTCCATGATCGTTGGTGGCCATGTTCCAGGATGCTGACGACAGCTAAAAGCCAGCGCACAATACTCAGGCATGAGTATCGCGATTTTCCACGATTCTAAAGAGAATGTCCATTTGGAAAACGGGGGTCGCAAAGGTATATGCTTTCGGTCACCGACGCGGCTCTCCTCTCGGAACGACGCGGGTGGCCAGGGTCAGAGCCAGGCGAGAAACGCCGCGCGCAAACTCATCATTATTCAGTTCACGGCAATAGCCTGCTTGTACTACTAGACCTCGATTATTGTTGTTATAACAAACTGCGCAGACAGCATGCGAATTCCTGTCTCGCGAACAGACCAGTGGCGCTAGTGTCATCGTACTTGCTGAGTCTGTCCTGTGGTAGCGAACAGCACATCGACCCCGCGTCTCAACTCTTACCTTCTCCAAGACCACGCAAGGCACCTCGATTAGATCTGTCACGAAAGCATATTCTCTTCCTCCGAATCAGGGATCAAGGCGGATCCTACGGCACGGCACGGTCCTCCCAGCTCCCGCCGCCGATGGCTCGTTCTATACGAATGGATATACGAAAGAGGACAGCTCCATGTGAATACTTCGCACCTTATGCACGCACACGGTACCTATGGGTTCATTTTTATGCCACATACGTCTTTCCGTGGATACCAAAATGCGAAGTTACAATACGTCCTGTTTAGCGCAAGCTTGTGTTTGTGGGGAACAAACACCAAGATTTGGCATTGGCAGTAAGAGCGGAACAACTTACAAGACAAGCTGACGAATTAGATTAACCTTATGTAACACAGCAAAGATCAACGTTTGATAATTCTCAACCGGGACCCTGTCTCTGTTAGTGCATCGGGGCTGCCTGGGAGATCGACGGCGGCTTTGTTCGTGCTTACTACCTCCTGGCGGCTGAATGAGACAACGTCCGATGCTTCACGAACTACCACCGTATACCTAAACTGCTTTCGTGTCACCTTCAGGGGATTTCAAGCGGGCAAGTCGGGATGATGGGCCCCCATTGGTACTGCTTCGTTGCGAGGACGCCCAAAATTGCCAACCGTCCAGATTGGCTATGAAGCATGCTTGCGATCGAGCTATCCAGGGCGCAAGGCCCGAGTCTGAGGAAATCGGCAGTACCGAATTGCCAAACATGGCCGTAGACGTAAGGTAAGGCGCCTGTGGAGCCGGCCTCAACCAAGTCTTCCATGTACACATTCTGTCCAACGTACCTTTGGTATAGAGATGCATAGTACACTCGTTTCTCTATCTTGTGTTTGATGATACTCGGAGTGTGATCTTCGATGTGCAGTTAATGCTACGTCAAGTTATGGTCATATGATTTTAACATTTTCCTTACATACAATAGAGTGCATGGTAGCATTCTGCTCCGTTTGCTCGAAGTAAACATCGATCAAGAGATGGAATCTGTCTTGAAACAGTCATCATGTCCGTCATCTTACTCGTGTATATTCGTTTGGATATACTGCTTGGACCTTTTGCCGTACATGGATCGTTTCATCCGCGCCATTATTCCTCCTTGGTCCGCCTAGAAGACATGGGCGTACAGAATGTCTAGCAACGGCACGAAAACACAGGAACAGCATGAAAGCATAGCTCCGAGAGGCTGAACAGCAAACATACCACCAGCGCCAAAATAGTAAACAGACATCCATCCAGTACCCATTTTTTGCTAACCCACTTGAACGCCAAAGAGCTCATCATCCATGTCGTAAACCCAAACTCTATCCACTAAGAATGTCCTTCACACTCATACCTCTAGCCCCACTCCAGCTACGACGGTCCGTGTTCAACATCATCAAAGCCTCGGTAGCTTCCTGATCTTCACGATCAGCCTGTGGTTTCAATGCCGGCGACGTCAAAGCGAAATGAACAGAGCCATGCGAAGAACCAGGAGCAGCTACGGGACCAGTACTAGGAGGGCCGTTGTGAAAAGGGTTGCTGAAGTGCGTCGCCGACGGTGTATGGGCGCTGAAAGCAGGCGAAGGGTGGATCGAAGGCGAAGTTACTGTGGAGCGAACTGAAGCTGGTCCAAGCGAGTAGTGGTGTGGGTCGGACGGGCGCAACGCGGGGGAGGGGTTCGCCGAGTACTGCCCGCTGCGATCGTGGGGCATGATTGCTGGGGATGTGGTGGTCGAGTGGGTGTATACGCTTCTGTCAGATGGGTAGATGGCGGGTGAGGCTTGTGCGAGTGTGTATCTGGACTGGGTGGCTGGCTGTTCGACGTAGGTAGGTGAAACATCATCCTCCATTTCTTCGTCTCGGTCTTCGTCTTCATCGTCGTCGTCGTCGTGCATGCGTCGGACTGGTGGCGGGGGAAGCTCGGATGTTACAGATGATGGTGAGTCGCGTAGTGAATTGGCAGTCTTGAGGTTGGAGACGCACTGCTCGAGGTATCGCATGTATTCGATGGATGCCTTGGGTGTGTTAGTATGTCGAGGTGAAACTATATAGTAAGCCAAGGTACCTGTAAGATAGCCAGCTTGTGCATCTCTTGTCCCCTGCACGCCGGAATCATGTCTTTAAGAACGCCAAACTCCTCGTTCATCTTGGATCTCCTTCTTCGCTCGATAAGGCTGTGTGCCGTCTTCCTCGCAATCTTACGTCCCGCAGCAGTGGCGTTACCCGCCTGCTTCCTTTTGGTGCCATTAGTGGCAGCGGTCGTAGTCTTCGCATTCTGTGTTTGGGATGAGGTCTTGGGCGATTCTTGGGTGTCCTTGGGCTTCATTTGAATGATCTTGCGTGATCGAGTAGGGGGAGGAGGGAGAGAATAATCGTCCTTGGTGATGATGCTCTGCTGAGAGCGTTTGCGCGCATGACTAGGCTTAGATGTCGCGACTGGAGATGACGGGGATGGTGGCCGGTACGACGAATCTGAGGCATTTTCAGACGGACCAGAAGAGCTAGCTACACTTCCCCTACCACCCAAAGCTGCAGGTGGTAAGGTGAAGCTGGTCTCTAATTGAGGGGCATTGGCGCTGCTCTTGCCGGTAATGTCAGTCGACGGCTGGGGAGTCGGAGGGAGGTTTGGGCGAGGCATGATGGGAGTAAAGGCGCTCATAGAATGTCTTCAACCTCTGTCCAGCGCGTAATGCAAGTCAAAGGGCGACGGAGAAGGGATAAGAGGACGGTAGGAACAATGTATGGCGTGCATTATCAGCATTGGGGTGTCGCGTGGGCTCTTGTGTGTCGCAGCTCAGAGAGTGATCCCGTGGGTGTCCTGCGCTCCCATGATTGGCCGAATGAGTCCGGATACCTCAGTAGATGGCGCCGTCCATTGCGCCTCGAATGAGAACGTCACAACGGGAGCGTGGGCGTCGCGACCACTGTAGGCCTTCGCAAAGGTACAGCTCCTTGAACGGGTGGGCCGCCCTGGGAGGTGGAAGTAACCATAGCGAACGCTGTTGAGGTTCAAACGGAGCACGTGCTCGTCATTCTTCCCCTCCACCGGGCGTGTATACAGAAGCTGCTGGGTTTACCCACGGACATCGACTGAAACGGGCCGAAACTACTGTTGATATCGCATTAGGCGGTTTGTGTATTGATGAGGACGGTAGATCTCTGGCATGGAGATGTTGTCGCATGTGAAGATGGCAATACGCTATCGAACCCTTATTTTGCGGACTGCGAAGATGAGGCCCCACCATTACGAGAGCACTGTATAGCGGCTCCGTCATCTTTGAGATGCTGCAATGCACCTACTGAAAAGGACGGCATAGCGGATGAGTCGTTGTCGGTGAATATCAGGTACTATGCTGATTGCCTATCTCGGCTATCATTTGAGTATATATGAGACGGAGCGGTGGTAGTACTATCTCCCTATACTACATCTACACTTCGACCTCTGGAAAAGGTTGGGCTTGACGTCATCTAGAAGCGTTGAGTAGCTTCACCATAACCCTGCCGTCTTCAATGGCAGATCGAAGTTGCCTGTTTGGGTAAGCTCTCATCACAGCCAATGGGAGGGGACCGCATTCTTCAGTCCCCACATTTCAGTCGGGTGAGGTGTCCATGTTGATTTGCACCACGCGACGCAAGTCATTATCCTCCGACTGTCTAAGCCATAGTTGCTTCGTAAACCTCCTGCGTATCCTTCCTCACACGGGATCAACGAGCGCTATCATTTAAAGGATGTGACCTAGGATCGACGATCTGCTTTTCACGATCTGGAACCCTCTACCATCTGCCAGCCTTATGCATGTAATCTTCCACGAGAACATCTCAAGCATTTTAGCAGTAGTAAAAAAGATAAGGTAGCTTTCGTACTGTCGCCATGTAGAAAATAACGGGCTCGTACTTCCGTATAGCGTACCCTAAAGATATTTGTGGTGGGTTAAATACCTGCACATATAAATCGTAACCCACCGAGTACCCTCAGCATAGACTCTACTTATTAGGTGCAACTTATGTTTGTAAGAGAAGTGGAGTCTCACAGGCAGCTGCTAACCTTTTAGCTTACCCGTAGGTGAGACTCCTTACCGGCATGAACCTCAATAGCACCGCGTGACCTCGTGATTTGAGGAAGTACACACGACACATAACCACAAAGATCGCAGCACGAGCTCACATCACCAGCCCAGCTGATCGGACACTACTCGCGGCCCAAACAGGTTGCCTATTCCTATCGTTATCATCCAAATACGTCTCAACAATCTCCACAACTTCAGCTCACACGTTATGGCACATCCTTTCCGGCCCGCATCGCCTGCCGAGAAACTGCCTGCATACTACCAAGACACAGGGGACGACAATATCCGATACTGCTTCCGTGACTTCGACTCAGAGCGTAACTTTGATCTCTTCGACCGACAGACACGAGAACACAAAAGCAGCAACTTCTGTGTCGACTTTGGTGAAGACGATGCCTTTTGCGCTTTCGATCTCGACGCACAGGCGTACGACAAGTTGCTCAACTCGCCACGACCAACCGAGCTACATACGCGATGGATCAATATTTGGATGCCCTACAACCAGAAGGATCTGATCCGGACCTTGGCCTCACATTTCGACTTCACGCCACGACTGCTGGGGATGATGAAGAGCGACCCCGTGCCGCCGCGAAACAGCCCGTCATTGCGCACGAGGAAGAGCTCTTCAACGTTGAGATCGATGTTGTCACACGCATCGAGCAAGTCCAGCTCGATCAAGGAAAAGGCGAAACGGGCAAATGAAGCGGCTATGGACTCAGAGTCGAGTATCGGTATGACTGAAATGATGCAATCCACACAGCTAGAGCTGGTTAGAGATTTGAGTCATTACCAGCTGGTGAACGATGTGTGGCATTGGAGCACCGTGGATCAGGGCCGAAGATGTAAGTCACCGTAGCTTGCTAGTGGATATACAGGCTTCATGTTGAATGGTTGTCTTTGTGTTTGAGAAGTTCTACTGACGGGACGACAGACATGTGCATAGGCTACAACTCGCTACATAACGTTCGCAGCAAGGAAACGGATACCCAACGTCATATCGCGGATAGGAGCCGCGATATACCTCACGGCAAGCGTGTATGGAATTGGCTACTCCTATGTGAGGACAAAACCGTCATCTCAATCTCAGAAGACCCCTTCCCATTCGCCAACGGTCCGCTGAACAAAGACGACCTCAAAGTGCTCTTCACTGTTCGTCGCAATCTAGTCAATGTGTTCAGACAGCTGACCAAGGCACCAACGCCGCTTAGAGATGCGGCGCTCGCTCAACTACCCATCCGCCAACGCCTTGGTAGCAGTGACGAGGAAACAGCTCACCGTCCTACCGACGCCCCAGGCCTACTCTTCTACTATCTTTTCGAAGACTGGGGCGCAACCTTCGATCTCATCTCCCGTCGCGAACACGGCTACGCCGCTGAGCTAGATAGACTCCGGCAAGAAATGCTTCAAAAGGCCAACCTTACACACGTCGACCAGCTCCACCACATCGGCTGCCAACTCGCCGTCCTAAAGCGTGTATACCAAAGCTACGAATTGATCATCGAGCGCGTACTCAAGAAACAAGAGGCCACCTTGGCTTCCCTCAAAAACTCTCATATCCTGCCCGGCAACGCCTCACTCGTCTCCTCGCACCCCGTGATAAACGACTCACCTGGTCCTCTCGTCCCAGAAGCCGATAGCCTCCTCGGTGTAGCACTTAGTTCCGCTGCACGCGTCCGCTTCGAACGGCTCAAAGATCGTATCCTACTCTACGCCCTCAGCGAAATTCAAGAATGTCTCGATCAGAAAGAATCCCTTGTAATGATGAACTTCAACCTCATTGCCCTCAAGGAGTCGTTTAGCGTCGAGCGCCTCACATGGGTAACTCTCCTCCTCGCCAAAATAACCATTTTGTTCACGCCTGTGACACTCATGACGGGGTACTTTAGCATCCAGTTTAAAGAGATGGAATTTGAGATGAGGAGTTACTGGCAGGCTTTTGGTATCATTTTCGGGATCAGTGCCGCGCTGCTTGTGTTGTTTAGTTGGGTTAGTGGAACGTTTGAGGGGAAGATCATTACGAGGAGTTGGACTAGGGCGGTTTATGATGTTGGGAGGAGGTGGGTTGTGCATAGGCGGAAGAGGGGGAAGATGCTTTGAGAGTTGGGTTGGTATGGCATGGTGCTGAGCTGGGTGTTGGGTATCGGATGTTACTCGGCGACTGAGCAGATCTCTAGTGCGTCATGGAACAGCGAAACTGAGAGATTCTCGTGCTCAAGAATTGTGATGCTATGGTTTTGTGAGAACGTGAACGGGCTGTCTTCGGCATCGTGCGCTGACACTCCATAGCATTACGCACTACGCTACAGCGAACACCCAGCCAATTTACAATCTGATGCTGATCGCGCCAAAGCACCTGGGTCTTCCGTACGAGCTAGGGAAAAGCTAGGGCATAGAAGTGGCTTCAAAGTGCGCTTTGACATAACCCATTGTGGCGAAATTTCCAAGAGCCGCAAGATACGAAAAGAGAGAGAATACGAGAAAGCGAGGTGAACACGAAAACGACTCTTGATCAAGTTTCAACATCACATAAATATGGTGGTTTCCAACGCGTTTGAAAGCAGTCACATCAGTCGCTCGTTTGCTTCTTTCGCCGCTCAATGTTCACCATGTTGAGATACTTCACCCTCGCAGCTCCAGCTCTCGCAAGCGCAGCAGCGACTCCACCATTTTGTCGTTCAACACCTTCAGATACATCATGGCCTACAGCATCCGAATGGTCATCTCTCAACGACACAATCGGTGGGTCGTTGATACGTACCGTACCTGTTGCATCGTCCTGCTGGCCCGACAGCAACACCACCTTCACCTCCCCATCCTCACTATCCTGTCAAGAAGTCAACGACAAGTGGTCGAATGGAACCTGGCATTCCCAACAGCCCGAGTCGATTGATTACCAGCTGTATGCGAATAACTCTTGTCTGCCAGACGAGGTGAGCAGTTATTCGAAACAGCAGGGATGCAAAATAGGTGCTTTGCCGCAGTACATTGTCAATACGACTCAAGAGGCCGATGTGGCCGTTGCGATGAAGTGGGCTGCTGATCGCAATATTCGGATTGTTGTCAAGGGGACGGGTCATGACCTTAATGGGAGGTAAGTTGAAATTGCACTTGGACATTCGCGTATAGGAAGCTAACAACACTTGTGCAGATCGAGCGGTGCTTTCTCACTGTCTATCTGGACCCGCAGTTTCCGCAATCTAACTCGTGATACCGCCTGGAAGGTTGCCAATAGCTCTTCACCAGCGGAAGACGTCTTCATCGTCGGCAGCGGTCAGCAATGGGGTAATGTCCTCAAGTTTGCTACAAACCAAGGTCGAGTCGTAACAACAGGCCAGGACCCTAGTGTCGGTCTAGGCGGTTACATTCAAGGCGGTGGCCATGGTCCCCTAGCTTCAACCTACGGTCTTGCATCAGCCCAGGTCCGTCAAATGACCGTCGTAACGACAACCGGACGCGTCCTCATCGCCAACGAAGTCCAGAACCAAGACCTTTTCTGGGCACTCCGTGGCGGCGGTGCAGGACAATATGGCGTTGTAACCGAGTACGTGATCAAGCATCATCCGGCTCCGAGTAATGTCGTCATGGCAAGTGTCCAGATAAAACCAAAAGGAAGCACAAATGCCAGTATGGAAGCATCTTGGTCAGCAGTAGCCAGTTGGCTCAGTGCCTTACCCGACTTGATGGACGCCGGACTCGCAGGTGCCGCAACCGTAGCAGTGGGAAGTACCGCACCGAAATTCTTCCCAGACATCGAAGTCTCAAACGGTCCATTCACCGGCATCGGTCTCAACCAAGTTTTCTGGGCATTCAACACCACGCCCGCTGCCGTGGAAGCTCTCGTCCAGCCCATCTTAACAAGACTCATCGACTCGAATACCAACAACACCAGCACAAACACCTCCCTAATATCAACCTCGATGACAACATCAACACACGCCAACTACACATCTTTCTTCAGCGTCATATCCGGCGACAACGTCGCAGGCGGCGAGTCTCTAACATCATCCCGCCTCCTCGGCCGCGCCGAGCTCATTTCCACACCCCACCAACGTGTCGTCTCCTACCTGAAAACCGCAATGGCAAGCCAAAACACGACCGACCCTGGAAACTACGCCACAATCGGCCTCTCGGGCGGACCCGGTGTACACTCCACTCCCACTCAACACTGGGGCGCCCTCCACCCAGGCTGGCGACACGCATACCTGCATTTCATTGCCACGGGCGCCACTGTCAATTCAAAACTTGCTGGTTCTGCAAAAAAGGCACTGGAAGTAGGAGCAGAGTGGCACAAGGCCGTTAAAGAGCCCATGTGGGAGGAATGGGCTCCAGGGTCGGGTGCGTATATGAACGAGGCTAATCCTTTTGTTGCCGGATTCCAGAAGGTGTTTTATGGCGGGGGTGCTAATTACGCGGCGTTGAGGGCGGTCAAGAGGAAGTATGATCCTAGCGAGAGTTTGTTTGTGCTTGCTGGTGTGGAGACGGAGAAGTGGGAGTATGATCTTGACAGTGGGAAGCTGTGTAGATTCTAGAGAAGGAGGACGGAATAGTGGGAGGTTGGGGTTTTCGTGGATTTGCTAGATCGAGTGCATTTTAGAAGCTACGTTAATAGACTGTATTTTACCTTGGTTCTCTGTCGGTCAGCGGTGCAAGAGTATGCTCATACTGGATTGCTGATTGCATCTGGTGGTGGACGTGGTATGTATTATCCGGTTGATGAAAGAGAGTGGGTCGCAGCTAGTTGGCTAGCTTTACTGTGAGCCATGAAGGTAGACGGCGACAGCGGCCTGAAATAGGAGTCAGCTATTGCTAAGAGAATCAAAGTTAGTTGCAGAGAACACCATGTCTATGATAAAAATAACAAGACCATTTATGAAGTGTGACTGAAGTAAGGGGTTCATTTGGGTACTGCAAGATAAGCTCATCATGCTTTTATCCTACTTCCCTCCCTGCGCTCTCGTCCCAATATGAGCCACGGTGCTCTGGCGCCTAGCGTCTCCTTGTAGCCAGCAAGGAAGAAGTCTCATATGTCAAGATTGAAGTTCCTATGCATCTCATTTACTGGTTGACCTTCTTCGCCTCCTCCTGCAACTCCTTGATCTGCTGCTTGGTATCCTTGCCGGTCTCGGAACGATCGGCTTTGAGCTGTACTCCCCATTAGCCAATGCCCTCACAACTCATTGCAGCTTCTATCCTAGGGCAGAGAATTCAACTTACAGCGCTCTCACTGTCACTGGCAAGCTGCTCTTCCCAGTGTCCCTTTCCATCCTTCTGCTTGTTCAGCTGCTCCTGCTTCTTCTTCTCGACCTCCTCGGCACGGTTCTCGGAGTCTGCTCAATTGTGTTAGCTCCAATTCTCTTTCTTTCTGTATGTAGAAGTGGCACGCGTTCAGCTTCATGGTGCTGGATGTTGCGCCGAGGTTGACGGTGCGGACGTACGGAGAGTTGACTCCTTGCCAGCGGTGCGAGCTATTGACTGGGAGAAAGCCGCGCGCTGAACAAAGGCAAAGGGAGCGCGACGGGTCGCGAAGGCACGCATAGCGGACATGGCTGGTTTGGTAGGAGGTGTTTATGTGGAGGTGGGTGTTCGGTGTTTGCGGGGTTTCAGCGGTATGGCTCGAAGCTTGTAGCTGTAGGTATATTTCGTTGGTTGCGTGGAACTCAACAACAAGAAGCCAATTGAATTGATGATGTATTTCAAAAGTATAGACAAAGCTTGCAAACTGGGCAGATTGAACGATTTCAGAAGGAAGGGTTGGTTTGCTGGAGAAAACACACGTTCCTCGGCTAGTGGACGTGACTAGCTTCAACATCCGACGTCATACTTCCCCCGGCCGGCAATCACCATTACGACAATTGGCCGATTCCTGTCAACCACTCGACGGAGCCTCATTAGTCATGCACGTGCGACAACTAGAGGAGGCCTAGATTTTCAATATGCACTCTCCACAGCCCGCCCCCTCAACTCCAGCATACAGTACCAGTAGCCATCTAAAGTTTGGCGTCATCTGCTCTCATGCCACCTAGTTCGAAAACATCAGCCACATACCAGTGCCATGTTTCGGCCATAGCTTCACAGTCCCAATACCTGCTTGCCTTTCTTGTACCACTCGTATAACAAAGCGATGATGGAAATGCACAGACCAAAATCCGAAAATCCAATGGCTGTGTTTATTGCGCCTCGGTACCCCAATTTCACGTCGTCGGCGCCGCCGTGACTGACGTTGACTTCGACTGTGCCAGCCAACCCCAGATGTAGTGAGATGCTGTAGTTGATCACAGAGTTGATGAGACTGGCGGCTATTCCTTGCTGGTCGGCGGGAAGCGCATGCTGCCGAGGAACTCATCTTCATGCCTCATGGCATAGCAAGCATAGTGATGATCAGCTGACCCCATTGGATCTGGTCCGCCCGCCAAAAAGCAATGAGAAAGTTGCTTACGAGAAACGTCGCTATGGCCGGTCTCGTGATGATCGAGGGCCCTGGTGCATGAGTAGGCCAGTAGATATGAAATCCAAAGCATCAGAGATGGCGCAGGGTAATAGACATGGCACGGGCAGCAATGGAAGCTCATCGTGAATTTCCAGGACAAACTACTATGTGTTGAAAGACCAGATACCCAAGCTGGTCCAGTCGCCAAACAAAGCCAGGAACATGAGTACGTATACAAAGACCAGCCGTGTACCAACCCGCACGCGTGTGAAGATGATGGGCACCTAGATGTACCAGGCCGCAGACCTAGAGACAAGAGCTCACGACATGTACCACTCGAAACCAATGATGAGGAGACGCTTATAACCATAGGAATCTCCCAGTATGAAGGTACTGACGGCGAGACCGAAGCCTGCGATGAGCCATGGTAATTCGAGTTGACTCATGATGTTAAAATTATCGCTGACGACGCGAATGATGGATAGGATTAGCCGGTATTGGTTTCTGGATCATAACTAGGATATAGGAGAGTTGAAGTGGTGATACTCAATTTTGCTAGCACAGAGACGGGGTGTATGGGTGTAAAGCTGTGATTTTGACGAATATGATCTGTTGGAAGAGTGACATGTTCTGTACGCTAACAAAAGAGTTAAGCTACCTCTAATGAAGCACTGTCTGGAAGAGCGATGATTGTAGTGTCAATAAGCATAGTTGAGCGTTTGGAACGATCCAGGCTGGATGTTGGCTGTTGTGTTGAGTAGTTGTGGTGACGTGGGCATAGTACATATGATAAAGAAAAACGAGTTGAATATTGAGAAATGACAGATGGAGAGGGTTTTACAGCATGTTCTTCTACAACAAGTAACTAGATATAAAATAAAATACGGGATGTATCTTCTAACAGGGTAACAGTCGCAATATACCAAGTACATCTTAGCACTCAAAGTACCAAGAGCAGAACCAAATTCATTCGCTTAACGTAGTCAACGTCGTGTGTACGCCATGCTATATACGTCAAAAATCAGATCGATAAGGGCATAAGATCCATGACAATTTTCGACAACCAATACGCTTATTCTCTCACTCGATACTTACACCCCGATCCACCAAACCCAATCCGTATGCTAATACCAGCTTCCAAAACGTCTATTCTATGAATCCACCACATCAGCTTCTTAGTCCTTTTTACTACACTCCCATTCGCCCTCTTCCATCTCTTCTACCACACAACCATCCAGTACTTCACTGCCCAACCCACCTCTCCGCCGCCGCCAACCTCACGAAGAAGACAAAAAGAAAGCAAACACAGTCAGCCCACGTACGCTCACTCGATCCAGTCTTAGCAATAGCTCAGAAAACATAAACCACCCCAAGATGAGTACTACACTAACATTAGCATCCACCCACCGAGACTAGAAATGCAATCCATGCACTGCCTCCCTCGTGACATACTTTTTAGGGGATCAAGCTAACTTTATCGCAACTGGACCTAACCACACACATACACGCACGCACTAAGTCTATCAAGCTACATTCGAACCAATCACTCAGGCCACCAAAGAACAGGCCACAAGTCGGCACAGCTTCCCCCTGGGACTAGCCTGCATTCGTGCCCCGGGTCGTCCGTCCGTATGGGGTAGAGTGAGAAGGGGGAAGGAGTACCTGGCATGGCACGACCGAGCTGGGGGGGTTTGCCAAGTTAGTTTCGTTTGGTCCCTGGAAAGCTGAACAGTGATGGTGGCGTGGCGTGGCATGGCATGGCGTGCGGGGTCAGATGAGCTTTCTTTACCCCAGCTACGGTAGCGCGCAGTTGCAAAGGCAAGTCGAATTCACACAGCAAGTCAAGCACAAAACCGAGTGCGAAGATTTGGAGAGAAAACAATGAAGTAAGTTGCGTATATATTCCATTCCTAGGGATATTCACTGCCCCCGATGATCCCTACAAAGGGACTCGAGGCGTGTAGATATAAGAGGGAGAGAGTTCTCGCATGGAGAGCGATAAAACAAGAAAGAACATCCAAGAAGAAGATTCGCAAAACCACACACCACTACTCCCAGGAGTGTCGTCGTATAAATCCTCGTACAATTGGAAACCAAACCAAACCAAAAACACAATAAACAGAAAAAAGATATGAGATGAGAAGAGACACCAGCGCCCATGATTGCGTAGAATCATCCCAGCGTCGTCGTACAAACGACAATGGCGAAACGAACCCAAGACAACAAACACCCCGATTTGCTGTAACCCAACACAGCATGTACGCTTTAGACACCGTCGCTTTCGCAAGTATAGGCGCCCAAACAAATGGTATATACCGACACCGCTTGAAACCCGAGAGAGAACCAACCAGCGACATAGGAAATCTACCTTATTTTTTCAAGGTGTTTGAAAAAAGGATGATAAGATAGTAATAGCCAGAAATGCGAGACAGACCCAGAAAACACCGTTGTATGTGCAAACCGCCGTTAATGCGTTAGCGCTAGCGCTTGAAAAGCATGAGAACCAAAGCGCTTCTATCCGGAAATGATGTGTGTTTTTTGTTCACTGACAATTGCAACGCCGTCGCCCAGTTCAAGTGGTATACCCAAGATGTCGAAGAAGATATCGTAGATTTATACAGGTGGGGGAGAGCCGATAGTATGGACGTTATGATGCTCCGCGTGGATATCGATGAAGAAGAGGATTAGAGATCCAGGTAGCCCACTAGCCTAGCAACACAGACGCCGCAATGTTGACCGAATCAAAGACGCTTGGTAACTCGTGCCTGCAAGACTTTACCAGCGTCGCGACATGAACTGTTGCTGCATCTGTCGGTTGGGGGAGACAGAGGGAGGTGGGCTGGCAACAGCTCGTGTCGAGGGGTCAACAATGGGAATGGCATTGCGTGTGCGCTGGGCTAGTGGCTGGTGTAGCTTGGTTTGCGAGTTGTTCTGTTGGAAGCCAACAGGGGTGTACGGGTTGGGAGCCGAGGACAGGACAAAGGAGGGAGTTGGCTGCAGCTGGTGCTGGAGAGGCGACTGCTCGGGCGAACCGCTCGATAGTGAGGAGCGGTCTGAGCCGGAAGAGTGGATGGATTGCAACTGTTCATCGAGTGTCAGCGCCTGCTTGGGCGGATTCGATGACATGGACGGGTGGCAAATTGTGTCGACTTACATCATCCTCAGTGAGCAGGTGGAAGGGGCAGAACATCTCATCATCCTCGATGTCAAATGACCTGGCGGCCTCGAAGTCGCGCTTGTATGCGATGAGGGTAGGGGGCTCGACGTTGAATTCCTTGGGAGTGCGGACTTGGCGGAACTGCTTGTTGTGCTGCTGAGCCGAGATCCGGGGCGCCCTCCGCGATCGGCCGCCGTGATGGTTGTGCGAGTGAGCGTTGAGATGTTGGGGGTGGTGCTGCTGGGCACCGTAGTTGAAGAACTGCGACATGGCTGCGGGTTGTGGTGGTGTTGTATGGGGCGATTGTTGGGTGAGGAGGGGTCGTGTTGTAATCCGAGGAGCTCGACCACAACAAAGGCGAAACAAAGGGGTATAGGTCGGAATATAGCGGTTGTCGAGGATGCAGGGTGGATGCAAAGGTGAGTAGTCGAGGTGCGAGTGCGTAGAGTATTAACTAATGGTATTGCGATGCGAGGCTGAGAAGATGTGGTTGAGAACGCTGGTGCAGAAGTGCGAGGAACAAGAGGAGCGAAAGGGCTGGAGAAGAACAGGCTGGGTTGGAGAGTGTGTGGTGGCACGGGCCCATGGACCCACTTTATCGACACTGCGCCATTGGTCGGCTAGATCCCAAAAATCGCCACCACGCGCCCCCTTGTTCTCGATATGGTCTAGTCCAACATGGTAGCGTGCGCTAGAGCCCCTTCACGGTTCTGCTCTGCTGCATGGTGAAAGGCGCCGCCAGCGTGCGCAGACGGATCGCCTCCCGTGGGCATCGACATCCATCCATCGAGTATCAAGCAAGCCTGGTTCAATAGTCGGCCATGCTCATGGCGCACACTTAGTTCCCCTGATCGATGCCAATTTGATGGAGATGCGCGCGCAAAAAAGCAAACCCCAGGCGGCGGCGCATCGTCAAACAGCCCTTATGCGACACACGACGCTAACAGCTGCCAGCCCAGCGAGGCTGTGAGCTGGCTGGCAAGTGACCACCCACAGTGTCTGCGCCCTGACCGCTTCTTCCGCACCTCTACCGTCGCCAGGGGAATGCATGCTGGTTACCCGACCAGGTCATGTCCAGTTGTCCCAGTCGTCGGCAACGGCGGCCGCATCGCAAGTGGGAGTCCCGAAGCCCTCCTGGAGTGAGGCCTCGAGGGCTGCGCTTTGGAACGCTAACGCAGCTGTGCCTGCGACGGCCAGCAGCAGCTTGACACCGTGGTTGAGAGCCTGCCAGGATTCGCTCGTGGCGGCCGAGTCCCTGCCGACGGCGTCCGCGAATCGCTACCGTTCAGAGGCACTGCCCATGTTCTGGAATGCCACCAGCAGTGCGCACCCGGCTGCCCATGGGAAACTGTTGAGCACATGCTGCGAGACTACCACAACCACCATATGAGCTGCGCCATGCCATGTGAACACCCCCCTCTGGTCCACGCCGTTGCGCCTCCGATAGCCAACGTCTAAACGCCGACTGCCATGCGAGACGTCTTCCACCCGTCAGCGTTTCCGAGCATGCCCGGACCTCATCCTGTGTGACGTCCCGGCTGCTGGGATATGATACCATGGCCAATGAGACGAAGCCACCAAGTGAGACCAAAATAGCGCTTCTGCACTCGTTCTCCCCGGCCCGGACGCTCGACGGCCTGTCCAGTGATCGACAATCCTTAGCAGGTTCTGTCGTCACTCCATCTTCGTGTCATGTCGTGTTGTTGTGGTGCTCAATGACGGTCATCGCGAGCCTCTTCAGCCGACCACGATCATTCTCAAGTGCCGTGATGTCCACGCCCTCGCAAACATTCCTGCGACGGGCCAAGCTTTATCGCATGAAGAATCACCTTCAGCTCGAAACACGCTCATTTGATCGTCCCTCCCCCACCCCACCCCGTGGGATGAGCAAGTGGACGCGAGCCGAATTATAATATATTTCAAAGCAGGCCAAGTGCGGTACTGATGCACAGTTCGCAATGATGTTGTAGGGCTGCTTACTGCTTTAGAGTGCTGACCACCACGATAAGCACGCCGACAGCGGGGCCGGCAGTTTGTGGTGGCACAGTGGACGTTTGTTGGGGAACCTTGGAAACCTCATGCTGCGACTTCGTGGCGCATGCTTTCGTGATGGCTGAACAATGCCTGTCCCTGATGCTGTTTCGTCTAGTGCGAAGTCATCAGAAACACGACGCTGTCAAGTGTTTAACGTACTAAGAAGTTCGTTTTTTATATGTTGTACCCATCCTTGAAAACGTACCCTAAAGGTATACACTATTAGTTTTATTATAATTATTATTAAAGTTGTAATGTAGAAATCTACGTTTACCTTTAAAATACATTTTGCCTAGGTAGTGATCTAGTAGTACAACTTAAAAAGTACAAACTCCGTCATACGATACATTGCTATGAGATGGTACCGCCGAGCAGCCGACATTCGAATCCCATTCAGTATCCTCAGACAAACGTAAGGGTTCGGCTATAGACAGAATATTACTTATCCAGACCTCTCGCCTTGACAAATTTTGCAATCTGGTCTTTGCACGTCTTGTCGGTATACGTCTCCCAGACCTCATACAGCGATATAAGCTCCTGCGTGCACTCAACAACAGCCTCGATATCAACGCTACTCTCAGCAAGCCAGTCGACCAGTTTTTGTATTCTTGCCTGCATTCCCTGTCCACCACGCGCATTGCCCAGCGTTTGGAGCGCGTTGTTCATTCCGGCTGCATTGACTTGAGAGCCAATGGGTTTGAGAACGACTGCCAGAAACATGGCCGTAATGGCAATGACATGCGGTGCGTGAAGAAGCGGGAGGTCTGTAAGGTAGTGATCGTTGATGATCGACCATGCCAGGGCGTTCTCTTCCTGGGTCAGCTGGAATTGGGTCTGGAGTTCAGCGAGGCTGCGGTATGGATGATGGAGGATTAGTTGCGAGTTCATCTCAGAGATGAGTGTAAATTCGCACTCGCCAATCTTCGAGACGTCGTTGAACGATGTGTCTGTGGGTCTGTTAGATTCGTATTGTATGTCTGCATTCAATGACTTACCCCAGCAGTGACGTGCCTCTGCTAATACCATTCTGATGTGCTGTGGACACTCCTCCATCTTGCACGCTAGGTACAGCGCTGTTGCCAGCACGAGCGCTGGGTTCGTCCTTCGAATCTCGACCTTGGCATAGAACCGCCGCACGTACACTTGGGCGGTGGCCAGAGCTTGCTGTCGGATCCCTAGTGGTCTTGCCATCTTCGAGAGTTCTACCGCATGTCAGCCTGGATCTGATACAACACGTCACGTTACGTACGGTGGGAGAAGTAGATGCTAAGATGCCTCCGATCTGGCAGAGGGTATAGGTTGACCAGATTTCTTTCTGCATCTTCCATTCTCTTTCGTTCCAGTGCTAGCTCTTGCTTTGTAAAAGTCCAAAACTTCCGTTGGGTTGACTCCCAGTAGCTAGAAGACATGATGGGCCAAGTAGACTGACGACTGCGATACACCGGGATGTGGTAGGAAGCTAGAGTCAGTGAATCTTTGGAGCGACGGGTTTACTACGTTTTCTGCTCTTTAAATGATCTAATGGCCTTGTAGGATGTTGCCTTGGTGCCGAATGCGGTTTCAGCAGGCTGGAACTCCGATATCGTTTGACAAAGCAAGACGCCAGTGGACCAGTAAAGGCCGGGTACACGGCGACAAGGAAAATGTTCTTCAATGCATTATCGGCCGATATCTAGTCGTAAGATGAATGCACAGGACGTTGAAGCGTAGAAAGAGAGATGGGTGTTCAGGCTTAGTGTCCAATCAGGTGCGAGCGAATGTTAGGCTCCTGTCGTGGCTTCTGTCGGTGTTGCGGCATGTGAAGCTAGCCTCTTTCAGCCACCCTCTCCAAGCTTTGAGACTGACCTCATACCCCACGTCGAAGCCTACACGAGCCTGTGTCCTTCACAGTTAGCCATTCCTCTCGCAATTCACCTCGCCCGGTGTCGATAGTCGCCCTCCCGTGTGTGTCGCGACCCTCAGCCATGATAGACCGGAGATAGCAGGACGAAAATGGACACAAAGAGCGCAAGCGTTGCCGACGCCAGGGTGGACGAACTATGGTCAACTCTCGATACGCGCAAACAGGGCCACCTTGACCTCGCAGGCCTCAAGAAGGGACTGCGAAAGCTGGATCATCGTAAGGGAGGACATTGCGCGCAAAGTTCAGGTCGCTGACAATACGCCGTAGCCTTGAAAAATGCGGATCAGCTCCTGGACGAGGTTATGCACGCTGTAGATACCGATGGGAATGGGAGAATCACAGAACAGGGTGAGCTCCCTTTTTTGGACAAAACGGATTCTTCACTGACACGCTACCTTCCAGAATTCCGCAAATTCGTATACGAGACCGAAAAGGAGCTTCACCACCTATTCCAGACCATCGACTACAATCGCGACGGCAAAATTTCCAAAGATGAGCTGCGCTCAGCCTTGCGGACTGCCGGCCTCACTGTCCCTAACAGTAATCTCGACAAATTCTTTTCGGAAGTTGATACCAATAATGATGGAACCATCAGTTTTGAAGAATGGCGGTACGTACTCAGTCAATTTGGCCATCACAAGTCGATTTGTGCGTCAGAGTTTCGACTCTGGCATCATATCGTGGAAGGGCGAGCAGCTTGAGATTACATGGTTGTTGGATCTCCGTTTGGGCCATACCCATGAAACTGTCTCGAGATGTGCACAGGCATCGCGATGAACTTTCATGGTCTCATACTGACTGATGAAAGGGACTTTCTTCTATTCATTCCGGTCAGCGCACCATCCCTCCACGCCGTAATGTCCTATTTTTCCGCCACCATGAAGGTCAACCAAGAAGGCGACGTTCTTATCAGTGACGACACAGTCCAAGGCCTAGGTACTACACAGCGTTTTCTTCGTTTTTTCTTTGGTTCCCTTTTCATTGTAGCGCACACACCGCCCTACAATCCCCTTGCACTAGAACATAGCGCACCGCTCGAAACGGCTTCACCTACTTCGACACTTGCCTACCAAGGTGCCCTCCCGCCACGGTCTGAAGCCGAGAAGAGCAGCGCTTCTATTGAAGAGATACCGGCAAAAATTATAGAGAGCTTAGGAACCATGCTGATTGCTTGTGTTCCCAATCCAGGCTATTTCGTGGCGGGAGGCGTTGCAGGCATTGTTTCTCGCACCTCGACTGCTCCGCTCGATCGTTTGAAAGTCTACCTCATCGCTCAGACTAGTGTGGCCGAGGAAGCCGTCGTCGCCGCTAAGCATGGCAACATCGTCAAGGCTGCTATGAACGCTTGGAGGCCACTTGCGACCGCCACCAAAGAGCTATGGCAGGCTGGTGGTATGCGCAGTTTGTATGCTGGTGAGTCTCTGTTAGTGTTTCTCGTTGGCTGCCGCTGACAATCGGATAGGTAACGGCTTGAACGTCGTCAAAGTTATGCCAGAATCGGCCATCAAATTCGGCTCTTACGAGGCAAGTATTGTCAAGTAAACCAAACGCTTCCCCTAACTCGCGCAGGCTGCGAAACGCGTCTTTGCTAAGATAGAAGGGCACAATGACCCCGCCATAATACATTCATGGTCTAAATTCGTTTCCGGAGGTCTAGCAGGTAAAATATGCAAGATTGTCGTCAAGTCCATTACTCATTGTCTTAGGAATGGTCTCACAATTCGCCGTCTACCCCATCGATACCCTCAAGTTGTGAGTATAGTCAAGCTCTTTGTCTAAACCAAGCTAACCCGCTCCAGTCGCATGCAATGCGAGACGGTCTCCGGTGGCTTACACGGCAACCGTCTAATCTGGGCCACAGCAAAAAAGATGTGGAACTCCGGCGGAGTCGTCGCATACTACCGCGGTCTACCCATGGGCATCGTCGGCATATTCCCCTACGCAGCCCTCGATCTGGGCACTTTTGAGTACCTCAAACGCTACGTCGCCCGCCGCAACGCGAAACGACTTGGGTGCCATGAGCAGGATGCCGAACCAGGCGGCTTCATGACAGCAGCTATTGGCGGGTTTTCGGGCGCATTCGGAGCAAGTGCTGTCTACCCGTTGAATTTGTTGCGAACTCGATTACAGAGCCAGGGAACTGTTTTGCATCCGAGGACGTATACGGGTATTATGGATGTTACGAGACAGACTATTGCTGGGGAGGGGGTGAGAGGCCTGTTCAAGGGTCTTACGCCGAACTTGCTCAAGGTTGTGCCGGCTGTGTCGATCACATACGTCGTTTACGACAAGTCGAAAAAGGCACTCGACCTGCCGTGAGGGTAGGCAGAGTCTACATCACCAGGTTCTCGCCACGGTGGAAAGACGGGATTCACCATCTACCTACAATGCCGAACCCATTTGGTCAAACCTGGACCCTTGACTCCTCGACACCAAATTACAAGACTATCGGGCGGTTCTCTTCCCACTTTGCATATCCAAATACAGCGATACCCTTCAAGCTCCAAAACTTTCCTATCCTTCTTCTTTTGCATCATGCGTGGCGTTTGGGCGTCAGCGATTGCGTATCACCTGGCTTGGTGTACCTGACAGTACGGTGGTCCGGAATCGAGAGAGAGAGAGAGAGAGAGCCTATGATGTTGTGGCTATGTGTCGGCGCAGTATATGTGTGGTGTAGCTGTAGTAGCAATGATATCAAAAGAAGACGATAAACCGTTTTGTTGTAGAGCAATGTCAAAACCAACGACACGAGTGCGTTCGCCTGTCCTATCTCAAGAAAAAAAGCCAGATCTAATTCCCTCCCCGCCTCAAAATAACGCCCGTTTGTCTAGATCCATGGTATAACGCCCTCACCCTTGGCAACCTCCATTTCTGAACCATGTGATGCCGCCACTACTTTGTAATAACAATCAACAAGACCAAAATAATAATCAACACGACAATAACAGTCAAGCTCCAATTCTCCCTCGCTTTCCTCGAAAACCTATCTAGCCGGCCCCTCGCCCTCACAAACTGCGCTGCGTGTCTATCAACACCTTCTTCCACATCATCCAGCAACATGACTTGCCCGTCGAGCTCATCGCCAATCTGCATGGAGAGCTCGCGTTGGCGGCCGATACTCGAACTGAGCTGGTCAAGCTGGTCGTCTTGGTCGCGGATCACACGGTCGTGGTAGGCGTGGATTTGCTGGTTGTCGAGTGTGGAAACGTCGGGTGTGGAAGGGGAGGGGTCGTCGCGGTAGGGGAAGAGGGATGAGCGGTTGGGATCATCGTCTTCTGTGTCGTCGTTGTCGCTGAAGCGGACGGATTTGGAGGTTTGGCGGGTGGTGGTGGTGGTGGTAGATTTCTTCTTTTGGGCGGCGGCGAAGTCAGCGGTTAAGGAGGGGTCGTTGGGGGATGTTAGGGTTGGTGAGGTAGTGGTGGTAGTGGTGTTGGGTGTGAATTGCGAGGTTAGTTCTGAGAGCTGGGTGCGTAGGCGGGGAAGTTGTGATGTTATTGATCTGCAATCATACATTAGTTCAGAGCTTATTATTTATAGAAGGTTATAGGTGCTGGATTACTCGTCCGAGGTGTCTTGCACTTGCGACTCCAGCGACTCGATGCCGGAGCGCAATTGCTCTAGCGACCGCGAGATCTGGCTATCTTGGCTGTTGGAAGGGAGGTTGAGGGAGAGGGCGCGTTGGCGCTCGAGTAGTGAGAGTTTGATGTGGTCGGCTAGGAGGAAGAGCTGTGGGGGGTTGGTCGCCATGATGGCTGTGGTGGGTGAAGGTTGGATCTCAGGGCGGAGGTGTGGGTATGGGGATGGGATGGAACGGCAGGCGCAAACGAGGCGAGTAGGGAAGGCACGAGTAGACGGAGTATACGCGATGAATAAATTAAACGCGATTATGTACAAGGGCAATGCAGAACAGATACAAAGGACGTTGCAGCTACAAGCTCGCGCTCGGTGGAGATGGCAAGGCTGCTGCACTCGAGGAGCGGACCGCTGACGACAGGTCCACTCTGCCGTGGCTGGGGTATCATGCACAGCTGCACGGCCGTGTCTCGCTCTTGCGCAACCACGCAGCACGAAGACAAAAAGCTCGCATGCCCCCTTCCACTTCGGGACTATGTGCAGACCTGATCGCCCGATACAATCTTTGCTTCTGGCGCTCTGCAGCCTGTGAATGACTGGCAGGGCGACCATCCTCTCAACACCCCGCCCAAATCACTTGGATCGACACACCAAGAGGAGACCCGAGACAGCGCATCTCACCGCTGACTGCTCGACGGCGCACAAGGAGCTTGCTGCCCCGACTAGAGTGAATGCGACTCTCTTTTGATAAGAGGCTACCAGTCACGCCAACTCCCTCCAAGCGATTCCTCGACAGCCATGTCGTCTCCAAGTCCCATCCCACCTCCGAACGACCGACGCTCTTCACGCTCTTCCAGCAACGCCAACTGGGCAGGCTGGCCCGAGGAACATGACGATAGAATGATGGTCGGTGGCCCTCCCAGCAGCCCCTCGCCCCTGGCTGTCCGCGTGTCAAACTCACCGTCAACGAAGCGTCGTCACAGTCGAATCGTCAAAGTATCTCCCGAGTTCCAGAACCTCGAATACATCTCCACGCCCGATAGCAACCTCGTCTGCCTCATCTGCCACGCGCCCTTCGACAAGCCTGTCCAGCTTTCCTGCGAGCACTACTTTTGCCGCGAGTGTCTGGATCATGCGTGGGCGCCGCAGCCCAATGGCCGGCGGACATGTCCTACCTGTCGGCATGCTGTTGAAACCGACCAGGACATTCGCCCTGTGCCTAGGATTATCGAGACGATGCTGGACGAGCTTGTGGTAAAGTGTCCGAACACCAAAGCAGGCTGCAACTGGGTCGCCCAACGCGTCAACGTCCATGACCATGTCATGCTGTACTGCGAGTACACGCCAGTTGAGTGCTCTGCGACAGACTGTCGCTTGCAGATATCCCAGAAGGACTTCCACAAGGGCTGCTTGCATTACACCGTTAGCTGTGAGGATTGTCAAACTTCCCTCCTAAAGAAGGACCTTGAAGAGCACCAGCGAAGCCTTTGCGACAATCGCTTGACGACCTGCTCGCTATGTTCGACTGAAATTCTCCGTCTAGACCTCAAGCCCCACATCAACAACGACTGCCCTAAGCATGTCATACCATGCCAGGGTACAATCGTAGGATGCAAGTTCATTGCCGAGCGAGCCGAAGTCGTACTTCACGAAACAAGCTGTGCAATGGCAACCATGGCGCCCCACTTCCGCGAGCAGCAAGCCCGCATCGAGCGAAACGAAGCGCGAATGGAGCCCCTGACAAGGAAAGTCGGCATACTAGAAGACGGTCTCACAAACATCACAAACTACCTATATCCAGCAAACGAAAACGACGCCTCTTTCCCCGTTACCGATCCCCTGGATCCCAACGATGTCACCGACCCGCAAGCTCCTACACCAGACTTCCGTTTACCACCCGCTTCATTCCCACCAGTCCCACCTGGTGGTGGTAATGATAGCAACAACCCCGCCCAGCCACCGTTCGATTCCCAGGTTCACCACCTCCTCACACTACATGACTCTCTCCGCGAAGAAGTGACTCGCATCTCCAATGCCCTCACTGACCTCGACGGCCGCACCAACATGATGATCATTAATGAGAGTCAGCGATCCAAAGACGAAATGCTGCATGTTAATGCTGCTATTAGCAATATGCGCATGCATCTGCAATGGGTGGTTAGTGCGACACTTCAGCAACGGTCAAATGCCGCCGGTGCTGGGGGTTCCAGAACACCGGGCAGCACAACGGCCAATGCCAGTGCTAGTAACGCTACACGAGGAGGAGGAGGGGGTGGTGCGAGGCCGGGAGTGGGTGCGGGGGTGGTAGGGTTAGGAGGGTTTCGGAGGTTGAGTGATTCGAATAGGCAGGATACTAAGCTGTAGGGGAAGTGCGGGTTTTGGTGCCGAGTTGGTGAAGTGGGATGGACAGGACGATCGCAGGTTCGATCTATGATGGATATGTTTTTACGAAAAAATGGGTTCCGGGCGTTTGACTGCTTGGGTTCAGGATGGTGGTGGTAAGGGAAGTCCGAACATCTTTTTTTTCGAGACGGAGTCCGAAATTGGTGTGGGATTACGTTGATATACCCCTTCTTTTGTCTTCATGTGCTGCGGCACGGAAAGCTTTGTGCATTGTAGGCAATCAGTACATGGGAAGAGCGGAGAATGCAGAACAAAATACATATACTAAACGATACAACATAAACTTATCATACATATTCATTGCCATCATTTGTGAGAAGCCATCCTAGGACGTGAGAAGGCGTCGCTGCTGTTGGAGGATCATCGGTGACGTAATGCATATGTTTTATCAGGAACCTTGTAGATCTACGAGCCTCAAAATAATCCTGGCCGCCAAACTACCATCTCATTCGTGACCTGGACAACATCTAGGTGTGACTCTCTCGCCAATGTCTGGAAACACTAGTTCCGACATTTTAATTGTGAGTTTCCACCTGTTCCACCAACTCAGTTTTGGCTTGCTTGCGCGTCTGGCGTCTGCGTAAACATGTGCACACGTTCCATCTGCAAAAGAAGCAAGGACGAAAAGATAAGAGCAAGGGAGAAATGTTGAGAACCTGAGAAAGAAGAAGGAATCCAGGAACAATTACTAATAATTACAAAAGGCAGGTGCAATAGCAGCTTTCACAGTGGACCTCCTCGTCTACCCGCTTGACACAATAAAAACACGCATCCAAAGCCCACAATATGCAAAGCTTTATACGGATACCCGGACGGGCAAGATCGATCCCAAGTTATTCCGCGGTGTATATCAGGGCATTGGGAGTGTGATTATTGCTACGTTGCCTAGTTGTGAGTACTATTCCTTCGTTTCCTTCTAGGCTTCTGGGTTTGGATGAAATCGGTCATTTAGGTCGAGTCTGAGACGGCGGATAATTGGAATAATTGGTGGTGCTATGGTGTCCTGAAGCAAGAGTAAGGGGTCTAGTGATTGACGGCTTTGGAGAAAGAAGCAGAACAAGAAACGTATCATATGAAGAGAAGGGAGGGAACATGCAAGAGAGAGAAAGAGGCAAGAAGAATATCTACTAACACAACACTCAGCAGGAGCATTCTTCACAACCTACGAACACACAAAATCGCTATTCACCCGCTGGAACACGTCTTTCACGTCGCCCAATGGTATCCTACCCATAGCCTTTGTCCATGCGTCCGCCTCTTCCTTGGCCGAATTGGTATCATGCGCTATCCTCACCCCCGCAGAAGTCATCAAGCAAAACGCGCAAATGGTTTCTTCCTCCTCTAGTTCATCTTCTTCATCAGCATCAACAAATGCAACACTTCAGACCCTCCAGCGCTTCCGATCAAACCCCCTCGCCCTCTGGCGCGGCTACACTGCGCTAGCAGGTCGTAACCTACCCTTTACAGCTATGCAATTCCCGCTTTTTGAGCGGCTGAAACAGGGGATTAAGAGTTATAGGGATGAGCGGGGGTTAACGAGGGGAGGCATCGTGGAAATGGGTTTTATTACTGCGATTAGTGCGGGGAGTGCAGGGGCGGTCAGTGCGGTTATTACCACACCGATTGATGTTGTTAAGACAAGGGTTATGCTCGCTGCTGGAGATAGTGGTGGTGGTGATTCCAATACTAGCAATAGTAAGGAGATGCAAGACGGTGGTAAGGGGAAGGGAGCGAAGAATGGGTTGGTCGATGCGTTTGGCAAAGATACCGTTAAGAATGTGGCGAATAGTGTAAATGGCAGGAAGAGTAGCTGGGCGGTTGGCAAAGAGATTGTGGAAGAGAAGGGGATCAAGGGGCTTTGGAGGGGTGGTGCCTTGAGGGGTGTATGGACGTTTATTGGGGCGGGGTTGTATCTGGGGGCGTATGAGAGTGGGAGGGTTTGGCTTGCGAGCAGGAGAGGAGAGAAGGTTGATGAGGATGAACTGTTCTGAGTGGATGATGAGCAGATAGAGGATGTAGAAGATGGAGCAGTAGTGGGATAATATGACTAGGTAATGGGTTGTATTGCTATCTAGCAGCTCAAATAAAGCCATTTGCGCATGTCGTGACTGGAGACTATTCTCAAGACTTTTCAGCTCCGCTTTTCAAGACGCCAATGTGCGAGTGGAGGGCTTACCCCATGTGAGAGAATCTTGAAAGGCAAAGTCAGCACTATTACCCAAAATTATTGTTCACGCGAGCGTTATCAAACTCACCCCAGCGCGCAGCCATCTTCTCTTACAACTTGAGCAACAATGTCTCCAAGCCATGCCGACCGAATCGTCGTCAAAGAAAGCAGTCGATCTCCAAACTGTGGAATTCTGCGTGGTGTACAGAATGAGGTGAACTCCGTAGGTATTACAGCGTTCATCGGTAACGACATCGAAGACGGAGTCGCTCGGGTATAAGTCCCCATACACGGCGCGAACGAGACCTATAAGGCAGTTCATTATTGGTTTCCAAGAATGCAAGAGCATCTAGGTGGTAGATGCTTACACAAGATCTGCTCTTCCATCTCGTTCTCCTACATGATGGTCTCATATCTGGACATGGCCATCGCGATGAGAATGCTCGGTGTTGACTTTGACGTGATGTTTCGTAGATTTGCAAATGTGGGAAGTAGAAGACTTAGAGCTATTGCACGAAAGGCTTTTATTTACTGTGCAAGCCGCGATTTCACACTCGCCTTCACCTCCCAGCTTCTAGCCAGAGCTTGTTAATATTGGGCAACAGGAAAGGCTCACTAGCCCCAAAATCGCGAATTTGTTATGCTGGAAGATTCTTGTGAGGAAAAGTCGAAGGGTTCACAGTCGGCCTGCCTGCTATTGATGAGCACTTGCAGTGTTAGTGTCAAGGCGATACCCGAGTATGGTCTGTCACCTTGAGATAGGCTTACTGAATTCGGCGATAGCAGGCTACTCTTCATCTCCTTAGTAGCATTTTAGATTATGCAACCACTCCTGACGTTCCTTATCGAGTTAGTTGAATCCTTCTCGTAGTCGTAGACCTTCTTGTTAGTAAAATCATTGATGTCCTCTCCACCCAAGAGACGAGAACTAGCGGTACTCACTCAGGCAGTGTCGTATTCAAGGCCTAGAAGTCTATCAATGAGAGCGGCCGGATTCATACACATCATGTCAGCAGAGTATTCAGACCCTCGGACATAGGCGAATCCCTCTAGGTAGGCATGAGTGACGTCCGTTTGTTAATGCTCGCTGTCAAGCCTAGCTAACAATACGTACTATCTTGCATCATAATTAGTAGTTCACTAATCATACACTTTGACCCTATACGTTACGTACCTGGGTATATCTTATACGTTCAAATGTACGTCTTATTACCGTCTGAGTTAAGGGCAGTACCCTAACGAAAATCGCCCATGTGATAGAGGTGCCGGTACTTCCGGTCTCCTATCATGGAGACTCATATGAACAGCATTGGTCTTGAGTCAGATCGTAGCCATCTTGGTCAATTCGACGACTACTACGGCAGGTACTTGTGTTAGCCAGACCCTTCCCTATACTACCCGACCACAACCCATCTCACTCATTCGATCGGCAACAAATTCAGCACGAATCGGAAAAACTTGTAGTTGCTCATCTTGTTGGATTAATTGATGTTCAATCTATAACAAGCCCGAAACGCCGAAAGGACGTACCCCATGTTTCAGATCCGGCTAGTTCGCCTAACTGCGGACGCTCCCGAGGTCATTCAACAACATAGACTATGCAACCATGCAGCGCAATTGTACACTGGCATCGGCCTGTGGCCTGACTAGGCGCGTTTCAATAGTTTTGCGTCATCTTGAACTGCTCTCACGCCAGATCGCCCTCTTTGATTGGCGGAACCCACCATGCCTTGTTTGTGTGAGGGGTGCATAAGTAGGCCCTGTTCGTGGACTAAATCGTTCCGAAGATGAGCTAGATCTTGACATCGACAAGCCTCGCCAATGTTGCTTGAATCACGCCTTGAACTTGATCTGCCAAGAGATGCAATGAGCTTCTTTGAACTGTTTAAGAAGCCAGGAATCTGCACGCAATGAGCAAGTATCTGATACCAACATTCTCATCTCATTAGCGAAATGAAGAATTCAATCTTTGCCAGTCTCGCACTTCTTGCCTCCTCTGCTGCTGCTCAGCTAGGCTCTCCTGTCGGCTATGCTTCTCAGAATGGCGGCACTACGGGTGGAAAAGGCGGTACCACCACTACCGTAACGTCCTTGCCTGAATTCACTGCTGCTGTCGGCAAGAAAACAGACACCACGGCCAAGGTCATCTATATCAAGGGCGCGATCACTGGTTCCGCAAAGGTCAACATCGGCTCCAACAAGTCCATTATCGGCACTGATTCCAGCGCCTCTCTTACTGGCGTAGGTCTTTACGTCGACAAGTCCAAGAACGTCGTCATCCAGAACCTGAAGATCTCCAAGGTTCTGGCTGCGAATGGCGACGCGATCGGCATCCAAGCATCTACCAACGTCTGGGTTGACCATGTTGATGTATCTTCCGACATCGACCACGACAAGGATTACTACGATGGCCTTATCGACGTCACGCATGCTTCGGACTGGGTCACTATCTCCAACAGTTATATCCATGACCATTACAAGGCGTCTCTAGTTGGGCACTCCGACAGCAACGGCGCCGAAGACACGGGCCATCTGCACGTAACCTATGCCAACAACTACTGGAACAACATCAGTTCGCGCACTCCCTCCATTCGCTTCGGAACCGGCCACATTGTCAACAGTAAGTTGTTGCTCTCCCATAATATCTTGCCCCACTAATCTTACCAGGTTACTACAACGGCGTCTTCACCAACGGCATCAACACCCGTCAAGGTGCCCAGGTCTTAGTTGAAAGCACTGTGTTCGAGAACACCGCCGAGGACATTGGCTGGTACGATGGAAAGGTGACAGGCTACGCTGTTGTCAACGATGTCAGCCTTGGGTCCGGAACGAATACTGCGCCAAAGGGTACTTTGACCTCGGTTCCGTACTCATATACTAAGCTTGGGAGTGCGAATGTTAAGGCATCGGTTCAGGCGAATGCAGGTAATAAGCTTACCTTCTAGGTGAATTTGTTACGCGGAAAGCGTAGGATAAGCAGGCGTGTTGTTGTCGGTGCGATGACCTCTTTGTGATTTTTGGATTACACTACGCTCGTTAATAATTGTATCAACGTAGCGCTTCGCTATTCTGGAATCTTGCATTGAGTACTTGCCGTATGATTGATCCTCCTAGAATTTAGATGTCCCAAGATCAGTACACGGACTTAACCTAGCGGAAGAGTGGTCGAGTCAAATCTCGATTGACTGCCAACTTCGCAGTTACCCTCTGCAGCTTACGGAGAAGGAACAGCAACATCAGATAAATCCTGTCTAGCTAGAACCAGGACATAAAGTGAAAAGAAATCGCCTTAGCTACAACATGAGAGCAGCGTAGAGGGTTTTTACTTCAATTGGAAATCTTGTGGATTCGCATCGAGTTCATGAGGGTACCATCTTATAAGCTAACAAAGATCAGACAGCGCAAACTGTCCCTGGAAAGCCTCACGAGCACACGCTCAGGCCGTGGCCCGAACCTTAACCGCACCAGCTTTAGATGTCTTCAACGTACTCGACTTGACCTTAGTGGATGAGCTCGTCATCTTAGGCACTTTGGTCGTCACTGTACCAGAAACCACCGCTCCAGCGGCACTACAGGGGAAATCCAGGCTCCCCATACTTGCAATATTCGTGCAGAAGTACTGTGAACTCCCGCTCGTCCCTACAAGTCGCGTGCCCGAAGCCGTAATGTCCTGACACAAATCGCTGCACACCAGCGTAACAACCTCCTTGCTCTTGCCGCCCGTGCCCGTCACGTTGATATAGTGCACGTCGCTGATACTGACTTTTGACGGGTAGCTTGCGCATGTGCTGGCGGAGGTTTAGTAGCATTGGTCGATCACAATGGGCAGATCGACGTTCGACACGGTGAAGTCTTGAAAGGTGATGTTTTTGACATAGCCATTTCCTCCGCCTTTTGTTGACGTGGCACTGGCGCTGCCGCCAAAGGCTTTGATACGGGCACCGTTCTCGGCATTCACCATGGTTACGTTTTTGACGAGGACATTGGCGACAATGTCTTGCACGCCAGCGTATTGGCCGAGAGAGCCAACGGAGATACCATGGGAACCTTGGCAGTAGAGGTTCTCGACAAGCGCATTGGTGGTGTTGGGCTTAAAGCTGACGCAGTCATCTCCGTTGATGATGTTGCTGTTCAGAATGTTGACGTTATCGCTCCGGTAGATGTCCCAACCATCTGTGTTTTGTGCTTGCTTGCCATTCGATTGGATAGAATGAAGGTTGATATTGTTGAAGGTAACATTGCGGGACCCGTACACCAAGTTGTGCCAGAATGGACTTTGAACTTGTTTAATATTCTCAACAAGGACGTTCTGGGCGTTGTAGATTACCCACGGAATTGGACCCGTCTTTCCAGCCTGACGACGTGATGTTAGCAAGGGATCAGGTTGCTACGATCAGGGGTTGCATACGTTGTACCAGGTATCACTGTTGCCAGAGTACGTTCCTCCGCCATAGATATGGATGTTGCTTCCACCAATGGTCCATGCGGTATACGCTTCTTGATAGTTCAACTGGAAGCCATTCGAGGCCCAGTAGCTGATATCCGCTGACAGGTTGATAGTGCCAGTCAATTCGATCGCAACGTCGCGGAGATTTGTAGTCTGCAAAAGAGAGCCAATGGTGTAAGTCTTGTCGAGCACCACTGTCCCGCCGTTATTGCATGATGTCAAGGCAGCTTTGATGGCTGCAGAGTCATCACTAGTTCCACCGGGAACTAGGCAGACAGCGGCAAAGCCTGTGCCAACCAGTGATGCCGCAATTAGCGCACTCCGAACCATGTTTCTGGGGTGATCTGCAAGGTAATGGCTGGGCAGTAGCTGGGCAAAAGCTTGTGTCCTTAAATGTCACGGACAAGATGAGGTATTGATACTGTTTTCCGAAACGCATGGAATCCGTCCGCTTCTTTGTTCGGACCGGCTGCGATGATTCGTGGAGATCATGCAAGCTAGTTTTCCCGCAGTCAAATTAATTTACGAAGCGGAGTGATGCGTCTCATCTGATGCTCGGTAGATGGATAATTAGCTACATAGAACAAATGGCGTTCCGAAAAGTCGTCATGCACTTTCGGGCACAAGTTGTCCAATAAGTCATGCCGAGTGCAGAATGATGAAATAACCCTAACACATGAGAGATCGTAGTCGAGAACCCACACGCTAGACTTCTGTAGCCAGAGCTGCGAACTGACATCTCATCTTTACCTTTATCTCTACTTTGATCTTACCCAGTCCGTATCTGCTAGGCTCATGACGTGATCACAGACATCAAGCGCAAAGAGCCAAGTCAAGAAGGAGAGGGAGAAGGAGAAGGAGAAGGAGAAGGAGAAGGAGAAGGAGAAGGAGAAGGAGAAGGAGAAGGAGAAGGAGAAGGAGATACGCGAATTTCATTCTTACCCTCACCTTGACTTTGGTGCTACACGTTCGGTATTTGCCAAGATTCGATAACGTGCTTACAAACGAAACGATTAGGTGCAAAGTTGCCAGATTTATGATGGAAGACTCGTGCTGGCATCCAAAATCTCAGTACAGAGGAACCTCGTTCCGCACCTGGATCACTCATTTTCACCCTGTTTCAGATCTTACCCGCCTTTACCTGCCTGAATACCAGAACTCATCCAATTCTCCCAAGAACAAGCACTTCAATACGAACAAACCTACTAACCTACGATGGCCGCTGCCACTACTCCCAATAGCAAGGTTCCAGTTTCTAACCTCAACATTCCACCCCGAAGATTGCGGCAACATCAGCATAATCGACACTATCAGCCGCATGAGCACCCTCTCACCCATGTTCATTCAGAGCCCCTTCTCCGAGAACGATGTATTGCTGCAGACTTTGTTTCGATGTAGGCTTGAAGCAACGACGCAACAGAGCCGTCCTCTAACTCTCCGGCCTGATCTCTTAATTCATATGCTTCATCTAGCGGCATATGTAGTCGCTTCCAGTGCCGTTCTGCGAGCAGCAACCTCAAAGCCTTAGTGTCTCTCTGTGCCATGGCAAAGTTTATTGGTTTCTCTGATAGACCCCAGCTCGTGGCTTTGTTGATGTTTATCAGCTTATCACCAACAAGAACTTCAGCGACGAGATACTGACGTTTCCTGATAGCATGAATTAATGGCGTAGTCCCGAGGAAACGCTCTGAGATTTCAAGGCGAGTGGGTGCCTCACAGTAATGAGGCCAGTACTTATCGCAAATTTTCTTGAGAGCTGGGTGAACGATGCCCTGCGACTTTCCGGTTACATCATGATAATCAGAGAGGATATTCTCGTACAGGCCTAGCAAGTACCTGATTGCATGGATACGGCCAGTCTCGATAGCCCATTGAAACAGATAGCGAAGCCACAAGACTTCCGGATTGGTTTCCATAGACTTCGAGCCCATTATCGACCCCTCCGTTGTATAAGAGAGATCATCGTGTAGAAGACCCAGAAGATCCATGACGTTCTGTGTCCCAGGTGGTTGGAGTGAGAGCCAGAGTAGACCAATTGCCTCTCCAACAGTCGAAACGCATTCTGTGTCCTGTTTGAGTTTTCTGAATAGAGTTTCTGAAATAGTGCACGACATAATTGGAAGATCTGAGAAGTGTTGCAAAGCATACGTTCTCGCGTAGTGTTGGAAGTAGTATACATCGATGTTTGGCCGTGGGCGAGGCTTCAATTCTTGTGCTAGAGTCTTAGAAGCATCAAAGTTAGAATTTTTCCCCGATCCCATGAGCAAGGCTATAGCCTGAGCACCTTTGCTCATACTAGCCGCAGCTTTGATGATATGGGAGGGTGCTGATCCTACGTCGAGTCCCGGGAGGCGAATAGCAAGTTCCGTCCCAAAGATACTGTAATCGAGGTAGGTGACGATAATTGATGATATCAGTGTTTGTGAGTCTTCCATTGTGAAATAAATCTCTTGGTCCTTGGTTGGAATTGTGCCGTCGTCTTGGAGCAAGAACTGGTTCACACTCGGATGCACAGTATGTATTGTATGGTCCTCTTCGTCGATAGTGATGAGACAGCCACAGGTTGCAAGTGCTGGGTATATACTATTGACAAGTTTGGAATGGTCCCATGTAGTATTACCGGGGGTTACACTAAGTGCCACTCGCATCTCGTCCGCTGTGAGTGGCCGTCTCGCAGTCATGATGAGCTTGAATATATCTGACCGTAAGGACCGACCCGGTCTTTTCGCTTGCTGCAATATACGATTATAGATTTCGGAGAGATCTTGTGGCAGGTTGGCGAGCGCATCTCGAATGTCGTGATCAGTTTGCATTGCGCAAAGCGACTGAATCTGTAGAACAACCCATAAAAACATACCCTTTGAGCCTTGCAAGAGCGCATGTTGAATCTCCAGGATAATGGCAGGATCTCCTAAAGCCAGGGAGTTATTCATTATAGCAAGTTTCAGTTGCGCTGTAATGAACGGTTCAATGTCCGGGGTATTATCGGGAAGCCTAACGACTTTTGCTGTAGGAAACTCTGTAGCAATAGGCTGTATCTCTGCTTCCGGTTCCAATCGGTGGGAAACACAGATGTGCATGATGAATTGTCTTCTCATAGCTTCCAGATGTTCTGTGACCTTTTTCTTTTCTTCGGAAGAACACAGATCCAAGCCGTCAAGGACAATATATATAGAGTAATTACGAGGGACAGCGTGACGCATGAGACCGAGAAGCTGGGATATACGAGAAGGGTCTCCGACCTCAGATTCATTGAAGAATTGCGAAAGGGGGGTGATTATCTGACGTACAAGTGCACCTATCACCGTCCTTGCGATCAAACTATCAGGAAGATCGTGTCGGCAGAAGAAATATGCAAGTCCATTAACGCCGGGGTCGATTCGCAAACTGAGATCGTCAACGATATTCGCAAGCGATACGGATTTTCCATATCCAAGTTTGGCGACCAGAACAAGTGTCTCGGAGTCTGGTGCCGCTATCCATTGGCTATACTCAGGTATTTGTGTATACAAGGACGTGTTGCCAGCTTTCCGGATCTGTCTCCATGTCGTTTCGTAGTCATGGGTTGAGCAGTGATTGAGGATGTTTCGGAAAGCAATCTGCTCTCGCTGTTGTGAAGCGCTCTTGGAGCTTAAGTTCATCAGGGCTCTGAAGCGTGAGTTACTCTCAGCTTCTGTCTCGATCCTTCGTGCAACGAGTGTTCCAATTTCCACTTGAATACTTTTGGACCAGGCCAGAAGACTTGACCGTGTTTCTTTGATGTCGGTGTCATTGAGCGACGCTGCAAACTTTCCTAGGAAGGACTTTTGAGCGTAAAGCTGAAAATGATGACAAATTTGAACTACCACGACGAAGTATTCTGTGATATATGTTTGTAACGCTTTTGAGCGAGGATACAGTAGTGCCAAATCCGAGTGCTGTTGGGACGTTTGGCCAGCTTCCATAAGGAGGAGAGACAAACTTTCGATGTACGACGAACGGTTGGTAGTGGCCTAGAGTCATTGTACTGTTAGCAAGGCAACTCCAGCGTGTCTCCTCTCATACCTTGATGATGGAACACAAGTTGGACCAGCCTGTAGAAACGATACATGAAAGAAGTACTGACCAACAAGCAGGTGCGCAACACCGACCATACACCACAAGCGATGACGCTCTGTGAGCTACCCACGACAACGTCACCAAGAGCGGCAAACTGTTGCGCACCATGGAGGAATTTGGTGAAACGAGGTCCGAAGCACCGCCCTCCCGCCTTTTGTGAAATGTCAATCTCTGCTGTGACCCTCATAACATCCTGTGTACTCGGGGGGGACTTAAGCGACTGTGTCCGCTGGTTCCGGAACGCGACCTTTTGTCCGTCGGAAAGGCAAGCCTCGAATTGAGAAACAGCCTGAGCTAGTCGAATCTCTGGCTTTAAAGGAGCAGCGGTGAACAGGGTGAGGGACATGGGGAAAGCAGGACACGTGCAGGAAATTGGAGCATGTGGCCACGAGGAGGGTTAGGAGAAGCAGAGACAATCTGATGAGCCGCTGAGCGCGTTGACGGTTGATGATTGAACGATAAAGATAGGAGACGCCGTCGCATTTACCTGCTGATTTCGATGTAGCCGTGCATCTGACCTTTCTAGGCGCGAGGCAGCGACCTTGTCATTCAGCCCCTACCTGCACGGAGGTGCTGCGTAGCCAGAGTAGCAGGGTGGGGTAAGCACAGCCTTGCATAATATGCTTCGCCATGCTCACGAGCTGAGTACACTGAGTGTACATGCACGAAGGCAGGAACCCAAGAACCTGCTGGTAGGCAACTTGGAAGACTGCGTAGGTGAACTCGTTGACGAAAGAGTTTTTTTAATGCGATGCACGATGTATATTCTGACCTAGTGTGAGGAATGTCGTAAGTCTGCCTGTGATTCAGCCTTAGTCTTGGAACTTGGTGGCTTGTCGGTAGACGCCTCTCGGGCAAGCTTGAGGTGCATTATCGATAAGCTCAGGGCACGTACAACCCTGACCCATGTTTTCCGAACCATCGTCGCATTTATACAGAAACTCCTACTACTACGGCAAATCAGTCGTCTTCTGCCAGAGCGCAGTTACTCGTATCCCCAACCCCTTCATCCCCCACTACCCACGATGTACGAATGCCAAACTCCTCCGCATGCGCGTCCACGCTCTCCAGTCCATCCACCATAAGTTCCACAGGCTCCTCGTCTTTCTCGTCCTCATCATCATCGTCAAGGCCCAGCATCTCGCCTTCCTCCCGTCGATGTCTGATCTCCCCTTTAGCTGACACCTTGATTCTCTGCATGCGGAATGCAAGCACAAAAGGTTCCTTGTCTCCAATATTCTGCGTCATATTACGACCCTTCTCTACCCCTATATCCGGACCAGTTTGAACAGGCACACCCACTGGTGTAGCATCAACACCAAGATGGAGATGTATGCTTTTGTTACGCGCATAGGTCACTGTACCCTTAGCGCCATAAGCGATCTTTATGCCCGTGATCATGTATAGCTTTGTGTCGTATAGCCAATTTCTGTTGTCTCGAATGTACTCCTTAACGGACGTGATTTCAAGACTCTTCTTGATGTACTCCGTGGTTGGTTCGAAGAACAACGTCCTTATCGTGTCGCAATTCCAACTCTCCGTTGTTCCATTGGAGATTTGCATGTTGATATCTCCGCCGACGCCGAGGATTTGCATGAGGAAAGAGGCCCAGATGCCGATGCTGTATGTTTTGGTATGATCGAACGCCAACCCATGGTCTTTCGATTCAGGGCCTACGATGATATTATCGATTGGAAGTGGATTTCGATTGAGAGGCTGGTCTGCGAAACGCGGTTGTTCGATGATGTTACCTAGTCTTATGAGAGTCTCGGGTGGCGTGTCACGCGTGGGCGCTAGAAAGTACTGTAACATGGTGCGGTGGATGCAGGTTTCTGGATAGGAGCAGCTTCATGTTAATATCCGCAATTTATACGTGTTGCTGCTCGGTCCCTGGGTTATTTTAGCAATAGTGTACCGAATGTGAAGGTGGGCAGGCTGGGCGCGGCTGAGATGCAGGCTGAAGCCACCACGACCCAAACCCTCAGTTCGACTGCGGACTGGCCTGCTATTCATTCGACCAGAAAGATTGTCGCCATTTTACCAAGCCTTCTGGCTTTTGACGAATTAGCATCTCATCTTGTTTGCTTACATTATTGGATTCATGACACGAGAGACTATCAATAGCCCAACCATAAACTGCCCACACTGTATCAGATGGTCTTGATAGGGGGCCTCTATTAGACTTTCACGTTGCTATTTCCGCTGTCTATGAACATGTTATATCTCTTGTTGGATGCTTCCAACTTGCGCTTTCGATATTCAAGATAACAACACATTTGTCACTACTGTTCGTCTAAATCTTTTCTCCTCTTCACCATGGCAAGCTCTGACAAAACTATTAGCCATCGGGTGTACACTAGCCATGCGTTGATTGCTCAAGTATCTTTCCAGCGTGATAGCGCTCCTCATACAACTTCATCCCATAAGCGCTCTAGAGATAATCATTTTCTATACTCTATTTTGCATGACATTAAAAGGCGTGCTTGCTGGAAACGTTGTTTGTCGCATGCTGGGAAAAAGCAAAGCTCGGGAACGCGGTGGGGTGATCAAAAGATGCCTACGTCTATCCCTATTGAACACTCCTCTTGCCCATCGCCAAACGGCAAGCGACGTTGCAAGAGAGGGTCCTGGACCAGTTTTTAAGCAAACGGCGAACCTTCAAGTCAGTATACCACCATGTTATTCAAGAAAACCAGCTGACGCCTAGACAGTAGCGCCGATAAATGGTTTTACGAGCTTGAAACCAGAACGCTGCCCATCTTTAGACGGCGAAGGAAGGATACCCACATTATAATTGAGCCCTACCCCAAGGCAGTCCGCATTGCGATCTTGGACGTCGGCATAGACCGCGAGTGCTCGTTCAGAGGTCAGATTAAAAAAGGCAGAAGTTTCATACAAGGCGAAAAGCATGGAGATTACCAGAGAGATGAGACAGGCCACGGCACGGTGGTCGCGTACCAGGTCGCTCGCGTGTGCCCAAATGCCGAGACATACATCGCTCGCATAGCCAAAAGCACGAATGGCAAAATAGTGCCAGATAGGCATGCTATAGTCCAGGCGTTGAAATGGGCTAGCGAAGAATGGAAAGTCGACATTATCAACATGTCTTTCGGATGGAAATCACAGAACGATGAAGATGGAATCGAGGATGCCTTGAATGTTATCGGAAACATGAGGTCTGTTCTAGTGTTTGCCTCTTCGACCAATGATGGAGCGTTAGATGATATGCTCTTCCCGGCTCGACATCGCGACGTCATTGCGGTAGACGCTGTTGACGGCTTGGGCAAACCATTCAACATTACTGGATTGACGGACAGTGGCCAGAGGCAGGAACGCTTCTCCGCTCCTGGTCTTAATGTCCTCTCGGCAGGGGGTAAAAGAGTAACAGGCAGTTCCTACGCTTCCCCGGTTGTCGCTGGTATCGCGGGTTTGGTATTAGAGGCATTTCGACGGGAAATGCCGAAACCTGAAGCAAGTGTACACAAACGCCTAGGAACTAGAGAGGCTATGGAACGTATTTTGAAGTTGTTATCAAAGCAGGTGGAAGGTTTCAATTTTCTGACGCCCTGGATTGAGCTTCATGAGGACGGCTTTTTCGAGACGTTCCTTTTCTGTACTGATGTCATACTGGGACCTCTGAGAATGTACGAAAGATGCGGTGCTTCGTACTTGGACAGGAGCAAGCGGAGGATAGAACCTTGAGCTCAAATTGCTGTCTAACTAGATTCTAGCTTTATTCATTAAATTTGTGCTTTGGTGTGCGGTGCAATTGTGATAAGTGTTGTATACCTGAAAAGAACGAAGTGGATTTACGGAGAAGTCGATTGCTTCGAGACAAAATCATTGCCAGGGAATAGAAGCATCCCGGCGAGCACATGCTCAAATTGGATAGAAACGACAGTCGGCACACTCAGACATTCAAAGTCAGTTTGGGTTGGCATGAACGCCATGAAAGTAGTACTAGCAGGCATGTAGGAAGGTACACACTATCGATAAGCCTCGCGCACGTACCACCGCGACCCTGTTTTCCAACCCGGCCCGGCGCAAACCATCATCGCTTTCGCAATCCAAACATTTCTGCCTCTTTCCACATACCAAATCACCACTCCCACATCCCAAACCACACCTCACTTCACCCACCCCGAATACCACACACACCAACTACCAAAATGTCATCCTATCAACCCCAGCAAACAAACACCGACGCGACCGCCGCCAGCGCCATCGACGCAACCGCGCGCACCGTCCACTACAAGTGTGGCGACTGCGACATGGATGTTCCGTTGAAGAGGGGAGAGCCGATCAGATGCAGGAACTGTGGACATCGTGTGCTTTACAAGCAGAGAACTAACCGGTAAGTGGACTTTCTAGGCAGATAGAGCATGGGGTTCAGCACCAGAAGAGTGCGATAAGAAAAATGTGGGAGGTCAGCACCGGAAGCAGGAAAGAGAAGAAACGGAAGAGGGAGAGCGAAGAGGGAATCTGCACGACCTGAGCGCATGCAATAAGTCAAAACAGAATGACGAAGAAAAGAGGAAGAAAAACGGAGTTCTCAAGCGCGCAGAAGCACAGAGACGAATCCAGATAGCACATTTTCTACACGAGAGAACCCACTAACATCTTCACCTAGTATGGTTCAATTCGAAGCCCGATGAACGCTCGCACCTCTTCCCCCCAAACTACCCAAAGAACAAGACGAGCGGCGAAATAAACAGCAACAACAACGAATGAGCGGGCGAGACAGCGATTACAAGGAGAAAGTCAAGCGATTATCTTTACATGGATGACATGCGACATACGGCAAATAGGCAAGATCATCGACACGGGAATTTCACACACCTACACACATACGATGGCGATATCTGCACATGGGCAAAACACCAAGCATAAAGTCGGCGCATGGATTTAGGCTATCAGCATAAGGAGTTTGATTGGGATATCAGATCTGTTCAGGTTGACTGTTGTTTAATTGCGTGGTGTGGAATGAACCTCAGTTTTCAACGGGCTCTCTTTTTTTTTCTCTCTCTCTCTCTCTCTCTCTCTCTCTACCCACATGAACTCTCTACCCACTTGAAAATGGAAATCTTCAAAAACAACAACAACAAACTCATTTGCAAAACGAAAGCTTCTACCCAAAGTATTTGCACTGGAGAAACATTTGATTGATTCCTTTCTTTCTTATCCACATTTGTGAACCCCTCTAATGCCATCTTGAAAACTCCAGCACAACTGGGGGAAACTTCAAACCCAGCCGGTATAAAGTGACATTTGCGCGGCAGTAGCGGCCCGAAATTCGTTGTTAGCATATGGGGTTTTAAAGTGATTTGATGGTTCTTGTCTCTCTGTGCCAGCCAGGGCATATATTCCAGTCCCCCCGTCGGATTTCTTTCGAACGATCAAGGGAATGTAACAATCGAGACAGAGTGGAAAGGGATAGAGAAATCTCATTGCCCCCTAGGCATTCCGACCATCCCCTTCCCCTTTCCCTTTCCCTTTCTCTTGCCAGCACCCTTGACCACTCCACTTTATCCCCAACCAGCTTCTCAGCGCACATCTACGACCCCCTAAACGCATCAAACCGCTTATACGTGTATCCGATAAACGGCAAACTAGTCGCATACTCATCCTCGTTCGCCGCCTGTGCCGCCTGCGCGCGATGTGCCGCACTAGTATCCTGCTGATCAATCTCATCAATCGGGAAGTACTGAGTATCAACGTTGCTCTGCAGTTTAGGTTCAAACGGCGCGCGGATACGACGGAGACCGTCCCAGGCGACACCGCGGAAGAATGGGTGTTGTTTGATTTCGTTGGCGCCACCGATGCGGCCGAGGCGGTGTTCAGCGTCGCATATGAGACTGTGTTGACGTTAGTATTCAGGTTTCATCAGGAGGGTCAAGTGGGAAGGGGGGAATGAGAAAGGGAGGCATACCGTCGAACAAAGTCCTCGGCTTCGGCACCGAGTTGCTGGTCAGGAGGGAAATGCAAGTTACGCGGCCAGTCGACAATCTTGCGGTAAGTGTCGTGAGGCTCCTCGGCGCAGAACGGTGGCCAGCCGATCAGACACTCGAACATGATTGTACCCACCGACCACCAATCACAGCTGTAGTCGTAACCTTGGCCGCTGAAGATCTCAGGCGCAATGTAGTCGGGCGTACCGACGGTTGAGTAAGCGAGCTGTCGACGGGACTTGCGCCATGTGTTGATTTGGGTGCGGTTGCTGACGGTTAGTTGAATCTGGTCTAGGTTCATCGATTGTCGGTTGTCGCGGTTCGATTTGTGTGCGCCACCTGCGAGTAGCTTCTTGTAGTATCCGGCATCGTGCTCCTTGTGGAAGCCCGTGGATAGACCGAAATCCGTCAACTTGATGTGGCCGCCTCGGTCGAGAAGGATGTTATCAGGTTTGATGTCACTGCGAAGAGTCAGAATATGTACCTGAGTTTATTACTAGACACGTACCGGTGTATAAAACCAAGCTTGTGAACAGCTTCTATCGCAAGCGTAATCTCGGCCATGTAGAAGCGCGTGATGTCTTCGGTGAAGATTTCGTACTTGATCAGCATGGTCATCAAGTCACCACCTGGCAAGAACTCCATAAGCATGTAGAGGAAGGTGTTGTCCTGGAATGTTGTGTGCAGCTTGACAACCCATGGACTGTCGGACTCGGCGAGAATGTCACGTTCTGACCGTACGTGGGCCAGCTGGTCTTTCTTGAACTGTGGTGTGTCAGTAGAGTACCGAAAGTACGAATTGTTTCAAGGCCTACCATCTCCTGCTTGACAAGCGATTTGAGCGCATAGATCTTGCCGTCGTTGCGCCGTTGGACAAGCTTGACCTCTCCGAAAGCACCCTTGCCGATAATCTTCAGTGTCGAGAAGTTGTCTGGCTTCTCCTTTGTCCGCAAGAAGCGCAGGTATTCGACTTCGGCACGGCGCATGCTGTCCTCTTTGGATCGTTTTCGGCTGTCGGAGAAAGAGGGCTCTTTCATAATGGCGTCAAGTTCGAGAGCTCTACAGGGAAGTTAGTCGTGTCAGGGAAAGAAGTGGATGATGCCACCTTTGATTCCGGTCGCGTGCCCGCTGAACACTGTCTTTGAAGAAGGTGTTGATGAGACTCTTGGAGACCATGGCCTGCTTGTCTACATTCTCCGAGTACTTGGTGGGGTTTCGTTGCGGCGCCTCTTCATCATACAGCGAGGGACCTTGTCGGGGCCCTGAGCTGCCACCTTGGCTTCCATAGCCATAGCCTCCTCTGTTGTCTGCTGTGCGAGGGCGCCCGGGGTTGGGCGAGCCTTGTCGGCCGTATGGGCTTCCAGAGCGACCACTGCCCCCAAGGTGCTGGTGCGACAGTTGTTGGGCGAGGCCATTGGCACTCTGATCGAAGCGCTGGCTACCTGGCGCCTGGAGGTTGCCCTGCTGCCCTTGGTATTGTGCTTGCTGGTAGGGGTTCATGAAGTAGCCTCCGCCTCCATTGTAGCCATTGCCCTGCTGGGCGCCCCAAACCTCTTGCTGGCCGGCTTGGTTGGGGTATACAGGTTGCGGGAATGTCGAGGGCGTCGTTGGGAATGCTCTGCCGGCTTCCTGCTGGTACTGGTTGTTTCGGTCACCGCCACCGAGGCCAAAGTTGAGCTGCAGGCGGTTGCCCTGCTGGTTGTTGTTCATCGTGGGCGACGCAATCGCTTCGGAGGGGAAGTCGGTGTGGTGTTGGGTGTTGGGCGTTGGATGTCAATAGCGGAAGGGACTGCGAGTCTGGGCGGTGGAGACAGGTAGGTTAAGCGCAAGGACAAAGCCGCACTCTCACGGACTTCCTAGCACTGCAGAGGAATCTTCAGTGCAGCGCTGGCAAGGAGAAGGAGGTGCTGGGGAGGGCCGCAGTAGCTCGGTCAGGGATAACTTTAGGGTGCAGGGACCACCGCGGGCGGGGAACTGTGCCAGCAACTCGATACGTTTCAGACACACCCGGCCGGTGGAAAGTCCAAGATGGCTATTCACTTTTGCTTGTGCCGCCTGCCCGAATCAAGTCGGTACCGCGCGGGTCCGACAGACTGTCACGCTGTTGTTGTGCGTCTGCACCCCCGGACTCGAGTACATGAACCTATCGATAGTGAGCCTCACCGACAGTCCAACCAAGACATGAACGCATCGGGGTACACAAACAAAACACACGCAGTCACGCGAAGAAACAGCGTGGTTCGTTCAGTGCTATGATGAAGCTGTGCAACATCGGTTAAAATGTTCTCAATAGTCACATGTGAAGTAACACGCCCAACCATCATCTATCATACCCGACCGCACCAACACTCGCACTCAGACAGGAGAAAGTAAGAGCACATGCTGGGTACTTTGGATTGAACATGTTTTTCATACTCTGCATCTTCTCAACACTCGCACATAACACGACCATTGAATAACATCAACCATCATCCATTGAACCATTATAGTACAACCAACTACCATGCATCCGCTAAGCGAGTGTGCATCTCCACCCATCCAATACGAGGTCAGTTCCTCGACTCTCAACAAGTCCAACATGTCCGCAACATATATGCAGGACCAAGTACCGCCAATCAAACGTTACACCAACGCTATAACGCTGTAATACCACCTCTCGGGGTATAAAACAATTGACGACAAAAACGCTGTCAGTCAAACAAAAAAAAAGGACTCATTTAGCCCGGAGACCAGACCAGATCAAGAAGAAAATAGGTTATACTAAGACAATATGTGAAGAGGTGAAAAGAAGTGTAAGTGTAGTATGCGTCGGATCGTGAGGCCCATCATGGGTAAATGCGGTAACCGAGGGGGGTAAAACGCCGAAGATGTAAGTGAAACCAGATATCCCCCAAGGAACGATATCGCGGGGTATCGAGAAGAAGGCTTGCCGAAGAGGAAAGGGTATTATGTATAAGGTATCGTCGATCAGGATCGTTACGCGCTTGTAGCCATCAGCGCCTTGACTTTCTCGCGCTCGGCGACAATCTCAGCTTGGAGTTTGCGTGTCTGGCGCATAGCCTCGTCCCTAGAAAAAGAGAATTAGTATATGTGTTTGATGTGTTGGTGGTTCGGTGGACGTACCTCTCAAACTGAAGATCAGCAACCTCCATCTGCGCCATGTTCATTCTGCCAACAACTTCCTCCATCTCATGATCTGCATCTCTAAGCGCCCTCTCAAGCTCCTCCACCCTCTTCTCAAGGGACTCCGTCTTGGTGGCTTCGGCGAGGCTCATAGCGGGTCCGCTTGACGTCACGTCGAGACGAGGAGACCTTTGTGAGAAGACGGGAGAACTCGGGAGTCTAGGTGAGAAGGCCGAAGGGCTAAGCAGTCCAGATTTGACGCGGCGGAGATGGTTGGTGTGGCTCTCCTTGATGGCTTGGACCTCGTCTTCGTGGCGCGCAACAGCTTCTTCCGACGACTGCTGCGCGAGCATGACTTTGTCCTCGGCAGCCTTAAGGCGCTTCTCTAGCTGGATAATCTGCTCCGTTGACCTGCGTTGGTCCTGCTCGCCGCGCATGATGGCGTCTGTAAGACGACTCCGCAGAGCGCTGTTGGCAGTGAGTTGCTGCTGGATCTTATCAGAGAGCTCGTCCATGCGCGTGGCTGCAGCGAACAGCTCTTTGCTAAGCTCCTGTTCCTTGCCCAAGTGCTCGATCTCAGACTGTTGGAGAGCACGAGCCTGTTTGCGGTACTGCTCGGCTTCGTTCTGGGCGTAATCCCGTTCTGCCTCTGCATCTGATATGCTCTGCTTCAACAGGTCCAAAGTTCTTTCAGCTTCGGCACCGGCAGCGCCGAGTGAATCTCCATCGCTCGACTCGAGCTGCTTAACGCGAGCAAGCGAGAGAGCATGAGTGGTTCGTAACTCATTATAGGCCTTGTCCAAGGCCAAGGGTTCGTTTTCTAGCCTGATTTCGGGTATCGAAATATCATGTTCACGGAGTAACTCGCGGAGAGAACCAGTCTCTTGCTGTGCACGATCTAGGTCCATCCGTAGTCCACCAAGACCCTTCTCGCATTGCCATTTTTGTTCAAGTGCTTCATCGGCTCGGCGACGTAGGTTGTTGACTTCCTGTCGAAGGCCTGTGACTTCCTTGTGGAAGGCAGTTCGGCGGGGTGTAAGATTCAGAGCGGCATCCCTTTCTGCCTCTACCTCTTTGATGCGGCGCTGGAATTCCTTCTGCTGCAGTTCTTGTCGTTGTAATAAATGTTTTAATGCCTTGTGGAGCGCGTCTCGCTGCTCTTCCAGCTCTTTCATTGGATTGGTGACTGTTGGTGCACCAACTGGTGATATATCACCCGATCGGTCCTTGACCGAGTTGGACCTTGATAGCGAGCCCCTCTTTGAGTTGAGGCCAGCGGAACTGCGGGCTAATGAGTTGGAGCGGGTCAAACCGACGCGCAGATTTGGGAGAGGCGCAAGATCTGCGGCGTCTTCAGCGATAGACTGAATTCGAACAGGTTGTGGCGCTTGTTGCTGTAGCATTCGTGCCTTGAGGAGCGACTCGTTCTCCGTCCGTAGGTTTTGTATCTCTTGTTGCATGCGCGTAGTCTCATACACGAGCTTTTCTGTATCAGCGGCATCGCCTTCGAGCACTTCCAGTCGCGCCCTGAGTTGCGGTACCACTTCGTCTCGCAGATTGTCAGCCTCATTGCGATGCTTCTCTAGTTCGTCGCGGAGCGCCGTGAGGAGATCCTCAAAGTTCTCCTTGACCTGCCTCTCTTCAGCCAAGCGCCTCTTCGCGTCCTCAAGTGACATGGAGAGCTCTTTGACCTTGGGCGTTTCGACCATCGATCCTGCTCTCGACTTGTCGGTGACTTGGTCTTCGAGTTGTTGCACTTGCTCTTCTAGGTCTCGTCGGCGTCGCAGCTCTTCTTGTAAGCGCTCTGCCATGCGCACTTTCAACGACGCGCGCTCCTGCTCTGCCTTCCTCCGCTGCATCTCCACTTCTTCGAGTTTGGCTTCGGGATCGCTGATGGGAAAGCGGATGGAGCTTGTACCAGAGTCTGAGTAGTAGTCGCTAGTCCTTCGGTTGTCGGACATGGCAGTATTGCTTTCGGCTTTCCAGCGTTCGACCTCATCTTCTAGTTCCATCTCTCTCTGGATAGAGGCAGCAAGCTCGGAGCTCACCTCACGCAGCTCGCGCTCCAGCTCTTCTACGTGAGCGTTCATCTGGGGCGAGGACGATAGAAGTGGAGTTCCCGGCACGTTGAAGTAGGAGCCGAGTGAATTGGCTGCTGGAATGTCCAGGCCGTTGGGTTTCGTCTTGGAGGGCATGGACTGTTTGTAGCGTGGGGATTCGGGCGTTGAATGTTCTGAGAATGCGGTAGCCGGTGACTCGGGTCCGTTCTGAGGACGCGAGTTCCAGCCAAAGAAGGAAGTGAACCCTCCTCCGCTTGGTGATTTGGGCTTTGTATTCTGTCTTGTGAGTGAAGGGTCCTCGGGACCGTAGTTGTAGTCGTCCATGAAGTCTTCCGTTACACCGTTAAGGTCGAGTTTGAGGTCTGGTGGTTGCGGATTGTTATTGTACAAGGGCATATTAGGCATAGTAGGAGATCGAGCGTGTGCTCCCCGGATACCAAAAGCTTTTAGAGCCTCGGTCCTGCTCTGTCGTTGGGGGGTGATGCCGCTGGCCGATCGATCATGCCGCGCGGCAGATGGGATAGATGGGAGAGGTTTGTTGGAACTTCGCTTTGCGACGACGAGGGAGCTTGCACGAGACGACTGAGAGAATGGGCGGGGCGCGGCTGCCGTCAGAGGCGTCCTTCCATGTGGGTTGCTTGGTTGTTGTCAGTGAGTTGTTGTCGAAGGGGAGGCGCGTGTCGGGAGAAGAAGCACTCACTCGTCGAGGTTCCGGGGCAGGAAGAGGTCCTCGTCACTCAACGGCGGCGACAGGATGTTATCGGGGGCGCGTCCTTTTTCAATAGGGAGATCAGAGGCCCTATCAAGTGCGGCAGCTGATGGGTTCTTAGATTGTTGATCGGCAGTAAATCGACCAACTACGGGGGAGTTTGCAGGTAGGGGCTTCCTGCGGACCGGGGATTGGACGGCGACAGGCACAGCTTGGGAGGACTGGGAACGAAAAGCAGCAAAAGACGATATGGCAATTGAGGCCAGGGACGAGCCCTTTTGGCGAGGCGGCGAGGCGTTGTTGGGAGGCTGCGCGCCCTCGGGGGACGCTTGGACTGCTTGCATTATCTCGTATTATCCCCCCGCGATAGACATGGCTTGCACAAATGATGAGCGCAAAGAGAGGTGGAGAGTCGACCCAAAGTCGGTTGTTCGAAAAAGGGGACCCGCCTAGCGAGGCCAAGTACATGTGCCGGCGAAGGGAGCGCTTTGGGGTTGATGAGCAGATCGCAGCGCTGGAATTGGTCGAATCGAGGCGCTCACCCACGCTGACCTGGCCGTGATGGGCGGTTCGCGCTGTTCGAGTGGAGCGAGCCGCGCCAGGGGGCTGCGTCCGGCGCTGCAGGTACACTTTTTAGCCGGCCAATCAGCGCCGTGGATTAAGGAGAGGCTCAAGAGATCTATCGTGGAGGGTGCGTTGCTGTGTGTGATTCGAGGGCGTTGTCGCCTTCAAAGTGTGGGTAATGATGGGTGTTGATGTCCCACAGTCTCGCGCGCTCCGGTTGACGGTTGACGTTGACGCTGGTTGGCATGCTGGCCCGCAATGCCTGAGGACGTGAAACACTCCGCGAGGCGCCAGCATAGCTGCACCACAAAAGTCGGTCCCAACTCACCACCATGTGCATAATGAAGGCAACCCTGCAGTGTGACACCCGCAACGGGTGGCTTGCATTCACCTTTATTTTGGCATCGCGCAATCTTCCGACAACTACGGAAGAGGCCAAATCAGGAGGTCATCACGCTAGGGCATCCGTCTTGAGATGTGGCTGATGCTCGCCAGCCGCGAACGACGGACAGTGCTCACAGCAACGAGTCGTGGAGACGAGTCCAGCCTCTCGGCCTATGCTAACGGTGAGGGCAGTTCCCTTGGACATGACGAGGCCCCTGAGATGCAATCTTAGATTTATAGCCGCGGGCGCATATCTCGCGGCCTGACTAGCATGTGCCTGTATGGCCTTGACTCTCAGGCATGCTTCCGACTTCCGACGCCGCATAACTATCGTGCCATGGCAATTTGGCAATTCCAGACGTGCCGACGCCACGACAATTGGTGCATGGTCTGATATTAGTAGTTATTCTTATACTCCATGGTGGATCGCTCATCGCCAACCACCGACCCGGCCCTCGTCCCATCGCTCCTTGCGTTCTGCTCGAAGGTAGGCAATCTTTCGGCCTTCTCTCAACCGCCTCACAAAGTCCGTCACCTCTCGGTCACTAGCAACGGCATCCCCACCGCCAAAGCCTTCGCCTTCGAGAAAGCTCTCTTCCAGTCCTCGGCATAGGGCCTCTTGCTCACCTACTGACGCACTTAGTCGTTGATACAGGGCTGGAGGACTGAATTCTCGAAGAGCTTCGTCCTGTTCAGCCTGCTTTGCTTTCCACTGGCGTTCCAGAGCACGAAGTGCTAGTAGACGCGACTGTGTTCCATCACGCTGATGCTGGACATGTGCTTCCAGCTGTTTGAGTGATTCCGCCAAGCCTACATTCTGTGCAAGAAGCGCCTGGAGGGGGGCGATAGATGCAGGTAGTGATGAATGTGTTGTTTCAGGGCTGTGGACTATAGCATGTTGTAGTTCTGACGTCTGAAGCACATGATGCAAGTCCTTGGTCCTACTTGTACCTTAGTGGTGCACTTATCAACAACGCAGAGTAGGCATACGGTTTGTCCTTGAGCACGTCAGGTAGCCAGCCATCATCCGGCGGTTGGATAGTCGGCTGCTCTGATCCTATCTGTGAATACTGCTGCTGTGCATGTGGATTTTGTTGCTGATCTCCCGAGTACGATGATTGACCTGGTGGGGGTGGGGGCAATGGAGGCCCCTGTGATGGAGTTGCATTCCCACTCGAACGTCCTGGCTTTGGCGGAGGCGGTGGAGGTGTCGATGCATCGTACTGGTAGAAATTCTGAGAGTGGCGTGGGGACGAATAGGCCATGATAGAGTGTGATGTTGAAGTGCGACGGAGCGATTGCATGTGACGGTGTTGGGTAGTGCTAGCGCGTCGAGGTACAAGATCTAATCTTATCTCATCTAGACCCCTGCATTGAGGCCACAGCAGCATCAACCAACTCTGGGGCACTTTCAAGCTGTGGACACGTCCAAACGCGCCTGCTCATACTTCTGCCTACACACTTTCTTTGTCGCCCTCCAGATACCTGCTGTACCTCTATCTTCTTCACCACCCACCACCATAACTGCTCTACAACCAAAATGGCAAGCATATCCCCATCAGCGCGCCCAACCTGTATCCCGCTAACTTGCGACTTCCGCTCCAGGCCAACGTTATAGCGAATTCGGGCCACGATGACATGATTGTACGTTCTACACACACGCCTCATACACACTCGCCTCTATCCCCATCGCACATTCATACCTTTTCACACCGCCAATCAGCGCAATGGCAACCACCAGCCTAGCCATGTTCGATGCTGATGAAGTGCAGCATGACGCCGTGTTGGATTACTATGGCAGGCGGCTCGCGACATGCTCTTCAGACAAGACCATCAAGATCTTCGAAGTCGAGGGCGAGAAGCACACACTAGTTGAGACACTCAGAGGGTACGTCACTCGACACCAATTGCAGCAACAATTACCTTGAATGTGCCAACTTTAGACGGGACTCGACGTTGACTTTTATAGACACGAAGGTGCTGTCTGGAGCGTAGCGTGGGCACACCCAAAGTACGGCAACATCCTCGCCTCCTCGTCCTACGATGGCAAAGTCCTCATCTGGCGCGAACAGTCCGGCAGCTGGCAAAAGATATACGAAGTCGCTCTACACACCGCCTCGGTCAACCTAGTCGCATGGGCACCTCACGAAGCAGGCTGCCTCCTTGCCTGCGCATCAACGGATAGCAACGTCTCGGTACTCGAATTCAAGGATAACAACTGGACACATCAGATCTTCCCGGCTCATGGTACAGGAGTTAACAGTGTCTCGTGGGCACCTGCATTCGCGCCGGGACAGGTCATGAGCGCAAGCGGAAACCAGGCTGGTGCTGCAAAACGACTAGTCACTGGAGGTAGCGACTGCCAGGTCAAGGTCTGGGATTTCAGCCCCGAGAGCGGCAGCTGGAACGCAACACTGCTGTAAGTCATGTTGTCTTATATTGACCGCTATTGGAGCCATTTCACTAACATTGTACCCCAATATCTAGTGGTATCCATGGCGATTGGGTACGCGACGTCGCATGGTCTCCTACTGTCCTCGCCAAGTCATACATCGCCTCCGCTTCCCAGGACAAGACTGTCTCCATTTGGACATCCTCCGATCTACGCGAGTGGAAACGCACTCAGATTGACGTCGACGCCGCCGCGTGGCGCGTGAGCTGGAGTTTGAGCGGCAATGCCCTGGCGATCAGCACTGGTGACAACAGGGTTAGCCTATGGAAGGAGAGACTGAGCGGCGGATGGGAATGCGTCAAGACGATTGAGGAGTAGAACATTATCACTCGGCCGAAATCCCCTTGCTGCTGGAAGCGACATCCTGTACGGTTTAGTCGTAGACTTCGCCCGCTGTGGTGGGAGTATGATGAGTTCAATGGCGATGATAACGGGCCGGAGATTACTAAGAAGGGTTATTATCGGAATGGCTTTGAAGGAAGATTGTGGTACGATGGAAGTTGTTGGTCATAGAGTGTGGTATGAGGAGATGGCTTTGATGCGGATGGGTAGTGTGAGATAATAGTCTCCAATCGAATTTTCCAATCATAACCAATAGTGTATTTTCAAACCTATGTTCTAAGTATCATCATGCCTCTTACGTTGATGTTGCTTGTCTCCTTCGCTATACCTCAGCGCTGCAGACGCTACCACTACCCGACCGACAACATCTAGCAGAGTCAAATGCACTAAAGAGGCCGTGATACTCTCCCTCCACATGCCATACTTGTACTAATCTTCGTAAGCTCAATCGAGAAGCAGTGAGTAACCGCGAGACCAATACCCAAATCCTGAGTAAGATCGTTCCTGCACCGAGTGGCCGAGTGGTTAAGGCGCCAGATCATGAGATGCTGTTTTCGACGGTTTTTCCAAAGTTGCCTGATACGGCATGTGAGACGGGCGCTAACTTTCAGCCTCATTAGAACTGACGACATCTAGATTTACATGCGATATTCTTGATCTTTACAACCACGTTGCTCGTCCGAAACCCGTTCGTCTTGGAAATCTCTCAAACAGCTAGATTTTTCGGGCATGCCTGTGTAATTTCGACCTTGCATATATCTCTTCATCACTCCTGTACCTTGTTGCCTAGGCGCTAGCCTCCTGCAGGCTGATTGCCCAACACCTCGCCAATAAGGCCCGAGTACGACCAACAAGTAGAGTTCTTCAAAAGAGATATATATCATGGCGACAGCGGAAGTTTACAACGGGTCGCCTTCTTCGCAACCTCCTCCAGACACCGATAGCCGTGTACAAATGGACGACTTACGCAAGCTCTCCAAGGGTGCTTCGGGACGCAACCTCAACAACCAATCTCTTGGCCCGTCTATGCTTAGTAGCCGGGGTCCTACAATATCACCATCACCACCCGCATATCAAATGTCTCCAGTTCCAACAATGTCAGGCATTCCAACAAGATCAACACCATCGAATCAAACCAACCAAACAGCTTTCACCCCAGCTCAACTCGAAGCCCAAGCGATTCTCACACACCTCCTCACACACCTCTCCCAACCCCCTCCTCCAGAAGAAATCCACGTCAAAACTGATCCCTATGCCAAATATCGCCCCTGGATCTCCCACCACAGCATCCCCACCCTAACCTCCACCATCTTCTCGCTCATCCGCCCCCAAGTCTGGCACATCCTTTCCTCTCGTCTCTCCCTCGATACCCTCAAATCCCTAGGCGGCGATCTCCGGCTCGAAGGCCGAGCCATCTATCTCAATGGCATTCTGGGAACAGACAAAAGGTTGAGAATCTACGTGGGGCAAACGGGGAATTTAAGACAGAGGGTAGGACAGCATTTGAACTTTAGGTATCGGAGAGATCATCCGAGTTTGCATTATTGGGCATTGGAGTGGAGTGTGTATAACGTTTTTGGCGTTCTTGCCGTGGTGCTGCCTAGTGGAGGTGGGAATGGAGGAGGAGGTGGGGTGGTGGTGGCTGGGATGGAGAGACTGGATTTGGTGATGAATGTTTTGGAAATGTGGATGTGTCTTGTTTTTCGGTCGTTACCGACTGATACACTGCAGGAATGGTTACCTAGTAGTTTGCTTGTTGATGATAGAAAGAGGTTGGTAGCGAAAGAAGGTGTGGTGGGTGGATTGAATGTTGCGAGCCCACTTGATCAGGGGACCGACGTCAAACAGATGCCATTCGTGGATCTTAGTGGTGAAGAAGACTCTATTATACAGAGTTATTTGCAGGAGGTGCAAAGAAGGAAAGGCGGTCGGGTGGGTAGTCTGGATACTAAAGAAGAGAGAAAGATGAAGGATGTAGAGGTGGAGGTGGATGAAGAAGAAAGGGCGCTGAGGAAGAAGATGTATGCGGAGAAGGCAAGGGCATGTAGTAGTAGGAGGAGGGATACGGATATTGTTATTCCGCAGTGGATTTTCCTTGGGGTCGTGGCGGTGGGGGTCGGGGTTTTGTTGTTCAGGAGTAGTGGAGGGCCGGGGGGTAGCGGACGGTGGAGGTAGTGAGGATAGGGGCGTGGAATTACTGGATTAGATGATTGATTTATCCAAAGACATGACATCCATCTGACGCGTGGAACGAGAGTTTCGTTGCAAAAGCTCGGGCTCAGGGTGAGCTCGACATCGATTGACAGTATCGCACATGTATCGCCTGAAAATAACAACTTCGAACTAACCCAAGCTGCAGAGTTCGTCTAATGGAATAGCGACTGTGTTGTAGAACTCGATCGCAGTTACCGGCCCTCTCAAGTTTAAGCACCAATGAACCGCGTTCTTGTATTTCGTGCCCATGCGATACGCGACCTCTTCATCAATACGTAAGTTGACCCTTCTGTGAAGTTCCTTCGCCTCCAACTCATAGAATTGTCGCATGTCTGGCGACAAAGCAATCAGTGGTGCCTTTTCGGGCTTGTATCTTGCAGCCAGCAAGGCCATCAGAGGAGACCAGATCGCAATCTCAAACAGCACCAAACCCAAGGAGTAGATGTCGTAATGGACCTGATATCCAGAGGCTGCTTCACCCTGATACAATGGATGCCGATATATGGCTGCTTCTAGGTCATGGAGAACTTTTCCGCGGTCAATCGTCTGGGCCTCAGTGTGCTGACGCGAGTAGCCGAAGCCTTGAACCAAGGCGGTTTCGATCTGTCGGAACCCAACTAGAGCCTTCGTGGAGTAGGCTTGCGGAAATATGATGTTGTTACTGTTAATGCTCTTGTGCATCCAGTCGCTGCCATAGAGCCTAGCAAAGGTATATACTATACGCTTGGCTAGCTTGTATCGTGTCTCGAGCGCAGGCTTGAAGGAGGAATGGAAGAGCTTTCGCAAAGACAGGGGCTCGCTTGCGATCATTTCTGGAGTATCGAGCGGACTTAGTGGGAAACGGAAGACGATCCACCAGCAGTGGCGATCTGGATCATCTGTGTATCCAACTGCTTGCAGAGTTTGAAGATGGCGTTGGTTACCAGTTTTGCCCAAAAGCGAGACTAGTTTGCGAATTCGCTCTTGCAGAAGATCTTTGTCCTCTTCTGAGATATTTGGATCATAGTCCTTCTTCTCATAAAGGTATGCAACCTCAGGATTGTCATGACCAGGCTTGAGGAAACGCGTTTTAGCCAGGTCTCCAGGAGTCATATCACGGAGACTCCAATCACCCGTTTGAGATTGACTTCTTGGTAAGGATGGTGCGTTTTGCAGTGATATGACCTTGCATTGTGCTAGATACGCGACGTCTACCTCTGAGAAGCTCTCCTCATACGGTGAAGCATTCTGCAGCAGTGAGAGCCGCTCCATGTCGGATGTCTCTTGGACGATCTGGAAATTAAAGCGCGTTCCTTCCTGCTGTACTTCTTTCCGCTGGTTCTCGAAGATAAGCTTTTGCAGCCCATTCACGTGTTTTTCTAGTGTGTCGACAAAGTGCTCGAATTTCTCTTTGTCGCGGATAGCCCAACGCAGACGTCTTGCAACACTGTTCTGTTTCTGGCTGGTGGAATGCTCTTCTGATTGCTCGGCTTGGATCAACGCTACCAAGTTCCTCTCTGGGTTTGAGCTCCTCAATACACGGTGTAAACTTCGCCTCATCTGCACCGCCATAGCGGTCGCTTTTTTAGGTTCTGAGTTAGCAGCGTCCCTGCATTCCAGACCATACTTATTCTCCTGTTGCTGGAGACCGGTAACGAGTGCCTCGATGCGCTGTAACGTTCTCACAATGAGCTCGTTCAACGGGTGCAAAGCTGGCACAAGCTCGCCCTCGGCGAGCCCAACGCTTGTAGCCCATATGTTCAGATGAGCCTTTGCTGTCTCGATCCGAATTACTAGATCTTCCGTGTCTTCGTCGAAGCGGACCGTTTCGTCTAGTATCTTCATTCCCTCTGCAACTGCCTTGAACACGATAGGTGCAATAGCGAGCGCAACCCCAGCTACTTCGGCCATAATTGATGGATAAGAAAATTAGAGCATGATACAGCAGAGAAAGGCACTCTGCCTTGATGGAAGAATGAGAGCCATGCTTTGATACATTAGCGAATCTGCATTAGCGCTGCGTTATCATTGGTCGCGAAAGCGGAAAGAGCAGGTTATGTATGAAGGAACTAGTCACATTTCTAGCATTGGCCGATCCACCAATCCAATCACAACACGCACACCACCAACATGCTTATGAAAACGATGCGGCTTACGGTCCAAAAGGATATACGAGCTCCGTCCCGCTGCACCCGTCACTCAAATATAATATTGACAGCTGAAACGTGCATGCACTCCCATCCGCGTTGACGAATGCCACTGCGAGTCTCCGCGCCCGACCTCGGTGGTGAAAGTTAAGAAGCTCGCCTTTCCGATGGCGTGCGACAACGAACATCACGCTCTCTGTTCGTTTTTGCTTACCAAGGTAGCGACTGAGACTCGCATGCGCTGTCCTCTATAACCTCTACATGCGAACTACTGCGAGCTCATCTACTCTCGCCGGCCTCGGTGCTGAACTTCAAACCGATTTGCAATGGATGAATTTGAATGGGTCAAGTCATTTGCGGAGTCTAGCTATGGTACAATTAGCGATACTTTTTCGCTACCGGTAGAAACAGAGAATTTGGAACCGTTGCCTCCAACGACTTCGCGGGGTTCTTTCGCGTCATTCGTCTGCCATGTCACTAATCTGGAGCGTCAGCTGCGTTCGTTTTCACCCATTGTTCTTGATAATTCTTCAACCGTCAGAGTTACGGGCAAGATACTAGGTCAGGGGAAGACATTTATGGTCAAGCATGCTCAATGGATTCGAGATGAAAAGGAGCCACCTCTCGAAGTCGCCTTGAAGGAGATCATCCCAGACCTTAAAGCGTCAAATGAGAGCCCAAGGTACCGCTCCCGGCAAGCTTAGTACGTTCAGCTGACTCAATCGTGAAGTTTTTCTTCTGGCTCTAGCCGCCTGGCACAGAACGACTGGAAAGAGATCTTGTTTGAGATTCGAGCTCTCCTTCACGAACCTATTCGATATCATCCCAATCTTATCCGACTGCTGGGCATCCAATGGGGAATCTCGCCGATTTCAGAATCCACTTACCCCGTGCTGATTATGGAGTATGCATCGCTTGGTACCTTCGCAGCCTTGCAGGCATCTTCTGAGCCATTGCCGTTTTCAGTCAAGCAGAAGCTGTGCTACGACGTTGGGCGGGGGTTGTCCGCGCTCCACGCATGCGGAATTGTGCATGGAGATATGAAACATGAAAACGTGCTTATTGTCCCGGCCAAGGAACCACTCGACAGTATTCCATATACTGCGAAACTCGCCGATTTCGGTGGTGCCGTCATGGATATGACTCCTTGGGAATCTCGAAAGATGGAAACCTGGACGTGGCCCTTTCAAGCGCCAGAAATCACGAATGACCAGCGTCTCTCGAAGGATGAAATGATACTCACTGACGTCTACTCTTTTGGCTTACTAGTTTGGAGGGCGTTTGAGGACGGCGAGGGTTTTGTGTCGCTTCCTGGAGCAGCACAGGATGCAATTGACGAAGATAAGCGCAACTTAAGCGCTTCAAAAGCATCTCAAAGCTTCACTTCTACTGCTGTCGCTAGTATCCGCGACTATGCTAGCATAAGAGGAATATCGGAGCGCTGTGTAGATACAATTACGTATACCATCCTCCACACCATCCGACTGAAACCACAGGATCGGGATCTTGTCAAAGCCCAAGCAGCATTGCGAGGCTTGAAGTACGATCAGCGTGTCACTTGAAGACCTGATACTGACGGAATACAGTCCTGGTCACATTCCCAAATATTTGGATTTCATCAAGAAGATGAACGAGAAACTAGCAGCCAGTGAGGCTGGGAGACAACCTGTAGGTCAGCCTTCACTTGCTGCATCGTCGCTTATCGGTGTCTAGGGAAAACATGGAATTACCCGAGATAGTGCTGCATTGTTTCTTGGGCGATATGGTAATGACGTAGACTTTCAGGATAACATGTATAGACCTGCTGTGCTATGGCATGCATTCTTTGGCTGACGGCTTTCAGGCCAGGCTTTCGACCTCGACTGAACGAGCCTAATCCCGAAAAACTTTTGTTTGAGCCAGAGAGATTAAAAACGATCTTGACTTGGGACCAACAACGGCAGATGTTGGACGAAATGAAAGCCGCTGCTGACAGTGTTGCAAGTTCACTTGGGGGCTTTTTCGAAATGAACAAAACTGTCGCTGCGTTCTACGTGTTTCAGAGTTGCCTACTGGAATTTGGCACGACATTCAACGCCAACGAGGCCGTACAGTGGCTGTTGAAAGCCTCTTCCAACGACGACAGCCACGAGGATGCAGATTACTTGTCGCAGGCCTGGCTGTGGCGGATCTCACGCGCGCTCGACGTCAGTGTCGACCTCGCTCCAGAGAGACTTGAGTCCCTCCTACAGGTCTCCGTGATGCGAGGTCACTGGTGCTGTCTCCAAGACATACTTGAGCTCGTTAACAGTAATACTGGGTCAATTCAACAGCAGTGGTGGGGCAAATTTCAGCAGTTTCGTAACATCTTGCTTTCGCAAATGGGTGCCGTTGGAATGGGCTACTTCTACCGGCCGCATATGACACGACCCTGGAATACAGTCAACATGAGAGATACCAAGGACCTTGATGAGAACATCGCCGCTATTCTAGGCGAAAGCTACAACTCCTGCCTAAAACTGCTCAATCTTCAGTCTCCAGGGTCGTCAACGCGACAAGGCCACGACGGAGGAAAAACCGCCTTTGATCGAATTTATGTCAATATACGAGGACACGGTCCGTTGCACTATGCCGCCGCAAGCGGTTTTCTTGATGCTCTGCGCTACATGATCGCAAGATATGAGTGCGATGTGGATCTGCCAAATCAGCATGTGGACGAGACCCCTCTAGTATGCGCCTGCTCTGGTGGGAAACTCGAATGCGCTTTGCTATTGCTCCATAATGGGGCTGATCCAAACGGATGTTGGCATGGGCAAGAAGGACCGCTACACTGGCTTTGTAGCTTTCTGCCCGACGAGATGGAGACTATCGCATCCGCACTAGTCACGGTAGGGGCTGATATCGAACTTCGTTCTGGCGGAATGCGCGCAGACGTTCGTGGTATACGAGCTGATTGGGAGCATCTTTTTGAAACCAGAACAACGCCACTTGGAAGGGCAGTGCTCATGAACAATCTCGAGGCAGTCAAGGTGCTTCTGAAATTAGGGGCTGATCCTCTAAAGAAGAGTGCTAACGCACATCCGGCTGAGTATAAAGGACTGCAGAATATGGCAACGATGATCGACATATCCTCGCCTTTTGAGATTGCTGCTGCCTTGACTCTTCCAGATATTCTTGCCGAATTCATCAAGCATATCGATGGTCCCAGTGGAACACCTCGACAAAAGCTCCTGGACGTGTCCTCCGTTATTAATCTAGCACGTGGCAAGAAAATCACCCAGTTTGACCCATTGTCGTTGCAAAGTCGTCTCGTTCGTCACGGACCCAAATGGAAAAGCAATCTTCTGGGTACTTGGGTAATACTGCATGTTCGCGCACTTCCTTTTCAGGGTGAGATGCCCGCCGAGGAGCTCCAAAAAGAACGTAGTAGGACACTGTGCAATGAGGTGGCTCTTGGAAACCTAGACATTGTAGAGTGCCTCCTAGAACTTGGGTATAGCGCTAGCGGAACTTCGGATCATCGGCCCCTGCACAAGGCTATCGAGTTAAATCACGAGGACATGTTCAAACTCCTCATACGTTACCGGGCGGATACTTCTGTTACAGCGATAACGCCCGTTGGCAGTATTTCCTTGCTCCATGTTTGCGCGTCGCGACCACGCCAGTCACGTCCAGGGAGAGCCATCGCCGATGCTCTCATCAAAGCTGGTGTGCCAATCGAGAGCACGGATAGACGTGTCAGACCACCCCTTGCAATGGCAGTACTGAACCAAAACTTTGACGTCGCTCGGGCGTTAGTCGAGAATAACGCTGATGTCAATGCGGTCTATCCACTCCAAGTTCCCAGTTTCAACGGGCCGGAGACCAAATCAGTCAGCGTTCTTGTGGAAATTCTGTCTCAACATACGAATCGCACCCTCGAATCGCTAAGGTTTCTTTTCGGCAAGCGTGAGGGTGGTCCAACCCAGCGACCTGCGTTCTACGTTGATCTGACTAGCAAACTGACTATTCTACACCTTCTTGCTGGTAGTCCCAACTACACGCAAATCGGTCAGATAACGCCCAAGATTCTCAATCTTTGTCTGGAAACCTACTCGGACTATGAGCTCATCAATTCAAGGCACCCGCTTCTTGGTACTGCGCTATATTACGCTGCTGCGACTGGACATAAGGCTATGGTAGAGCGGCTTCTGCAATATGGTGCAGATGAGACGCATTCTGCGGGTCCTGATGTTGATGATTCAGTGCAAACTCTATTCAGACCAAGAGACTCTTGGACGCCGCTTTGGGCTGCGACACTACGATTTGACGAAGAGTTGAAGAAGGGAGTGGTTTTTCCACCAGCTGGACCATCCGGCGCATGGCTAAACTCGAATGTCATACAGAATCTTGAAAAGAATGTGGCTTTCTTATCCCTTAACAACAAGGACGCGTTGGCTAAACAGGCCATCGAGCAACTTTGGAAGAAGAAGGAGTCGCTCCAGGCTGGATTTCGCACATCTCGGATGGAGAGGGCCATTGCGAAAAGAGCGAGGAAGGTCGGAGAAGAATCTCCTGTTGATCTTGGGATACTTTCTGGGAAACCCGGGGAGAATGACGAGAAGAGCATACGGGAGGTATGCACAGGCATTGAAGATGATTGGAAGACCGGGGAAGTCCAGGCGATCCTTGAGGGTCTTGGGCTCTAAGAGAGCAGATCCAGCGCCTAGAACTGCCGAGATCTAGAACACAACGTGGATAGAAAATCAATCCGGGGACGGCTGGGGAAGTAATGCCTCGGGCCTTTGCAAGGAATTTTGGGCTTCGAAGTTTTTCCGAGCCTCGGATCATGAGGTTTCCAGGTCACAACGATCAAGGTTAAGCGACACTGCGAGTAATGTTCCATGTCGACGGGCCTAAAAGGTTCAAGATCAACATGCAACATCGCAGGTCAATTACTATTCTCGTCAATCTACTTTGTCAAGCACGTGAGAATAGGGCTTACTAGAACTGTGCCGTCCTTCAGGGTTGTACAAAGCTATGTCAATTTGGGTAAAACAGCCTCCAGTCTTACCAATTCGAGTACCCCCAAAGGGTCGATTGTCCATCAGAGATCTGGAATCGTCTAGATGCTATGCAGCCATGCTACCAGATCCAGCGAGATCGAGTTCATTTCCTGACTTGGAGATTCCCATGGCTGGCTGAGAAACGCACTGCCGTGACCCTGACACCTCAAGCCTTGCTTCTCCAGGCGACGAACAAACCCTTGTGGCTTGACGTACTAACTTAACGAGTAATAAGAGCAGGAAGGTAGCTGTCGAATTGGTGCAATTGAAGTTTAGCTCACCTTTCTACTGCAGCATTTCGATAGTATCGGCTTCACCGACCTCAATATCCTGAGGAGACTGCAACTTCTAGAACGAAGGGGAAGAATGAGGAAAGAATGGTCCAGCCCGACGAGATTTCTATAAGACTCTACTCGATGTCGTCTCACTGCGTTATCCAGTCAACATTGAACAGCATCTCCTCTGTCGAGCTTCCATCATATCCAGGATCTCGCCATGCACTTCAACAAAGTAGCTGGGCTCACCTTGAGCGTCGCCATCCCCGCTTCCGGCCTCTCGATTCCCCGAGATGCAGCTCCTGAGCCTGCTTCTGGAGTAGTCTCCAAGATATTCTGCGATGTTGTGCGTGGTCTTGTCACTGTCGCAAAACAGCAACCCCAGGCAACTCCGTTCTGTTCTTCCTACCTCAAGATTCCTGTAGTCACCAAGACTTCCACGATCACTTCTTTTACTGCGTAAGATAGCACCATCCCTCTTTACCATTATTTCGTTGCTCACAAATGCAGAACCATCACGAAAACATCCACAATCACCTCAGGATCAACCACGACCACTGATGCAACGAACACGATCACAACAATTGCAACTGGAACCGAGACGGCCTCCGCCACCATCACAGAAACGACAACGACAACAGAAACCATCTCCACTGTCTCCTACTTCCCCACTATCACCGCATGTGCATCTCCACGAGCTGTGCAAAAGCGGGCTGCTGCTGCCCCTATCAAGAAGCCTTCATGCTTCGGCAACTACATCGAAGGCCAGGCCCTTAGCTCAGCATGCAAATGCCTCTCCGTACCTACCTTAAGTACAACCACGACGACGACCTTGAGCATTCCCACGACTACCACAACTTCAGTCACAGTAAGCCTTTAAGCAGCTCCACCAACCTCTTTTTCCAGTTACTAACCAATGATCGCTCTATCAGGTACCCCTAACGATTTTTGCAACTGCAACAGCAACGGAAACCGGTACCGCAACGGATACCATTACGAACACAGCCACAGAGACGTCCACAATTACTGAGCGGACAACGGTCTACACCGCAACGTCTCCCGTCATCGCCATCCCCACATTCACCGTCTACGCTATCGGAGGCCCTAATAGCGGCAACCCGATAGCCGACGCAGGAGTGTATATACCCAATACAGTAGGCGACCAGAGGGGATTATCGCCAGTGCTGCAGTTCACCACAGTGAACAACAACGTTCTCAAAGTTCTCAATGGACCAAATGCGGGCTCTACAGCTGCAACAAACCCCAATGCAGGTGGTAGTGGAGCTTACGTTCTCTTTGGCTCCACTGCGAGTGGCCTACTTGATACCACCTGCCAAGTCACTGCCAACAGCGACGGTACGTGTCCACTATCTTGCCAGGCGAGCAGAGGTACTACTAGCTATGATTGTGGGACTTACTGGAGGATTGGTAGCGATGCTGATGTTGGGAATTGCAACCGATTTACCCCCTATGCCGTCGGTGGCTAGATGGTAGATGTGGTAGTTGTATTAGTGCTTGACTAGAGGGACAACAAACCGCCCGCTTATAGACAAATCGATGCTTAGAAACTGTATTGAGGTAAAGAACACAAAATTACTTCACCTATTGCTCGTTCTTCTTCCCAGCGGCCTCGTTTCAGCAAGTGTTCCGAACCCCGCGTGACCTGTACCTGCTCCCCCTTCGTCTACCAGCTCTCCATACCGAATCTTCATGCTTAACAACTCCTCTCTAACACTCTCTTCTTCCTCGTCTTCCTTGTCTTTCTCAATCAGCCTTTCCATTTCAGTGCGCCCCGTATTCGTAGTCACAATCTGTAAGAACCCCCCATCCGTCGCCGGTACACCATTCGCCATAAGCGACCAAATTCCAATACCAACGAACGCTAGAGCAAAGCTGAGAGATAAGGCGTATGGAATGATTAACTTGATCGGGCTAGAGAAATGGTACGTAGTGCGATACTCGGTGATGTTGACTGGATAAGGGACACGCCACGTATCAAGAGTAAGTGCGGAGATGCTCACGTTGGTAAGGAAATCGTTGAGCATGCCTTCGCTCAAGTCCAGATCTCGACGTGGGTCAAAATCCTCCTGCCATATCCAGTTGTAATCCGATCCGAATTCCACTGCATCATCGATTTCTGTATTGTATATGGATGTGACGTTGTATCGCTGTGTGTTGAATGCCGACCATTCAATAATCGTGTCGTCTGCAAATAATAAATCAGCCAAGAGAACATGACTTTCATAAGGGTAAAAGACATCTCCGAGGACATACTCTGCTTGATAGTGCTGTTCGATAACGGGACTAGAGTTCCATTCCACTGAGTATAGTTCCAGTTTTCAGCCTCACCCATAAAACCCTCCCATGTGTATTGCAGACTTAGAAGGGAGGCATCCATCGGCACATACATATCCCAGTTTGTAAGACGGTCCCTTGTCTGAGAATCCCACTCGACATACTCCGGAGTGTCCACGGGGACATCAGAGGCATTCGGCCATGGCTTGCCTGTTCCGTACGGGAATCTGTATACGCTCTGAGTGATATTAGGCATTGGCTGTACGTCGTTGATAACGTGACTGATGTGTCGCACCCCTCGAGTGTATGAGACGTTTAGATGCATAAGTACCGAGAAGGGTTCACAGATTAGGCTTTCTGTGCTTACGGCATATTCATACATCAATGAATTGTTATTGAATCCGTACATTCCGGGATACCGTATCTTGCTGATGTTGAACACTGGTAGTGGATCCGCCCAGGAAGCTTTATTATCCCAGATGATTGCGAACACGGGTGCTGAGCTAGGGATCTTGCTAATATAAGTCCAGTTCTGTGTCTCTTTTTTGCAATCCAGCTGTAGGGTTCGGTACTCTAGAGCGTAGCTTATGTTCTCACTTTTGGGTGATGGAAAGTCAAGTATCTCCCCACTTAGTAAAACTAGTTTTGCTAGGCTGAGAAGTGGCCTCGAAGGCTGTCTAGATGATCCGTCAGCGAATTCAACGAGGTGCAATGATTCATTTACTCACACGTAGTCGTAGTTTACTGTACCATCTAGACCGTCGTTTTTCAGCCCTGAATCTCGTGGCATGGAAGCCCTATACAGATACGCGAGACTGGAAACCGAGGTATGATTAGGATAAAGAAGGTTGAGATTATCCGGAGGTGGTAGATTCATGACCGAAAGACTGACGTTCCGAATCGAGGTATAGGGTCGAGAAGTAACGGTCAACGAAGACGGTGGATAAATCACTGCTAGCGGCAACAGCCAAACGAACACAGCCATCGAGAATAAAAAAGGCGTCTCTTTCACGATCTTAACCTAATGTAGGTGTACGAAGTCAGTATATAACCCACATACAGTCCGTATATAGAAGTTACCCACCCTAGCTAGCTCAAGGGGGTTCGAGCGAATATGGAACAGCTGCTCTATTTGAGCTATCCGGAGGAGTCTTCGCCGAAAGATCATCCATAAGTGTTGTGTAAATGAGAGGCCTACGCTGGCGACTAGGCATGCTTTGAACAACGTTGTAATGAGTAGGGAGATGGCGATGACTTCGGATTGTTCGAGTAGGCGATTCTCGGCGAAGGTACCGTTGAGGTGGACGTAAAAGATCGCATGAGCAACGGCGAGTAGTACAGCTAACTGATATGAGGTTGTTGCTCTCCATAGTAGGGGGCTCATACACGTACCAGTAACAAAAAACACAACGATAAGAGCAATAGTAGCTCGCCGACGAGTCCAAGTTGATGTTAGCCATGGTGGTTTGGAGATGCTCGTGCTAGTTTGCGTTACTGAAGATCCAGGGGTGGGCGCGATTGATTCTCTGCCACTAGCAGGTATAAGTTGTGTTGACTGCTGGACATTGTGATCTTTACCACGCGCTGTGTGATCGTCGTCTTCGCTCATTCTGTTCAATTTCCAAGACAATGATTTCTACAAACAACAGGATGGAATAATGAAAGAATCAATACAAATTGGGAATCTCGATGCTTTAGCGTATTGAAGTCCACCATCAGCCTCGTGCGGCCCCCAACACGCCACCACCAGAGGACGGCGGGGTAGTTCTTGGCAGCAGATACATATTCAACAATACTGAGACATGACGTCTTATGATAGGAGGGAAAACAAAGAAAAAGCAAGCCTATCCCCCACGCATACTATCTTGGGCTGCCTCAACCTCAACCTCAACCTCAGCCTTGTCTACACAGCAGTACGCTGATTACGATGCGAGTAGTATGCGCGCCTAGCAATAGCCCCATTGACACACTTGGTACCACTGGCCACAGGCTGCATAATCGCCTTGCCAAAGTTGCAGGTACCGAATTGCATGCCATCGGCTGAGCACACGGTGGCACCGTCAGAGCTACATTCTTCTCCACCTGAACCTGTAATTGGACCTACAGGAGAGGGTACGACGGACGGCTGTGGTTGAGCTGCAGGAGATTGGCCGGTTGGTCGAAGTGCTGCGGACGGAGCGACAACGGAACCGGTGGGAATAATAGCGGATCCTGCACCTGGAGCGAATACGCCGTCAGTCTTGGAGGGTAGAGGTTGCATGGGCGCGGTGACAGTCTTGATAGTGCGGAAGGTGGATGAGACGGCGGCTACAGAGGAGGGTGTGACTACAGATTGAGAAGCTGGTGGAGTCGGAGGAGGGCTGGCGGAAGCCGAGCCAGCGGCTGATGAAGCACCAGTGCCAGTGCCGGCATCGACGTTGCCACTACCACCACCAGCACCACCCGTATTCGGCTGAGAAGCCGAGCCAGAACAGAGATCCGCAAAGGGACCTGTTCCAGCAGACATGACGTATTTTCCGGGGTTTTCAAACGTAAAGTCTTTGCTCTCGACGCTTGTGCCGCAGGATGCAGAGACTCCGATATTTGCAACCGCCATGTCAGGAAGAGCCTCGAAACCAGCTGTATCGTTGGAGCTTCCAGAAACGGTGATGGGCGCGCAGTTCATGTACATCTCCCTGTTTCCAATCTTGTTGAACCATGTCCACGCTGTAGTCATGACTCCATTGGGAAGCTCAGCAGGAACAATGAACTTGAAGGCATTATCGGTACTGGGACCGTTCTCGTCGAGATTACCCTTGGCAGAAACAGGACAGCCACCTTCGATGGAGTAGATGACTTTCCACTTGGATTCCTTTGTGGGCTCCTTGTCGGTGGTTACGCTCATTTGGCAGGAGCCGCCGCCGTGGACAGCTGTGCCGGTGAAGGATAGGGTCTGCTCGGAACCTACGGGCCAGTTGTTCATGGTTTTGACGGTGTATGGTACGGCTTTGCAGGGGAAGTCGGAACCGGAGGCGTCGAGAGGAGAGTTGTTGGGATTGCCGTAGGGTACAGGATTCGCCATGATTATATGCGCGTTTGCGTGGAGCGGCGCCATGGCCAGCATGGTCACCGCGGCGACAAGGATCGACTTGATGGACATGATGTTCCCTAGACCAGCTGAGGAATGTGTGTTGGTATTCGAAATGGTGTACCGGAGGTGTGTGATCGAAGACGGTGCTGTTGTGAACTTGTCGCAAGTAATGATCGGAAGTATTAGTTGGGAATACTTCGATGGTTGCGTGGTTGATATGCTTGTCTTGTTTGTGATTTCGGTGAGTTGGGTAGGAAGAATATCAGAAAAGTCTTTAGTAGTCGCAACGCTAGGAGTAAAGAGAGTGTTGTGGTATGATAATGTAATAGCTCCGCCAGTGAGCAATATTACAATAGCTTCACAATGGAAAAGAGCGTGGATAGAAAGAGTGTGGGTATGAATATAAGAAGATGTAAGAAGATGAAGGTGAATGTGGACGATAGCAGCATTGAAGGCTCTTTAAGGGATGAACGCGAAGCGCTGTTATGTGACCGGGGTCAGTTAATGGTGACAGCGGTTAGTCAACGATTCTTGGCGGTTATTTAACGGGGACAGCGGTTAGTTGAAACGGTGACGGCGGGTAGTTCATGAAGACTGCGCAGGGCTCGACGGTTATGAATAGCCATCGGTACCATCCGTCCTCTACCTTGCCCATGTCATGAAACCACTTGCGCTACGTGCAATATAGAGAATCCATGGTTGATCCTTAAGCGGTAGAAGGATACCGAGGGGCGAACAACAACAGGGAACGATCAGGCTCCGACGTCGTGGGCGCCACTGATCATGTAAAGAAGGCATGGCTCGCATCTGAATTTCCATCTCTTTTTTTACCTACAGTGTATTCTACAATAGACAAGTAGAGAACTTGTGCGACGGAAGGCCTCTGGACATTTCGAAGTCTTGCTTGCTGATGTATTGGCACGGAGGGCAGGTTCTTCAAGCGCGGAAGATGCCATTATTTACGAAAGGGCCTCGGATAGTCGCGGCGATTGCTGCATTGATGGTATCGAAGAGTGCAATAGTCACATCATGAAGTGGAGCATGCGAGGTGAAGGGGAAAGAGCCCTAGTGACTTGTGTATTAGCGGGTCTTGGCAACACTAGCCGCTTCGCAACCGCGAAAGCATTCCATCGCCAGTCAGGGACGCGCAAGAGTATTCGCAATTCGAACGGTTTTCACTATCGGACGTAGGAGTAGGGGCAATCGCGAACCGATAAACTTTCTGACGGACCCCGTGCCCCTGTCGCCGCATACAGTGCACCCACCGATATCGCGACGCGTTTAGTGTTCGCGAGCTCTGCTGAGCTTCCTCACATCTCCTACACGAACCATCGACCGTGTCAACAGCCATGTTTACGAGTACGGGAAAGACGGCGCCACCACAGGCTTTCATGTCCAGTTATGCGCCGCGATTACGGAGCCACGGAAACTCGCTCATATCGCCCATTGTGCCGCCCTCGAATACCCTGCCTGCGCCGCGCGTGACAAAACGCGGAACTGCCGTTGCCAGCTATGCGGAAGATGCCTACGATGATGACGACTTTGAGGATAGCGATCGACCGCGACGGGCGACGGGTCTGCGCAGCGTGCAAAAGATGGACGTGGCCAGCGCAGACCATACGGCGCAAATAGCAGCTTTGGGCCAGGAGCTCACTGCGCCTGTCGACATACAAGGGATATGGCGAGACTGGATGGGCAGGCCGAAGCGCACACTGTGAGTGGCATGGTGGCAGCGTTTAGCGATGGCATGCAGACGGCTAACACACTGCAGTACAGAAAAACAAGTGCAGACGCAGTCAGTCTTGCCCGTCACGTTGATACCGATTCGAATAGACATGGACATCCAGGCTTTCCGCCCTGATGCGCCGCTGCCAACACCTTCCAACGCTCGAGAATTTGGTATCAACGAGAACCTACCCGCGTACAAACAGCCCGACGTCACTCCTGCGTATAGGCTGAAGGACTCGTTCCTTTGGAACCTGCACGAGGCTTTGACGACGCCTGACCAGTTTGCAAAGCAGTTCGTCGATGAACTAGATCTGCCAAACGATCGAAAGCCCCTCATAATCTCCCAAATCGCAAACCAGATTCGGCAGCAGCTAGAAGAATACGCCGGTGTTGCGCTACATCCCCTCTTCCATTCCGCAAACGCGCCCGCTATCCAAGGAACGAATGCAAAGACTGCTCTACCTGCGACATCTCGAGACGGCACTTCCACACCCCGAGTACCAGCCACCAACGGCGCGTCGACGCCTATGACCAACGGCGTATCGCATACAAACGGCACGCAGACACCAGCGGGCATTCCAAATGGCATCAGCGCGACCGCGACTGCCCTGCCTTCCGAAGAGCTCCACAACCCTGATGACACCTACCGGTGCATCGTCACGCTCAACATCAACCTCATGAACCGACTATACACAGACAAGTTCGAATGGTCGCTATTGCACCCGCCCGGGTTCGCAGAGATGTTTGCCAAAACGACGTGCGCAGATCTAGGCTTATCAGGGGAGTGGGTGAACGCCATGACACACAGCATCTATGAAGCAGTCCTGCGACTAAAGAAGGAAGCTTGTGAAAATGGCGGACTAGTTGGTGACGGCGAAATCGACAACGACGCTGTCGAGCCAACAATCGGCGCGGGCTGGAGATACGACCAAGAGCACCTTTGCGATGAATGGGAACCGAAAGTGGAAATCCTATCACCAGAAGAGATTGAGAAGCGTGAAGGCGACCGCGAGAGGCAGATCCGCAGACTACGCAGAGAGACTGCGCGCTTCTCCTCGACAGCGAATATGACTGGCACTCCCGCCAACGAGTTCTTCAACAACATCGAAGGACAAGAGAATATGGGTCGCGGCGAGCGCAGCAAGAAGAAGAGGCGGTTCAGAAGTTTGAGTCCGGTTGGAAGAGGCACGCCTGGCGCTGGAGGAGGATCCGGCTATGGCGGGCAGGATGGAGGGCTACAAGAAGGGTATGTAACTTTCTCATTATTGAACACGAGGATTGGGAATATCGGAACTGACAACAACTACAGGGAGCGACAAACATGGCGCTGCGCACACTGCTGGGTCTGGGGAACTGCCGTCTGGGCCGTCCGCGACGGACCAAAAGGCCCGCGTACCCTTTGCAATAACTGCGGTTACCTCTACGAACGAGACAAGAAACTTCCGCCTTGGTCGGAAAATCTGTTCTATCATGAACGGCCGCAACATGAGGTTCAACAATATCGACCGCAACGATGAGAGTAGACTTCGAGACATCTTGACAGGGCTTTACTTCATCGGTAGTGAGAGCACAATCTTGGCCGCGATTATTGCACTGGCGATTTGCCTTGTGTCCCGTCTTTCAGTGCAGGGGTGGTGCTTGAACACCCGACTATGGGTATTTGATATTCTGGAGCATTTTCTGCAGCGTGGCGTCTTGGGCTTGTCCTGTCATCATGGCAGGCTTGTAAAACACGTAACTTTCTCGTCCTCAAATTTCGGACATGGTGGCCTATTGGCTGGTGTCAGGTATCGGGTTGGAGGACCATTGCTATGATGTGGTTTGCCAGACACGGGTATGTATCTGCCTTGTAGAGTGCGAACTCGAAAACAACTGTCTCAGCCAACAACATACGGCGTTGCTGCTACTGCCTATATGTTGTATACTACGTGCCGGGGGTTTACAATATGATTGGCACATCACAGATAAGTTTTACCAGCTAGCAGTGCATATTGTGTTCATATTGTTCTTTCTCTCCTTCCTAGCGCCCTGTCAAACGCGTTGGGGACGCGTCACTTTGGTATTGCATGGGACCAATCATATATTCTACGTCGACGCTGGGTATCTGAACTGAGGATTCTGGGAACAGAATGCCGGATCAGCGGCTCGAAGGGCGCGTAGAAGATGGATGTGGTGGCTTGTCTAAGTGTAGTATGGGACGAGTGCAGGTTGTAACTTGAGGTTTTTACGAAGGATTTTCCGGGTAATAGCAAGCCTTGAGTCTTTGTCTGAGTACGCCATATCAGATTTGCTAGACGCTGTTTTCTGTTTCAAAATACGAGCGCTGTTGGTTGTATCAAGAAGGTTCTCATATATATTCTAATTATGAAACACTTGAGAGCACCATGGTGCCTTCGAGGCTGATTCTATTGTCTCGGTGCGAGCCTTCTTCCTATTGTGCACCAAAACTGTCACCCATCATTCATGTGCCCAGTCATCCACGCCAGCTATTGCATTATCGATTCTATCCAACACACACTGTCTCAGTACCCAACGCTTCTCACACCCCAGCATGACACCTCACGTGCATGTGGCGTGGGAGCAAACGTCTTGGTGTTGATTGGTATGATGGTCTTGCGCAAGACATTGCTTGTTATTGTGCCTTGTTGAATGTGACATCAGAAATGAGGAATGGAGGAGTCAGCATACGTTGCACGGGTGTGTACAGGCGGCGCACAAAATCCGTGCTCAGTGCTACAGTGTCTACCAATTAAACCCAGCCTAGTACAGCAGGTGTACAAACTTGATGCTATTGTCAGTGCAGGTGCCGTCGTACATTGGCGCTTAGCGCCTCTCCCAATCAGCCATCATCCATCGACCCACATTCCTACCTACATGCCATACTACCTAGTGATTGGACCACATTGATGTGTCCTCCACCTTCTTATTCGTAGGACGATCATACTATCCATCCAATGCTGGCGCACCACAGCAAAGACGGCCGAAATCAGTCTAGCGCATCTTTATTGTGACAATAGCAACAATGGCCGTACCAGAGGCCCGAGATCCGAAGTCTTCTCTACCGGTAACGGCTAGCTATTTTACGAGGTGTGTCAGTGTGGCGCGTGGGTGTTTAGGGAGGTATGCGAGCTGGTTCTTCTTATTGTGTTAGGTATTGTGTTGGGTGTTTCAGGTGAAGTGGTGACTAGTGGGCGGCGTGCGGAAGGATATGGGTGTATATATAGGTGACATGCCATTATTCATAGTTATACGAGATTTACTGAGTCTAGTGTTGAGGGTTGGCTGTTCGTAGTTCCTGAATCCTTTCGTGTAAAAGGGCATCTTTTGCTGACTTACGCTAGATTTGTCTTACAAACAGCGACAAGAATAACAACAACGGGCCAACGTCATCCGCAATATTACTACATCATCATATCACGGCCCATATACTGATTTTACATCTCATCCTACTCCTCTTCGTGGTCACGCAACAATCCACCGGCAAAGTGTTTAACCACGAACATTTTGCCAGTGCGGGTACCGAACTCGCATGATCACCGCCCAATCCGTCACATCAACATCACGCCACAACCCCACGATCACGATACCCCACAAGAAAGATTCGTAACAAATCGGGAGGGTATCGCTTGGCCCTTGTTATATGTCATGGACCCATTTCGCGAAGACACAGCAATAAATCTTGCAAAAGTAGCATCAACACTAAACAACGATTCATCATCATCATCTCCAACAACCAACAGACTATCCACCCTATATCCCAACAACGAAACATTAAACTCGCCTTCACCTTCCTCCTCAATATCGGGAGAGCATATACCAACAGTAGCACCACCCGCATACCACACAATCATAGACACCAATATGCCCATGCCCGACATAATGTCTCCCTACGACCCCCTACCACAAGAAGGGCGAGACTCCGATGACCTCAACAGTCAAGAAACGTGCGACGACGACACACCCGAAATCACCATAAACGCCGCCACCCAGATCCGAGGCCATGGAAACATAATTTCCATTGCGCAAATGGATAGCGTACGGATAGCGAATCTGATTTCCAGTATACTTACCGGGGACGACACCACCCCTTCTACTACTACTACTACTACTTCTTCATCCCCGTCCGCCAACTCCAACTCCGACGACAACGCTGCAACTGCTCGTCCGCCAACGCCAACAAGTCCAAGGGCTCAGAGGGAGTGTACGTCGACGACGCAAGTGCGAGGCATAAAACGCTGGTCTAACATCAACATCACGGTGAACTGCGGCGCTACCATTATTGGGGATAGGAATATCGTTGGACCGGGGTTGGGTGATATTGCGAGGCAGATGCAGATTGCGCAGAGGAATCAGGCGGCTCTACTTGCTCAACAGCGAGCGGCAGCCATGGCAGCAGGGCAGGCGCAGAAAATGGCGTCGCCACAGAATGGTGCAGTGATGTCTGGTGGAGTGTTCTTTTCGGGGAGGCCGATGGGAGAGGGAGCTGGGATGGCTGGCGTGGGCGTGGGCGTTGCGACGCCCCCAATGAGTCGCAGTTCTAGTTTGAATAGTGAGGTGGGAGGGAGGAAGAGGAAAGCAGGGGGTGATGATAGTGGGGAGGGGGCTGTGGGGAAGAGGCGTTGGTGATGGTTGTGATAACGATATAGGCAAGTCGGGTGGCTTCTCTCGATTCGAGGATCATGTTTTATTTTTCGTGTTTGTTGTCGCAGGGGCGGTCCGAGCCTTCTGGAGTCTACGTTGGCGTTGTTGTATACCAAATGGGAATGGGTAACGAGTTATGAGGTATACAGGGTTGGGGTTCTTTTTGTTGGTTGATACCCTAGGTAGTCGAATGATAGTCGTTGGTCCATATACTGCTGTTTGTTCCTTTTGCACCAGATCAGCTATTCTCAAGTCGAACTTGTGTACTGCAAGGGCGATAGTCATTCATATGTCAATGATCATCGCGGCTAAAAGTGTATCACCTTCGCCGGACTGACCAGAAGAGACCGCTGTTGGCTACGAGGAGACTAGAAGAATAGAGAGGGCTGCTTGCGAGACCATGTAACAGTGGCGACATGTCAATGATGCAGCGGCAGATGATGAATGGCTTCGTGTTCAGCCGCTTAAAACGTTAGAGGCCGCCGTCGGGGGTCGGGGGTGTCGGAGTTAGCCTTCCGCGCGAGCTTGGTGCTTGATGCTTCGTGTCCTTTTCAAGGCGCCTATGGATGTGGATGCAGCCATGAAGTGGTGATGATCAAGGCATGTGTTTTGAGATTAGATTAGACAAGATATATAGAAGGTTCGACTGGAATAGTGAATTGCATATAGGAAGTATAATCATCCGCCGTCGTATGCATCCTGCCCGCCGCAGCGCCTCAACTCACCCCTGCTTAGCGGCATCCCAAACGGGGAAGCACTCCTAAGCTCACTACCACATGCTCGCACCTTCACTCTGCCTCCTCCAGCAATTCCTCTTTCTCTCGCCCTACATTGCTAGCTTCGACACACCGAGTCGATGCGGGAGTGTAGCACGTGAATTCAACACGATCCTCCTCCAACACTGCGCCGCCAGTGTCAAGTGTGCGATTTGGTGGTTGCACTCGACGGTTGAGTAGCTCCCGAAGCGGTTCAACACCTTTACCTGGCCTCTTCTCGCAACGCAACGCCATCGAAGCCGTCGAGCAAAGCAGCCTGTGCGACGCGTCTACTCACCACATTACGACGCCCAAGCTCAGGCAAAACTAATTACCTGTAAGCCCCTTTTGTCGACTGCTCCTTGCTCCGCCTCCCTGCACTCCGTCATGCTGCTCTCGCCATTTGGCTTCCCACCTTCCTGCCACTTTGCACTCGAACCATTGCCTGACATCAGACATTTGTAATAGTCAATCCCACATATACCACCAACTGCATCTTCGAGACGTGCATACCACACTTCTTACATCATGGAGCCGTGGATGAGCTGGGCCGTGTTCCTGGCCATTGGAGGCGCCGTCTACTGGTACTACATGCATCAAGGCAATACCGCTGTTGCGCGAGGACGATCGACCACTGGCAAGCCCACTACCAACTCCCTCAAGGAGGCGGTCAATTGGGACAGCTCGGAGAAGAAGCCCAAGGCCGCACAGAAGTCTGCAAAGCCCAAGGCGCCTCGCAAGTCAGTCAAGACGGCTGTTGAAGATGCCGGCAACAAAGCTGCCGCTACGCTGTCGCAAGCCGCCCCCAAGCAGGCTGCCGATGAGGAAGTCGCACCGCCCGCCGCCTACACGAACAAGGCCCCAAGCGGCAAGGATGTCTCTGACATGCTCGGTGAGCGACCCGTCTCCCCTGCTGTCATGAGCATCAAGCCCTCGGAGAAGCCAGCCAAGTCGGTCAAGGCCCAGACACAAAAGGCAGAGGTCGCGACCGAATCCAAGAAGCAGCGCCAGAACAGGAAGAAGGTCGAAGAGGCCAAGGCGGCGCGTGAGGAAGAGGAGAAGGCGCGCAAGGCTCTTGAGGAGAAGCAGCGTCGCGTCGCTCGTGAGGCTCGTGGTGAGCCGGCCAAGAATGGTCTTGGACAGAGCAAGCCCCCTGCCTCGAACCCTTGGACCGAGGTGCCCTCTCGTGGTGCTGTTCAGCCTCCCAAGCCCGCTTCGACTGGTCAACTCCTCGACACCTTCGAGGCTCCCGTCCAGACTGCTACTAAAACCACTGCCCCTACCAGCGGCGCTGCTAAGACTTCTACCCCTCTCAACAGCCTCCCCTCTGAGGAAGAGCAGATGAGACTGGCTATGGAGGACTCGGCCTGGACCACGGTTCCCAAGGGCGGCAAGACGAAGCGCAAGACCGTGAACGAGGAACTCGCTGAAGAGCTCAATAACGTCACCGAGACGAAGCCGCAGCAGTCCGCCAAGCCAGTTCGTCCAACGGAGACCATCAAGGAGAACAAGAACCCCAGCTCTCGGTACCAGATCCTTGCCGAAGAGTTCAACCCCAAGACTGGCGACGACGCCGATGACTGGGCGGTCATGTGAAGTTCACAAACGTCGCGAAGCCAACAGCTCGTCTCAGGACCTCGGGTGCATTCACGTACCCTGGACAACGATACACCTTTCGAATCTTGGTCAACCCCATGACCTTGGCGTCAATCCAACAATTGACAATGTGCATCACGATGGTATCATATTTGGCATGACGGATGGGCACAACTCAATATGACGGTGGAATTGTCCTTGTAAGCATGGGTATGGCTGGAACATTGGATGGGTTCCTTCCTCTACTTTGCTATCCAGGTAATGGAAAAGCATCGGCGTATGGGGTTGTTGCATCTGATCTTATTGCAAAGGTATCTCTAGCATTCTCGTCTTGTACTTCAATACTACACCCAAAAATGAAATTGGTACCCAACGCTGACCAATCGTGTCGTGTTGGTGAAAGCTATAAATACAATCGTGCTCCACCTGATGGCCAAGTGCCCGTGCCAAGTGGTGAGATAGCTAGTCAGAATTGGTTCGGAAGTATTTCGTACCGACTCATATTTCTGACGCCATGAGTACGAGTGTATGTTTTGAGAAATCTGGCCTCTAAGTGGTAACTCTTAGTAGGTTGCGTGAACCGAGGGACGAGCGCGACAGCAACCCTGGGAAAACAGCACACACGGCGCGACGCAATATCTCGTGCATTCTATCTATATAACAACAGCCGTCACGCGCCAACTAAACTAGACAACTATCCCACTCCTGCAATTTATACTAGCCTGCAACAGAAGGAGTTATAGTGAGACTACAAGGTAACGCGCAATAGGTCTAGTCGCGCTGACATAATCTGACGTTTCCGAAGTTCAATCGCGTGAAGGACACCTGTTCGGAGCAGCGCAGCGAGACCCCCAATCACCTTTCTTACAACTTCGCCGCCCACCCTCTTTTTCTTCACTTCTCTACTACACAACTGCACCAGCCATGGCGCAGATACGCGGCACAGCTGGCTACCATCTGGGCAACCAAAGCCCATTCGGCAACTCGGGGCGCAACGACGAGAGCAGAAATGACCCCAGTCCGCTCGATCAATTGAGGGCGCAGACAAGCAAGCTCGAGGACATGCTGGACACTGTCGCCGACCCCATCAAGCCGTGAGTTACAATGCCGCTTGTTTTGTGCTACACCAGCAATGGGTCACACAACGCTCGGCCGCTCGAGAGAGAAACTTGGCTAACGAGTGAATGTGATTCTTAGTTACCTACCTGGCATCGGCCGCTTCCTCATCGTCGTTACTTTCCTCGAAGATGCCCTAAGAATCGTTACACAATGGACTGATCAGCTCACATACCTACACGACTACCGCCACAGTACGTCCCGCCCCCTCACCAATACCCCCTCACACAAGCGCGTGGTCAACATTTGCTAACGTGGTCTATCCATATTTTCAGTCTGGAACGGAGTCACACACCTCTTTCTCATCACCAACATCATCTTCATGATCGTCTGCTCGTTTGGTGTCATCTTCCGCAAATACTCTGAATACAGCGTCGCGGGCCTCATGGCCGTCGTCGTTTTACAAGGAATCGGTTACGGGCTTGTCTTCGACCTCAACTTCTTCCTGCGCAACCTGTCTGTCATGGGCGGTCTGCTTATGGTATTGTCTGACTCCTGGGTCCGCAAGAAGTTCGCGCCTGCTGGCCTACCCCAACTCGACGAGAAGGATAAGAAGATGTACTTCCAGCTTGCTGGTCGTGTCTTGCTCATCTTCCTCTTTGTCGGATTCGTTTTCCGTGGTGACTGGGGCTTCTGGAGAATCATTGCTAGTCTTTTGGGACTTGTGGCTTGTGTCATGGTTGTTGTTGGTTTCAAGGCCAAGTTCTCGGCCATTATGCTGGTGCTTATTCTCAGCGTCTTCAATCTCTATGTCAACAACTGGTGGACACTGCACCCGCACCACCCCCACAAGGACTTTGCCAAGTACGACTTCTTCCAAATCCTTTCCATTGTTGGCGGCCTCCTCTTGCTGGTCAACATGGGCCCCGGTCAATTTTCCGTCGACGAGAAGAAGAAGGTCTACTAGACGTGAATCTATGTTCACGCATTACGACACGTGCCCACGATGGCAGCGAAACGGTCACCTGTATATTCGTTATATAAACGTTTATGTTCTTGCGATGGCGGTTTGGAACCACTCACAGACCAGACAATTGGGAGTTGGGAAGAAGGAGAGATGGGTTCAAGTCCCCGGCCTAGGATGTGTTTCTGCCAGGCACTGGGTTAAGGCAAACGTTGTTAGAAATACGGTCCATCCGGCGTTCTAGTCATACGCGATCGGGTCATGGATCGCTTGTTTATGGGGGAATCGTTTTATTTTATCTACATATATGGCAAATGCACTTGGTCCACCTGTCCATGGACCCAAATTCACCTATCCGCGCATTTGCTTACTCGATTCCTTTTGGGAAATACGATACGAGACGGACCCACTACGTCAAAGTGGAGCGGGTATCGGGGAACTCCGTGTTCGCGCGTTTGCGAGAAATGTACACACCTGCCACGCGTGGTTTGGTGTGTAGGCGTTGCATGTGGGTTTGCGGTAGCGCACGCTAGTTATCTAATCGTACATACGTATCATGCAAGCAAGTTAACAAACAACGCTTTTTCTATACTACTACAAACACCCATTTTGAACCTCTACTCCTCAATCTTTAAACGGAACCGACAACATGGCGCCCAGCAAGATAATTATAGATACCGACCCCGTAAGTACGTACCTTTGCCCCAAAGAAAATGCGGGGTAAAGTGTCGGTGTGGAGGACTCTGGGGAGGCAAAAGGGAGGATGGTGGAGGTCTCCTGCTTGAAACAAGAAAGAGCTTCTACTTTTCCTCCGCGAACAGCCCTATGGTTTTTGCCCTTTGGTTTCCCTTCTCCAAGTTGCCTGTCCCACTTCAAAGTTTGGCATGTCCCCCGTATGGAACCATTAGAAAGAGCAGGGATAGGCGGATCAGGGAGAAAGTTGGTAGTTGAGCTAGGCTAACGAGAGTTGATGAAATGATAGGGCGTCGATGATATTCTAGCCATGCTTCTGGCCTTTTCGGCCAAGAGCGAGGAATTGGATATTTTGATGTTGAGTTTGACATTTGGCAATGTCGAGGTGAAGAAGTGAGTTGGAAATACTCGCCACTGCGAACCTCTACCTCTTTCCACGAATGGAGGGATAGATGGAGAACTGGCTAACTGGATAATAGTTGCCTAAGGAATGTGGTTACGCTATTCCACTACATCGAGAAGGAGAGGGCATGGCGGAAAGAAAATGGGAGGCCGGAGGGCTTTGAAACATTGAATGCGAGGAAACCTATTGGTAGGTTTTTTCGATACGCAGAGATGACTGCGAGAAGGTAGTAAGATACTAATATGCATAACAGTCGCTGTTGGTGCTGAAGAGCCGTTGGCGGAACACATGATGGTGGCAGACTTTTTCCGTAAGTCGACAATAACATTCTCTGAGTTGGATGAGATGGGTTAGAGAGTGGAAAGCTGATGTGATTTCCCCAGATGGCATCGATGGACTTGGAGGTATACATCATAGCGTGCGTTCTTCCTCCCACCACAACATGTCCTCGATTCCTCGCTGATCTGGAACAGCACCCCCATCTCTCGCCCGAGGAGACGTGGAAATCACTCTTCACACCTCAGCCGAAGAATCTTGCGGCGGAAGAAGCTGCAGCGCTGCAAAAGGTCAAGGAGAAGCACTCGCTCTTTACGCCGTCGCTCAAACCAGCACATGAAGTCATGCTCGACTTGTTGAGGGAGAACGAACCGGATACGATTACTATCGTGGCTGTTGGTCCGCTGACGAATCTTGCTATCGCTGCTGCGAAGGACCCAGAGACGTTTTTGAAGGTCAAGGAGGTAGTTGTTATGGGTGGTGCTATCGATGCGCCTGGAAATGTAAGTTTTATCCTCTACTCCTCACTCCCCATATCCCCTTGTCCCAACCCCAATCGGGCGATACACAGCTCTGAAAGGCTATTCATAGCGTTCACCGCCACCCCTCCACCTCATCTACTCCCCAACTACCCTCTCTATTCCCGCTCCACCATTCGGTTTGATCAAACAGCCGAATACTTCTCTTCGGTATTCGCTAAACAAACGCAACCAGATGACCCCAGGAGCCGAATTCAACACTTACGCCGACTCCGTAGCGTCTGCCCGCGTCTTCGCATTGACATCGCAGAACCCCCATCTCACCATGCCACCCGTTATTTCAAACAACAAAAAGGAGCAGTTACCGCCTTACCCGGAAAAGTTGAGCAAGAGGCAAGTTCCAAACTATATGCGTAATTGCACATGAGACAAAACAACTAACTTTATCCCTCTTCCACCTCTACAGACTAACAATCAAACTCTTCCCGCTCGACACAACAGAACTCCACGTCCTACCCAAAACCATGTACGAAGACTACGTCAACCTGAAACCCATAAAGGGGAGTCCGCTAGCTGAATGGACCGCCCTCTTCCTCAGCGCAACGTTTGCGAAAAACGCAAGCTTGAACCCGCAGCATGATCCTACGAAGCAAGGGCTGCAACTCCACGACCCGCTGACCATCTGGTACGCTTTATGCCCCACAAACCCGCTGTGGAAGTTCAAAGAGGAGGACGTTCGGGTTGAGACGAGTGGGCAGTGGACGAGAGGGTGTACGATTGTTGATCGGAGGGGGCGGCCGGTTAGTTATAATGCTCCTTCTTGTCGAGAATTGTATATGTGAGGCTGTGTTACTGACGAGAATATCGAAATGCAGGTTACAGAGGGCGAAGGCGATCTCAGTGAAGAGGTTGTGGGTGATGCGGGGGGTTGGAGGGATTCGAGGAGGGGGAATAGGGTGGCGTGGTGTACGAGGAGTCCCGGGGAGAGTAAGTTTGGGAGGGTGTTGTTGCATAGGGTGTTGGGGGATGGGGAGCAGTGGTAGAAAATACGTATGTTGGAAGAATGATATGCCGCAGCAAGGATGGTTGGTTGAACATTCGATTTATGGAGATCAAGCGTGTGGCATTCGAAAGGAAATAATGCGGCAATCGAAGTCATCGTGCCTCTTTTCCAAAAGACAACAGGAATTCAGTTGTAACGATTCAATTGATTCTGATTCGTCAACACATGACCTTCCAACCCTCCGCGCCTGCCATAACTAAGAAGGGAAAAACTAACCTCTCGTTCCACAGCATCAAGGCACGGAAATGACCCGTTGCCTAGTCAGCCTCCTCCGACCTCTGTACAACAAAGGTGACGCAAGACAACAATCGTCTCGTACGGCACTCCACGAACAAAGTGTCGATGATAGAGACTTTCCAGTGGAGGAGACGTCAGCCTGGTGGAGAAAGCAGAAATGACTGGGAAGCTGGGATGGTACACGGCATATCTGCAATGGGCGATCTTTGAACGCACTCACTGCTGTTCGCATATTATTCTCCTTTGGTATTCTCTCGCAACGAATCGAGCTTGACCAAAAAAAAACAGCTAGAGCCATTCACGCAAAGCTTAACATCTTGTGGAAATCTACTCCTGCCGTGCATATGTATAACATGCGCTTGAAATTTCCTAAGAAAAAATAATATCCAGAATCAACACTACTCTCTCCCTCTCTCTCTCGCCTTTCCATACCAACTACTGGCCAGAAACAACTACGTACACGCCACATATCATTCCTCCCAATCCATGGAAACTTCCAGTGCTTTACTTTTACACAAAACCACGCTTTCCCTTTTTTTCCGTTCGGAGAAATTTCATACATTGCTGGTAACCAAGCCTACACAGAAAGCTGAAAGACACAAAAAGCAAGCGGACCAGTCGGTATAGCCGCCGTTGTCGTGATACGATGACACAAGGGGGGTTGATGACACAAACGGCTGATGAGTTGTATGTGGAGTGTGGATGCAGGGAAAGATGCAGTAGTCTTGTGGTACAGAGGATATGTGGGGCAGGATCTTGGTGGTAACAATGGCTTATTTCCGAGCACTGATGTAGTGGCATAAGCGCTGATGGGGATGAGTTTTGCCGGGAATACTGTTCGGTGGTTGAGAGTGATGGAAAGGATGGGTGGTTCACCGCTAGTCTGGTAGTATATATGAATGGTCTTTGCTGATTGGAGATTATTGCCGAACGGCGGCTGGAGGTCTGCATCATTTTCAATAGTGCACGATTAACAGAACATGAGGCTACCATTTACTTTCTAAGAGTATGATGCAATTGATACTCCCTACACTTTCCAAAAAAAAAAGCTTTACTTCCATAGATCGCTCCTTTCGTTCAAGCCACCAGAGATAACAGTGATTAAAGCAACAACCTATATATAGGTCTGCCATATATACGAGAAGAATGAACAGGACACGATCGACGAACCGGGTATATCTTGTGAATGCCTGCCCAAAGAAAACAAAGATACATGACCACCAGCTCCGTACGCGCGGTAGATGCAAACAGAAATGAGAATAACGCAATCATAGAAACGTGGGTGTGAGAGGATTTGTGCTGGGGAATAAAGCAATCATAAACGAAAGATGATGCCAAACAATGGCAAAGGAGATGGAACAACGCCCTCGCTCCAGAAATGCAAACAATGAATGCAGACTTTCCAATCCTTTGGTATAAAAACTGGTTTTAGCCCAAAGGCAACTCAACTCAACTCAACTCAGCTCAACTCAACTCGACTCGCAAAGTCGTCTCCACACTTCGGGACAACCCATCACCAAGCATCATCGAAAACGGGCACCATCTATTATCAAACCCTATTGAGGATAGACGCTCTGCGGTTGATGACTTTGGCTCGGCATCCTACTCGCCGTCCAAGAGAACATTGCCATGTCGCAAATACGCGCAAGAACCTGCTGGGTAGCAGAACGGCTCTCATGACTGATAAACGACATGGCAACGAGAAGCTTATTCAAGTCGCTCTCTGGAGGTTGGCCGACAGGGGTTGGTAAGGCGTTGGGGAAACCACCAATGCGGCTACCGTAGTGACGAGCGATTGCAATCGAGTAGATGGCGTCGCGTACCTCGCGCATATGCAGGACGCCACGCAGGACTCCAAGAGCGCTGTCGGCGGCTCCGGGCGGTGCGGTGTCTGAGTCTGCGTATTGGACGAAGTCTCCAAGATGATGCCAGAAGTCGACTTGTGCACGAGTTTCCTCGTCAAGGCTAGCGGGATATGCGAGTTGGCGTGTAGGATTCGAGTCGAGATTTTGGTTCGTCAGAAGAGCTTCCAGAACGTCGAGGCGCGCTCGGGCCTCTCTTATTTGGAAGTCCTCACCCTCTGGTGGTGATCCGTTGGTGGCTGGTAGCATGTGCTTGCAAGTACTCAATAAATGCCATAACAGTCGAGCTTCTTGACTAAAGATGCTGGTCATATCGGCATCTTGGGTAGCCTTGTACTTGACGGTCTCGGTGAAGAAAGCGGCCTCTTCGTGCAAGTATCGGTCGCTGAAAACTCTGTTGAGCGCATTGTTGTTTGCTGAGAACCAGGTGGTTTCAAGTACGACGTCGAGCCCTTGGCAGTAGTCATTGAGGAAGATACGGGTGAACTCGTCGTCAACTTCACGTGGCACTGGCGAGGTCCGCTGAGGAACCTCGGGTGGGCTGTGGTTACATATACCAAAGATGTCCTGAATGTTCAATCGCTTGCCTGAATCTGGGTTAGGATGAAGTTGAGGATATGGAGCAGGGGACCAACCTTTCATAGGCTCTGGTGGAGGTGGGTAAGGGTTAGCGCCTGGAGGGCCTCTCATAGCAGGGTCCATGGCGTGCACACCGTTGTAATGTTGGTTTTGTTGTAGACCAGGATCAGCTTGCGCGAGTGCAGGGTCGATGGCGTGGAAGTTGGCCTGCTGATGCTCACCACTCGTGGTAGCTGCGGTAGTCGCGTACCCAGCGGAGGAGGCAGGTGCGTAGCCTTGAGGTACCGGACTCTGGCTGTATGTCGAGGATGACGGGGCGGGCGCCGGTGCGCTTGTCGCGTGGGGTGCGGGCGCTGAGTTGGGAGCAGGTTGTATTTGGGCGGGACCAGATTGCTGCTTGAAAATTGGATCGTAACCAAGACACTCTCGTTTGCTCTTCTGACAGTTTCTACACATGGGGTGGGCTTCGTCGCACTGTCGGGGTGTTGGTTAGCGCATGTGCCGGTGAGTAGTGATGTTGGTGCGCGGTGCAGGAAAATTTGCAAGAAACAAGACGGGAAGTGTGTTCGCAGCCCACGACAACGCTGATGCGAGGGCAAGTGCTGCAGCACATTGGCCAACCGTGTTGCTGCACAATCGGTCGTTTCTGGCACGCGAGAGGTTGGATTAGAGGAGTTTGGGTTCCTCGCTCGGTTAAGCAAGCGACAAGACAATAGCTCCTCTGACTTCGCGTCGCGTCTACCCGCGTTCCATTGACGTATGCACTTACTTTTATTCTTCGTTTGCGACATGTCAGACAGCCAGTCTTTGTGCGACGCTTGATTTCCTTCTTGTGGCGACCGCCAGAGAGCACTCGCTGGTCGCCTTGGGGTGGCAGCTGGTATCGCATCGCATTGAACTGCGGGCCCATGTTGCCCATCATGGGCTGGCCGGGCTGCGCATGCCCTGGGTGAGGATAGTACTGCTGCATAGCGTGCTGCGGCGGTGGGAGTGGAGAGCCCATGGGCTGGGACGGCGGCTGAGGTTGCGCCTGAGACTGCTGTCCATCCTGCAAACGTATTGGCGGCAGATTGAGCGGCGGCAACGACATTTGGGAGCCCTGGGGAGAGCTTCGATAGCCCTCATTACTCTGCTGGCCTTGAGGAGGCGGGTAGGTGTACGTGGGCTGCATCGAGGGCGACGGGTACGAGTGCGGTGAGGGATAGGCGACGGCCTGCTGCTGGCGCGACTGCATGTTAGGATCGGCCATGCTCTGGTGCGAAAAGTGCGATGGAGCGGGCGAGTAGGGCGCCTGGTTGATCTGGGTGGAAAAGTCGTGCGACATGGGCTAGCAATGGAGTATGCCACCAGGGCGCTCGACAGTTCTTGGGGTTGACTTGAAGAGCACGGCGGCGCTAGAAAGCTTGAGGCGGATGGGAGGAGGGACGGCAAGCCTGGCACGGAACTGGGATTAGCTGAGTTGGCGAAGGCGTTTTGACCCGCGGAACAGGGGCCTGGCCTCGCTCGGTGCTCGGTTCGACGCCGCCGCGCTGCAAGTAGTTGTGCGTGCACTACATGGATGAATAACTGCCTCAATAACGCGGGAAAATAGTTGAAATGACAGCTGCAAACGACAAAGGGATGGGGAGTGGGAATCGATGATTGGAATGACGACTGGAATGAGAATAGGCGTCTCTCTGACATGCAAAGAAGACGTCGCGATGCGCGATATCCCTCACTTTCCGTCTAGGAGGCAGGATGAGTGGAGTGGTGGGCTGCAGCATAGCTAGCCGCCTTTAGCAGGTAATGAGGGCGCATGTGGCAGTGCCAGGAATGAATCGACCGACTTTAACTTACAGGTTGCCTACCACAAGCGAGTCTCGCTTGAGCGGAAGGTAGCGAACAGGGTACTGACTAACAACGCGCTCGGTGAGCTGGCTGAGGGAGCGAACGTAGCGAAGATATGGCGGCAAGCAGATGCAGCGCCAGCGATCGGGAATTTCGTCGTAGAAGGCTAAAGACGCAGACCGCTCCCAGATTCAAAAAGGACTTCGACCTGAATGGCGGCGCTAGCCTGCATCGGGACAATCACGTGTTATCTGGCGCATCGCAACATGGATCCCGCCACACCTGTTCTTCCTGCAATCAGCTTCTTCCCGTCCGTCCTGCTGCACCTGTCTATTGGGTCTCTGCATCGATTGGAGCTACGCGTGCGAGCACCCCAAGTACCTTACTGAGCCAAGCAATATGCGGCGTGCAGTGTCATTCCGTCACCCGTCTATGCCTGGTGTACTGGGCCTGGGTGCTGCCGAGCCTCGGTGCGATTGGGACGCTGGGTACAATACAGAACATGCAGCCGGCCTTTGGGACGACGCAATTCCTTCTGTGCCAGTGAGACGAGCGCATCAATCCTCGCCCGTCCCGGACTGGCAAAATTTGATTAAGGCTGATTGCGCACTACCTGGGTCCCGGCGTGGCCGGCGCGGGATCTCTTCTCGAACACCTCTCATAGTCGCTACCCTCTGTCGCTTCCCTCTGTCGCTTAGCTATCGGTGGCTTGCTCATGCATCGTCACGGCGAACGATTCTATGGCAGCTTGCATCTTTCGATGCCCTTGGCTCGCCCTTCCCTTTGCATCACGCAATGGCCCCTCAGTGCCCTCATCATGACCTTTCGCTTCAGTCTGGGGTGACGTATAGTCCCGTTGTGACAACGCTGCGCTGTCCAACGCGCTGAACGATCAAGCACAAGAGCTTTCGATCTCCACACTGCGTCTACGGGCCGGCTTCCCTTCCCAGCGGCGCGCGTCGTCCTATCTAAAGCGCGTGCTGACAGTAACTTCCGCTTGTCCAATGTCAATTTCCCTGGCTATTTACCCGTACGCAACGGGCATATTTCAAGGGCGGCTTCGATTGCCAGCCACAACGCCGTGTCTGGAGCTAGACTCAGCCTGAGCACCCACAACGAACATCTGGTGCTACCCAGGTCTCAAGGGCTATCAGCGGATAATAAACGCATGTCAAGTTAACCCATTGCCCGGTACAGCTGAATGTGACCAACCTGTAGGGGGTGCATCATTGGCAAGACTTGTCCTTCCGCCTAGGTAGCACTAGGAGGCCGTCAACACGTGTCGAAATATCTGCTGGACACCTCACCATCGCCGCCAAACAACGTCCACACTAAACAATTTGGTTGGACTTTGCAAAGCGCATTGCAACTCCCTTGTCCAATGTTACACGACCAAAAAGACCCTGGCCTTAGGGCTGACAAGCTGCATCTAAAGGGCCGCTATAAGTATGTATGCGTAGGCAAGTCTACCATTCTGTGCGACGTGAAGAATGCGACATCGGAGAAGCCTGTTTTAAAAATCTTCCAACGATCATGTATTCGCGGAAAAGGCTTTCGCGAGTGCCCGCTGAAAATATAATAAGATCTCGTTTATCGCGAGAGCAAAGGAAAGCCAGGTCAGGGATAACCCCAGCAAGACGAAAGCATCGAACGCTTCTCGAACAAAGTTGTGCGCCAACCGAGCGAGCTTTGCGCATCATCCTTCCGCCCCGCTCTCGGTTACAGAACGCCTGAAGCGACATTTCTATTGTCATCATAGCTGCACTATTTGACGCATGATGATGGGCTTCTTTTCTTTGTTTGGTATGAATTGCGCAATGGCCTTTCGAATCGGTATACCAGATGTGGCAACAACGGCTGGATCGTGCGGAGGCTATTCAACGGAATGAGATGAAGACCCTGGATAAGTTCATGCTGTTAGGTTCACACTACGGCTGTCGCGAACGGACTCGGTTGCTACCCTCAAGTGTCCCAGAACTATGAGTAGGGATGATCAACAGCACAGACGTCGGTCCAAGCAACACCAATTTGGAACTGCGTCGATTGCTGCTGTCGTCAATGTCTTTCTACAATCATTCATCAATGACTCGATTGGAGAAATGCGTGGACACCAAGCCTCAATTTATACTTGACAACATCTGGAAGAACACATTGCTCTTACTAGCTGCCATGTTGACTCTAAACTTGCCTTGTATACTCCGGGATTATATCAAACCTTGAAAGATTTCGCGGCTCACGATTATGTAGGCGGCATCCTACTCATGTGGTACACTGTCATCTTGTAGCCTGGCCAGCATCATAAGTGAACAAAATGAAAGCCGTGACATCTCTGAATGCATGCATATCCGCTACCGTGTCTCTTCTGGTCCAAGTCGGCCTCGTTGTAGATGCTATTTATACGTTTTGCCAACTCGGATTTATTGATTCGCTCACTGCTGGTAGTACTTTGGTTGTGGCGAGTTCCAAACTCAGGCTGCCATTTCGCTACCATGGGACGCGCACCAGCAAAGAGTATGAGCAAAGCGGCGCACCCTTCTCTCCTCACTCTATACCCTTAGTTGGTATCTATACACTCGTTCTGCTTACGCTTTCCTCCACCAGAACCTCATCTCAACTCTCTCAGACCAACATCTGCGCTATCTTCCTATCAAGATGAACACAACACTAGAACAATGCAGCGAGGCCACGGTAGCGTTGCTTTCTGGTATGATTACAACAGCTTTACAAAAGGAATGGAAGATACCAGATCATCTCCCGGCACAGCCCGCTTCTTTGCTGCTCGATGCATCTCTAGTAAAGCCCACGGCAGCGAACGACACCCGTATCAGCCAACAAGATATTACTCGCACCAGCGAACAAGCTTTTTGCATAGACGATAGCGTGCTCGACCTTGGTCCCGATCACGAATCTGACACCAGCTCTGACGACGACGAGCCGATCAGGAACCCGCGGCAGCTCAAGTCAGAAATTCGCAGAGTCAAGGCGATACTTCGACGGGCGAATCGTCGAGCCGCTCGCCGCGCGACGCGAATCACCAGACATCTGAGTCCAACCTAGGCTTCCACAATGTTTGCCAGCTTGAGGGTCTTGGAACGCCCTCTCGTGGTACACCAGCAGAGTACGGATGTCTCGGACGAAGGCAGTATTGAGGAAGCGTCGCTAGAGAATGAAGACAACATTGTGATCGCTGATGAGACTGTCCCGAAAAGTGAGGCAGAGTCGTTATATCAAGAAGACCTCAGCTCTCCACTCAGCTTTCCACCCAGCTCTCGAACCAGCTCTACACGCACCTCTCCACTCAACTCTTCACTTAGCGGTGAAACCGTCCTGGAAGATAAACTATACCACTGCAAACCCTGTAACGAGGATTATATTCAATTCAGCAGCCTATTGAGAGACAAGCGGAATAGCCCATACCATGAACAGAAAGTTGCAGAAAACGAGCGTGTTAAAGGCTCCATTGAAAAAGAGGTGGAAGAGGTAAGACAGCCACCCAAGAAGACGACAAAGCACTACTGCAAGGACTGCGACTACGGAACACAGTTTTCCTCCTATTGGACGCGTCATTTGAAATGTGAAAAGCATATGAATAACGTTTCGGGAAACACGAAACGACAGAGGGGAGTAATAAAGGAGGTAGAAACACTATCCAAAAAAGGATGCCGCAACGCTATTGTGACGACTGCGACCAACTATGCTCGGGCGAAAACTGGAACCGTCACTTGAGATCTCATCGGCATATGCATAATGTTACAAGGAACATGCAACACAGGGGACATTCAGAAGACATGGAAATGTCGGAAGAGCTCACAGAGATGAACGAAATGGACAAGGCACATAGCGAGAAGAAGCCTGGGCACTTTTGCAAAGACTGCAGCAAATTCTACCTGACGCAAAATTGGAAGTGTCATTTGGGAGGGCGATTGCATCGAATCAACGTGGCAAAAACTAGGCAGCGCAACAAACTTACTTGTCCACAAAGCCTCGTCGCGGAGACGGAAGTGGCACAACTGGAAAACCTATCTGAGGAGCTGTCTGAGCGCTACTGCAAGGACTGCGATATATATCCTGGTGTGCGTTGGGCGCACCATTTGGCTTCTCCAAGCCATGTATTCAACGCTATGCGTTTGTCACAGAGAAAGGAGAGTATCGCCGACGATGAGAGAATCACAGTTGACAGGACCATCACAGACGACGAATCCATGACCGGCATGGAAGAGGTGGTAAAAGAATCATCAGCGGAGCACACACACTATTGCGAGGACTGCGACGGTACATACGCTGGCGTTGAGTGGGAGCGTCACCTGATTTCCGAAGAACATGTGGACAACGTTGAGAGAAGCATGCAGTGGGATGAGGACATGCTATGCGACGGAGATACCACAGTCTCGTCTCCCGCTATACAGGCTCCACCACCAATAACACCGGAATGCTACGTCGACGAAGCCAAGTCGACTCCTTCTCCTGCAGACGCTTCAGGAAGACAAGAATGGTACTGCGATGTTTGCGACGTTAATCTCATCGTTGAAGGTACCTGGACGATCGGAGAGCATATGGCTAGGCATGAACAGGAGATGTACAAGAGGTTCGAGGTGAGGAAGGAGCCTTGGAGACGGCAATTGGAGGAGGCTGCGGCGCAGGTGGGCGGCTAGTAGGATAGGGTGGGATAGAGAACAATACTTCATACAGCAAGTGTTGTAGATTGGACGGTAGTAGAGATAGATGAGTCCCCTTTTCCTCGACCATGAAACCCATGTATGTGTTGAGAAGTGAAAATGTTTTTGGCACATACGAGGCAGTGTGAAACAAAGCTGCCAAGTTCAACCATATCCAGAGTACACTATGTAAAGGCCACCGCATATCCCCAATAATGGTATCGCACCGCAAAACGCCGCCTAATGCATACAGCATTGCAATGCCACCAAAAAAAAAGACGCCATAGATGCAAACAACATACCACATTAACCCCCTAGAATCGCAAGAGCCGATTAAGAATCAGTCTTTGGCTTCTTATTCGGCAACGCAGGCACCTTGAAACCCCCAGCATCCACCTTCGAGCTACCGTTAAGCTGTGTGAAACTGCCGCCCTTGAACCACCTATCCTCATCCGCCTTCCTCTTCCTATTCGCCTCCTCCCGAGCCTTTGGATCAATAAGCTCTAGGCCCTGAACAGGCGTGAACGCAATGGAATTTGTGCCAGCGCCACCAAGTCCCACACCACCAGTCCGTAGACCTTGTGCGCGGAGACTGGTTGCCGTGCCACCTGCGCCGAAGCCTTTGAGCGAGGATGCTGCGCCCAGTGTGGTGTCGCCACCCCAACCTGGGTTCTTCTTGCTGAGTTTGGCTCGCGTCTTGGGGTCGATTTGTTGGGCGCGGAGGCGACCTGTATCGGTTGCTCCGATCATGCCCATACCCTTTACGGAGTCACCGTATCCGACCTCCTTCTCTTCTTTGCCGAAAGTCATCCGGTTTTGCGCTTTGCGGATTTCGGTCATAGCGGTTGCTTCCTTGGCTTTTCGGGCTCTTCTTCCACCGCGCTTGCGAGATGGTTTCTCATCTGCGGCAAAACGTTATTATTGAAGCTTAAAAGAAAAAGTGGAAATGAAGAACTTACCAGGTACGGGGAGAGCCCTTCCTCCAGCCTTTTGGTTGGCCGGCATCTCAACCAGCTTATCCAAACGACGTTCACATTCTTTCCTCAGATCCATACCTATGTCGGCGGTGTGGGAGTTGGAATGGGCGTCCACACGAGCGGCTAGGATGACCTTGGCAGACACGATACGTAGAGCCTGCTTCCTGAGATCCGGCCTCTGGTTCTGAATAATGTCGCTATGGTAGAGGTAGCCCTCATGCCTCAGACCCATGTTCGAAAGACCGACAGTAGCTCCCGAGACTTTAGTTGACCCTAGGGGGGCGATGTTGCAAGCAGGAGTCTTGGCTAGGTTTGCGATACCGCCAGAGTATGAGATGAGATGGGCGGCGGTCAAACTACCGATCAATGCAGTCAGGTTGGGCGCAAACAGTTCGGTTCGGGACTCGACGAAACCCAGAATCTTGGACTTTGCGGCGTGCAGCTCAAGGAGCAGGTGACAGGCGCTCGAGACCAGGTCGAGCTCAGCTTCGTTGAGGAGTCTGCCTTCGACGCGTGTGGCTTCAATTTCAACGATCATGACCTGGGCGGGCTCCATTCCCTCGATTTGCCGAAGCTTGGGGCTGATGTCTTTGATATTTGACAGAGGCCCACCACCAATGACCAAACATGCTTTAGCGTAGACGACGGGATTCTTGATTAGATCTTCCAAATGGGGGAAGAATGCTGAGTAGTGGTCGCGGATGAACTTGTGGACAGTAGCGGTCTCGCCATCGATCTGCGTGGAGAATTCGTTTGCTTCGGTGAGGAGTTGGTATTCTGGAGACTCCTCGAAAGACTCGCCCTCGACTATGTCCATCTGGTCCTTGGTCTCTTCGATGCGCTTGAGGACGGGGTCTAGGTTCGTCTTGAGCTGCTGAGCGGATCGGATGTCGGCAGGGCCCTTGTCTTCCTTGTCCTTCTTCTCCCGATATTGCGCCTCCTCATCTACCATGTCCTCGTCATCGCCCGAGCCCTCAGCAAAGTCATTCTCCAGGTCCTGAACGTCCTCGTCACCACTGTCTGCGAAATCCGCCAGGAGTTCTTGCTCGAGAGTCGCCATGATTTAGTGTATTCTAGAGGGATTCCAGATGGGTACGGCGGAGAAGTGGTCGCTGTGCGGCGATGTGTTCTGGAGGAATGCGCTGTTTGTAGTCGCGACGGCGGCCAGAGGTTTACCCTCCTAGTAGATTTCGGTTGAGTCTTGGGTTCGTTATGGCGCAGTATTCTACGTACCTGTTGCCTGGGTTGGCCGCCGGTCGAGTTGGAAATGCGCTTGTCGAGTGTCGTGGGGAAAGAGAAGTTGCGACGGCAGTGACGTGAAAGTGCTAATTGCTTGGCGCGCAGCGGATAAAAGTTGCGCTAAGGCAGTCGCGTTCTCACGTTACAGAATAATCTTGTCGCATTCCAGAACCACTTCATATATACGATAATTGCTGTCGCCTAGCTATCGTATCGTGATTGGCCTGCGCAAGTATCCTCCATCACGTGTCTAGCAGTTTCTGCGAGACGGACTATACCTCGAAGCTCTCTTAGTACTATAAAGCCGAGGCGCGACGGCCTTGACATCCACGACTGACGTGCGCCTCGTCCTCCCTCGTCATCGCGCAAACACCTCCACGTCCCATATTACGCCCTCGATTACCATACCACAATTCGAACATGGAGGCATCACGAGGACCCCCGCGGGTCAAGAACAAGGCCGCGGCGGCTGTCCAGATATCTGCTGAACAGCTGTTAAGAGAGGCCGTCGACCGTCAAGATGAGAAGCTCAAGGCGCCCACCCAGCGATTCGCTGACATCGAAGAGCTGCACGAGTTCCAGGGACGCAAGAGAAAGGAGTTTGAGGACTATGTGCGGCGTAATCGGATCAACATGAACAACTGGATGCGCTATGCCTCGTGGGAACTGGAGCAGAAGGAGTTCAGGCGCGCCCGATCAATCTTTGAGCGAGCTCTCGATGTCGACTCAACCTCAGTTCCCCTGTGGCTGAGATACATTGAGAGCGAGATGAAGCATCGCAACGTCCAGCATGCCCGTAACCTCCTCGATCGCGCTGTTACCATCCTCCCGCGAGTGGATAAGCTATGGTACAAGTATGTCTATATGGAGGAGACACTTGGTAACATTGATGGCGCCCGATCAGTCTTCGAACGATGGATGCAGTGGGAGCCTGAGGAGGCGGCATGGAGCTCGTACATCAAGCTGGAGAAGAGACACGGCGAATTCGAGAGATGTCGAGCTATCTTCGAACGATTCACGGTGGTAAGTAATGTCCCTGTACGAACTGCATGCGAAACAGGTACTGACTGATTCAGGTACATCCCGAGCCTAAGAATTGGATCAAATGGGCGAAATTCGAGGAAGAGAATGGCACCAGCGACCTCGTACGCGACGTCTACGGCACTGCCGTCACCACACTGGGAGATGAGTTCATGGACGAGAAGCTCTTCATGGCATACGCAAAATTCGAGGCAAGACTGAAAGAGCTGGAACGAGCCCGAGCCATCTACAAATTCGCCCTGGATCGTATGCCGCGATCCAAGTCAGTCAACCTACACAAAGCCTTCACAACCTTCGAGAAGCAATACGGAGACCGGGACGGTATCGAGGATGTCATCTTGTCTAAACGACGGGTACACTACGAGGAACAGATCAAGGAAAACCCCAAGAACTACGATAGTTGGATCGATTTCGCCCGACTAGAAGAGACGTCTGGCAACCCCGACCGAGTCAGAGACATATATGAGCGAGCGATTGCCCAGATCCCACCCACACAGGAGAAGCGCCACTGGAGACGGTACATCTACCTGTGGCTTTTCTACGCAGTTTGGGAGGAGACAGTTTCGCACGACATTGAGCGTACCCGCCAGATATACCAAGAATGCATACGCCTGCTACCACACAAACGCTTCACATTCGGCAAAGTATGGTTGGCTTTTGCTCACTTCCTGGTGCGACAAGGTGAGCTCACTGCTGCACGTAAGCTGCTAGGTCAGAGTCTAGGCATGTGTCCAAAGGACAAGTTGTTCAAGGGATACATTGAGCTAGAGATGAAGCTCTTTGAGTTCAACCGCTGTCGACAGCTGTACACCAAGTACATCGAGTGGAATGGCTCAAACTGCCACACCTGGATCAACTTCGCCAACCTAGAGCGCGGTCTCGATGACCTCGACCGCGCACGAGCCATCTTCGAATTGGCTGTCGACGAACCGCAGATGGACATGCCGGAAGTTCTCTGGAAAGCATACATCGACTTCGAAGAGGGCGAAGGCGGGTACGACCGCACACGCGCACTATACGAACGTCTCCTCCAAAAAACAGACCACGTCAAAGTTTGGCTCTCCTACGCGCAATTCGAACTCGGCGTGCCCGACGAATCCACCCCAGAAGACGACGACACAATCAGCGAGATTGCCAAATCCCGCGCCCGCGAAATCTTCACACGCGCGCATACCCGACTCAAGGAACGCGACCTCAAAGAAGACCGTGTGGCGCTCCTCTCTGCATGGAAGACTTTCGAAGACGTGCATGGAAGCGCAGATGATAAGAGCAAGATTGAGGGACAGATGCCAAGGAAAGTCAAGAAGAGGAGGAAGTTGGACGACGACAGCTTCGAGGAGTACGTCGATTATGTCTTCCCAGCCGACGACGAGAGTGCGGCGAAACTTGCGAAACTTATGGCGAATGCGCAAAGGTGGAAGATGGCGCAGGCGGCGCAAGCTGCGGGGGGAGAGAACGGGGATGGGAATGGGGAGTGAGAATCGCTGTGGCATTGATTCGGGGTATATATGTAGGATAAGAGGAAGTCGTATCGTTGACATAGTGGCAGTCGGCTTCAGATCGTGTCAAGCATATCTATCTAGGTTAACATTGGTGATTCCTTCTAGGTTCAATGCAACCGTGCGTTTGCTCAATTGCCTGCGAACCATTCCTCCAACACTCCCCCGCGCAGCTGAATTCGTATAGCAGAACAATATCATGGGGTGCCTTGAAGGCATTTGTACTATCTGCCTTCCAGCACGGGACCACGAGTCAGATACGGCACCAACCTCTCTTTGTCTTTAGAAGCAGATGGAGTACTCAGACAAAGATATTCGATCATGCACGGGTGCGAGGAAACTTCAGCTGTGCCTACACAGGCAAGTGCATGCGAGCGAGAGTCCTCTGAACATCTGAATGTCCCCCCTAAAGCGGTGCAACCGTCAATTGAGTGAGCCTATATGACAAAATTCTTACCCCGTTCCTTAGTCTTACACCACTTCGCTGTGCGGAAAAGCTTGTTTCTTGACTACGAAAACAAGCTTCTTCGTAATGCAACAAGGCCAGCGATCGAAAGGCTGGCAACCATGTTGGCCCTCCCAGAATGTCGCCCTTCTCAGACCGAGATCGCTTTGCAAAAAGTAAAACTTGGCTAGGATTTTTATGTGGGGATGAGATAGTTACAGTCATTGTCTTTGAGTTGCCGAAACTACGCACTGGCTACAAGGAATGTCCTCATGCGCAGCAGTGGTGGCTAAGCCAAGACGCCTGGGTTACGCGTCCGAACGTGTACAGATACTCTCTCGTCATGCAGAGTGAATTGTGCTGCTGTGAATATGGGCAGGACTCAATCACGTCGAGATTACATAATGATAGACCATAACAGATGGCAGGCGCGCATGCTAGGCTTCCAACCTGCCATCAAAACGTCGCATTTCAGGTTAGAGTATCATCTCGTTAGTACTCGAAAAGGCTTGTCACCCATGTCAGTCGGCATGAGCTTTGCCAAATCTAAACAAGCTTTTGTCGAAAGCTTGCGTCTACAGAAATAGCACGAGCTGATACATCTGGAGAGTATCGTAACGGCAAGATGTCACTGGCTTCTCATCATTGGCTGCCTACAGCGCCCCCGGAGAGTAGTCCGACAGATGGGTGCTGTACCCGTCGATGCGAACATCCCAGAAAGGACGCTCTTGGATAGTCGTAAAGGAACAATGAACTTACAACGTGTAATGAACTGAAGTTTCTGTGAATTAAGAGTTGCTAAAGTTTCAATGTGTACCTAGATGTGTACCTAGGTATACCCAACGAGGAGGATGTCAGGCACCTAAGTGGCAGCTATAGCTCGCGTTGGCTCCGCTTTTGCCCGCTACACTACTACTCAGCGCTCTCTTGCGGCGAGAACTTTATGTTCAGCCTCGATGTCTGGCACTAGTGTTCAATACTATACGCGTCACCTCGACGGGCCACTACGTCTGGAACAACATTTCACCAATCAACATAGAGGCAACTCCGATATACCAAGCATGATCATACTGGTTGTGATTGGCCAAGTCCTTTGCTGCCCTTGCGTGACCCGAGTGTATAGTAAGTGAGCAGAGATATATCAACTCTAGTCTAGCCCTTAGTTACGATCACAACACTCCAAAGCATTTCTTATCGTTTACAAAGAAACAACTGTGATGACGCTTTCAAGAATTGTCTTTCTGTTCTCTTTCATCTCGGGTGAGTAAGACACTTCAAATTCTGTCATGTTTGGGCGCAAGAGACAGTACTAACATTTTCATGATATGCAGTCTTTTGCTACACAGATGCGGCTGTGAATTCGATTCGAGCAGAGGACGCTGCACATGCAACTTTCATATATTCCACAGGCCATGGCAACCTCACGTTTGCATTGAGCGCTGCAAAAACGACTGGCGACGTTTACTTGCATTTTTCTGCACCAGCGGCATACCAGTGGGTCGGTGTTGGAACAGGAAGTGAAATGGATGGTAGCGTTATGTGGATTGTTTACCAAAGCTCGGATAAGAACGGTTAGTGCCTCTAATCTCTCATTTTCATCATTCGCGATGCTTAGCAGATATCAGGCGTGACACTCTCACCGAGGCTTTCAGACGGCCACGTTGAGCCAAGTTTCAGCGAAAGCATCGACTGCGCGTTGGTTGAGGGAACAGGCTATCACAACAAGGTTGATGACACTTCCAACACCCGCTACTACTCAGCCAACATTCACTGCAAGAATGTGACTGCGCTCGGAAGTGGCGATGGGAAACTCGACTTTACCAACACCAAACAACCCTTTCCTATACGCATGGGGTCCAACCGACGGCGCGATCATGAGTACGTCAAAGTCTGCAGGTATCAAGCGCCATGATGCTTACGGAAACTTCTGGATGGATATGACCAAGGCTACGTCTACTGAGACAGACACGGCTACTATCCCGAGCGGCGTGGCCTTATCGACTACGTATAACGCGGGTGCAGACGGAGCGGCAGAGAGTGACGGCGACAAAGTTGGCCCAGCCCATGCAGCCATCATGCTCGCGACATTCGCCATCATCTTCCCACTTGGAGCTGTCCTACTCCGCTTCCTCGAAAGCGTCAAGATACATGGCATTGTTCAGAGCGCAGGCGTACTTGCTGCTCTGGGTGGAGTGGGACTGGGGATTTATCTGAGTAAGATGTACCATCATGTAAGCTTCCTCTCTATCCACGTGAGACTAGACGGTTTAGACTAATACGAGAAACTCTTAGTCAAAAGACGTGACATCCGGCCACCAAGTCTTCGGCCTGGTCCTGTTCGTCTTACTCTTCCTCCAATGGGGTATTGGGTTCTACCATCATCTCCGGTTCCGCAAACACAAACGGCCTACAATATATGGGAAGATTCATCTGTTCGCTGGTCCGGCTATCGTCTTGGGTGGCATCATCAATGGATTCACTGGGTTCAATTTTAGTGGCGACCCGAAGAACAACGTCTATTATGGCATTGCTGTGGGCATTATCCTAGCTGTCGTTCTAGTACTATTGGTGTGGAAGAGATGGTCAACGCGAAGGCAAAACAAGATGGGGAGCATACTGGAGTCAGAGGAGTCTCAGGAAGACTCATACGGGCTGAACTTGATCCGGGGATCGCATAATACGATTTAAGAAGAAGAATTCGCCTCGGTTGAGGCCCGAATCTCTTTCCAGGTGGAACGAATAGCAAGAGTGTAATATCATCGTTGGCAAAGTAACAAGCGAGTGTCACCTTGTTACACTGAGCATATCCTTCCATCGCTAATATACTTACCCATCGCTACCCAGGTTGTTCAGGAGGTGGAGGTTGAGGTTGTTGACGATTCCTCGACTTCCCGGAGAGCTTCCTCTAATCAATCCTCCTCCTCCCACAGCATTGCCACCAACAGCTCATCCCAAGAGTAGAAGGGAGGGCAGCGGAGGAAACAACATATAGAAAGTGAAAGCAATTCCTATACAATCCCCGGCATACTATCTATATCACCAAGTACACCCTCGTAATATCACGCACCCAACCTCTTTCGAGGAGCTGGTCCGCCCTTTTGCGGGCCCTGCCCAGGAACAGACGCCCCATAGACTCCCTCATTGCCCTGTGCGGCGGCGATGCTCTGAATCTCGGCGAATCCGATGGAACCAATACCGAGCTAGATGAGCGTCCTCTGGACTTCTGAAAATGTGACACGAACCGTGCGGACGCTGCCATTCGGGTCGCGAGCCGTTAGCAGCGCGGTACTGTCACGGGCGGAGCGCTCGTCCAGGACAGCGAAGAAGCTGGCGTTATGAAAAACAGGGTGTTGAGCGGCGTCTTCAACAGACTGACCAAGGAATGGCGAGGTGAAGGGCTGTAATGGTGGTTGCGATGCGCTGGAAGAGAGAGCGTCGCTACCTTTGTCGCTGGTGATGGTGATGGTAAGGATCACGAGGCTCGGAGGGGTGTCTGGGACCAGCTGCTCGCTGCCAGTGTAGGTATCATTCAGGAATGTTTCCACAGCCTTTCCTTTATTTTGCATCAACGACTTTGCCCTTGTTTTGGAAGGAAGTTGAGTCGATCGAAAAGGACGCTACTTACGGGGGTGGGGATATCTGCAGTGCAGATAACGGGGAACAGCTCTGATTCAGGCATGTTGGACAATGGAGTGAATAGTGTCTGGCACGTGCCTGTCTTCGCAGCTATATATATCGCAAGTAGTAGCGAAGCTGACTACAGCTGATGTGGTTGGTTTAGGTCTTTAGCCCCCACGAAAGCACCAGCTGAACCTTACGAAGTAGTGCGCCTCCTGGTTTTGACGATAGTGCCTGCTTAGCTGCATAACATCTCCAATATGGCTGATTTCGCTACTGAAATATTTGTGTAGGTGCCACCATCGGAAAAACCATGAGGGTTTGAGCGCGATGATGGCGCAAATGCGATACATTGCGAATGATTGCAGTGTGTTGATGACGTATGTAGGTGAGCTAGCCCTAATGCATGACTTGCCTCGGCATCTTCCCCAGATTCTGCAACCTCCGCATCGAACTCCGCAAGTCTACTACCCGCTCGACATTTCCACAACTTCCACAATTGTGAAGTTGATACCAATCACACTGCAACACCTCGTAAAGCTAGCTTTACTGATTTAAACAAGAAGAACTGAAGATGCCGAGCGCGCAACCGAAGGTCCAACGGCAGGGGATGAGCAAGGAGCTCTCGGAACCTCTACCCGAGCCAGAGACATTCGAGGGTTTGAAGGGAATCAGGAGTATCGCGGGAGATTTGGGAAGTCAGTAAGTATGGAAAGGTGGTGCGGAGTCGCAGTCGGATGCGCGTTTGCTGATGGCGTGTAGACGCGTCAAGGACAAAGTCATCATCGTTACTGGTAAGCTCAACACCCCCAACACATTTCATATGAATTCCTTGTCTAACATCATTTCTAGGTGCAAACTCCGAGATAGGCATTGGTCGTGCCAGTGCGCATCAATTTGCGCGTAACGGTGCTCGCGCAATCTACGTATGCGACTTCGCCGATTCCCACCTCGAGACACACAAGCGCCAACTCAATTCCCTATATCCCTCCACCGAGATACATACCCGACAATTTGATGCTGCAGATGAAGCGTCAGTAAAAAAGGTCTGCCAAGAAGCTTTAGACACTTACGGCCGTCTCGATGTCTTCTTCGCCAATGCAGGAATATCATCCGGCAAGGTGTTCTGGGAAGAGTCCACACAAGGCTTCATGAACGTCATGCGTACGAACGCTCTCTCCGTCTTCCTCGCTGCGAAACACGCATCTCGCGCTATGCTCAAAACCTCGGACCAGAAGCCATACCCCAGCGGTAGCATCATTGCCACAGCGAGTGTGGCGGGCCTACGATCCAACGCAGGCCCCACGGACTACTCAGCTTCGAAGGCTGCAGTGATCAGCCTGATGCAGACATGCGCATACCAGCTTGCCGGCTCTGGCATAAGGTGTAACGCTGTTTGCCCTGGATTGATCGAGACTGGTATGACCAGGGTGACATACGATGCGGCGAGGAAGAGGGGAAGCGAGAAGAAGATTGGACAACTGAACCCGCTTCAGAGAGGAGGACAGCCAGACGAGATCGCGAGGGCGGTGCTATTCCTGGCCAGCGACGAGGCTAGCTACGTTAATGCGCAAGCTTGGGCTGTGGATGGCGGCCTGAGTGGAGGCTTACCATTCGTACCTGGAAAACTGGCATAGAATGTGGATAGGTCGCGTAAGAGCACGGTACAAGAGACTAGACTGGTGGTCTTGGGGGACTGGCTCGCAATGTCATGGAGCGGCATGGACCCTATTACAATACATTAAGTAACTCACGCATCAAATCGTGGCACTACACTACCGTATCTATCCAGTCGTCGTTCAGCCAGCCGTGATGCTGTGTCTATGATCGTATTCCCAACGACTAGCTACGATACCCTGGGACTCACAGTGTGCACGTACATTTCTCCCATAGCGAACCAAGAAACTGCTGGACCAGCATGAGGCAAACTATGGGTCACAGTAGCCGATGCGTTCCCACACCGTGTTCAGTACTCTTTTCTCAATTTCTCTCGTCCCATCCCAAAATGCCTCCCTGCATAAGCCAATCTGCCAAAGCATCATCTACCGATCATCCTGCCAACTAACCTTGAGATGGCGGATTTACCACCACATATTCCAGACTATGCCACCATAAACTCTACCATCACAGAAAAATTCCTATCGTCACTACCGCCTCTCCCACCATCTCCGCCCAGGCCTCGGCCTACCGAACCTCGTCGCAGAGCACCATCTCCACCAGCACCACCAATCTACGTCACAGGCTACAGCTGCATCGCCAGTGACCCCGAGTACGAATACGCGCGACACATAACAGGTGATACCCAGCCGTATTGGTTCGAGGAATCGTACGGCCCCGCAGACTTCAACGACGGTGTGAGAAGGAGGGCAAGGAAGTACATGACGCTTCTAGAAAACGAAGTCGCAATCATAGATCTTGGCGACATTGGCAATGAGATGGATAGGGTGACAGCTAGAGATCAGAGGGAAAGAGCCAGGGAGAGAGCGTTACTTGGACCGGAGCCGGTGTGGGAACTTGAGGAGGACAAGGTGAGCATTAATGCTGCGATTCATGGATCGACTGGCTTGTTGCAGGATACGAAAAGATTGGTTAGAGAGAAGGAAAAATTGAAGGAAGGGAAGAAGATGCGTGAGGAAGAGAAAGAGAAACTGAAGGCTGGGGGGATAGAGGAAATGCAAAAGAACAAGGACGAGAGTCGTGCTTCACGGATACCGATCCGCGACCATGCACTTAGCCTGTTAGACTTTACGAAAAAGGCCAAGACAAAGGGAAAGTCCAAGGCTGAGATCTCTGAGTCACAATCTGAGGTTACTGAGTCACAGTCTGAAGTCGTTCAGATACAGCACGGTGTCATCGAACCACAACCTGAGGCAGCTAAAGAAAGCGAGAAAGAGTACCATCCTCTAACCGTCGAGAAACTCCCGAAACTCCCCTCACCACCAACGGACGACCCAGCTCCCATACCAACACTAAGAACTCTCGAGGAATTGCTAGAGTTGCCCGCAACACCGAGACACGACCCAGCTGCCACACCCTCACCAACAACGACCCCCACAACCACAGATACTGACTCCCAGAGCGGAAGCACCCCACTTACGTCGAGACCGCGTTTGTCTTCCGCAGCGCAAGTCCAAGCCGAAGTCCAATCTCTTCCAAACCCAAACAATACCGTATGAAGCGTCCTTTTCACCTCTTTTTTTTGACCTGCGTAGGACAGTACACTGGCTGACACTGGTGGGTAGGGTCTGGTGCAGGGTGTTGGCACGTTGGAGAGGCAGAATCCGCATAACAGTGTATGAACCACCCCAATGAATATCTTTGTGACTTGTTGCTAGTGATAGTCTTGCTAATAGTGTCGATTAGGGTCTGGTGCAGGATTTCGGTACGTTGGAACGAGCGAGGTCTTTGCGGGCGAATAGAAGTAGTGGATTGTTTAGATGTTGCTCTGGGCGGAGGAAGTAGGTGTTGATTGAGATGGAGTGCGTATATGCCGCAACTGTCAGGCTAAGAGGAGGGTGCTGTGCTGTCTACGCTCAGCCAAGCGTCGCTTTTTGTGGGTTACCATCTCAGTCTATCGGAATGGTGAATCGAAATTAGAGATTCGGCTATCATATTCTCAGATCATATCTTCGGATCATGTACGGTCGGTAATTACAGCATCTAATGATGAGGGGATATATATTGCGTCCAACCGCGCGTTTTCAGGTGCGCAGCACTGCTTTCCAATTTCACCACTCCGCATGACCAAATCGAGCCACGTTCACCTTGACTTCCAGCCCACAGTGCTCCACAACCACGGTCAGCGAGATCGTCGCTTATTACGTTTCCCCTTGCGCGATGAGCTTTCAAATATCTATAGCTTGAGCCCCTCTCATTGTTTCGACTTCCATTCCTTTCGCAGTAATTAGCCCATCACGATGACCGGCACGACCGTGAACATCCGCCAGCAACGGTATGATCGCTCGAGCTCAGTCGGCTGCATAGAAGAACCACACCTGTCACTTCAGGAAATCGAACCTCTTCGATGGGACCGCGCCTTAGAGAGCTCAGTGCAGGCACTACACGAAACGATGAACTCACCCGCCTACTGGCAATTTCCGAACAACACTGCATCAATGTGGACTCGGGAGCTTCAAGACGTTCAAGGTACACTCAGCAGGGCCATGAAAGGTGGTGAAGGTAGTAGTGGTGTTCAGTCGCCCTCAAGCGATACCACAGTGAAGCTGGGGAATGGTGGTTATGGTCACAGTGGCAGCCTTACCAGTTCTTCGGTCGCTAACGTCACCGTCATCACACCAGAGGTGGATGATGCGCAAACTTCTAGGACTTCGGAACTCGAAAACCCGCTCTCGCTCCATAGTCGTCCACTTGCTGGAATATCAAACAATCCATCGCGTCGAAATCACTTCGACGATCCGAACCAGACCTACGCAAAGCACAACATGGGCGTCTTACCTCCTGGCTTGGCTCCACCAGTGCAGATACATGCCGGGACGTCGCTTGAACTCTTCCGCTTTGCACAGAACCCCATTCGTGCCACTTTTGACGATGCAGCTCTTCACCTGTCAAACTTTTCCAACCCACTGGGATCACCAAATGACCTTCATGTGCCGCTTCAAATGAATTTGCATCAGCGAAGGTTCAGTGGTAGGATGTCGAGCCTGCCAAGCATCCCTTCGCCGCTGGGCCCTGGACGTACGAGGGAACAGCTTCGTGAGGATGAAGACGGAGGTGTGTTGCTCTCGTCGGTCCCAAACGGAGCTGTTCTGCGCGACTACAAGATGGGATGTACAAGCCTAGAGGGAAACGCTACACAGATGAAGAAATCAATGCAAAGGAAGCGTGTTCCTTCGTCGCCTAAAGTGCAGCAATACGTATCCACCGGATCAATGCACATACCGCCTGTGTTCGACGTATACCCGCCTAGCGCTCAGATCAAGGTCGAAGGGAACATATTTTCGCCTCTACCAGGTTTTGTTAATGGTCCTGGACACTCGCGAAAGTACACCGATCCCTTCATCGACCATGAACCGACCCAGAACGACTCAGCATATGTCAACTATACTCGCCTGTCTGGAACTGCTACGCCGTTCAGACTCTCGTCTCAGTCGTCCATGTGCTTGCCTCCCACCCCCCTCACTGCGACATGGCCAACCTCTGCTTCTGCAACTTTTAGACTCGCGTGTCCGCCCACCCTGGCGTTTGCTCCTCCTCAGTCTCTACCGGCTTCACGAGGTCGTCCACCTATGCGGTCCAACCTAACTATTCTGCTGCCTCCGCTCTCTAGCATCCAGGGCCGGCACCAGCACACGCCAGAAGCTCGTGCACGTCTCGAAGCGCAGAGGCCTAATTGCGAAGAGTGGATCTGTATCGAAGCCGCCAAGATAGCACAGCTAGCGAGGCTAAGGCACGCAGCGGAGCGTCGCTACAGGGAAACACATGCCGAACAGGATTACAAAAGCTGGCAGCAAATCGAAGTGGTGTTTGCTGATGCTACGAACCTGGAGAAGCGACAGGAAGAGAGGCGGAACTTGTTCTTGAATGAGAAGGGTATGACAGCGTTGAGAACTCCTAAGATTGAGGACATGTCAGCTGCGAGCCGCGAACGGGGAGGTAAAGATGGAGAAGAGAAGCTGCTCGGCTTCAAGATGGCGTTGATGGAGCGGGAGTGTGTTGAGGTCAAGCGCGATGAAGATGAAGAAGCTATTACCGTTGAGATGTTGGCGACGTTGAGCTTGGAGGAGAAGAAGGCTCTTCGAAAGCATCTTGTAAGGCGTCTTGAGCGAAGGTCTTGATCATGTATCATGACACGGCAGTCCTGTATCTTACATTGAGGTAGCGTACCAAGAGCTGGAGATTGCGCTTAGGATCCCACTAGCACACAAGACCCTACTATAGTGGTGTACAACTTAAACAATAAAATGATGTATACGTCACCACAAATACTCATGCTCCACCACCGGCCATGATTTTCTTCCCTTTGACACTCTTCTGTTCCATACCTAGACTGATAAAGAATGCAATACTGCTCGTTGCGATAGCCAATATAAATGCCGTGACAATAGCGTTGTTATATCCATGCAACACCCCCGGTAGTATCTCTTCAGGTACAACGTTCCTCAGATTTGTCGCCCCAGCATTAGCTACAATCCTCGCATCGAATCCCGGCGCATATTTCGGCACCTCCTTCGCCAACGTATTCACAAAGATATTCTGCGCAATGGAGATTGAAAGCGCGCCGCCCAGCGAATTGAAGAACATGACGCATGCATTGGCTGTAGGCATGTCTTTCTCGTTTGTGACGACCTGCACAGCGACGAAAGGGATTTGTACACCGGCTCCTGCGCCAATACCAGCGAGGATTTGGTAGCCGATCCATTGGCCCGGTGGGGATGAGACCTTGAGCGTGTAGAGCATGCCTGCGCCGATGGCGAAGATGGTGCTGCCAAACCACATGAAAGGTGCATACCATCCGACGACGGTGATGAGGCCGCCAATGACGATGGAGGAGCAGGTAATGCTGACTAGGTAGGCGATGGTTCGGATGCCGGATTCTTCGGCCGTGGTTCCTTTGATTGCTTGGAAGTAGAAGGGCAGATAGAAGATATGCCTGGTGATTGTTAGACTTCAAGCTGAAGACGAAGACAACAGCGGTGATTTAGACTTACGTGTACAGCGCCATCGATAGTAGAGTTGAATACAGACAACTGACCAATACCGTTCGCTGCGTAAAGACGCGAACAGGAATCGTCGCTCGATCTTTCTGACGCAACTGTATGCCGATAAAGACGGAGATGAGTAGACCAAAACCCAGTAACGTACCCCACACCTTTGAGTTACTCCACGCGTAACTAAACCCACCCCATTGCAAGCACAAGAGCAAACAAACGATGGCGCAAATCAAGAACACAGCACCCGTAATATCAATATTCTTAAGCCGCTCCTTGACAGGAAGATGTGAGTACTGCCGCTTCGGATTCGTAAAGAAGAAAAACACAACCCCGAGCGACACCGCGCCGAAAGGCAGGTTAATCCAGAAACACCATCGCCAAGACGCTCTATCTGTCAGCGCACCTCCAAGGATAGGTCCAACGACTGACGCGATACCGAACATGGATGAAAGAGCGGCAATGTAGATAGCTCTTTTCCTCAACGGCACCGAGAACCCGATGATGGTCATACCACCCGAATACAACGCCGCCGCTCCAGCTCCCGCAACCGCTCTGCCCACGATGAACATGGGCGAACTTGTTGCCGCAGCGCATATAATGGAGCCGACCTCGAAGATGACAAGGGCACAGAGGTACGTGTATTTGACATCGAAGTAGGTGTACACTTTACCAAAAGACGGTTGGAGCGAGGTTGTTGTCAATAGGTATGAGGAGCCATACCACCCGACGTCATCGAGACTATTGAAGACGGTTGTGATTTTTGGTATGGCGGTTGCGATGATGGTGTTGTCGAGGGCGATGACAAAGGTTGTTAAGCAGAGACCTACGGAGAGGATGGCGAGTTTGAAACCGCTGAGGTATTTGGACTCGTCTTCGGGATCGGGATCGACATCTTTCTCTTCGCTTGCGATGACTTCTGTGGGGTTCTTTTCGTCGTCTGGTTGTTTGGCGTCCGTTTTGTTTTGAGGCTCGTCGGCATGGGCTTGATCGTTCGTAGCAGTATGCGCTGATTTATTCTCGAGGCTATCCTTTGGCTGTGCCAATCTTGGGTCGACTTCCCCAGATGCTTGCGTGTCCTCGGCGTTGGGATGAGTCGTGCTTGGGCCGAGAGTTTTTTCTGTGGTATCGGCTGCCTGCATAACGGCTGTGGGCCCGGCTCAACGCAGTCAGAGCAAGCCTTCTGCGGGCCGCTGGACACTAGGTATGTGGAACCTATCAACGGGTATCTTGTGGGTCAGACCAAACAGCTTCGCGGTAATGGGGTGTCTGTTACACAAAGTACAAACTGTCACAGATTGCGGCGAGCGCAAAAAGAAGTTTCGGAAAGAAGCATCAGGGCGACCCTCCGTTCTGTATAGAAGTCCTGATCACGCGCTGCAATCAAAACGCAACCATTTGGAACCACGACCGTATTCTTTACGGCGTTCGTTAGCCAAGCGACATGTCAGATGGGCATCTGGAACCGAGAAAACGTGAGTTGAGGCGCGGGACGTTGGGTTACCGAGCCCATTGAACCAATCAGAACATTCATAAGAAACATCCTTACGGCGCTGATCAATCGTCGGCTGCAGTTCTAGTTGTGTAGAAGACGTTTATGGCTTTGATGTTATCAGATACGTTCGCGTACGCCTTCTTCGTCCTTTTGCGCCGCTGTCGTTGCGATAGGAACTGACTAGAATCACAATGTGTCACATGTGGACCTTCTCACTCTAGATCGCGAGCTGTTCTCGCGCTGATAAGGAGTATGAGTTTCTGCGTCGCTCTCGGTTAAATACACGTCTAGTGCGGCGATCATCGCATCCGAGGTAGAAGTCTGAAGCATCGAATCCGAACGCGAGCATGTGGTGTAGGAACCCTTGTCTTCTCTACCTACCAAACCCCGATCTGCGGTTGAATTTGCTGTGGGTGGACATGATCAGCCCGAGTGGTGGGGTAGCTAGGAATTTCCTTTTGCATAGAGTTGGTTCAAGCTTCATCCCTGACCAGAGTGCCGTGAACGTGCAACGGGCCGTTTCGCTCCCGTGGGTGTACCATCGAAGGACATCATGTTGAGAAGCAGGCTGAAGGTATTCGAGCGAAAAGCATGGGCATTGTAAATCTAATGGTTGTAATACATTCGGAAAACATGACCAAGTAGTCGAGGATACGTAAGTGAAATACCTGTAGGCTAAGCACAGACCCTCCTTCTATAATCTATGTGTTGCGATTGAGCGTTCATATGCTTCTGATTGATCCTACTACATTCCGTCTACTGTGTGAGATCTGTCACTCAGCCACTACATAGTGCTTAGTATTCGTAGTGATGCTGTGTAGAAGAGAATCCCACCTAGCCCGGACACACACTGCAAGGTGTCTCAATCTTGACTGTAGCGAGGATTACGCCGTCGTGGCCACGTGCGCACTTTCGCTGCGCTATTTGGCCTTTGGGACAAAGTTGCTGGAAGATCATCTGGGTGTGTCCACACTTGTGAGAGTAGGCATGGTAGAAACACATTGGAAGGCGGTGATTGGTGTGATGTTGATAATAATGACCGTGGAATTGCTAGGACAGGCCGTTGGTATAGTCGGTCAAGGTTGATAGGAATACGAAGCGAAGGGAGGTCGGATCTTGATTGCAATGAACGAACGTATGCGGGAGCGAATGGAGACGGAGTGGTGGTTCAATGAAAGTGATGGATGAGAACGCTCAAGAGAATAGCAGATGACCGATGTTGTGACCATCTCTCCGTCCGCATCTCGTAGCTCTTTGTACTACCACGTATGTCTCGAACGGTGGGCCGCTATTGTCTGTTGCTCAAGTTGCGCGGTTTGATAGTTTGATACCCGTGAACAACCAAGCAATTGTAAGCTTATCCGTTTGGTCAGACAAGCACAACACATCGTTTCGAGTGGATGAGCGGATTTTCATTGCGGAACGGGAGATCTCGAAGATGGTCGGCGGCTTATCACCGTTCATTATAGATGAGGTGGTACATCTAAAGGTAAGTCTTCACCGATTATCATGAGCACCTGCCCTGGCGAGGCTGGCCTGATATTGTTGCACAAGCGGAAATGGGCGGCTCCGGGTTGTTCAAGACATAGCAGATGTTTGACTTGCTCATACCCCACGAATGCGTGCTCTCCGGGAGATGTGCATACAGGGCGGCGATCAAACTCACGACCTGGTGGTAGCGAAATTTGCGCCGCTGGGCTGGTAGCATTACAGTAGCTATTATAGTAGTTTGTTTGATTTGCGAATTTGTCTCTCGCCAGATATGTACGGGTTTTGCTCGACCCGCCTTACCGTCGGCTTGCGGACTACATCCGCTGCGACACTTGGTGTTGCTAAGGTTTGCGCAATGCTTGTCGTCATTTCCGGCCGTTCTTCGTTGGTATATCCCAATCACCTGGTCCTGGAATTCCAAGCGCGCTGCAGCCAATTTGCTGGTTGAGGAGCTCTGCTATACATTATAGTGGCGTCATGCGATGTAAGATCGAGAAGGCTGGCTATCAATAGTAGTTCTTAGCTGCCAATGACATTCGCCAGCATTTTCGAGATTTCAGCCAATAAGCGTCCGGTCTCACCGCCAATTCATGTGGAGACTTTCGATGCAGATACGCCGCCAGATCCTGCAGATGACGAGACGACAGCTCGACTTTATCAATCGATACTAGTTCCTTGGATGGAGAAATGGTGTGCAGGTCTCTAAATGTGGTCATCGTCGCCATCTTCGCCTTCGAGGCCGGGAGTTGCAGATTGCTCCACTCGGGCATATTGCTAAGCCTGCAGGATACATGTTGACATGCCAGGAACACAAGTCTACATCAGCGTCTCGTCAGCATGCATCGTGCTAGTCCTCACCGTGGGTAGAAAGACAGAGTGACAACGCAAGCGCGTGCTGTCCGTGGCTGAGTTGAAAACGCCATCCTTAGGGCTGTCGAAGCGTCTCTTGCGGCAGACCGACAAGTAGGAATGATGGCATACTGCACCCCACCAAGCCGTGGAACGATGCGCTGGCAAACGGTGTGGTTCATCCGGGACTGCAGCTGAGGCATAGCCCTGCATGCGCTCGTTGGCGAGCCTCGAAAGCGGCCGTGTTGGAGAGACGTTGACGTCGAGCAGGAGAATATGTTATGGCAGTTCTAGCCTCGATGCCAGCTGGCAACGCCCCATCTGAACTATTAACGGGAAAAAGGACATGCAACAGACGTGTGTAGTTTAGCGGAGGAGTTCGACGCTTGACACGTAGCCCACCATAGCTCGCCTGTCTGCAGATTGACGCAGGAGCTGCACCTGCGTCTCCAGAGAGCCGGATAGAGTGCGCGGGTTAATACTAGCATCCGTTTCCTTTGCGTTCGCCCTGCTATTTCCTTTTGCGCCGTTATCATCGTTTTGGTGTAGTTGTCATTTCCTCGTCGTCGCGCGCAATCATCGCGGCCTTCCGCTCGTTCCCTCAACACCAAGCCAAGCGTAAGGGTCTTCGCAACACCAAAAAGAAGCCCCCACCCAGTGCCCAAAGCGCAATCGAACGGTTATCCTCGCGCGAATCCGGGAATCTGGAGTCTGTAGGAGTGTGCGCGGCCAAGTTTCGCTTCCTCGGCGTCCAAAACAGCTGCACTGACCGCTGCCACACCGCCTGCCGACGTCACGGCCTTTAAGACGGTCGCATTACCTCGTGCGCGCAGGACGATTGAAGCTGGCCAACATCGCAATGCGCTGTTCAAGGCCTCGGATCCACCTCTCCCAGCCTCCCGCCATCTCGCAATCGACGTCTGACGTCTGTTAGCCTGTTGCAAAAGCGTCTTGCAGCGCCTCATCTCTTGCGCGCTTCCATTGGCTCCGCCATCACTCCAGTCGTCGAATAAGAGCAAGGCACTGGCCCTAAACAACGACACCGTCTCGCCCTATCCGTTTCGAGATATCCCGATCAATGTGAGCCGTTGCTACGCCATGTGGCCGTTCAACAATTGGAGGCATTGCTGACAGTTGTCTAGACAGTTCATCACTCGTGGCGCTCACAACGACTTGTTATACCGCTCCATCATTTTCTCCGCCTCAACATTGCTCACCATCTTATATATCTCGTATCATGATCCTCGCCTCCACCGGCATCGCTTAATTCAACAAATCTCCGAGTAGCGCTTCCCGACTTAGACCATCACGAGAATCGACTTTCATCCGTTCAAGGGACGTGCACGGATTTTGGTCGCTTGCCGAAACATATCAATAGGCCAGCACTCGTTGTTTGGGTGCCAGAGCCTCATCTCCAGGGAGACATCATCGCAAGGTGTCATCGGTCAGCCTGGGCCGGGCTGCACTGTGTCTATCTTATAGAAGATACAGCGCAACGGTCCGGGTTGGCGGTTAAGGTTAGTGGTTGCACGATTCGTGCCTTCCGACTACTTCATCATCTTCACTTCGCAGTCTACACATAGCTCATTGTCAGCATTCCTTCGAATCATTTCCATCGCCAACTACATCCACCTTCCGCTCGTCTCTCTTGTCTCATCTCGACTGCGACTTACGAAGCATACCAGACTACGCCACTGAATCATGGCATCTTTGGACTTTGACCAGAAGTTCCTTGGTCGGATAGCCAAGCAGACTGAAGACACGAGTCCATTCCTATCCAGCGCTCTTTATCAGATTCTGGGTCTATCAGTCCTCCTGGCTCGGAGACTCATTCGCGCCAGGAAGCTTCGAAAACTGGACACTAGCCGGGATACTCCTTCACTTTCGACCTATCAGCATATACTATGGATGTCCCGCGAAGGGCTCTCTATACTCGAGCTGTACGTGCTTCCATATGCTCAGGATAACCAGCATGGACCCGAATGCAGGGTGTTGAGCGTGAAGTTGCGGGCGAGCTTCTACCACATCTTCTGCCTCTTCCACAACCAGCCACCCGTCACAACAATGAACATGACAAGTACTGATCCTCGGAATCCCGCCTCACCCCCCTTACACCTATCACCACCAAAACATGGAAATGGACCTGGTCGCAAGATAGATCCCCTGGGATTGCCACCCCCTTCAAAGCGCTCAGGCAAACAACCAGTATTACGGGAGCCCATCGACTCTATTGTGTCCGAGACATCTTTCGTCACGAACCCATATGCAGCAGGGGGGCCAGTCGGCACACCATCACCAGGACCAACGATCAACGCGCCTCCGGGCCTCAACCCGGTGCCTATTCCACAGCCTTCATCCTTCATACTCCCACCACTGAACTTCGTTCCGTTAGCCAGCGGCTACTTTACAACCGCTACACAATACGCCACCTCGTTCCTGCATGGCTCGCATCCATTGCGGTTGTCCGTTGCGCTCGAGCACAGTGCGTTCTTGTGGGATTGTCTTCACGACCATGATGCCTCACGACGCGTCGCTCGACGTGCAATCAAAGACGTATACCGCGCACAAGAAGCCATGGATGATACAGAGTTTGAAGATGCCGCTGAACTCGTGGGTATTCTGGGTCGCATGATGAAGCGCAAGAGCTGGGAAGGCACCCCACGCGTCGGAGGCATGGCAAGTCCCGAGCCTGTCGCACAGAACGCCCCACTAGCAGCTGGTGGCCGGCTGGAACAAGCGAATATGCCAGTCACCTCTCCTACCCAGCGCCCTCAGCCAAGTAGCAGGAGAGCGGCAGAATCATCGCCGCTCACTGACTCGTCTATGCAGACGCCGCCAGCGAGTGCCGTACGCAGTCGAGCAAATACAGCAAGCAGGTCTGTACCTCGACAAAAAGAAAGCAACAGCCACGAGAATACACCCAAATCACCTCCACGGCGGCATGCCGAAGGCAATAGTCGCGACACTACACCACGCGCGAGGCACGTCAGTGTCGAAAGCGGTGCCAGTACAACACCTCGGGCACCTCAGGGAGTAGGCGGTCGCTCTCCCGCAACACCATCCACGGTCCGAACTGCGCACCGAACTTCAGGCAGCGGTGGCTCTTCAAAAGGAACACCCGTTGCCGGGACCTCGACACCACTGACACAAAGCGCAGCCGCGACACTCGTTTCGGAGAACATGCGCAACTCGCCGACGCTGCGGCGCACACCTCCGACGCAACTCTCACCCGAACACCACGGTACGCGCTTCTCCCCTTCACAAGAAAGCTCCTACGCAAGACAACAGAGGTGACTAGTAGAGACGGGTCGGGAGAAGCAAAGAAAAATGGAAGTGCAATGGACCGACTCCATGCATGAAGCCGACATTGTGCTCCTTCCCATGACACAGCCCTCTTCGGTTTCATCAACACCTATCGACTACGCCGGACAAGCGTATCCCGAGTATCCAGTTCACTTCCGGCCATGAACCCTGTCATGTGTTCTTGGAACGATCCAGTTTTGATGCGAGCTTATGCACATCCATCCATCCCTTCCCGTCGCAGCCACACGAGTCAGCTCTTGGAGCCCGATATGATACCTCCCTCTCATCATCACATTCCCTATTGCGCAATCCTTCGGGATCAGCAGAAATATTGTATTATACCTATTGGCGTTTCTTGGGCGTATATACATCGGTTCAGCAACCACATACGTTTCGTCGTTTGCATTGTAGCATATCGGATACCAAAAGCTGCTCATGCATATCACAGCTGAGCGGCAATACTGCATAATGTCTTATCTCTTGGTCAATTTTTTTTGGCGGTTGTTTGTTTTTCCTGTGGGCTGATGATACCAAGTTTCTGGCTTCTTTTTTTGTACGTTTTGGTTTTCCGAGACGTAGCTGAGTCTCTCTCTCCATTACATGCAACTAGAGATTCATGAATTATAGCCGTTTACACTGTTCATTATGATTTGAGTTTGTGATATATAATACATTCTGAGGATGTTGTTTTCACGATCAGTTGACTATATGTGTGTATTTCCAGGCTGCGACGCCTACTGAGGATGCGGCCGTCTCCAATCATATTCTTCTTATTGCGCAGATTGTCTGGGCAATCGAAATGCTAAAAAAAAAAAACACCTGGCTCGCCGCAAGACTAGGCGGACTACGATCGGTGGGCGGATCAAGGACAACCTGTGGAAGAGCGGAGCAGTCGTCGCTAAGGGAAAAGTAAAGTCAGCCTCTCCTACTGTTGATACCTCTGCAGTGGCGGAAGAGTCCATGTAGATTAATCGAGACATAGATGTTAGGAGAGGATATAATGACGAAGGAGCTAGACACAGGCGTCTTTAGAGAAAAGAACCTAGAACTAGAGGCTTAGAGAAACCTCCTCGAAGATTAAGTGCTTGTTGTCAAGATGAACGAAGCGATTGAGGGTACGTTGAAGCATGGGATCTCTTTGTTAACAGATGAATTAGGAAGGGGATTCTATTCTAGTCAACATGTGTATCTAGGTAGACATGTGCGGAGTCGTAGAGAAGACAATCTAAAGTTAAGCTGTCGGATTATGAGGCTTTATCGGCTTGTGCCAAATATTACCATGTCTATATAGTTGGGCCTAATAATTTCAATTAGCTGCTGGAACAAATACGATGCCGCAGCAGTAGTGCCTGCAGGTACTCGCGATTGTTGGTGTCGGTGATTGATGAATCACAACGTGCTAGGGACCTCAACGCAACGATGTCGTGACTTCCGCATCCACTAAACACTCCGTCTCGCCACGAAAATCACCCCGTCCGAAGCTCAAAGCGTTAGCTTTTTTTAGTTTTAATATTATAAATAATATTTCACAAAATTGTCTCATCCAATTACAAAACGACATCGGTCGCTTAGCTCAGTTGGTTAGAGCGTGGTGCTAATAACGCCAAGGTCGCGAGTTCGACCCTCGTAGTGACCACTATGTTCTCTCTTTTTGTTTGATTGGAGTATCGGAGATGTGTGGTAGAGAAAGAGAACTTTTTTTGCCTCTCCTTGCGGTGTTACGTAGGGCTGCGCGTCTCGGGTGGCCCGCACCTTAGTGAAAAATCTAGGCGAGAAGCCCCCCGCGTCAGCACTTTCTCACAACTCAAACAGAGGCTACAACACCAGATCAATGCATTCACGCAAAACTTCTTTGACATAGCTACTCGGTACTACCCCTCTGTCTAGCAAAAAAATCGCATTGCTATTGCTTACAAGACGCGCTTTCAATCCTATGAGCTAAGGCAAGAACACGCTTCGCAGATACCAGTCTCGCTATGTCTTGTTGAGATTTCGTGATAAACTTGCACACGCTGCGCCAATTTAGTGATACAGCTTACTAGCGCTTGGAAGCACAGCTTCACAGAGGATGTTACGGCTGTACGTATAGTCAAGCTAGGATCAGCTGAGTTTAATATAGGAGCCTTAGTCAATACGTCTGTATGATCACTAAACCATGACTTCGAAGGGGATGATCACCCAACCATTCATCCTAGCGATACATCTGATGCTGTCTTGCTACGTGCGTGCTTACAAACATGAAGCTGATTGCTCAAAGTGTATCTCTACCAAACACCACTACAAGTCACTCCATAAACAGTTCGATTAGGTTACTCCATAAGAAATAAACAACCTCCAAGCTTACCAAAGTACTACCATACATTTTAAGATGTGCCAACGTCTCAGCAATATTGGCACAGTAAAGCCAACCGAACTTCCTCAGGACGGCACACAGTAATGTAGAATTACAATACTGCGAGAATCTTCGTCATTGGCAGAACCGGTGCGCAAGGGTTTCCAATCGTCCGCGGGCTCGTTGCCGATGGCGGTTACCATTGCAAACTCCTCACCCGAGTCGTGAACTCAGCCGAGCGAAGACTTTATTGCAATTGCCCAGTGTTTCTTTCCTAGAAGGCACCTTTGCCAACGAGGAGACCCTATGAGCGGGATCAACACCGACGGTTTTAACATTGGCAAGAAGACCGAAATCCTCTAGGCCATCCGCACATACGAGCTCGCCCTCGAATAGAGAACCAAATTCTTCGTCTATGAAAACCTCGACTACGTCTACATGAAACCAGATTACGATCCAAAGTACCGAATAGGCCATGACGACGGTAAAGAAAGGATCGGAGAAAGGATTCTCCATCAAAACAAAGACAACGCGCAGAAAATGGGAGCCGCCCTTTTCGCAACTCGCCCATACATCGGGATGGCGATCGCAAATAATACGCCAACGACGCTAACTGTCGAAGATGGGAATGCTACGTAGGATGTACCGCTTGGAGATGGTGCCGCGGTACACGTTTCTCTCGAAGACTGCGCGCACTAGGTTCGCTGGTTGTTCGATCATCCCGACCACGCTAACGGACTGGATCTCGAAGTGGCTATTCTGCATATTGGACATGACGACCTCCTGGCCGCATTCTAGCTTGTGACTGGCCATCCTGCTCGCTACATCGACACTGATTTCGAGACGTATTGGAAATCCGCGCCGTTAAGCGCCGTCGGCGATAGGTCCACCGGCTACAATCCGGGTTTCGACAATGTGGGAAGCAATGTGGGGAAGGTGTTGGTACTCGAAATCTTCACAGGGGTTAGAACATGTGGCGTGGCTCGGGTCAGAATAAGGGCGTTGTATGGAGGGACTATACACTACTGGATGAGATCTTCCCTTGTAGAATCTAGAGTGCTGAAGAGCGGTTTCGGAGGGAAGACGAACGAGTCATACGGGAAGGGCTAGGAGGACTGTGGAATAGAATTCAGGGAGGCAGTATAAAGATGGTTATCAAGGCGATGAAAGATGGGCTGAATTGTCGTTTGTAAATCTACTCTGTACACTGGTTGCTAGTGGTATCTACTGCTTTGCCTCAAGATATGTAGCGTGCCATACCAATACGCGCGACGCAATAATGCAGTGATGTAGTGTAATGCTGCTTGGCAGCAAGCCTCGCCTAGGTGTTCACAGGGTCGCCAGGTTCGAACTGAGAGAAGCGGAGGTCATGTATAGAACTCTTATACACAGAACTTATGCGTTCTTGCGTGCTGTCATAGCAAGCAACAGCTTCTCTCGTGATAGGCTATAGTCTCACTTTCTCTACTTCTCGATGTGACGGCCGTGAGTATACGCAAGCAAGATCCAACTGAAAGATCATCAGGATGAATCTCGGTCATTGCGATTACATGATCACTAGGTTTACGACAGATGCAGTATGAGGCTAAGAACTAAGTGCGACTTACCTAAGGCCTAGGGCAATGATTTCAAAGCAAGAGTAACTAGTTTCATCAACGTGTGCAACGTTTTAAGAGTCAGGTCATGCGTATATAAGGTGGAGGAGTAGTCGCATACATACAAGATGCAGACTGCAAGTCATCCATCATCTCCGCTCTCACTAATCGATCGAAGAAAAAAAATAGACTCAGGAAAGAGACCGAACGTCGTTGCAATCTCTTTCAGTAATTGGAGATGGCGATACACCATAACGTGTTGCTCATTGACGTAAGTCAGGTCTCTTAACAAATCACAGCTACCAACTGACATCTTCGCGACAGGGATCCGGAACTCTAGGAAGTGTCGTATCAAAGGTGTTCCTAAATCCCCCATATAATGTAACTGTTCTTTATCGGCACCAATCGTCATATCGATTCCCCAACGGTGTACGCATTATCCGAGCAGACTACGACAACCCAGCCTCAGTAGTATCTGCGATGAAAGACCAAGACGTGGTGATAAGCATAGTAGCGGTGTCGTGGCAGGGGATCAGAACAAGTTCATCAACGCTGCTGTGGCGGCTGGAGTGAAACGATTCCTTCCCAGCGGGTGAGGTCCAAACATACGGGATCCTCGTGTCGTAGGCTTCATCACGATACTCCCTTCCAAGGTGCAGACGATGGACCACCTCCGGTCGAAAGAATCGAGCATGGAATGGTCGAGCCCTGTACCGGGTTTGTGGTTTGATTAGGCGCTGAAGGACAGTCATCTTGGTTTCGACCTAGTTACCAAGACTGCAACGTTGACAGACGAAGGCAAGACTGAGTTCACAGTATCCACTCTAGAGTGCGTCGGCAAAGCGATAATCAGGGTCCTCGAGCACGCCGATGAGACAAGGAGCACTTGTGTCTACACGTCATCGTTCAACCTTTGTCAAATCGACCTTCTCGCTGTTCCTGATAAGATAGACGCTCAGGATTAGACGATTTAGCGGTATGCTTCGAAAGACCTTATTGAAGGAGGCCACAGTAAGTTTCGAAGAGGTAAGTATAGTGGTATTCCGTTACTGGTCATGGCGTTGGCAACAGGGTCGGTGAGTCTGGGGAACTCAAGATCGGGCAGGCTTTGGAACGAGAAGCTAGATATGGAGCGGGAGGATTTGGAACAGGCTGTGAGGCGCATTGTCATCGAGAAACGAGCTGGGATTGCTAGCGTATAGTTTGTCAGCTATCAGCATCAACTCAAGCGCCTTAAGAGCCAAAGCTACTTATGCGAATATCTGCCCTTTGATGTTGTGTTGGTTTGTCGCGTCGCACTGTTGTCCAAGCTATGGGCTGAGTGTTGGAAGAACCTTAGGTGTGTTTGTCCAGTCGCATTTCTTCGTTCTGAAGTAATGTGCATGTTTCTGAGGGTCATATAACTTGTCAGCTGACACTTGTTCGTATGTCCCCTGCATTGAACCGCATGACTATGCGCATCGAGTGTACTGTCCGGTGTCTACGCTGGAGAAGAGCCCGGCGCGGATGGGTTGAACTGGGCGGACGACACCGTAGTAGTTGAGAAGAGGAACGCTGTCGCATTGAGAGACCATGAGTGTGGCCAAGGCTGAGTCTCCGATTACGTGCTGACCATGGGTGGTAATGAATACAACGGAGGTGAGGGTAACCTTCAGATGACAAAGTTCAGTCTAAGGTTAGTGGGCTTCGGCATTCCCAACTCAGGGACCGCAGCAATATCGCACTGAACAAATTTTTGAATCGTACTTCTACGTGCTATATTATCTGAGATACTCTCGAATAACAGTTTTTACACCTTCCAAATCCTCCAAAACATGCCAATGGCCCACCCCTTCCAATATTTGCAGGCTCGCCTCTCCATTCATTTCTTTGACATAAGTCTCGCACAACAGCGGAGGTGAAGTCTTATCCTCACTTCCAGTGATAAGCAGAGTCTTTGCTTGAATCGCAGAAAAGTCAAGATGGGGTGCGCCGGCAAGCGCTGCACAAGCTTTTGCGTAGCCCTCAGGATCCTGGCCAAGCAGTGACATTCGTACCGCTGCTATAGCAAGCGGGTTCGAGGTCCTGGTCTTCTTGGATGTGGCAACATGTACCGCGTCGTCAACAATGGATATAACGCCCTTTATGCGCACAGCCTCAGCTAGTTGATATGCAGCGACCCTGTCGACAGGAGGGAGTGGCGAGGGTGGAGGACCAATGAGGACCAGCTTTGAAACCTTGTCAGGATGCGTCAGCGCAAATTTGATCGCGATCAAGCATCCCATGGAGTGTGCCACGAGCGTGGCTTTGGATGTGATGTTTCCTGCCTCAAATACACCATCCAGATCTGTTGCAAGGGATTCGATGGAAAGTTTGCTAAGAGGGGATGTCGGTGATAGACCGTGACCCTCAAAATCGAATATGTGTAGAGAATGTGAGTTGGCAATACCCAACGACTGAATGAGTGGCACCCAACACTCTGAACTTCCTCCAAGGCCATGCACGCAAACAACCGGAGGGCCCGAGTCTTTGCCTAGCTTCTTGTAGTAGAGAAGCTTGTCATTGATCTGCGTCAATAGTGTGGGGTCAATGCTTTTGGATACATTGTTATCTTTTATGTGAGACAAGTTTGCAACTCGACTCATGATAGGATTGGCGTATCTTAGATCCCCAATGCGGTTTGTTAATGTACCTAGGCCGTTCACTGACACGGCCACAGTATCTCCGGAATTAAGATATGCTGGCGGATTCTTTCCGATACCAACACCAGCGGGCTTTCCAAGCATTAGCTCTCCATCTCAACCACAGTTTCCGCTGATTGTGCACTTACAGTCCCTGTGGCAAGGACATCGCCTGGCATTAATGTCTGCCCTTCGGACATGGTCTTGATCAAGAATGGAATCGAGAATATGAGATCATCTGTCGTTGCGTTTTGTCGTAGCTCTCCGTTGACATGCGTCTGAATTCGCAAAACTTTATCAAGTTTTGATGCTGGTACAGCGATTGGACCCTATTTGGAATCAGTAGTATCCAGTTACGCTGCGAAGGATTCACGTACCATCGGGCAGAAGGTATCAGGCGACTTGCCGATATAAAACTGTTTGTGATCTCTCTGCCTCTCACGCGCTGTCATGTCGTTCACAATCGTATATCCCCAGACATGGCTCATCGCATCTGCTTCCGAGATACGGAAACCCGCTCTGCCGATAACTACACCAATCTCGCCCTCATAGTCGATCATCTGCGTGAAGTCTGGGTGCGGAAAGACATCTTCTCCGTCCGCGATGATCGACGTGAAACGTTTTGTGAAGATTACAGGATGAGAAGGCGTATCAACCTTGTCCGAGCTATCAAAACCCGAGCTGTTAAACTCCTTCGCATGTTCAGCGTAGTTCTTTCCTACGCAAAGAACATCTCTACCTGTGAAGGGAGGCATGATCTTGGTTGATGCTGCGGGGAACGGGTCATTTGCGGCGGCAAGATTGAGCTCACCAGCTTCGATGACTTGGTAAAGATTGTCTGGGTAGGTTCCAGAAAGAAAGGACAAAGGCTGAATGGTTTGCTTGTTCAAGTCGTAGTGTCCGATACGGGTGCGTCCAGTGTGCACATCTTGGTAAGATACGTAATTCGTAAGCGAAGTGTTGCCGTTCGCTGAATCCATCGTCGGTAAAGTGGCAAACTATGTGAGGTTTTCAACGACAATGCCACATGCATGTGTCACTTTGCATTTATGCATGCGTGGGGTTTCCGTGCACGTCTGTATTTGGCTACTCTGGTTGTGTTGTGAGAGAAGTACGGTTGGGCATGCGGACATAGAGGAGGCGACTAGCGCAAGGCGGGGCTTGGTCAGTGCACACCAGAGATGCCTTCCTGTGGACTCGAACATGGATTTCTTATGTCATCATGATAGACCACCAGAATAGCCAAGGAAACTATCGTGTAGCATCCCCAAGCGATAGCAAAGACCCCCGCAGGATTTTTGGATTTCCACACGTCCCAAATTCCGCTGTTCCGCCCATTTTCCCAAAGCGGTTAGTTGTCCCATCAGCGTGGGTTGTTGCAAATCAAGTTTGGGAATAGGAAAATACATCGGGCTGGGCGCTCGCGAATCGCCATAACGTCTTCACATGGAAATACTTGGAATCCTTTTGTTTCAAAAAACCTCTAGATGCTAGTATCGTGTTATGGAGCTGTTTGAGTCGAGCCGGAAGGACGTTGATCTAGCATATGATTTGTTTCTGCCTGGTATTGATCGAAGCAGCAGGGGCCTACGTGTACTAGTCAAGGTAACAACCGAGAAACACTCGATTTCTAATCGATCCATCATTAGTGATAAACAAATCTTAGGTTATAGTAGTCTGAATGATTGCATATATGTATATTTTACATACGCTAAAATATTTTAGGATTATTCTAAGCCATTGGAGCCGTCGCTATCCTGTTCAAGAGCTTCGACAGTCTTATGATCTCCCACGCCGTTACAAGGACTGGGTCCAACCCTTTCCAGCGGCTGGACACCATCCTCAGGATGAAGTTGGCTCCACTCACCAATTACATCCCCTGCTTGTTTGTAGAGATAAGGCCCGAAGATGCCATGCTGGAGGACTTCAAACATACGTCTAGCGATCATGGACTCTGGCGCGAATGCGTGAAGCTTGTATTTTTCGGACACGCAATTGGTGAAGATTTGTTTCATCATCTTACCCTCATCTGTTGATGGCGCCAAGTTTGCCATAGACTCTTCATCTTCCACATAAGAGTCTATGTCCTTTTCCTGGGAGATCCATAGCCAAAACGGTGCACGGTACGCCACAAACTCCGGTGCCATGACTGCTGAGTCCCAATCGATAATGCCTGTAATCTCTACTTCAGTCTCACTCCGGACTTCAGCGAGGATGTTGTATGGTTTTAGATCGCCATGAACCAAGACACATGACCCATCAAGAAAGCCACGTTTCTCTAACGACTTCCATATGTCGACGAAGGCGTCTCAAAACTCGTGAAAACCTACATCCTTGCCTCTTGAGACGTGATACTCACGCCATCGCTCGCAATACTCGAGAAGATAGTCGATAGGCTCTCGAACTTGTCTTGGCCCGGTAATCGACAGGTCAAGTGGCCTATCTCCAAAGGCTGCGGATTTCGGAACACGGTATTTCTCGATCTGTAGAGGGCCTGAGGGTAAGGAGAGAGTTGCGATAGAGATTATGCCAGCCGGGCCCTCTACTGTGGCAATTTTGGGGGCCAACTCGGCAACGCGCTTCGCCATGCACATCTTTTGATCCCAATTCAATTTTTCCAGCATCATGGACAGATTTTGACCAGGAATGTGCTTCTGGACCATGAACGGCTTTTCGATGGCGTTATTGGAAGTGAGGTCGTAGCTTACGACCTTTGGAGTTGGTAAGGGGACATATGCATCAGCCGCCAATAGGGCAGCAACTTCAAAGTTGACATCGAGATCTTCGTCTTCACCGATTCCCCGAGGAACGGGGACGATGTATGAGTCGATACCTAGTGGTCGCGTTTTTCGACGAGTTCCGAGGCATTGAGCTACTACCCCTATGAGCCAAGAGAGACCAAGCCTTTTGGGCCTCTGTGCAATGCTCACTGCTGCGACTCGGTTATAAGCACCACCTTTTAGATATGTTACCTTGATTTGCGAGATGTCGCAGTGGAAATGTTTGGCTACTACGTCCGCGACTTTGTGTTGGAACGTTTCGAATGATTCCTGTTCGTAGGCGATGGTCGAGGTCTCGGAAATGCTGGAGCTGACAGTGATTCTTGGAGATGGGGACTTCGCATCGCCGACTTGCATTGGCTGAGTTTCTTGTTCCATATTTCGAAACAAGGTGAACGTTGCGTAGACCGTTATATCGAAACTATCGTGATCAAAATTGCTGTAGCTCAAGTGGTTATCATAACGCGCTTTGACTAGACTTCAAGTTGGTGGGTGGTGGTCTAACTTGAAAGCCAATCGAAGTTTAGGCTGTCGAACGACGGTCAGTTGATTCGCGGGCGAATACCTAGGTAGTGAGGTTCTGTGAGACTTATGAACAAAGCGGAGATTTGCCTATTATACCCCAAAGAATAGTGGCGCATTGTTGTCACTGGTTTCTTTGTTCCGCACAGTTAGAGCATCGTCAGCTGACAGCAACCCCACAGCTCTGTGGCAGTCGGGCTAGTAATATTAAGCATCTCCTGATCCATGTCAAGGCACAGTGCTCTGCTTCCAGATTCATCGAACGTTGTTGACTTCGTGCTTTCGAAACTTGTACCCTACGCATATACAAACATGTATTTCTTACACTTGGTAGCTTACGCAAATTAACAAAGAGAATCAACCGAATTATTTGTAGTGGTGCAAATCAAATTTCGAATGTAACCACGCAAAGCTAGTAGTAACAAGACAACATGCCGAAGATGTCGTCAAAGATGTATCATTGCCCTGGTGCTAATGGATGGGTCGGCGATATTAGCCCTGGGGGTTGTACCAAAAAGAGGGTAAACGGGCTTTTCTTTTGCACGAAGCATGAAATGCCATGCCGTGGTGGTGGTATGGTCTGGTTCCATCTCAAGAATCAGCCAAGCTGCCCGGAATGTCAGCAAAAGGTGCAAGCTCAAATACGACGTGAACGAGCTGAGGACGCCAGGATGAAACAAGATGAGAAGACTAGAGAGGCTGAAGCCTTCTGGAAGCCAGGGAAGGCTAAGAAGAAGCCCTAAACGTAAATTCAACCACGCTAGGCAGGGAACGACAAAGTAAGTTAAAAGGAGTCGACAGGCGTTTCAAGCTTCGGGGTACACCGAGCATATAGAATTTAGGCTGTCTTGCTTGATGTCATCCCCGATAGATAGACAGTGAGGAATGATTGTTTTACCGATCGCAACAAAAGCAATACCCTTTATCTCTAAGCAATTGCTTGCGTTTCCACTGTCTTTTCAACACTAACGGAAGGAATCCATAGACATGAGGGTAGCTCTTCTAGTTATATGATGAGTTTCGATGTTCTTTCGTCCTGTGGGACTGACAACGGGCTGGTAGCCTGCTGTCCTAGAATACCGGCTTGTCAAGGTCAACACAACGTCCACACCACTTTGGCAGATCGTCCCGTCCCGTTCAAACTAGTGACCTTGAAAACCATGCGTTGGTTTGGGACCTCAAACTCTGCGTCTCCAAATTCGATGCCCCTCCATATCTCTCATAATCACCTCCCATACCCGCCCACTTACAGTCGCCTTCTCCATGTCTGCGGACAGCGCGTACTCTAACGCTACTACACTAAGCCACCACTTGCGGCTGTAATATCCTCTAGGGAAAGAAGTATGAGTATGAAAGTGTATTGCATGGGTTTAGACAGTGTTCTACTGGATTATCTCGTAATAATAATAATTGTGTGTAGTTTCATATCCTCATTTTGAGTAAGCTGTTGGAGTGAAGAACTGGACGATATGTGCACGGATACCGTACCCTGGGGGCGACGGTATTCGCTTCTCAAAAATAAATCCCAGGAAAGATCGGCAGCTGCTAGCATCTAGTAAATATCTGTTTTTATTATTCGGCGCCCCTCGACGTCATTTGGGCTAGCATCGTCTTCGTGATGATCAGTGAAAAGCAATCGGTGTTGGTGTTGCCGGATATCTGTGGAAGCACAACTACATTGCTTTTTGATCGGCAGGTGGCTTCGACTGCCATTATTGGTCAGTCCTCGTAAAGCCGAAGAAACTCCCATGGTTCTACAGTATGTAGTCCTTCTTGGGTATACTCGCGAATCTTGGGTAACGTGAGGGGTAGGTGGGGAAATCTGGGGGAGTGCGCATTACGAGACCAGTATGACGGTGTTGCTAGGCATGAGCGGACTACCAGTACTAAGTTCAATGTGTATAAAATGGATAGTACGTACCCTCATTTCCAACCACAGCTCTGAAGATAAACAGCTCAACAGTCAATTCCTTGTTTTCGTCTTTCCATCGTTTTGGCACCACGGTCCAGCAACTCACATTTATCAATATGCATTCGAAGACTATCACCTCCCTCTTAGTTGCTGCTGCAGCTGGCATCACCAACGCCGCACCTGTCGACACTCCTGTCGGTGACTACACCTGGAAGATCTCCAAATTCTCTGGTCGCAAGCCAGAAGGCACATACTACAGCAGCATAAGTCAGTAATGCGTCAATCACCAACGCTTCAAACTCTAATGTGAGAACATAGGCTTTAACATTAAAGCTACTAATGGGGGTCTGCTTGATTTCGAGTGCGCAGCTTCTGCTGCATGGCTACAGGACGATGTATTCCTTACATGTGGTCCCAACAGCGGCATAAGCTTTGCCTGGGAGAACGAATACAATGGCCTCATTGTGAAATTTGGCGATGGCGCGTAAGTGAAATCAGCTCTCTTCCTTCTATACCCGTCCTCAGAGTGACAAAAGTCGCCTATGAGGTGGACATCAGACGATGCGCATAGGGGAGGAGGTAGTCACGAAGATTTCGACAATTTATACCTTGCACGACGGCGCGCTAACTATTTCTCGAAGCAATGCAAGGACTGGTACCACTACCGTCCCCACCGTTTGCCGCGCTGGTGGCGCCGGTCCCAATGATCAGGTCTGCGAAGGAGTGGCGGACGCATATGTCACGCTTGTAAAAGGTCCCAGCTCTTGATCATATTCGGGGTGATGAGGAATGATTGCCTACCAACTGCGAACGCGTATGGGGAAGAAAATGGTCTATGAACTGTATGTAATTAAATCAATCATTTTGAAATAGACGCAACTTCAACACCAAAATGACTGTAAAATGTCTATGAGGGGAGGCGGATATGTCCAGAACTGATAGCTGATGGATAAGATAAGATAGAAGACTACTGTCAACCCGACCTGTCCAAGAAATCCTAGCAAGAAATCTGTACTTCAAGAGAGTTGTATCTCCATATTAGTCACACCTCTTCTTTGTTATCGTCTTAAACCCTCGCAACTCTATTACTAGTCTTCATAGCACCCCTTAGCAGTCGCACAACGACCCTCCCAAGCTGTATACAACCTACTCTATTGAAGTAGTGATTTACATCCTTTTCTTTTTCTCAGTCTTCCTGATTGAGAGGCTCTTAGCTGATAATGCGCCGCTATTGTCGCTGATAAATGACACAAAGTACAGCTTCAATCAAAGATGCGGAAGTAAGCCAGATAGCAGTCGGGACTAAATGCGCTTACTACCCTTCGACATCTTTAGGTGAGTCGATCGAATTAATGCGCTCATGCTAAAGCTCAGACCCTCCTCTTCCAACTCCAATGCACCTCCACACCCCCACTAAACTCCTCCCAAACCCTCCAGTTCGCTGTCCAAACCCCATCCTTCATGAGAATAGCCTCTTGAGCCTTTTCCGCGTACCCCAATGCTTTCTTATTGTCGCCAATAGCACTATACGCCAACGCCGCAAACCCATACGCCATGTCCATGAAACCTTCGAGGCCATCTTGACGGTAGAGAGCTAGTAACTCTTCTGCCACAGCAGGGGAGGCAGAAGAGGCAGATGAAGTGGGCGACCAGTCATTGAGCCGAGATTCCAGGGTCTTGATACGATCAAGCGTTGCGTCCGATCCGGAGTCAGTACAACGGCGACACGTACACGTGAAGTGAAATCCCTGCTGAAGATGTTGCTGTCGTGCAGCCGTAGGTTCAAGCGGACTCGTATACGAAATCGTCATCTCCTCGCCTATCGCGACCGGTCGCGTAGCCCGCACAGTATGCGTCAACATCTCCGTATCAATAACATACTGGGAATTCGGCGCACAGTCGTGATTCAGCCGACTAGTCTCCGGCCAAACCGCCAGATGGTTCTTATCTCCAACCATTACCTGGAAAGTATTCGCCTTGACGATATCTTGTACTCTTACTCTCTCATCCCCATACACAGTCGCGAGGCTTAGAAAATTCTCTCTTAGTTGCAAGGGTAATTGCTCGATTGCTATACGCCAGAGAACCTCTCGGTCTAAAGTTGAAAGCTCGGATTCCAGATACGCGAGGAAAGCTGGCGTGTAGCTCGTTACGCGGTCGCCAAATGCGAGAGGTTGGGTCGCCAACATACCGATGCCTTTTCCTGGGATGGAGGTTGTGGTGTAGACGGAGGTTGGTGTGTTGATGTTGTGTAATGCATGGGTTGATTCATCAAGGAAAGCGGGGAGAACGGCGAATTGGCGGGCTAGACTTGGTGTTGTAACTATTGAGATGCCGCGACCGGCAGCAAAGGTGTCATCCGTGTAGACGCAGAGGCTATCGTTGATTCCTGGGAGATGTGGCGTGCAGACTAGTTCGTATGACCATGGTTCGACAATGTTGTATGGTTTCGCTTTCAGCGCGCCATGAAGGGAGAAGGACTCGGAGCAAAATGCGTACTCTTGTGATCCGTCAAGTGAAGTTTGGAAAGTGATTGTGTAGAGTGGACTGCTTTGCCAGCATTGTTGGCGTAAAGTCCATGGTAATGATTCAACCGAAGCGACATGTGTTAAGAAAGTAGCGAGATTCCGCATTGTGGTACAACTCCAGATTGGGCAGGGAAAAAAGGCGGCCAGACTGCGAATGCAAAGTTAAAAGAACATGATGAAAGATCGTTGACGGTTCGATCGCGTCTGATATGTAAGGCACGCATGTGAGACTCAAGGCGTTTGAGCGCCTGTCGCTAAGTTCAGAGCGCCAAGGAGTGGCCTTACTTGAGCCCGAGAGGCGCAGCGACGAATCGATCTGTGATGGTAGTAATACAGAATTGGGTATTTGAACTTATCAAGCTAACCTAAACACCTGTCAATGCTTTTATGGTGTTCCCCAAAGAAGAATCAAGAATGCGCCCATACTCCACGTGTCGCAGCACGTCACTACAGCGTCGAGCTCGAATCGCAAGAAATGCTTCAAGCGTCGTCGCCATTGACCTCGCCTTCGGAGCTGCGCTTCTTCTTTTTCTTCTCCTTGCCCTCGCCCTCTTCCCGTTTTCGCTTCTTCTTCTGCTTCTTCTCGCCGTCCTCTTCCGGTGCGACATATTCCATCATCCTTTCTCTCCGCTTCGCGTCCATCTTGTCCTTCATCTTTTCTTCCCGCTCCTCCTGCACCTTCCTCTCCTTTGCGTGCTTGCCCAAGAAGTATTCTCCGCTCTCGATCTGCAGGTCGACCTTGCTCTTCTCTTGCGGTGGCGGGAACGGCGTGTATGTCTTCTTCGTCTTGTCGGTGACTTTGTGCGGCACGCGTCGCTTGCTGAGTGAGCGCTTCTTGAAGTTGGGTAGGAAGCGATCCCAGCTCTCATTGACTAGCTCTGGGTCCTAGTGGTAATGCAAAGTTAGCGTATGTTTCATATGGAGTTTGTACTTGGAGGGCTTACTTTGGCGAGCTCCTTCTTGATCATGAGCTCCTTTATGGCGTAGATGGGGTGGATGTTGTGCATTGTGTCCTCGACGATGCGCCGGACCTGCTTGAGACCTTTGTAAGGGCCCATGGCGGCGACGGTGTTTCCTTGTACCAACAGGTATGTTTCTGTGAGTAGCTCCAGTGCCTTGAGCGTCGATCCGTTTGGCCCCAATATACGCTGCCGCCTCTTGACAAAGCGATCCTTGTTTCCGACTAGATTTCGTATCTTGATGATATCCATGGCTACCTCGTCTTCAAGGATCTTGACTGCTTGTGGCGCAGGCACGCTTCGCGCAAGGAGCTTGATTAGGTCGCGCGCGTTCAAAATCGCCGCTGGGTCGTATGTCTTTTGTGTTGTCCATACTGTCATGGAGCCCTCGACCAAGTTCAGCTCGCATCCAACACCCTGTTTCTGCAGCGCTTGCGTGATAAACTTCCAAGACCCCTTCAGATATTGTTCGCGATACTTGGGAAAGAGGGTGCTGAAGCGAGACTCGTCGGTAAAGGCGCCGGCCGTGTTATCCTCGGGCTTAAAGGGCTCGATCTGCGCGAACGTTAGTCTTGAGCTTTTGGAAGCGCGCAAAACCGGCGCAAGCGTACCTTCCACTTGTCGATGTCATCTGTGTCCCAGGGCTTCTCCGCATTGTGTGTGGACGGCATCGTGGGTGTTTTGGGTGTGGGTCGAACTTGCGATTAGTTCTAGGTAACTTTTTTCTGAAAGTTGCACTTTCAAAGGCCGGGCGCGCTAAAGTTCTGCCACCGCCCTAGCCATGTTCGGATCTGACAACGCTAACTCCGCAACACCACGCGCATCATTGTAGGTCCCATTTGTTTGCCGTCTACTCGTCCGGAAGGTTTGTTGCCCTATGCGTTCTCTCTACCATGCGATCAAACAGTTCCTGATGTCTCTTCACATGGCTATACCTACTTCTTCATACAGGCCCGCTGCTCGTCCGTGCATCGCGAGGAATCATGTCCAGATGGACATACCCGACAGGATGCGGGATGAAAGTCGGGCTTAAGACACAGTCAGCTTAGTTTGCATGCAACTGCACTTTGCTAGATTGACCTGCTTCATAGGTGCTGTTTCCATATATATAGTCAGCTGTCGACACGCTTTGCCTAGAGCATAACAATCTCAACTTGCATTCATCATCATCTCAACCTCCTTCCATCTCCCATCTCTCGTCCCTAGGGTTCTCTCTTCGAACGTAAAGATGCCCTTCTCAGCTTTCGAAATGGCCAAATATAACACTTCTGAGTTCACGCGCTACGCCGCTGCCCACGCCAACATCAACGGCGAAGGTGACGCTCGTCCCACCGCTCTCCAGGTCATTAAAGACAACGACCTCGAGGGCAGGTTGACCGACAAGACCATCCTAATAACAGGATGTTCCTCGGGTCTTGGCATCGAAACAGCTCAAGCCCTCAAGGCCACGGGCGCCCACATCTTCTGCACCGCGCGCTCTCTCTCGAAAGGCCAGAAAGCACTCGCCGATATCCTCGAACCAGGTCACGTCGAACTCCTCCACCTTGATCTTGAATCTCTAGCTTCCGTCCGCACCTTCGCAGCCGAGTTCCTCAAAGCCAGCAACAACAAACTAAACATCTTGATCAACAACGCAGGCGTCATGGCCATCCCCGAGTCCACCACCAAAGACGGTTTCGAAACCCAGTTCGGCGTAAACCACCTCGCTCACCACCTCCTCTTCCAGCTCCTCAAACCAGCCCTACTCTCTTCCAGCACGCCCACCTTCGCCTCCCGCGTCATCGCTCTCTCCTCGATGGGCCACCGCTACTTTCCCCCCACCCTCACTGACCTGCAGTTGCGAGAACCTGGTGCCTACGACCCAAACCGCGCGTACGCACACTCCAAAACAGCAAACATCTGGTTAGTAACATCTCTGAAAAGTTTCGGACCGCATGTACAACACGTACTGATGCCGTAACACCCAACATTTAGGTTTGCAAATTACATCGAACGACACTACGGCGCAGTTGGTCTCCATGCTTTGTCGCTGCATCCAGGCGGTATATGGACAGGCTTGCAGGATCACCTGCCTGACATGAACGCCATGAAGGAAATTCCTGCCGTGCAGAAGTACATAAAGAGTCCCGCTCAAGGTGCTGCAACGACCGTTTGGGCAGCTGTAGGAAAGTGTTGGGAAGGTGAAAAATCCCCATTTAGAACTGCATGCGAGACATGTGCTGACTTGGCACACCTACTTTTAGGGAAGGGTGGCGTTTACCTAGATGATTGTCAGGTTTGTCCGCCGGTGCCGCAGCCGACGTATGAACTGCTAGACAGGGGTTACGAAAAGTGGGCGTATGATGTTGAGAGTGAGGAGAAGTTGTGGAAGATTTCGAATGAGCTTATTGGGTTCGAAGAGTAGAAAGTGTTGAACCGATGCAGTGACATGGAAGTTGTCGCCTTACTCAATCCTCGAAACTCCCAAGTCGCTACCAGGTAGCACTGTCCGACCATCGGACTAGACAGCCCTAACGTGTAGTGTGTTTCTCATTGTGCCTTCTTAGAAAGCTATCTACAAGACTCCAAATGCAAGTCTACCTCACGCAGACACGATCAAAATCATGCTCATTCCCGATCAAACGCTCATTGCTGCTCCGACAGCATACTATAGCACCTCAAACTCATAGTAGACATACGCCGTGTACTCTTGGTCGCCCATCTGTCCAGCTTGTGCCATATCAGTTGACAGAGCCTGGTCGTCCTTCTGGATCCGACCTTTGCTGTCGCGGCCAAAGGCGTTGCCGCCAAGGTATGAGTAGGCCGCATCGAGGTTTGTCTTTGCTTTCTTAGCTGACTTTGCGTCGGTCTGGCCAAGTTAGTATATATACGATGAGCGCCTTGGTACGTCGAACTCACCTGAACTATGCCGCATACGAAGTCGAGTGGTAAACCGTATCGCAGCACTGTCTCGACAAACACTCTCAGTGCCAGGACATGGATCCAGATCATGGCGCTTTCGCTATAGCCTGTGCGACCCAGCCGTAATGCCTCACCCCACAGCTTCTTCTCGTCCTTGGCTAATTGCTCTGCCTCCTTGGCTTCCTCTTCCTTGTTACCCTCCTTGTACTGGTAGTCTCTTGGTGTCCACCGCTTCTCTCTGCACTTGTGCACAAACTCCGTGGAATGCTTCTTGAACGTAGTCACAGCGAACAATGTGAACTCTGAATCTTGGGCAAGCTCGTTGGCGGAGCGGGGGACAACCATCGGACATAGTTCTTCGTACTCCTTATAGAAGTCCTTCACGTTGTTGTTCGGGACAGCGATGAGATGCGTGTCAAGGTATTCCGAATCGCGGACGATGGCTTTGGGGTTTACGACGTTGACGAGGGACTTGGTCGCGAGGTTTCCTGTGCGTTTTCGCTCGGCGGCTTGAAGGGCGCCTTTGGTTTGGTTATACTGGCTCATCTTGGACTTGACGTCGTTGTCGACACCTTGGATCTCCTGTCCACGTCATTAGCCAAATTCGCGCCGTAGCGATTATGCGCTTACCTTTTGCAAGGCGTCTATGAGGTCTGCAATGGGCTTGTCTGCCCGGTACTTGACCTTGTTCCATTGGAAATTGCGCAGGTACTGATCAACAGGCTCTACATCATGTGAGCTGCTAGCCGCCAATCACATACTGCCAGTTCAACATACTGTCGTTTATCGTCTTCTGTTGTTGTATCTTGCCCTCATCGCCGTCTAGTATCTGCCTGAGGCTGTCGCCCACCTTGGCTACCACCGCCTCGCACGCATTATTGAGCTTGGAAAGATCATCGGCCTGCTGGACCAGTGCATCTAGGGTTCCGATCTTGAAGTTGGGTATCGCGAACGGGGACGTGTTCCCCACGTCATTGGTGACAGTAGAGCGTAGAGCTGTTAAGGCCTCCTCGGCGTGGTTCGAGGGCGAGATAGACGTCGGCAGCGACACCAGTAGGTACTTGCTCCCCTTGGACATGGTTGCTGCGATTTGTTTGGGGCGACCGGGGCGCGATATAGGCGGTTATGGGAACGATGGCCGTTTTGGTGGATGGAATCCAGTCGGGGGAGCTTGGGCCTAGTCGCGGCCTAGGGTGCTTCAAGCTGCCGTCATTGGTGTCTTATATAGAGCGCCGTGAGTACCCGTCCAGCAGCGAAACAACAGAATTCCTCCCTCATCCACACAAAATGGCCTCGAAAAAAGCTGTTACTGCGTTGCGCCCAGTGGTCACTGGCCTTGCGCCGCGGATTTGGAGACCAGAATGTTCACGGGTCGCGAATTACTCCACAAGAACACGCGCGACTCCAGCCCCACGTCCCCGCGAGCTCACACGACTATCGCAGCAACAGGCCCGGTATGCTTCCTCCGAAACTGCAAATGAGCCACTGGGAAAGACTGGCTTGTATGAGCTTCACAGCAAGTATGGCGCAAAGTTTGTGCCCTTTGGTGGATATGCTATGCCAGTCCAGTACAGCGATATGAGCATTATCGACTCTCACAACTGGACACGAGAAAAGGCCAGCCTGTTCGACGTTGGGCACATGTAAGTTATAGCGACGTAATTACTTGAACTTGCTTGTGGTCAATCACCCGAATCACGTTCCTTGTGCTAATTCATTCAGGGTCCAGCACCACTTTTCTGGGCCTGGTGCCGAAGCCTTCCTCGAAAGTATCACACCGTCCTCGCTGTCTTCATTGCCCGAACGCCAGTCTACGCTATCTACGCTGCTACATTCTACAGGCGGTATTGTCGATGATACCGTCGTCACACGTCTGGCTGATCGATTCTACGTCGTCACCAATGCTGGCTGCAGGGAAAAGGATACAGCCTACTTCAAGGCGCAATTGGAAGCTTGGAAGGATGCACACCCCGACCAACCAGTAGAGTGGAACATACTTGATGGACAGGGTCTTATCGCTCTCCAGGGTCCGTTGTCCGCTGAGATACTCTCCCGTGTACTAGACGACAAGTCCAAGAAGGATCTCGAAACGCTGTACTTTGGCCAATGCGCCAACGCCGTCATCAAAGGTACCGATGCCGAAGTGCTCGTAAGCCGGGGCGGATACACAGGTGAGGACGGTTTCGAGATTAGTATTCCTGCATACGCCACCGAAGCGGTCACCCAGTTCTTGCTCGACTCTGCCAAAGATGAGCTGCGGTTTGCAGGCCTTGGAGCGCGTGATACCCTAAGACTGGAGGCGGGCATGTGCTTGTACGGCCACGACCTCGATGACACGACCACGCCAGTCGAGGCCGGACTATCCTGGATCATCGGCAAGGATCGCCGTGCAAAAGGCGGCTTCCATGGTGACTCCATCATCCTGCAGCAACTGAAGAAGAAGTCGGAAGGCGGCGGTGTGTCACGGCGCCGCGTTGGTCTCATCATAGAGGGATCGCCTGCTAGAGAGGGTGCTGAGATTGTTGATGAGGCTGGCGAGAAGATTGGCACTATTACCTCTGGCTGCCCTTCGCCTACAATGAAGAAGAATATCTCCATGGGCTACATCAAGGATGGTATGCATAAAGCGGGTACTGAAGTTGAAGTTGTCGTTCGTGGTAGGAAGAGGAAGGCTGTCGTGACCAAGATGCCTTTCATTCCTAGTAAATACTTCAAGCAGCCAGCGAACATCAAGGCATAGACCTGGTGTCTAGCATTGAAGATTGAAAGAATTCAACATGTAATCTTCCGTTTTGTCCCCTTTTTATCCGTCTGGTCTGCCAAGTTCTCGACAATGATCGAGGGTGCCCACTAAGATTCCGTGCTCAACCTTGCGCGAGCCATCAACCAGATGCTTGGAGAACGTCGCAAACTAGATCGCCTCTTCATCGGCCTTTCTATCAAAGTCAAACACGCATTACATCAGCTGCGGCGATGATTCGGGTGATACAGGACGCGACGCGGCGACTTGCCGACCTGCGCCGTCACAATGCCGCTAAGACTGGGTCACGGCATCTACGGCATGTGCAGTATCAACGCTAGCAACGAGGCATCGACGTCGATGTCTAACATCAGTCCACTGTTTTGATGTACGGTCATGTACCATCCGGTCGCTACAGTTACTCTCCGTGCTCTCATTCGTGTTTGACTGCGGCAGAATCACACCATGTTCGATGAAGCACGTCAATTAACCGGCAGCAAGGAGGTAGCAGGGAAGCTGCTCCTGTTACTGACACTGACAAACTATGGGTATCGAGGAGGGTTGCCAGACGCAAAGCAAACGTTGTGTAACCATGAGAGAGGGGTCATACATCACGGTCTGGGTATATAAGAGTTGGAGGTAGCCCTCGACTTTAGACATCAATCATCATACATTTGACTTTCATCTACTCCACAAACATACAACTCTTCACTTCGCATCAGAAGATTCATCACCATGCCTCTTACCAAGTACAAGGCTGCTTGCGTAAGTCCTCATAGTCGTTTTATCCACAAGATTCCATCTGATCAAGTTCCCTATAGGTCACCTCCGAGCCATGCTGGTTCGACCTCGAAGCCGGCATTCAAAAGACCATTAACTTCATCAATGAAGCCGGCGCAGCAGGATGCAAGCTCATTGCCTTCCCAGAAGTCTGGATCCCAGGCTACCCGTACTGGATGTGGAAGGTCAACTACCAGCAATCGCTCCCAATGCTGAAGTCGTACCGTGAGAACTCCTTGCCCATGGATTCGGAGGAGTTCCGACGTATTCGCCGTGCAGCGAGGGACAACCAGATGTACGTTTACTCCAACCTTGGACATCCCAAGTAATGTAAAATTAATCTCGCACACAGCTATGTCTCCCTAGGATTCTCCGAGATCGACCATGCGACACTGTACCTCGCACAAGCTCTAATCGATCCTACGGGCGAAGTGATCAACCACCGCCGCAAGATCAAGCCCACGCACGTCGAAAAGCTCGTCTACGGAGACGGTGCAGGCGACACATTCAAATCCGTAACCCCCACCGAACTCGGCCGTCTCGGCCAGCTCAACTGCTGGGAGAACATGAACCCCTTCCTCAAAGCCCTCAACGTCTCCGAAGGGGAGCAGATCCACATCGCCGCCTGGCCTGTGTATCCTGGAAAAGAGACCCTGAAGTACCCTGACCCTGCAACTAATGTCGCAGACCCTGCTTCCGACTTGGTCACGCCGGCATATGCCATTGAGACCGGCACGTGGACTTTGGCTCCTTTCCAGAGACTGAGTGTGGAAGGATTGAAGAAGACAACCCCAGAAGGTGTCGAACCTGAAACCGATCCTTCGACGTACAACGGCCACGCGCGCATCTATAAGCCAGATGGTACGCTCGTGTGCAAGCCTGACAAGGACTTTGATGGTCTACTTTTTGTAGACGTAAGTTCTCATCGCTGGGAACTATTCTGATGGTGAGCTAACATGGTGTAGATTGATCTCAGTGAATGCCACTTAACCAAGGCGCTGGCCGATTTCTCTGGTCATTACATGCGACCAGACCTTATCCGACTGCTTGTCGATACCCGTCGCAAGGAGCTCGTCACTGAGGCGGACACGAACGGCGGTATTGCTACTTACACCACTCGTGAGCGTCTGGGCTTGAATGTGCCGCTCGATGCGCAGGCGCCCAAGCAGAAGGCGAGTGCTTCTGATTTGCCATCGAGCTCTGCCATCTAGAGTTTGCAGGGACCAGATCTGCAGGTACTATTCTGTAGGAAGTCTTTCTAGCCCTCAATAAAGCTATTACTCCGCTCTTACGAAGATTTTACCGTGCTTCTTGCTGATGTACCCGTGAGCTGCAAGCGACTAGGCTAGTGAGACAGCGGTAAGAGTGTTGATATTCTCATTTTTGTATGACTCGAAGTAGCTATCACAACTGCTGAAGTACCACAGCCCTACAAGCGTAAACCCTGGAATCTTCCCAACAACTTTGCATCACTAGACTCTCGGCAGATTCCTCGTTTGCACCCTTCACAAAGATGTTCTTTGTGGGGTTTGGTTACCTTCGATCCATGACCCGGTTGCTCCAGGGGAACACCGTACCATACCAAAAGTCTGTATGCAACTCGCTCGACGTAACAAGTCTTGTCCAATTTCATAGTTCCCAGCTTGTTGCACTGCTTGCAGCGTTGTTTGAACACCTCAGCGTTGTAGCTACCATTCGCGTACTCGCGTATCAGTATTGTCACTTTTCCGCTTGACCACTTCCAACCACGGGATGGACAAGTGTTGTAATGACATTTGAAGTCGGCCATGACAAATGTTGAGTAGGTTTGCGTAGTACCTTCGTCGGTGTTTTCCTCATGAAATTGAAGTGACGGTATGTGTTCGGACACCGCACTTGCAACCTCTTGGTGTAGAGATGGGAACATGCGGGAGGGACTGGGTGGACCTTTCTTCTTGGCCATCTTAGGAAGACGCTCGGTTGGTGTAGTGATATTCTCGTCGTAGGACGGATTGTACCGAAGAGAGGATGGAATTGGAGGGGGCGGACTTGTCTGCTACCATGTAGGTGATAAGACAACAGCTTAAAAGGCGAAGTGTCAAGCAAATGTTGTTTTGCTCGAATCCTGATGTCAAATGTCCTGCCCCGCACTTCTATGAGTTGTACTGCAGCATATGTCGTACAGGCGTCTGTACCCCTCTTTGTGGCATGATCTATACAGGAGAGTGTGCAGCGCTGCTGCGGCGTGGTCAGACATTCCCCAAATCAGGAGGCGACGTGGCATAAGGCTGTCAACAACAATCTGCGCAACGCATAATACCCACAGACATGCTGTATCTATTGTAACGAGCCGAAGACCTGCTAAGGATTATTGGCTGTAACTTGAGAAACTGTTCGCCGTGAAGGATCATATCAGAAGACTTTAAATGGTCGCTGACCTACCCAAGGCTTCTGCCATCAGCAATCTACAAGAACTAGACATCGCGTACCTCTGGATACTGAACTTTGGGCATTTTTTTGAGGACTTAGTACGATTGTTAGACTCGTAGCGATGGGTTCCATCAGGGCTTGAGCGTGAAGAGCAAAAGTTGATACTGTTGTCGTGATGATAGGGTAACCATAGGCGAGATCTCAGCCGGCACTAGCGCAAAGGGCCGCCGCGGGAGTCATGGATCCTTGTCGCAACTTTCCAATGTCCAAATCTTCCCCACCAAACCTCCAGCTCGTGCACTCCGTCGCGACTCCACCTATATAACAATGGCCGACGAAGAAGAAGATGTCTCGCACCTGCGCGCACCAGACGCTGCCGATTATGATCCTACGGAAGAAGCGCAGGATTTCCTTAAACTCGACAAACTCACGTACGCATTCACATGCTCATTCTCTCACCTTTCTTCAAATCGCTGACATAATTTCCATAGCGCACAAGACAGCGCACACCCTACACTACCGAAACGCGGAGAAAAGGACTTTGAGAGTCATGAAACGAACCTCCAACTTGACACACTCGAGGCCTCGCGCCGGGCCATGCACGGCGTCCTCTCGTGGCAGCGTACGCACACGCAAAAGGGCCACATCCTAGCCATGTACGACCCAGAGCGCAACATGGCATGCGTCGACAAAGTCCGCTCACAGCACTTCCAGACGATAGGAACGAACAAAGGAGGGAGAGAATGGCTGCTACCGGAAGAAGCATTGTTCTTGCTCGAAAGAGGAACGTTGGATGTTCGGTGGCCTGTAAAACGGGAGATGGGCGACAAGACGGTATACAGAACAGAAGATGGAGCACCGATGAGTCTGCAATCGGCGTATGCCGCTTTCATTGGGTTTGAGAGTGGTGTCGGTGGGAAGCTGACATTGGAGATGTACAACGTCTACGCCGGACTTAAAAGATCGGGATATGTCATCTTCAGGACAGGGACATGGGACGATGATAGAGGGGAGATTTTACAAGCACCAGCGAAGGCAGAGGAGCAGACAGCATCAGGGCCGGGAATCATCACGCGCTTCTTTTCCGAGATATGGCGGCGATTAAGCCAGCCTGAACACTCAATCTCAGCCGAGACCCTCGCCTTCGGACCGCTCATCAAGCCCGGGTTGTACCGCAGCTACAACGATGTCTACCGCCTCCTCAAGCTGATACCCACTCACGACCGCTCAGCCCCTCCGTCCTTCATGCTTCCCCCCTCCGCGGACAACCCATATCGCGTCCACTTCGACGTCTACCGCACCACAGCGCGATTCAAGAAATCCGCTCGCGGACCACCAGACTTCCGCATATGCGTTGTTGATGCGCGCACAACGCCCATACCAACAAGCGCACAGCTAAATGACCTTATGGCGCAGGTGCCGGAGGACAGACCAAAAGAGGATGGTCACCCGAACCAGAGGCTGAAGCACGGATGCAGGAACGTGGTGCTGGCGGTGGTGGATAACGGTATACCGAGCTACCTAAGGGTTGCGGACACTCCGTTTGAGGAGGTCAAGATTTATGAGAGATCGGCGCCGAGGGGGAAGGGCGGAGGTAGGGGGAGGGGAGGCGGCAGAGGGAGGGGTAGAGGGAGAGGCCGTGGCCGTTGAGGCAGATTCGCATACGCATGCGCAGCGAATGTTCCTTTTTCATGTCGTCACATTCCCGGTTTGGATGGGCCAATACTAGCAGGACGCAATATACCCCCAATGCCCACCTTCGACACGAAAATGTACGTCAAAGTCTCTTCAGCCTTGTGGTCAGCGCCCTTATCACGAACGCCATCCATGCAGGTTTGGCTCCTCCACCAACAACACTGTTTAGATTTATATTCTCAATGGTGCCACATATCGGCTTATTCTGGTGACCACAAAGCTCTTGCCAATCACTGCTATATGCGCTACGCGATTACCACCAGGCTAGTATTCCGGTAAAGCTGCAAGTAAGCACTGGTATCAGCTTGACGTGCTCTTGCAGAGAAGGCTTGCATTTCCATTCTCCGAATATAATGGCGTCTAGGCTGAAGCCAATGGATGGGTGAGGCAGAAACCATGCGCCACGTCACTACTACCACGGTGGCTTCCTGAGCAACTGGTTAAGAGCGTGGATCGCCTAGATGGTTGGTTGCGATCAGAACTTCACTACCGTTTCAAACCATCGCAGAGGATACGTACTGAAAACAAGACTATCAACCGGCACCCCAACGTCTATTACCACTACACAATCGACTTTGAACAGGCGAGTTCTTCAGATAACCCTTATATGTCCTAGATTTTAACTGGTCTCCAGCAGCTGAACTTGACTAATTGTCACGATGGCAAGCGCAGCAGCAGAATGGGACACTGTGGGCACATTTCTCACACTCGGATACATCATTGTGGACAAGCATGCCCCCAAGATGGCAAGATTTGTCGTTCGCATGCGCCAGGGCGCTGGGAGAGAAAGCATATCGGACGCTGAACAGGGAACTGCGAACGAGGAACTTCAAACTGTGCTCTCAAACACAGGTGTAAACATAACCGCCAGGGTCGTTACTCAAGCGCAGCTAGATGCGATGACTGCACAGACAAGGCTTGTGCCTCTTCCTGATGAACAGCCCGGAGACATCGATCTAGACGAGTTCACTTTAGCTTAGTCATATTCGAGTACACAGGCCTGCCTATGGTTATTATAGCTCGATAGCGAGTCGTATCAAGCTTACACTAAGGCAATAAACCTGAATTTCTACTGATGTTGTGCATCATGTATCCTCGTAGGTCGTATTGCTCAATAATCGTTCAGTCTGCAGTACTACTGCAACCACCATAACAAAAAAAGCCATTGCGCATGCAGTTTTCCTTCTTGAATCAGCTGTCGGAGTATTGCTCAGCGTCCGTCCATCGATTGGGCGGTGCATCATCAATCGGATGTCTCTCGATCGATAACGTCAGCAGTGAAAAGGAACAGGCCTAAATTTCAGCCCGATGCAGCGTTGTATCCTGTAGTTCGAGCATGGTCGCGACTAGGAAACGACGAGTGGTGAAGAGCCGCTAAGGATCACTGTACATCAGCCACCCCCAGTGATCCAGATTCTAAAGCTAGCTCCGAAAACACGTAGCGTCTTCGGTAATTCCCTGCCTTGAAGCTTCCATATCGTCATCCAAACTATATTCTAGATTTCGGCGGGCGTCGTGAGTGAGGCCGTACGCCTATTCTTCGCATCAGATCCTTGCGGACCTGATCGACGAACTTTAGAGCACGCATGGACTGATGCTGCTCTGCGGTCAACTGACGTAGCCAATCGAACTTTCGGCTACGCTTCAGTTTCTGGCGTGGCTGTGCGTCGCAGGTACGGCATAAAGACAGACAAATCTCTCATTTTCGACAACATCTTGTATTATGTGGGCAAGCTTGTATTCTACAAGGATCCACATAGCCAAACTCGAACTGACTAGCCTCAGCATTCATCGAGTCATTTCATAACTTCGATAGCGCACTAATCTCTTCCACGAAGCCTCGCTCCCATGCCTCGACTCTAGCTCTGGGGCACCAGCCCAACCTCTTTGCGATCTCACTGCGGGTTCGACAAGTGCTTCCGAACCTCGAATCATCAACTTGCTCCAGACCACCAGTCCGGAGCTTAGCTCCATCGGCGAGACTAACAATCCTCACGGTCTTACTCTTGACTATTCTGCCTTCGATGCAGCATCTGTAACTGCCTGCGACACCTCTAACCACATGTGACGCCGATGTGCGCTAAAAACTATGCCTTGCTTGCCCGTTGGAAGAGAAGCGCCATCCTTTGACAAAATCGGTTTAAGTATCAGCTCGTATAGTTCTGCCTGGTCCTCGATATGAACTAGAGCATAAGGTCAATGTAAATCTGTAACTAAGTTTCGGCGTTAGAAGTACCATTATCCCAAACGCCCTTGCCGTCACCAACAACGATGGCTTGTCCTTCAGAAATCGCCGCTTGGACCAATCGAGTCACTTGCAGACTACGCTTGTTCTATAAGCCCGAGCCAAAGTGGACCATAATTGAATACCATCGGGCTTAGCAGATTACGAGGAGTAGTTACTCACCCCGTAGATCAAGGGAGACATGAGGACGACAGTCGTTACCCCTGACTCGAGCCCAGCGTCAATCATGCCTAAGTCAGTCGTTCGCTGAATGTACCTCTTTTTACTGTTGCGCGCCTTCCCATAAACGTAGATGTCGTCCTTCGAGTTGTCGAATTCAAGATCCGGATTGGACTCAACGTGAAGTCCCGAAAGCGGTTGATCAGCAAGGTTCGAGACACCCGAAGTGTGGACCATCCAAACGTTTCTGCCAGTGGACTCCCGGCGTGAGGAAAGGCCCTTGATGAAGGCTAACGCGCTGGCGAGATGATAGCTCAGCGTCATGTTGAAGATGACATTGTATTGACTTGCTATCTCAACAAGGCGCTCAGCGTCTTCCAAGCCTTCGAAGCCCACAACCTTGAGCCTGTGACCGAAGGCAGCGTGAAGCTGCGCAACTGTTTCCTGATCCCGAACTAGACACGCGATCTCAGCGTCTTTGATTGCTGGATGTTTGCTGAGAAGCAATTGATGAAGCACACTGCCCCCGATGTAGCCTGTGACGCCGGTAAGGAGGATTCTTCCTTGAGTCATGACTGGAGAATACGACGCTGTGAATCAAACACGGGGTATTGGTGATGAAAGTATATCGGCGGTTCGAGATATGACAGGAAAACCTGCCTGCTTGCGAAGTGAGATTTTTCAAGAGGGCACCAAAATCATAGCTGGATCACTACTATGTAGCTCCATATACCTCCTCCGCATAGGCGGAAGGTAAGCTTGAGTTCATCCATGCAACGGAAAAGATCATCGAAGTATCATAATTGGACCACCACATATAGGGCTTAACTTTCAGGGAAGCATCGCAGTCTCTCCGGACCTTTTCTTTCCACCGTTGGAAGCTTGTCTTAACAAAGTTTCAATATTATCCGGTGCGGCCCGTCTCACTGCTGATGAGGCTAAACACTGGAAGTTTATCAGCATCACACTACATCACGGAGCCTGAGGTCTTTAACGTGACTTTAAGAAGTTAAGAGTCTTCGCACTGAAACTACAGCGATTAACGATGTTCTTGGAACAGAGGAAATTGCAGTGGAACTGACAGTGGGATAGCTATCATTCGAACGCCATAACTATAAGACGGTACTTCTCCATGCTGAGTTGGCATTACAATACTTCATTTCTATCATCTTTATCGCACTGATCTCCATCATCCACAATGAATGCCTCTACTCCCAGTTTCCCATGGTATTCCATGCCGAACGTCGACTCTCTCTTTTCTGAGGACCAGTTCTCCACCACAGGTCCACAGAGATGCCGCATCCGCGCAACATAGTCGCAAGTCTCTTAGTCGTAGTGCTCACCCTTTCCTAGTGTAGAACTGTCACGAAGAAGACTGGTCGTGAAAGCTTCCCTGGGCCATGGTATGCGCCCTACACGGCCATGCATCTCCGATGGCGTTTCGCCCGCGGCACGATCCATGAGTATGTTGAGAAGATGTACAAGCAGTACGGCGATGTCATTCGTTTGGGGCCAAGGCGGATCTAGATCTCGGACAAGGGAGCTATGAAACAGATTCTTCTTACCATCGATTTGCCAAAAGTTACTATGTATGCTGAGATATCAAGAGCAGTGTGCGCCATGGAGGGAACTCCTTGGCCTCCCTCCTTACTCCCTCCCTCCTTGGCCTCCATGGAGCTCCGCCGGAGTTGACGGAGTTGCTAAGCTTTTACCCCACACTTACACTAATCGTATTAGGAGTAGGTTAGCACGCTGTGCAAAGCTTAACCTCACCGCTGCTATCAGAACGCGGGGAGCACGGACCATAGTATTGTTAGAGGAGGTGAACAATATATTATATGTATACTACTTAATCTATCGCTATTTCATTAAAACCACCCCCAGGTGTAAAGCTTAGAGGTAGATAGTTCAGATAATTTAGATAGTTGTCGAAGGAGGGAGATGGGGTGGATTAATAGTAGGTTCCCAGCGCATTTTATGCTACTCTCCTTCATCGCTATTGCCCCATAACCCCTCGCTGCTAGTACTGCTAGTTGATACGTATTGTACTTCCGCTATCTCGTTACCACGTACTGCGTCACTACGGTGCTTAGCAAGGGTTATAAGGCTAAGCTTGCTCTAGTGTGTAAGGCATAGCATAGCTTCTAGAGTCTCTTCGCGTAGTCGACGTCGTCTAGAGTTCAGTGTAAAACCAGCAGAGCTAAAGATACGCTCCGCCTCCGCGCTTATTGCTAGGATAGACAGCATATCGATTGCCATGCGAGCAAGAGAAGGATACTTAACGCGAACAGCTGGGCGGAGCTAGTACTGAAAGGAGACGAGATCGTCGTCAGTCTCGAGCTCAGCCTTGAGGTACAGCGTCAGCTCGTCACCAATCTTTTGTGGGTGGGGTAGACGTCGCTGCTGTTTGATAAGCTCGTTGATATTGCTGTACTTTATTCGCTTACGGGGCCGCTCGTTACAATCGCGTTCGCTCAGGGGTTAGCGCAGCCCACTGTCCTAGGATAAAGCAAGGGAGCTTTGCCGTGAGCTATAGAAGTCGATAGGAGAGGTGTTATGCCTGTAGTCTTTCTCCCATAGTCTCCTAACTGCCTCTACGCCACACTTAGCGTCTTGCGCACCCTATTCTTTCGCTAAGTACTAATACTTCAGACGCGGATCTAGCAGCAAAGCAGCAGTGTATACAAGGGTTTCGTTAAGTATATTGTAATACTCTATTGCCTTACTCCAAGCTTGTTCGATTGCTACCCAAAAGGCGGAGTCCTTCTAGCTCTTAGCATACTTAACCTTAAGCTTCTCAAGCTAGCGGAGGGTAAGGGAGAGGACGTCGTACACGTCGGCAATACTGGTAGCGGACTCCTCACTCGGTTGACCTTCGAGCTTCTTTGTGCACGCTTTAATCGGGTCGAGGATAGCGAGGAGCTCCTAGAGAATAGCCCATTCATCGGATAACATGCGCTAGTCGAAGATAACGCGAGTAACTGATTCCGATAGGCGTTCATTAATAGGTTTCTTATTACCGCGACGCACGAGGTGCATGTAAGTAGCCATTTCAAGGTCAAGAAAGTGCTCAATAGAGTTGCGGAGCTGTACTGCTCAATAGATCATATCTCTTGTTAAATTCCACCTAGTAAACATTAGTTTAGTGTTCTACATAGCTAATATAGTTACCGTCTTATGTCAAAGTGCCAAGATGAAGTAATTGTACACGTGTATCTCCGCAACTACAACAAAAAAAGAAGAGATAGGAACGTACCAGGTTGCATTATCTATCTTAAACCGTAGCGGAGGAGGCTGTTAGTTGGATTCTGGGTTCTCCCTACGCTAGACCTTACCCTAGGCATCCTCAAACCTCTTTACGCGCCCTAGTGATTTGTTTATCCATCGGACGATTGTTGCTACTATTCCAATCGGCCCTTGAGCTCGCTAAAGCTTCACCTCTTCTCGTAAGTTAGCTACACGAGCTACCTTACCCTCAAACTTCTCGAAATCGCTACCGAACAGGAGCTGCTAGGCAATAAGGTTAAGTATATGACTAACACAACGCAGCCGTCTGACCTTTAGATCGAACTGGAGCATCTCTCCAAGGATTGCAACTGCAGTATCGTTGTTTAAGGCGTTGTCAAGGACGAAGAAACCGACCTTATCGCGCAGGTCGTAGTCGTTAATAACCGCTAGAACGTTCGCAGCAATAGCCTTGCTATCGTGATGATTAGTCATCTCTTTGAATGCCAACATAGCTGTTTAGCACTTCCCCCTATTGTCTACAAAGTTTACAACAACACTATTAATTGCCTTACGCCGCGGTGACGTCTAGAGGTCGAAGGAGAGGTGGACACGACTCGCCGCGTTCTTTAAGATCTCTCGTACCTCCTCTTTGTGCATAGCGAACTTAGTGTACACCTACTAGCGGGCTACCTTCTTAGATAGGATAATAGAATCCTGAATTAACGGGTGTATACGGCTAAATATTTTCCGAAAGTAGGGACTCTGTAGCTTCTTAAATGGTATACTCTTAAGGGTTACCTAACGCATAATGTCCTTCTTAATTAAACTAGAGTCGAATAACTCCGCGATACTGTTGTATATTCGTTGCTGTACAGGATCGTGTAAGTCAAAAGAGGAGCTTATAGCGTTAGCTTTGTCAAGCTCGTTAAGGGGATCGTTAACGTTCTCCTTGTACGACTTAGAGTGCACGTTCCGGAAGTGTTTAAGGGCGTGTTGGCTTCCGTTTGTAACGTTTAAAGGGCGAGTAAGAGTTAGCGCAGTAGTGTGGCAAGTACGGCATAAGAAGTGTATGCCATTAACCACCTGCGTCGATCCCTTTTTAGTGTACTTGCTAGCAAGAGGCACCCCAAAACGCCACTACTAAGCTGTCCTTCGGACGCTATTCACTGCCTTTGTGTAGCCTCTAATCCCGTAGCACTCCCATGCAACCCAGCTGTAGTCGAACGGAGTATCTGACAGATGCCCTGGCTCGGCAACAGCTATATACGAGTCGGCGTTCGTCTGCTGGTACTCTGTAGGCACCGGCACCTGTTCAGAATCGAGTTCGCTGAGCTGGGAAACGTCTTCATCAAATACGGTGAAGCCATAGCCGGACGGGCGACGACTAGACAGTTCTGCGTCGAATTACGTGTTAGGAAGTTCGCACTGGCTTAATACAAGTGTATTCGAAGGCATAGCGGCATTAGGTAATAGATATATTTTGTTAGGGTGTAGTAATTGTTACAGAAATTTAACGTTGCACATTGCAAAAGAAGGGATGAGGTGCGATTGTTGATATTGCTAGCGTCCTGTTTCACGTTTGTCTCAAGTTTAGGTCCCAAAACATTACCACCTAACGCTAATAAGTCTAGTTACTACCTATATAGGACTAATGTATCCTCCTCCTTCAACTCCTGGAGCGCCGGGGAGTTCATGGACCTTGGCGGAGTGGAGCTCTCTCCCTCCATGGCGCACACTGATCAAGAGACAGGAACAGTCCAGGCCTCTTCGGAGAGATGTAAGTACCAACATCCCTTATTTACAGTTGACGACATGGCGTTGGTTAACGCCCACTACCATAGCCGCACAACCCCCCACCGCAACCTGAAGAAGTTCCTTAACCCAGCCTTCACCGTCTCCTCTGTGGACAAACTAGACTCCTTCTCAAAGCCTACGTATCCACCTTGCTCGATACCTACTACACCGAAGTTGACAAGGCCATCGCCCAAGACATCAAGTCCAACCCTTACGGCAACATCCAAACAGACCTCATGCGCGATCTACACCATCTCGCCCTGGATATCATGGGCGAATCCTCGTTTGGCAAGGGCTTCGGCCAGATTGACAAGATTTTCAATCCGAGCAAGATGTTGTCGGGTAGGGATAGGCGGTGGAGTAGGATTCCCAATGCGGTTTTTGACGGGCAGGCGAGGAGGTATGGGTTGGTCTTTCTGAAGAGGTTTTTTAGGCGAGTGGGGTTTGAGTGGGAGGTTGATTGGCCCGCGGAGATGACCACTGCCATTTGCGAACTCGTTGATGAACGCGCTGCAGCAGAAGGAGCAGCGAAGAACGAGGAACGTATCGATGTCTTACAGCATATGTTGGATGAGGGTGTGCGACCAGATACAGGAGAGCGTATGTCGAATCAGGATATCATCGATCGGATGTCCGAACTTCTTCTCGCTGGCTCGGAAACCACATCCGGTAAATTACCTCCCTCCACCTCCTTTCCCAATTCTTAGTCCTTAGCGCCCACCTTCCGGCTTCTAAATCTACACTCTCCATCCTGATCTATATTAGCTAACTCCTTCCCTTAGGAACAATGGGATGCCTCTTCGTCGAACTCGCGCGAACCTTCGGCGCCCTCGGCAAGCTCCTCGCCTCCCTTCCGCCTCTTTCCCCCTCTTCTCCTATCCTCGACTCCAAAACTGTGGGAACAGATCCATAATATCGTTACCTCGAAGTCTGCCTCAAAGAAAACTTGCGCATGAACCCTATTGCCTCTGAACTCGGTCGCCGTACCCCAGACCAAGGTTCCAATGTGAATGGTACTGAGATCCCGCCTTACACGATTGTGTCGGCCAGTTATAGGGCGCTCCATCGGGATGCGAGGTATTGGCCGGAGCCTGACAGGTTTTGGCCAGAACAATGGCTGGAGGGTGAGGAAAGGGGGAGTGTGCCGAAACCAGAGTGAGTTGATCTGGAGATACGACGTGTTATCCAGTGTAGATATTCGCTAATGTGTTATCGCAGTATGGATGCTTATTTCCTATTCTCCAACGGTCGGCATAATTGCATTGGACAAAAGTATGTTTGCTTCATTTCGCCTATCTTCCATATACTCACACCCGCTTCTATCCCGCTGTCTTTCCTTGCACGCCTTTGCTCTTCCCTTTATTTCTTGTTATCTTCCTGACACGATTCACTGACGTGTATGTCAAGTTTCGCATACGCAGAAATGCGCATAGTATCTGCGAACCTCCTCTCATGCTTCTCTATCGAGGAAGCTGGGCATCAGAAGATTCAGCTCCGGCAATTTATCACGATGAGAATTTCTTGATGGAAAATGGAATGTTGTGCGAAAGCCCCGGTGGAAGGGTGGTGCAGAGGTTTGGGGTGTGGACTTTTGCGACGGGACGGGAATATGTATGGGACATGGACTTGGGAAGGAAGTATCTTATGGAAGAAGAAAATAACAAGAAGGAAAGAATAGAGGCACTAGCTGATACTGGGACCAAGCATTTAGCCACGAATAAGAATAGAAATGTGATGCATTCCGAAGAAAGAGCGACACTAGGCGGGTGTACACACCCTAATAGACAAGTACCAAACACGCTGCAAGATCTCTCGTCCTCTGCACTTTGTTTCTCGATTGCGTCCAGCCAGTTCACTAGCACATCTTACTCAATGTACTTAGTACATCGGGTCGCCAACGGCTTTGATAGACACAGTGTATACGCCATTTTGGCAGTATCCGGCGGGTGTAAGCCAGCCCCAGAATTCTATACTGGATTAGCTTCAAGTCACGGTGTAAGAATTACCGAAAACTTACCAAGTGACTTTCCATTTGTGAAGATAGCATTTGCGGCGCCTGAAATCGTTGCAGAGCAAGCTTGCGTACCGCTAAGCTGATCACAAGTGATAACGAATGGAGCCGTCGCTGTCAGTGGCGCATTGGCAGCACCGTAGCAGCGTCCACCATCGCACCATGCTGCCACACTGCTGCTCGTAGTGTAGTTGTTGCCATCAACAAGAAGATTCGAAATCGAACCGGCCACAGTAATGTTGCACTGATATTGCGCATTGCATGCACCAGACACTAGGTAACATATCAGTCAACCGAACACTTTCGAAGCTCACGCGCAGCATTAAACACCCACTAATGCCATAGACACTACCAAGAACGCCAGAGAAGGATTTGTCGATCACGGCTGGCATCGCGGGGAGGTTGTTGAGCGAGAGAACACCTTGCCCCTGGACTGGAGCAGAGAAGGTGGACGGCAGAGCTGTAGAAGCTGTGGCTGTGGAGGCTGTGGGGGCCGCAGTGATCGTGGAGGCCTTGACAGATAAAGTCCCTGAGCCGACTTGAACAGCTAGCAACGTCGAGGATGACAGCTTAACTCCTACAAGGGGCGAGGAAGATCCACCGACATTGACACCGATCAAAGCTGCGGCCGTTGACGTGGTGGCCACTGCGCTGCTGCCAGACATGTCAACAAGCAAGTTTTTTGATTGACTTGATTGATTCTTGATCAAAAGCTCAATCAAGTCAAGATCAATTCGCCCATAGCGTTTTTCTAATTAAGAACAAATTAAAGCCCTCTTTTTAATTAAATTAATTAATTAGATTGATTAGGTACTAATAGCAGGGCGATTTGCAAGGTAGTTAATAAGGTTGCTAGGCAGTAGATAATATCGATGGAGTGACATATTATTGGTGTTGAGTTTTGATTAGTAAGTAACTTTCTGATCTAGCTTACGCTGCAACGTAGTATTAACGTTTAACAACAGCCTATATCTTATATTAGCGCCTATTACTGTTGTTATTTCTAAGTCTCCTTACGCGCTATTATTGTCTGTTATGCCTCCGAAGGCCTCTAAACGCGCTGCTGATCGCGCTGCTGCGTTAAATAAACGTGTTAAAGTCAACAACTCTCAATCGCAGTCTGAGCTGCCCATACGAACCTCACTACGTAAAGCCCTTGAGGTTGCAGCTAGTTAAACTACGGAAGAGGCTCCGTTCGAATCGCAGCTGCGCGACCTGCTGCCCGACAACGCGATTGATCCGCTAACTAAGGGCTTACGAGCTGCTACAGAGGCTTCGACTGAGGCGTCTGATAGCTACGATGGAGCCGAACTCGATAGTCGGTTTGAGAATAGGCACGATAGCCTTGATTGGGCTTATATACCGTGGTTTATGAAGCCGCTAAGGACGCTTAAGGGCAGGAAAAGCTAGGTCTTCAAGCACGGCTATTGCATGGCCTTAATAGCTGATCCGCAGAGAACTTTCTAGATCTGCAGGCATTGCTATAAACCTTAGAGATTTGAGGGGAAGTAAGCGTTAGAGGTGACGCTATTAACAACTGCTGCGATAACTTACATAGCACAGAACAGAGTTAGCTACTGCCTTAACTGTTAGGGCTAGCTTGCTAAGGCTGCGCTACCTTAAGGTTAGACGTCCCTGCGATTACTAAGCGATAGCGGTGTTGTTGTATCGCAGGAAGTTGCTAATTAGATTAGAAACTTCGACGTATAAGGCTTTTAATACGCTGCTGTTAGCTAGTTAGTTAATAACAACTACGCTCTTTGTGATAGGCTAGAGCCTAGTTAGTGAATCCTCGATGATATCTCGGTCACGTGCGCGAGGCGCACTGTCCACAGATTCCGGGTGCCCCCCTGAGCACCTGGATTCTGTGCAAGCGAGCCTGGCAGAAGGTTATCCCGAGCCGCCGCCCCCTGAACGACCTTCAGAACCCTAGCTACCTGTAGTTCTCTTCTCTATCGAATACAACTCTAGTATACCTGTGCGATAGCTCCCTAAGCGTAGCCCCTTACATATAAGGCGATACTTAGGACCTACGATCACGTTGACTTTAACGCTTATCCTAAGGCTCTAGAAGATTACCTCGCAATTAACCTTAATGCTGCCTAGCGTAAGACTAACGATTACTACACTAAGCTTAATGCCTCGCCCGCCTACTATAGCGCAACTTGCCTTTACCTATACTATAAGAACTACTGCTTAAATAGCTAGCGTAAGAAGCCTTACTAGATTGTCTTAAACAAGGCAGAATTGCAGCAACTGTAGGCGCGATATAAGCCTATATTGCTGCTAATCACGCGCCTAAGGCCGCCGCGATTAGGCGGTATTAACAACGCAATTGCTGCGCTTGTTAACGTTAAGACTAAAAATAAGGTAGATATATTAAAGATAGATAAGCTTAATCGCTAGTGGCGATATAAGCTAGCGTAGACAAAGGAGCAGTGTCACGAGATGCTACGAGCACGTGTTTAAGAGCTTACTAGAAGCGTTAGTTGTGGCTACGTACGATATCTGGTGTAATACAAGACGTTGCGTAAGGAAACAGAATCAGCATGTACAGGCGGTGAGAAGTTATCGATGGGGGCCGTGCGCATGGCGCTAGGCCCGGCCGGCCAATCAGCAGAATCCTGGTGCTTGGCGGAGCACTCGGATTCTGTAGCGCGTTCAGTGTCAAGGGAACCACGGTGGTTACCGTGACAAGCAGTTTAAGCAGGAGGGCAATCTAATTAAGTATTAGATTAGCCTGCGATCGCGATATCTAAATCTATCGCGATTAGCTATCGACCTGCTCACTATACCAGCTAGCAGCTATTAATGTGAGCGCCTGTTCAGCGAGCTTAGCGACCTATTAGAGCCTCGCAGGCGGAAGATCGGATCTTAGCTGCTAGCGGCTATCCAATGTACTTAGAGTTAGAGAAGAGCAGGTTTTAAGCCTCCTTATAACTAGGAAGATAGTCTTACTAATTAGGAGATAATTAGAATCTACAATATATGGGAGTAGGAGAATAATAACTAGAGGTAGCTATACAAAATCGCGCTGGATCGTATACTAAACATGATTAAGAGTATTAATCTCTAATTAATTACGACTCTAAAACAGCTTTAATTAAGTCAATCTCAATCGCGACCTTATAAAACTTCAATTAAGCTCAATTAGCTGCCTTAGATTGATTGACTTGATTGTTGGCATGTCTGGCTGCTGGCCTTCGAAACGATCATTGCGCTGCTAGTTTTCGAAGTGAACATTGGAACTACGCTACTAGTCTTCGAAGTAACCATTGCGATTGCGCTGCTGGTCTTCACAGTGACCACCGCGCTGCTGGTTTTAGCAGTGGTGGTCATATCTCGTGCTTCAACCCGGTCGACAACTGGAGCAGCTGCGGCCAACGCGCTAAAGAACGTGATAGTAGCGAGAAGCTTCATCTTGATCGATACGCTGGAGCGAACGAGGAAGAGGGCCGATCGAGAAGTGAGAACGATGCCCAGGAGGACGAGAGATGTACAGCGAGAGTGAGGCTTGGAGGCTAGAGCTAGAAGTGCTGAGGATGAGTTATTCATACCCAAGGACTGGCTGCTCCTTATGCCTTCCTGCAGGTTGAGGGCCGCTGCTTTCGAGCGGCACCTGGGCCAGTATCATCTGGAATTGGTCCTTGGTCAGGGCGCTCGATCGATGTCGTGAAGGAATGCAAATCCTCATCCACTCCTTTGGTCAAGACCCTACCGACCACAAATGTGCCTCGGATCTAGAGTTTCGGTATTGAGAACGAGTACGGGGAACGCATGGTGTATGCTATTGGAAGCACGCTAAGCTTGGTACCTGCTTTATGGCATGTTTCACTGGCTCGGGCCTGCTTCGCGCAATGCTTTTTAATTGTAATAATCAAGCAATTTCCCAGCACGGCGACCATTCCGATATAGGCTTGAGGTGAGTAGCCCTATCCTGAGGAGGACCCTGCAGCTTGGAATTTGGTGCATCTTGTAGAGGGCTGGCCCGTCAAACTAGTTGCTTCGTGCTGCGATACACCGTCAAGCAGCAGGTTTACAGCCAACCAAGAGAGAGGGCTATGCTGCTTAGATGCTTTTAGGGTTTGGCACTAGTGAGGCTAACAACGCCTTCCGAAAGCACAAGTGCTGGCCAGAACTAGTGACAACGCGGGTTTAGTTCCTAGGGTGCAACACCATCTCAATTTACGGTACCGCCGGTCTGCGAACGAAGCAAGCAGTTCTTCCCCAGGATTCGACCTTCAGATGCGAGAGAATTTCCTTACAAAGGTAAAAGGGTCTTCAATAAACACTCCCGTCTTGCTGGATACTTGACCAACTTGATAACTAAACAGAGTTGTCAACAATCAAGCCAGATCAAGCTCATCAAGTCAATCTACTCTTTGCAAAAAAAAAAGCTATCAATTCAATTCAATCTGAAGCGTCTAGCTTGATTGGCTTGATTGTTGGCAAGTCTGTAACTAAAGCATGTCAACAATTGGGCGAACAACAAATACATTTCGAACTTGTCGCTGTCTATTAACACGATACCTCTACCACGATGCCTCTATGTGGGATTGCAGGTCTAGATCCGACAGCATACGCCACCGATATCATGTCACTGCTTTGTGAGAAGATGGCGCAAGACCAGACGCATCAAAGCCTCATTCTCTCCGGTTTAACAGTATCATCGATCGTCACCGTTAGCGTAGCGAATTTATGATCGGCCTTCCACATTTCGATCGCCGCAGGGGGGATATGTCGGTAGCGATAGTGAACTTATTATGCTAAGGGACGGGAGGACTGCCATACGGACGATTGAGCTGGTGCGCGTGGGTGGCGCACCACCCAGACTACGTGTGCGTCTTTCAGAAGCGCCACCTGGCATCATGCTGTGGAGGTATTGTATACATCTAGTAAAAGGTTAGAAAGGACCTGTCCTAGTGAAGTGGATGATGCTTTCTAGCTCCCGTTATTGCATGGTTCGAATGATCATGCATTGCCGCTACCCAAGTTGCAGGAAGCGAAGCGGTGCGTGAACGCTAAGCCATACTTAAGCATGGTCGTGGCGCGCAATGCGCCCCACGTAGTACGATTCAAGAAAACAGTCCAGGCGTCCTTGGCACACTTGCAGCATGCTAGAAGTGTAGAGTCGAAAATCGAATGCAAATATCCAGAAAAGAAGCAACGGAGGGTTCACAGGGCTTGGTGTCGTTCGCTTATCGAGGATCCACGACATCGCACAGAGCCTCTACCTCAAGCCTCCTCGAAAAGGCACCTTAACGCGATCGCATTCTTCTCTGTCTCTAGAATTCCGGCTTGGGTCATTGCAAGAACCTCATAGAACCATCCTCCTTTGCTACGAATGGAAGATTCTAGAGCAGCCTCCAAACAAAGCAGATTTTCTTTGTGCTTCGCGGTTGTGGGCCAGAAGCAGATAGATTGTAGGCACATGACTGTGAGACGCTGCCTCTTGAAGAGCCTTGCAAAACGGCACGGTACCATCTTCCACTATGTTCAGAAGTGCTCCGACAATCCCTTGATGCCCGTGCGTATAAGCGATAATCAAGACTCGAGTGGTTGCAGAGTTGGTCATGTCTAGGTAGTCGTGCTGAGCGAGGAGTGTTCTAACCACCTCAAGATGACCGAGAGCTGCAGTAGCCTCCAGTACGTAGTTTGACTCTCGACCATGAGTCTGTCCGTTCTGGATTGGAGCGTAAGCTTGAGCATTCGGTGTGGGATTTGACAAGTCAACCAAGATTTCGTCAGATCTCTCTCCACCGTGATAGGGAGCATTACATTTCCTCATTTGCTCTCAGATATCTGGAGACGATTCGCGGCACAAATCTCGAGCGGGACTAAGCAGGTGACCCATTGCCCTCCCGACGGTAAGTGGTCTCAACATTGTGAAACCAGAGTCTAGCAAGAACCGGATGATGTCATGATGGCCACCTTCAGCTGCCGCATGGAAATCGTCTTTGGGAAATCGTCTTTGAAAAATCCGTCACGATGCACATCCGCGCCGTCCTGTAATAGAAGACAAAGGATTTGGCTGTGGACCTGGTAGGCAGCTTCTCGTGTTTGAACGAGCAGAGATGGAGAATCCGCAGTTTGATCCACAGCAACATCTCTCCAGCACCGGAAACGACGCCGTCGACCAGTCTCTCCTTCAGTCTTTTGTTCACCTTACTCACAAGAAACTTGAACTCTGATATGGCGCTGCTCACAGCGTGAATCGTGGACGATCGTATGTCGGTTCTGTTATCCCATTTGTGACGCGGATGTCATTAGCCGCAAGCAGCATCATAAAGACGTCAGAGTCGTCTTGAGTCGTCATGAACACGTTTACGACATTCCCAGATTTGCTAATGAGAGCTTCCAGTGCGTCCATGAGTTATTTTGGTTCTTCAACCTCATCCAAGGCGTCGATGACGAGTATGGCTAGATTGCCTGCAAGAGCAGCTAGAACGAGCTCAACACACTCAGAGATGTTGACTTTCGCTAGTCCAAAGCCGTCCATCTTGGCCTGCTGACACGACTGCTGATACAGTGTGATAACAGCGTCATGTGTTTGTCGGGACGGAAGCGGGGAAACTGTAACTCGTCTTGCGAGGCTTCTCAGAATGTCCTCTGCTGATTATCTCTCTAGCCCAGGATCGGAAGAATTACAGTAATAGTACGCTAGAGGCGCCATAGTCGGTGTCTTCGAAACGTCAGCTAGATATTTTTCGATGACCGCTGTGCAGAGCGAAGTCTTCCCACAGCTGGCAATCCCATGTAGCAGTAATGATGAGTATAAAGTTTTGCTTCCCAATCGCGGAAGCCCCTATGTTGAACCAGCCGCTTTCCCGTATCTGGAAGTCTCGCAATTCGATGACTGGCGAAATGGTGACTGTAAGGAATTCGAGGGAGCAAGCTCAGGATGTCCAAGTACTCTTGTTTTTCGACACCCCTTTTTGTGGCGATTGTGAGATCTGCCAAGCGAAGGACCCGTGTTTCCAAGTTCAGAACTCTTTCTCAATCAATCAGATCTGCACTTTTCCGAACCTCGCCCTCGGCCGCTAGGATATCCTTCATGGCTTCCTCGTATGATGAGCGAAATGGAGCCTTCGTGAGTCTCGCGACGGCCAACTCATCGAAAACTTCACTGCCCTGGCCAAAGGGTGCAGGACGACTGCATAGGTCTTGACCAGAGCTTCGCAGAGGTGATTGTGGAGAGCTGAGGTCTTCGCTATGTACAGCCTCTCAAGTTCAAGAGATCTCGTCATAAGGCTGGTGATCTTCTCGAGGTCCTCTACTGTCCCATTGTAGATGGTCGTGTCGTTCATAGCTGCTTGCAGGAGAAAGCGAAAAGCAGCCCAGGGCAGGGCAGCATGGCTTGGATCATATTGCACGATCTGGTCACCAACCTCTTTGAACCGACGGATCCAATATACGACCCTCTCCAGCACGTCTCGAACAACGATATCACCTTGGCTCGAAGACATTTTGATGCGCCATCGTTTCTTTAGCGCCAGCTGACGCTTTGCTTCGGCTTCTTTGAGGGCAGCTAGAGCAACATCTCTTTTTCCAGTCTCCGTCGTGCCTGAAACTCTAGCGACTGATTCGGGGAGTGTCTATGGCTCGTTGCCAAAGATTTGGCTTGTTGCTTGGCTGGGCTGCCATCACAGAATTCCCTATGACTGTGTCTGGACTAGGCTGGGCGGGGAAGCTGTGGTGTGGCACCGGTGAACGCGGTCAGCTCCGAAATGGATTCAACTTCAGAAAGCAAGGAGAGATACAATCTTCATTATACTCCTGCACAAACAGGGCCGAACCTTGTGGCCTCTTAGTATGTACATACTAGGATGTGCTGCGCCTGGAATATCGTGCGACTATGGTGATAAAGGTTACGGAACCCAAGTACTCGAGACGTATGGAGACCAGATCCCAGTGCAGGGCTCTGCGTCACATAATTCGCAGCAGGGGTCGAGTCAGCCGTGCTATGCGCTGCCAAAGGTCGCAGAGACACTGATAAGCAGTGTACTTGTGAGCGACTGGTTATGCAGCGAAGCTCCTGCATGATAGCGCATACACAGCCTCATGCAATATACGAAGAAATGGCGAAGGAAGCAAAGGCGTCGCGAGAAAGTGCGAAGGGAGCCTGGGCAGGAGAGCGCAAAAGGACGGTTGAGGAAGCCGCCGCGCGGAGCGTCCACAACGAGCAAGAAAAACGAAATCGCAGCTCTCAAAAAGCTCTACAACAGTGTCAAAGAGGGAAGAGAGTAGCTTCGGAGTCTGTTGAAGGTCGACAGGCGAAGCGGAGGAGTGATAGTCGCGTTGAAGGGAGGGGTAAGGGAGGAGGGGGGAGGGGGAGGGTCGCTGGTCAGGCGCAACCTGCTCCATTAGCTCCACACAAAACAACACAAACACGAATAGCAACAGCACCAAACAAATATTCTAAATAGTAAAAAGGTTTCGCAAGCATCCACATAGTACAGCGCGAAGTTATCGCAATATTATCACGATCTGTGGTGGATGAGTAGCTTCAGAATATGGGTGAATGTGTCCTGGGTCGCTAAACGTCCGCCCATGCATAGTACCTGCTTCCACGTTCTAATCAAGGCGATATCGATGGAGTAGCCTTCTGATGTCAGTAGTCTGCGCGTCTGCAGGTCGTAAATGAATTTGCCGTCACGGGCAGTGTAGTAATTGAGGATCTCGTTGCAAAGCTCGCGGGCGAGGCTGAAGAAGCTTGTCATGGTAGGTGCAAATCGAGGTGAGACATAGCGAGAAACTATGTTGTCAGGAAGAGGAATGACAGGTACGCGGATCTCTAGGTAAGGCAGTAAGGGAGCAGGTAGGCTCTTGCTGCCTTGAATCAAACTTCGAACAGGTACTTCGGATCGGAACACGTGTAAACGCGGTATCCGGAGGAACGTCAATTTGTACGCCATTCTTGCTGCCTCGAAGTGAGTAAAGATATCACATATCTTTTGCAAACCCGAAGGCTTCGATTAGTGCTTCACTTGAGTTCGGTACCACACGATCTCTAGCACAGCCGTGAGTTCGGATCGAGGAGGATGAGATACCTACCGGTAAATTTTGGACAGCGTACACAAAAGTTGTCTAGACTCCAACACACGATGGCGACGAGTAATTCCAGTTCTGTGTGCTAAGTACCCACTCAGAATAGGGTCAGAAGATCCGACTCCCTAGAAGCCATGTTGCTCGTTCGTCAATAAGCTTCGAGAACGTGTGCTGGTCAATTTGACTACGGGGTGCAAGACCTCCTGCTGCATCGCTGCCTGCCTCCGATAAAGCTAAGCTGACGCCCCTCCATGAAGACGCTGGTAGATATTCGGTCACGGATAATTGCCTGTAAAAGCCGAATGTTGCGAAATGGATGTGTTGACATATGGTGGGTATCAGAGATGGCACGATCCTCTGGGATCGGCCCGTGCGCCACGCTCCCTGAGGAGGGAAGGACAACCAAGGACACCCGACATCAAGCATCGATACCTCGCGCTCGAAGTCCAAAACTCGGGTGCCCGATGACTCTGCCAACTCATAATGATGACAATGGATAGCGAGAGATGACGTGCAACACTGCACGATGCTACATCGAGAGCCCGCGCGGGTGTTCTAATTAAGCCTAGCGTCACCGCCCCTCACTCAGCCCGCGCGCGTAATCCCATACGATCTCATTCGCAAGGTACTACTGCATTTAAGACCTCATAAATGCCAGGGTATAGAGATGCTCTTTAGTCCGACGGTAGATATATTACTCCGGAGACGGTTGGAGAAAGAGTATAAGAGGAGGCAGGTTTCGCGCTTTTGAGACTTTAGACATCAGCAGCATTGCATAGCATCTCAAGTAATATCTCTCACCATCGCATCATTACTTTGAGCGGTCTCACATCAAACTTTCTTGATTTACCGGAGACACCTACACTTTCGAACATCTTCCAAAATGGTCACCATAGCAGTCATCGGAGGCACAGGTTCCGTTGGCAAAACAATCGTTGACGCTTTCCTCGCAGAAGGCACTCACGAAGTCATTGTAATCACTCGCAAGGTCCGCATTCCTCGTCTCATAACATCATCTGAAACATGTGTACTAATCAATATACAGGTTCCAGAGGGACAGAGCGCCGCCAAGGTTCTCGCGGTCGATTACGCGAACGTGGACCAGCTCACTAAAACGCTTGAGGTAAATAACATTTACACGGTTATCTCCACCATCGTCATGTATGACCCTGCAGCTGCACAGGCAGAGAGGAACTTCATCGCAGCCGCAGACAAGTCCGCATGCACCAAGCGCTTTGTAGCAAGTAACTGGGGCAACGCTACGCCTGAGGATCCGTACGTATCGCTTTTTCTCTTCCCTCTCTTTTTAAACTCGAGGCTTCGATTCTGATTACCTGTCACCAGCTCTCTCCGCCTCGAACTCAACGGTCTCCGCGACCCAAGTATCACTGCTCTTCGCAAGACGGGACTGGAGTGGACGCAGTTCTACGTCGGCCTCTTCCTAGACTACTACGGCATGCCACACATCCCCACCTATCTAAACCCCCTCGTTGTCTTCATAGACGTGGCGCACAAAACAGCCGCGTTACCTGGTACCACAGGTGATGAACTCGTAAGCTTCACTTACACGCAGGATTTGGGTAAATTCGTGGTAGCGGCCATGGATTTGGAACACTGGGACGAAGCGCTGCATTGCTACAGCGAGAATACTTCTCTCTCCTGCCTCCTACAGATCGCTGAGGAAGCTCGCGGTACGTCACTCACCCCACCCCCACTCTACTTTCAATGAACTCGCGAACACCATATTGATAGACAGCAGGTTCAAAGTTCACCGTTACTTTTGACCCGGTTGAAAAACTCGTGCGCGACGATATCACGGAATTGCCCTCTCACCCATATTTGTACCCCTACTTCCCCAAACCCCTACTCGTGGGCCTCTTGGCCAAATTCGGGTTGTGGGCTGTAAATGGGATTATGTTTGTCCCGCATGAAGGGAGTTTGAATGAGAAGTTCCCTAAGATACAGACGGACAGTGTGAAGGATGTTGTTGGGACTTGGAAGGGGAAATGAGTCGTTCGTCTTCTGTGTTCCGCTTCGAGATCTAGAAGTTGAAACAGTGGAATGGTGGGGGTGGTAGTAGTGTAGTGTAGGTATTGGAAGTGTGTTCTGTATCATGTATGCGTGTTGGTTTGTGTTCTCGTACTTCAGCTCAGCTTATTTACAGACACCACACGCCGCACGGTGTAGAGTCAGAGGCTAGTGTAATTTGTCTTTTATTTGTGACGTTTGCCCCGTATGAGTATCAGGAAGGTTCAGTTGCCTAATTAAGTTCAGCGTGTTACCTATCTATGAACGCAACATCAGCGCGACATGTGCGCATTTCCTCATCACGTTAACCTCTTTATTCCATCTTCTGTATCGTAATCAGTCATCTCTAGTCTTACGCTTATAACTGCGGAAGCTATGCCAACTCCTTTTTGGATCACTTAAGAGACTGCAGTGCGAAGAGACGATAAGACTAGCGATGTAGATAATTCAAGTACAGTTTCCCTCCAGTCCTCCATGTCCAAAGGCAGATAAGACGTTGTAATTTGTATAGTTCTAGGAGCACTACGGTTCGCACGGGGCAACCATGCTCACAGAAAAGGTCTAGTGCCGAGGCTCCAGCAATCTGGCTCCGACGACCTACCTGCGCGCCTTCGCTATGCGCAACGAATCACGGGTTGCCCTCACCTACGGTTTCGTACTGCGAATCTCAATACTCGCCGTTGCCATCCCTTATCAAAATGATAACTCTAAGCATATTATGGTAGTGGTATATGATCTCATGTATGGGTGTATTCTCCTCTGTATGTACAAGTGTGTGATCT